GTCTAAAGAGCATAACACGAAACTTAAAGAGCCTGTATTTTGTTTAGAAAGCGGTCTTCTACTGATTGGAGGCCTTAACCTGGATTCTGTAGTACGCTTCCTTTATGTCGGTACCTTAGAGAACACTTTTGCGCCGTTTAAGCGATCTAACAGCTTACTAAATTAAATGAGGAGGGGGTAGCGGTCCTTCTTAGTTACCCGATTTAGACCCTAGTAGTTGACGCACATGCAAAGAGTACTGTCCTTCTTTAGGACGAAGATTACTAGGGCTTTAGCCGGACTGTTGCTGTGGGCGATCTGCCTGTTCGCCAACGACTTATTGATAAAGCGGCGGAGCTCTTTTTGCTGGGCGGGAGATAGCGGGTATAAAGGGCTATACAGCACCTTTGTGCTGTCTTTTAGCTTAATTGGGTGCTTTGCGTCTGCTAATAAGGGCAGTTCTTTCGCCTTGTTAGTGTTGAACACTTTGGCAAACGGTTGTATGCAGAACGGCGGTTGTTAGCTAGGGTCTGGTAGAGCCGGATCATCGTCCACAGTAGGGATGTCTGGTTCATAGGGACTCAAATCCAACTGCGTTAAGCAGATGGCAAACGACTCCTCGCCGTTGCGTAGGCGTTGGCTCATCCGCTCAGAGGTCTCAAAAACCATAATAGCGAATGACCAGGCCCGTTGGACAGTGTCAATGACAACGCCTAGAAACCCTAGTCCCTCGTAACTTAGGATGATGTCTCCGCGGTTGGCGCCCACTCGGCGAACGGCCGTAAAGACCTGTGTTGACGCGCGAGAGACCCCATCCTTTGTTAGCACGATAGTTAGCTCATACAGGCCGCGGGCCCGCAGTGCTTTCCCGTCGACAGAGACTAGGTTTAGGTTCGGGTGCTGCTGAAGCGGCTTCAGACTAAGCCGTTGAACGACCTCCAGGTCAACCACGTTCAGGTCAGCACAGGAATCCAGGTTTGCAACGACGGCAGCCCGGCGATTGCCAGGCGTCCGTGCCTCAGCCAGGGTACGGCAGCGGGGAATTACATCCCCGGTTAGCCACGCCGGTAGGGTTAATGGAGGGCGAGGCTCCTCCGTTAACCCTGCTAGTTTTCCTGGTCGGAGTAGGTCGCCTCCTGGTCGTCAAGCTCTTGGAGACTGTCTTCCAGTTCCGCTCGGAGCTCCTCGACCCGTGCGCGGGTTTTGGGCTCAGAGCACTCCCGGGAGGTGTGCCCGCTCTTGCCACAATTCCAGCACTTCAACGCGACGTTGATGTTGTTCGAACTGCTAAGGTTAGCAGGTCGGGAAGTGGACTGACCTTGGCCGGCGACCGGTTGCGGGCTTGGGTTGCTCCCTGTAGGACCGCGGTTCCCTGTCTTATTATTGTCGCGGCGCTGTTTCTTTGTTGGCCTGCTGGCCAGCACGCCGTCGACCGTAACCGCCCGCTTCTGGTCGTCCTGTCTCTTCCTCCGTTCCTGGCCCTGGGACCAATACTCTTCGCAAGCATTGGCGATCTCCATTGCTGTACCAAAAGACTTGCCGATGGTCTTGTTCTGATACCACTTCGCCAAGTGGTCGTCGAGCCCTCGCCAATACCTCCAGGCGATCTCGCCTGCCTGGTCAGAGGTGTTGCCAATCTTTCGTTGCAAGTGGTCCCATTTCCGCCAGTACGCCATCGGCGACTCGCCGCCCTGCCGAAGCGTCCAGCTTTCCTCGTAGATGCGGTGCATCTGGAATTCGGGGTTTAAGTGTTCCCGACGGATGAACGCGACGAAGTGCGTCCATGTGCAGCGTGTAACTGGGGGTTCACTGGCGCGGAGTCGGTCGCGGTGCTTTCGCCAATCAGCCGCCAGTGCAGTAGTCAGCCGACTACCTGCCCAAATGATCTTCATGTCTTCCGACGCGTCGCTGCGTGCATCAGTGTTGTGGGCGTCCTCTATCGTCGCCAACCACTCTTCCGTCTCCGTAGCGGAGGCACCAATTTCCAGCCTCCCAATACCGTATTGCGGTGGCTTGTCGTCACGGTGGCGACTGCTAGGCGGTGGCCCCGTAACCCTTGCGGCCATAATGTTGGTCAGTGCCTCCAGCGTCTGCATAATGCGAGTGTATTCATCGCTTTGCAGCTGCTTTTTGGCCGGCGAGGTGTCGTTGAGCGGCAAGGTGTCGTTGAGCGGCACGTGTACCGGTCTCGTTTCTGATTCGACGGACGGGGTCGGGGTGCCTGCAGATGCTGCGCGCAAGGTGTGGCTGCCGTGCATTGGCGTAGGGGGTGGCATTGGCACGTCCTCGGCTTCTGACAGTTCGCGTGCTGATCGCGGAGTGGCCGCCCCATGATCGGACATTGCTCCTCGTGGAAAAGAAGTTGAAGAATGTAAGGGGCTGGTGTGCAATGCGTGGTCACGAAGGCTTAACTGGTTTGTACTGTTGTATTAAGACTTCAACTTAACGAACTATAGGAGATTAGTAGGCAAAGGCCTGCCAGCTAATATATACGTGGCTGGAAGATGCGGTGTAGCGCAAACCCAGTGGGGCGTGGCGCAGCTAAGTGGCTGTGCTAGTCCCGTGCAACGTGTCAAGATAGTTCGTTAAGTCCGCCGCTTGGTAAGCGACTGGTTGCCGAACCGGTGCGTAGGGACGCGTGTGTGGAATACCCTTACATAAACGCTTTTACTAGTCCTTAAAGGGCATACTATACCCGCTAATACAGACCTACCTTAGCGTTACAATCTTAAACCTAGTTAGTAAAGCGATTCTTATATACCGCTACCGCCTTATAAAGTACGGCTATAGCCTATACTTCCTAACCTTTAGCTGCTAGCCTTCTATGCACGTAACGTACGCGCAGTACGTGTAAGAGCTTACTTGTGCAAAGAAGGCGAAAGCAGCTAAATAGCAGGCCTATAATCTAACAGACCTTAGTAGTATTTAAGATTGGCTAGCCTCTATAAAGCACGTCTAGATAGCTATATAAGGCCTTCTATAAGCTAACAAAGCCGCCTCTTGTTACTTTAGTATTAGAGACTAGGTGCTTTAGGCCTAACCCTAGAAGCACAAGCATAAGCCTTTTTATAAAGGACCGCTCTAGGTAACCTAGGTGCTCCCGAACGGCCGCCTTAAGCTTTGCACGCTTAATAGCACTAGACTCTTAAATCTATAGCATCCTAATAACGTCTTTCTAGCGTACGTCTAGGATTACAAACCCGTCCTAAGCCTCTAGTACAGCTTAAAAACGATGCTAAAAGCTAACTAAAGACGCTAGAGCTAAAAAGCTAGCTTATAAGTAACGATTTTTTATACTTTTCCTTATTTTATTTTTTACTGCCCTTATTATTATCTTCCTACCTCCCCGGCTAAACATACGAGTGACTTGGCCGGTACCCTAAATTGCTAGCAAATTACACTGTTTTGGGAGTACCTTTTTGTATATAATATGGAGAAATCGGGGACGATTTTGTTTAAGAAGGGGGCGTGTGGATTTCCCCGAGGTCACCTGACTTGACCTCGGCCGCCGAAATTACTAGATAAGACGAAGCCCTGATCTGCGCGCATACTGCGCACAGTCTGGTCTTCAATCAGTCAACCACCGAACGAAATATTATCACTAGATCTTCTGAAGGCCTTAGAGCTTACTACGATACGTGCAACTGGTCCGGACGAATATCCCACAAGGATTACCGTACGGGTCTTACACTGGTGATCACGCAGAACGTGCGTGACAGACTAGTGGTGCACGGAGTAGAAGCCACAAGTGGTGCGACAGTCATGTGACCTATGGTTCCACCATAGCTAAGATTTATTGGGACCTCTTTTCGTGCAGATACCCCGTGCTTCCACCTCTTAAGTTGAGTCGGGGACGCATCCTGCTAGTAAGAGAAAGCATTGAGGCTTTTTGTTAATGACCTTTGTTGAAAACCCACAAGCTGCTCTGACTCAAGCTATACGTCTTTCTTGCCATTCTTGCCATGTAGAATGGCTTTCTTCTTAAAATCTTGATTAGTGCAAAACCTCGAGCCTAGACAGGAAGATCGGCGATTCTTACTGTACCTGGAAAGACGGGAAAGCTGAGATCGAATTGGACGTTGCCAACTTCTGTCCGTCGAAAGCTGTGTGTCGCTGTAATCGTCCAGAACATGACATCATTGTTGAATTGCTCTTGGTAAGGCCAGAGGCTGACACACCATTGTATGGGACTGCCGGCAACCGTCTGGCTCTGATCGCCCGGCTAAATGAGCATCCAAAGATGCTCAAATCAATGATGCCGTTGTCTTCAAGAATTTCCTCCCTCTTATGTGTTTCCGACATGCGATCTTCCTCTTGCACAACAAGCAACTGGAACTCTCCATGCGTATCTTCGTCCAGTTCGTCGTCTTTGAGAGCATTCTGTATTTGATTATTCTCGCAGCAGATGCGCTATTGCTATAGTGGCTTTATACTAAGTGCTATAGCTGCTAAGAAAGAAAGTCATTGCTTCGAGATTCACACCTTTGGCCCAGTTGAGAGCGGTCTCCCCGCTAACATCTGTCGCGGTGATTCGAGCACCCCTTTGCAGAAGATGGCGCACCATTGTAATGTCCCCTTTGATAGCTGCATTGTGAAGTACGGTTGCCTTCCTAGCGCCATACTGGGTATTGATATCAGCACCACCGGCAAGAAGCAAATCTACGACGGTCACTTTTGGCCTCCGGCCACTGACAGCCTCGTGCAACACGGTCATTCCATCATCGTCAACCACTTGCACATCAGCTCCAGCTTTGATGAGTATCTGAGCCACTTCCTCCGAACCAGACGCTGATGCTATGTGGAGTGCTGTCACACCATCTGTGTCCGGACCTGGTCCAAAATTGTCTTTCTTGTTCTTCTGATTGACATCAGCCCCCTTCTCCACCAGAAGTTTGGCTACTTCCAGAGTCCCAAAATAGGCTGCGTAATATAGTGCACAGCAGCCAAAGCGGTCCTTTGCTGTGACATCTGCCCCGTGTTCGACAAGTCGCCGTACCAAACCGACGTTATGCATCCCATGGCTAGTGTGACAACAAAGCATAGCTTGCATCTAGATCTGCCCCTGCTAGAATGAGAAGATCAAGCACGGCAAGACGGTGATTGGACTCTTGTTTGGCTTCGACCTGCTGTTCGCTCTTCTGTTCATCATCTTCCGTTCGGTCTTCAGTCCAGGGGGTTAAGGGGCTGACTTTCTCGTCCATGAGAGGCATACACCCATCTATTCCTAAGCCGAACAACCACGACAGGGCTGTTTCTCCGTTCCTGTCTTTTGCATTTGGTTGTGCTCCGTGCTGGAGTAGTTGCTCCACCACTAGAGCACTTCCATGAAATTCCGTTGCCATATGCAGTGGTGTTGCCCCATCGTTATCGGCTGCTTGAATATCGGCGCCGTGGCCGAGCAAGAGCCGAACACCAGTGCTGTAGCCTCTATAGGCCGCCCAATGCAAAGGAGTCCTGCCGTAGCTCTCCTTTATGTCGACATCGGCGCCATTCACCAGTAGGAGCTGTAGCACATCGGCATCCTCACGTGTAACGGCAAAGTGTAAAAGCGGGACGTCCCACTTGACACTCACATTTGGATCTGCCCCCTTCCTCAATAGAGCGTCGACTTCGACTTCGTCTGCCTGCTCAACTGCACGGCGGAGAAGCGCAGTTGCTATCCATCGCTCAGTCTCATCTTCCTTGCCCATGTGCTCCAGCAGTATCTTGACGACAGTCTCGTGTTCATTCATGGCAGCCTTGTCAACTGCTGTTTTCCCCTCAAAGTCCTCCGCTAGCACGTCTGCATTGTTCTGCATCAGTACTCTGATTATCGCTTCTTGACCTGTCCGTGCCGCATAGTGCAACGCAGATTGACCGCTTTCATCTCTGGTCAAGACATCTATGCCTGTAGCGATCAAGTGCTCCACAACCTTGATGTGACCGGCTTGGGAGGCTTGATGGAGCGCCGTCTGACCTTTTTCGTCGGTTGCAGATATGTTGGCCTTATTGTTTAGAAGCATGAGAACCAAAGCATCGTGACCCTTTTCAGCAGCGCGGTTCAACGGGGTCCTGCCCAGCTCCTCGTAGCCGGACTCGTAGTCGGACTTGTCTCTGTTTCTGATTTCGTCGTTTTTATCTAGTGTGGGAGAAGAAGGCTCTTTGTCGGCAAGTCTCTTTCTGCCATACGCCACGGCGTCTTTCTGATTGACATTTTGCTCCCTTTTTAATCAGAACTTGCGCCACGCCGATATGGCCATACTCCGCTGCGAGGTGGAGCGGCGACTTCCCCCTTGAAGCACGGACATTACAGTCTGCCCCGGCATCGATGAGAAGCCTTACCACAGGCTCGTGTCCATTTCGAGCGGCTATATGCAACGGTGTTAGGCCACCGATTTTTTTGGATGCCACATTTGCCCCTGCCTGCAACAGGAAGTCGACCATTGGAGTATGGCCCGCCTCCGCCGCTACATAGAGTGGTGTCATACCCCAGTCCGTTCTAGCATTAACGTCGGCCCACCCTGTTTGTATATTTCGTGCAATATCGACGAGATTGAACAAGGCGGCGACGTGAAGTCGGGTGATTTTCCCACAGTTTATACTTTTGATCGGGGAAAGTCGAAGCTGCTTTGCCTCGTCGATCGCTTGATAGGTACTCAGGATGCGGATGCTGTTGCCCAAATATTCTAGGGCAAGCCTACGGATATCGTCGTTCATTTCGTCACGTATGTGATCTCCCCAGTAGCTGGCCGCGTACCCTAAAAATGGGTATTTGTCAAGGCGTGCTGCGAGCTCCTCTTCGGTTGAGCAATGTATCTCAGAAAACGGTTTGAATAACAAGTACCGCAGACAGGTCATGGCTATGGTTGAAGGTGCTCCGAGAAACAGACCCGTGCGAATACGCTCAAAGTAATCCTGCGCTGTGTAGTGCACTAGGCGGATCTGGTTGCTTTCCTCGTCCACGGTTACCAGGCCAGCGCATACCGTCACCATAAGATCCGTTTCATAGAGGCCATCTTCGTCGAAATCATCGTCGAGATCGTCGTTGGGATCGTCGTCGTCTGGCTCAGTGGCCAAGGCGTGCTTTAGTTCCGCAACGGTGAGTGGCCGGTAGGAATATGAAATCCAATATAACACTCTGTAGGCTAGGGAAGTTTTCTCCTCGTCAAGGGTTTTTATCCGTTGCAGCGCCTGTTCGTAGGTCTCGTCAAGTTCTATAGGCAAGCTGCGCAATGCTGCTCGGACGCCGCGGATATTCAACTTTCTCGCCAGACTGTCCATGTGTAACTGAGCAAGCAGAAACCTAATCCAAAAGTCACAAATTTAGAGAGAACGGTATTACTTGGCGAAACAAACAGGAGGGACATGTAAAGAGAAGATATGCGTACATTCCTTGACAGTTCCGAGTGATGGTCTCGGAAATTTCCTCCCTTAGTGACGGTGTCGATCTGACATGCCCTGACAGCGACTTCTTTTGTTCAATGCGTGCCTCGACGTATCGCCTAACGTCGTCATCGGTTGCTTTGATATCGATTTGTGGGAAACCTCCAAGACTGTTTTCGATCTTTTGAGAGTATCTAGAGGTAATCAGGACATGTGCGTTCTGTGACAGCTTTTGGAACTCGGCGATCAGCTCATCCCTTGTGTTGTTGCGTTCAGGACACTCGTCAAGAGCATCTACCACGACAAAGACTGGTAAGAGTTTCGCCTCTCGCTCGAGCAGCCGAGCAAGCACTTCCAGATCTGGACGCGTCCTATTCCTGAGGTAACGGTTGTAAAGGTCGCGCACGTCATCCGGGAGAGCAGCTCGACGTTGGATAAGCTACTTTAGTAAGCTTCCAACCATACTCAAAGACGTTTGAACCTCCTCCTCTTTGTAGCTGAAGTATAGGTAGATTACGGCAGCTTGCGTGCGTTGATTCTCTAGCCAATCGATAACCATTGACCTGTGAACTGCGATTAGCAACCTGAGCCACTGAGCATGTCTGTAGCAGAGCGGGTAATACACACGCCAGAGTCGTCTTTCCAGCGCCCGCTATATTTCATTAGCGACATCGCATAGATACGATTATATCGTAAAGGGACTGGTCTTACGCAATCCCGAACACCACAACGTTCTCTCCGATCCGTCTACCCAATTCTGGAAGTCGGGATGAGAGAGGAGCCACTCTCCCGTTTCAGCTTGACGCCTTTTGAAAAAGTCTTTCTGTTTTGCTTTAAAGTCCAGGGTGGAGAGCCAGGCAGTGATCTCTTGGAATTCTTTATCTAAATCGTCGGTTTTTTGTTTAGTTTGGGCAATATTAGTAATAGCTGCTTTATAGGCTGTTGGTACAAACCTTCTCGTTCCGCAGTAGCTTTACCAATAGCTCCCTGTAAGTCCGTTTTGACATCCACTAGCTCTCGTTTCGTTGCCAAAGAAAGCTTGCTGAAGAATACATTAGCGATACAAGTAAACGCCACGCCCGTTGAAAAGGAGTGCCTTACAACTGATCCCTCTGCAAAGCAATCGTGACGAGTGATTTGACCCTTTCAATTTGCAATAGCACCTCGTCGATTTCTTTCTTGCCAAGTGTCCAGGTTAAAGCCTTTCCTATCTTCTTCAGACGCCCAGTAGGCGGATCGAATCTCGTGGTCAAGTTCTCCATATGATCTCGTAGCTGGTCCAACGGACCCCCCTTAACGCCTAAGCCGCGGAGGGACGCGAACCATGGCTCCGAGGCAGAATTGGCATCCTCCACCTGGAATCTCAGATCAGTCAACATTGACAGAAGGCTAGAGGAGTGTCGGGCAAGCTGGGCCCGCTGAGCCGGGGCATCCTTGACGTCATTAACATATTTGATGACCTTTGTTGTCACATCAATTAGTTGAACAATGCTAGCAACGAGGCCTACTACCGAAACGGGATCCATCATGAGGCGCGCTTAGGTAGAACTACTCTGTAGTACGATGGGCGGACAAATTGAGGGAAGAGCCAGATTTTGTGTCTAGTATTACTAAATTGATTTAGAGGTGCAGGTGGGACTTTTATAGGGGCTTGCCATAACAGTTTCCGGCATTATAGACATTCTAATTGGTCTAGCCATAACTAAGTCCTTCGACTAACCCCGCCTTCCTTATAAAGCTAGCATACTGTCAATACTCGTACAATAACAAAAGAGATGAGAGAGTAGCACATCCTCTCACACATCACGGTTGGACCACATGGAGGAGACCGCATTACAGGATCCCCAATACGGGTCGGACACAGGCAAAACTAGCCACTACAAGCTTTTTTTATGTGTTGATGAAGAAGTGTGAATACAACCTGCAACACTCTGACTAAGTTTTGTCCTGGATGTAACGCAATCGCAGCTCTTCTGTGGAAAGTTCACCAAATCGCTGCAGGACACAGGCACATATACTTTGTATTGCCATAATACTCCCATCTGTTTCAAGGTTATGATGGCCATTTCCGTAGACGATATCGCAAGCACGTCCTAATTTCTGATCAATTGCAACTAGTAAGGGGTAGTCCTTTTAATATTTTGAAATTTTAGAGCGGAATGAGGGGGGCTTGTTTCCTACCTTTGCATTATTGGAAACGGGCACACCGGGATGGCCTGTACTGGAGTTTGGTTGGCTAATTGGCGTAAAGCTAAAGATACTTGTAGTGGCTGGAGCTTGCAGGGGTGCTGGGTCCTTGGGGAAAGGGTTGGGAAAAATCGACTTTGCTGACGCTGCTACTGTTGTAGTTGCTGGCGACTGAGCGGATTTGGTGGTCGTGAAGGTATTTTTGGTGGTCGTGAAGGTATTAACGCCAAGGTTCCCGAATAACCCTGCTTTCGTGCCGCTCTCAGAGGGTACAGATTTAGTTGAACTGGCCTTGTTGTACGTATTGTTCACGTTTGGTGAAGGTGAAAGCCATGTCTTGGAAGAAGGGACAGATTTTGTAGCAGAAGGGGTCGATGGAAGCACTACGTGAAAGTGTACGGTGAGTCAAGAATAAATGCCGGATTTGCAAGACACGTTGAGGGGAATGTGGAATGCCAGAACACACCTGTCACGGTTCGAGGCTTGTACACTCGGCATCTAGAGAGCCCTTGCTCGAGAATCCGGGCCTCGGCCTGTAGCTGGGCCCGATCGGCCATGGCTTCGTCTGACTCCGCGGCCAGCTCGTGCACTCTACCATCGCTCATCTTAAAGACGATGCCGGCCGTCAGGACTTCTGGAATGTCAGACACGAGACAGTTTTCCACGACAAGATTGATCACATTCTCGGTAAACGTTCTGTGGGACATCTGTCCGACAGAGACTGTGAGTACGCGCATAGTGTTTCGAGGAGAGGAGAAAAGAAGCCCGAGCTCACATCATAGTAGGTTGTCATCATATCGACAACATTGTCGGCACCAAATTTACTGTCCGGCAGAATCGCGGCAGTGCGAATGGAAAGCGAGAGCTGAGCCGGTGTGAGCCGGTCTCCCGAGTCCTTAGTTTTCGAAAAGACCTCGGGATGTTCAGTTTCCAGGACGGAGACCACCCTTTTCCCAAGGCGGAGCATTGTGGCTGCGTTCAGGGACGTACGGAACTCAGTCTCCATCGGCAGTCCGTTGCCCTGAACGTAGGGACGCAAAATCTCGTCCAGCTTCGCCTCGAGGATCTCCCTCTTTCTGTCAAAGAACGGGTCCGAGTACCTATTCAAAAAGGCCGCCTGGGTGTGCTTGTCATCTCCTATAACGTGCGCAAAGACGTCTTCGACAAATGATTGGGCAAACTTGAGGACGAGGTCGAGATGGAAGCGCGCAATCTCCCTCCAGGGTTTGGCCTGCTGTCGGAAGAGACTGATGGCGAGATCGCTGCTGGGGACGCCTGGGAGCTCCTGGCCCTGGTTGTCGGCAGCAAACACCTCAATCTCGCGGTTAAACTGTTCTTGAGAGACGGCGGTAGGATGCGGGAAGTGGCTGTACTGTGCCGTGAGGGCTTGCAGGTACGGGGGTATAGCCGTTTTGTCTGCAGCGTCCGTGCCCCAAAATATAAACTCACCGGAAACAATCTTCCTGGCAGCACCCTTCTCCTTAAGGACGCTATAAAAGACGCTGTTCAGCTTCCGCAGGTTCGCGCGCAGCTTGCGCGGCCCGCCCGCATCGTCCTCTTGTCCGTCAAAAAAGGCGTCGGCATAACGTCCGTTGACACCGTCGCTGGCCAGGCGGTGGAATTCCTTGGCAACGTCGTGCAGGTACAGCCGCAGCTCGTCTAGATCGACTCTCGGCCTCCCCAGACATCGCAGCGCTTCCTTTCGCTGGTGCAGCTTCTCCTCGATCTTCTGGATCAGCTCGGGCAGGCTGGCCTTGATGTGCTCGAGAAGAACCTTGCTAAGCGTCTTGCGCAGGCTCTGGGCTCCTCGATGTGCCTGCTGGACAGAGCTCCAGTCCCCTGTCCGGAAGAACTGCTGCTCCATGGCATCTCTCTTATCAAACGAAACGTCTGGCTGGTCCTGTTTCTGCTTCTCGGACAGGTTACGCAGGACGAACCAGCCGAGACCGAGCTTGTTTGTCAGATCGCGTCCCTTGATGACGTCCACAAACTGCTGCGTGACCCCCTCTTCGCTCAGCAAGTCCGGCTTGGTGATCACACCCACGGTGCGCTTTCTCTCCGGGTCGTGCATCTTTGCCATCATCATGACGTCCTGGTTTGCGAGCTGGTTGGTTGCCATTACAACGGCCAGAATGATGCTTCGTTTCTGGGCCATGTACTCGTTTGTGAGCTGTTTGACAGTCTCTATGTCCTCCGCAGTCTGTTCGGCTGTCACATTGCGAAAGATTCCGGGGAGATCGACGAGCGTGAGTGGGTACACGTCAGGCCGTGAGATCTCGATACGCAGGACATCTTTCGAGAACCGCTTCTTCCCTTGGCCCCCATACGCGTGCGCACCGATGACGCCCATGTGCGCCTTGGCCTCATCGATGATGCGCGGCAGCGAGGCCACATCGTAGTTGGTCCGCGTAAACGGCTCACCGTGACTTCTGCCATCCTTTTTGCCGTTGTTTTCGGCCACGCGGATGCTGACTGTCACTCTGGTCTCATCTGCTCGACGCAGAACCAGCTCTGTCGCAAAGCGAGTGCATAGCTTTGCGTCGACGGGAAACCGGACGCGAGATATGGCCTCGAGAACAGAGCTCTTGCCTGTCGATTGGTCACCCACCACGATGATTTGAGGAAGCGACTCGATTTTGTCAATTTCCAGCTCACGCAGACTGTCGATGGTGTCGAGTAAGGCTCTAGCCTCTTCGCCGTTTAGTCCTTTTAGATATTCAAGCGGCTTTGCGTTAGAGAGCTGCTGCTGTGTCGTCATTGTGGCCTTTTTACGCAGTCAAAACTCAATATTGAGAGGAAGACAGAGACAATGATGGCTTAACTTGTATATGAAATGCTCATAAAAAGACCGAGATGTGATAATTATAAAAAAGAGATATTGACGCAGATTGCAAGAGCTCGTCCCATATCTATACTGAGAGGCATTTGTCCCGAAACTGGAGAAAATAGTTCTGGCGCCTCCCTCCTTGCCTGAGAAAGATGTACCGGCAGCATATTACGACCAAAACGTTAACTAGGGGCTACAGTTTAATAAGGTGTACTCCGTAACGTACGGGATATGTAGGGCTGTTTAAAATACCCGCTTCCTGTAGGCGCTTAGACGACTGGCTACTGCAGGGGTGATGACAGTTTTTATCTACAGCACAACACGGCGCGTATGTCGTAGAGTTGATGATAGCCTCTCAATGGACAAATTCTACGCATATCTGCAGGTACCCCTGTACAGTATGCGATATAGAACGCAGGACGCCCTTGGGTCCGGATCCTATTTATGACTGCTATCAATCCCTAACAGCGCATTCTGCACGTTGTGCTCCACTCCACGAAGCGCTGACCCGCACGACAAAAACGGCATCATCCCAACCCCGTTCTATTTCCTGTCGCTCATGTCATCTCACACACTTGATTGGCCACGGGGATGTATCGATTCAAGTCTCTCTAAAAACCGTGATAAGCAAGACCATCATGTGTACTCCGTAGAAGCGGCAATTCTGCGCCCTGTTTTCAAAGAAAAAAAAGGATGTCTGATGAATCGGGTGTCATGCAATGTTCATGAAAACTCGCAGGGTGCGCACCACGAAGAAATAAGAGTGAATATGCTGTCATATGCAAACATACTGTAAATTCTGACAGCGTGCACATGGTCTTATTAGAGCTAGGACTTGTCCAAATTCCTTACAATTACCCCAGCTTCTAGAATATTTTCTGTTGACTTTTACTTTCTCTAAATCTCTCTTTCTTCTCCAACCTAGGCATGACTACGCGGGAGCTGGCTTGTATGAGAAGTATCCCCTTATCACTTTCTTTGCTTCTTCTCTTCCTTAAGGCTGGATGTTGGGCTTGTGTTTGATTATTTCTTAGAGTGTGTTAATATAACGTAATATACGGAGTATGTACTGCCATTTAAGAAAGGAGCCACAAAGAAGTGACATCGTTCTTACAGGTAGTGTTAAGAGGAAAAATAACAATGTAAAGATCCGGCTTTTCGACAAAGAGATACAATTAAGAAGAAAAGTAACAAAATAATATAACAACACATACACCATGCTATTGCAAGACTAATCAAACATGATTAGTGCAGGCGGCCAAACTCTGCTTTGTTAAAAACGGACTCTACAATCCTTCTTAATAGTACTATATACTATATACAGAAAAAGAACAAGAACTCGCTCAACCTTAATAATATTTCTTCCCTAAAGTTTATTGCTTTAAGCACAATGTCTCGTAATAAAACTCAAACTCTCCCTCGAAATGTTTTTACCACGCTAGCTACTGTTAGTGTTTTAGTGCTCCTACCACCATATCACTAACAGTCAGATTTCATGGTAGAAACCCCTCACTTTTAGGCCGCTAAGTGCTTACTTACCCATAGGAGTAAGAATGCAGACCTGAACGGTTACAACCACCCTTTCTCTTCGAATTTACAGCTAGATAGTTCGACAGGGCACCTTCTACGTGGGAGGCAGGAGGGGTAGTCTATAGAATATCGCACGCTGTACGTCGCATGCCCCTCAGAAGGCGCGAGGGACGTTTCACACAATCTCCTTCTGTCCTGCTTTGACGTTAAAACGTATAAACGAATATAAATCGTGATGAGACCCCCACCCATGCATACGGTGAGAAACAGAAGGGCACAAGTATCAAAGTGGGCCATGCGCAGCGATATACACAGCCACCGCGTTAGCGGCCTGCCTAACGGTTGTGCCCAACGCCAGTGGATGACTTTATGCCTGATTGCGCACCTAAGTCTGTACGGACTCATGTAGCAAGCAGTACCGCGGAAACTCTCGTGCTAAGATGTGTGGAAGGAATTGTAACATGGCCAGTGGCTGTACACAAAAAGAGGACCCTTTGACTTACGGAGGAGGCTCAAGATTATGACATATATAAGGCGGCACTGTCTCACCTGCATTGGAGCACTCCCCATACACGCCGCAACTACTTTTCAACAAGCACCCCTCAACAGGCTTCGTTATTGACAGCTGCGATGGCGCCCATTGTAGTGGATCTTGTTCGTCGCTCATTCAATCCGGCTCGGCCATCCATCGAGTTCCAGGTCCAATGGACAATCCCTAGTGATATATTTTCCGTGCTTCTCATTTTTGGTGGCGATGTTGTCGCTCGTGCCCTTGCACAACTTGTTGGCTCCAGGATAGTCCCAGTTGCATTCTCTTTCGGTACTTTACCTTTACCGCTGGCTGCTTGAGATATTATCCCCTCTAATGGCTCTCTAGGATGGGTTGCTTATGCCGTGTCCGCACTCGTGGCTGCGGCTGGTGAAAACAAGCTTATGCCACTCCCTGATTCCTCCTGCCTTGTCATCAATGCTAAATCCGGATATTCGCGTTTTAATACCTCTTGGATTATTGGCCGCATCGTGAGGGATTACGATGCCTGGAAGGATGAGAAGGTATCAGAGCATCTCAAGAAAATGAAAGAGCTCAAATACGAGCTCCTCAGAGAAAAAGCGATCAGAAATAAACCTGAATCGAGCAACAGTGTTAAGAAAGCTGGTCTCTGTATCTCAGTATACGAGGCCGAGGAAGCAAAGGTCGGAACGTCAGGGCACGATTTCGTCTACTGGCCTGGCATTTGCACATCCATCATACAATTGGTGATCGCAGCAATTCCCTATGGATTATTCGGTGATTGGGGTATCTTCCTTATCACCGTTGTGGGAATCATACTGTCCTTTGTGACGGGAAGCCTTCCGCAGTGGAGGGAGGAAAAGTGGGCGTGCCGTGGTAAAAGCGACAAAGATATGATCTTGACAAGAGGCAATGGCAGTCAGCATGCCATTCTCATCCTTGGGAAAGGGAAAGGGTTTGATCTGGAAACTCTTGCCACAGGCCGGGACAGGACCAGTTTTTCTAACCCAAAGGCAACCCGAATTTCCTTGGTTATTCTTGCTGCTTTATGGGTTTTACTCCTTATCACGGCTGCTGGCATCAAAGAGAATACTTGGTTTCTGCTGGCCATCGGTGGCCTTGGACTTGCCGAGAATGCCTTTGTTGCGGGAACGATGCGCACTCCTTCTGCATATGGCATGTCGCTCTCTTTTGTGGAGGTTATTGGCAAGCCAAAGGTCATGGACAGCCTATTCGAGGTCGAGAAGAAGTATCCGCACGCAGGCTTGAGCATGGTCGGCATATTCTTTCCGGGAGGAAAATTAAGGCAAGACGAGAAAGAAAAGTGGGACGCCTTGAAAAAGAACGCAGAGGAGAGGGAGAAGGACGCAAAGGAGAGCTACAAAACCCGCACTGAACAGAATGGCAGCTAAGTATATCGTACGGGGTACGGAATAGTATGAAATAAATCGTACGGAGAAGTAAATATATGGGGCCAATGACAACACCGCTTTTTCTTGCTATGTAAGATATGTACGTACTCAAATAGGAGATTGTGAATTGCTAAATTTCTCGTCTTGATTACGGACACTTTCAGTCTCACCAGGATCTATATGGATTATGACGTATACAATAGAATTGGACTGCTTTATTTCTTCGTGTCTATGGACGAGGACTCTTCCAGAAAGAAATTTGTGTGCCTACGGTGCGAACAAGCATCTATAAAGTTACATGATCAACATAGCTCATGAATCGAGCTTTATCCTTATAGGCTACCCCCGAGAAATGCCAGAATTCCGTCCAGCCCCAAATCCCTAGTCGCAATGACACGATCCAATTGAGATTCAATGCTCGTAGCTTCCGTCTTGGAAGACTCAACCAAATCCTTTGCCCGAGTCGTCTCGCCTTTTATGGCTGCAGTCACTGCTTGTTCCGAGAACAACGTCACCCTGGCCACTCCGTTTGCCACTTCAAGCTCCGCTCCTCGCAAGACGGTCTTGATCCGTTCGCTAAGAAGCTTGGTCGCCTCCATGGCCGTTTTGGCATTGCTCTCAACGGCCTCCCGCGCTGCTGTATCCTGCTCTATGGCTTTTTTGGAGATATGCACAGCTCCTTGGGCGACATGAAGCTGTTCCTGAACCGCACAAGCCTCGCGCATTGTCCTATCTGCGAATTCTTTCAGCCTCTCGGCAAGCTCTTCTTGATAACTATCCTGGCCATCATCAGATCCATCGGGATTGGCATCTGGCTTGTCCGCATCACTGGCAACACGAGCGGCTTCAACCAGTTCGTCGGCCTTCTTGATAGTGTCTTGAGTGAGTTGCGTGACATTCCCCATAGCCGCCCAGGCATTTGCGGCACAGTCAAAGAAATCGGTGATTCGGACGGCCTTGACCATCACGGCATCCCGTTTTGTTGTGGCTGCCACATCGAGCATCCGCTCCTCGTGCCGGCGAGCCTCTGCAGCGTAATCGCGAGTGGTGGCAGCAGCAAGCTTTGCGCGCGACACCGCAATGGCGGCTTGACTGGATACGTCACGTAGGTTCTCGCAATATGCACGGTAAACATAGGTCCATGCAGCAAGAGACAAGGCGACGCTGAGCCCGATGCCAAGAAATGACAGAGACACGGGGGATACCGCGGTAACGAGCACAATGCATATTTAGAAATCAAAGAGACTCCGGTAGATTCGAAAGTGTTCGTGGTAACCGAAGCGGACCGGCCCCGAAAACCGTGGTAGTGAAACGAAATGACCGATAACGGCAGAAATCACGGCAACGAACGGGAGAGCCAGCCACGGCTCTAAAAGTATCATGGATCCATGAAGATGTGGCATGTACCATGCCAGAAAAATAAACGCGCCAGCTGTAACCTTGTCAACAAAGAAAGGGGCCTGCTTCACTCCATAGAAGGATTTTCAACTCACTCGTGATGAAAATATCGACATGGTTGTACGTAGTGCGCCAGCCCAGCGAGACTTTAGCAAAAATTGAGACCGGTGCCGGGACTTTGCTATTCTGACAATGCGGGACCCTTAAGCACCCACCCAGATATGCTAGCACCACGAGGAGACATATTGTCGGTGTTTGTAATGGACTCAACTGCGTCCAGTCTTCGAAAATTCGAAAAGGACCGAGCGTTTTATTGGCAAGTATAAAGACCAAGATTACTTGTCTGTCAGCGGTGCGAAGGCCACCATAGGAAAGGATGCCGTATTTGTCTCACGTTTAACATATAATGCGAGGTGCTGGAACTGTTCGTCAACAGCTCTCACCAGGTCGCTCACTGGTAGTGTCTGGTCAGCCATTGTCAGCTTGTGTGCTCCGTAGGAGTGCTCAGTCTGGTGTTGGAAGTTTGGTATGACTGGGCAAAGGCTTGAAAGTCCGCTGCTACTTTCCGTGCAGCATTTTATGGCCAAGGGCTGATGGAATCTCGATGATGGAACTCTCCGAATGTCCGACTCCGAAAATTCTTTACCCTTGCTCGATTGACCATCCACAAGCCTTAGTATTAGCTTCTGTCGATGAAAAGCGTTTCTGACGATTCGCACGACATAGCCACAGTCCGGACCCGGTAATTTGCTGGTGCCACGTCGTAGGGCATCTGACGTGTCTTGGCGTATACATATCTGTGGCATTTGTTGGGACGGTAGGCGAATTGTATCAACAAGTTCGGTTGAAATGCCTGTGTTCGGCTGTCTTGGCCAAGCTGACTGACACAAGGCTTCTCCTCATTATGACACTAGTACACCTAATGCGCATACAGGTATTGAACTACGACGTATGGGACTCCTCCGAACGTCTGTGTATCGTTGCGGCTGTCTGCTTCCGAACCACTTCGTATACTGAAGTGCATGAAACTCTCTACTAAACAGGTGGATAAGGACATCCTACGCCATGTTACAGTACATATGAGGAGAAAAGGCAAGCAGATCATGAGAGGCAGACAAAACTAGTGCATGCACTGTGGTAGTGAAATCTCTACACCGCGACCATTGTTCGTGTCTTGCCCCGTTTTCGCAATCACACAACTGTATTTCTTATTAGCTTTTTTTGTATCCAGTGTCCCCCGCGTGCGCGCCCTACTTTTGTTGAAATGGGTCAAAGTAAGTCTTTCCTACTCGTGCTTTACCAGGACCTCATAATAAAAAATTCCTATAGGGGCTAGCACGGAGATTGGCGCAGAGACTTGCATACAGACTAGTATTCTCCGTACAGAGAGACTAGCGTAGAGACTGGCATACAGAAAGACTGGCAAGTTCTCGTACAAGTCTCCTGCCTCATGAATTTTTTTAGTTATGTGATCGTGGAAAAACGAGCATAGGATGTAAAGGACGTTAGCAACCCATAGGTCACGTGCAACGGCATATGTCTTATATTTTCGTTACACAGCACAAGGTTGTAAGGTACAACCTGCCAACTCTAGCCTAGCTCGTTCAACAAATGGTGACGTGTTATTGCAGGTCTGTAATAATCGTCATTTGTTAGACTAAAGGCGCGCTAAGTGCACTCCGATGGATTCCAACGGTCAGGTGACCTCGGCCCGAAATCTGGCCCCAGTCAACCTCTTTACCTTTACAAATTATCACCACTAGATCTTTGAAAAGTACAGTTCTTACACAGGTACTACGCGAAGGCATCACCTTCGCATTTCATACTAGTGGTCCATACATATGTAGAAGACAACATGAGTATCGATCTTATAAACTACCCCACTTGACAGAGTGATTTGAGGTTGTGTTGTAAGCAGTCCGTACCTCGTACAAAGTGAAGGATGCGAAGCAGTGGAAGAGGCGGGGCTCTTGCGGCAAATGCGGATCGAGCTGATAGACTGGCCTGATCCAACACATTCATTACCGTACGGTTGCTCTTCATATTGCTATTTAAGTAAGGAGAGCCGAACAACCCCGGGGCACTTCAGATATCAGATTACGCAATCTGGTCGTCCAGCTACTATCTCCACAGACTTTTACCAATTATTTTTGTTCAAGATAACCATCCATCACCATGAGTCCATCGTTTCTCTTTTCCCTTAAAAAGTCTGAGGCGAAGTTTCTTAATGGAACGCCGAGGACGGTCAACTACACGAACCTGCAGAAGGAGCAGGGGACTAAAGCTCGAACTCCGGGAGCTTTTCGCGTCGTCAGCGTCAACGCATTGTTACAGGAAGACCCCGAGATCAAAGTTCTCGAATACAAAAAATCACTTTTGCCAATCCAAACTATGAAAAGACTCTGGAATCCATGAGGAAGCCTGATTCCAAAAACAAGTACATCGCCATCTCACACGTCTGGAAATTTGGACATGCTGTTGAAACCGTCTGGAACGATATGGAAGAGAAGGAGCAACTTGCAATTGACATCGACGGCCCGGACGAAAATAGCCTCGATTCCAAGATGATCAGTTGGTCCGGCTTAGTTCAGATGGCTCATGCGGCGGCTAATATGCCCGGCAAGAAACGAGCCAGGTACATCTGGCTAGACCTGCTGTGTCTTGACCAAGTCTCCCAGAAAGAGGACAAAGAAAAGGAATACCAAATCTGCATCATGGGCCACATTTACACATACGCGTATGCTGTCGTCACAATGATAGGTGGTGTCGCAGCTGTGCAGCATGTCAATGAGCCAACCGGCTGGATGGATAGGGCATGGACGTTGCAGGAATCAATCCTGAATCAGACAACCTATGTCTACATCAAGTGGCCTTCGGATAAGCTGACAGTCAAAGCCCTTGATAGCCAGGATAAACGGCGGAAATTTCAATTTCATCATGTGAAGACTGCACGAGGAGAGTTAGGGTACAGCCTGTGTCTCATCTTGTTAAAAGATCTACTCAATCTTGCCGATTCCAAAAAAGTTTCCGGTATTCCCGAAATAAAGGTTCTGGACGGAGAGGAAAGATGGGCCGGCGACGTTCCTCGGAGGGCTTTACGGGCTAGCCTTTCCAAAACCAAAAAAAATCAAATTTATCGGCGTGTGGAGGAGCATGTACATGCGGACATCGTCTAAGCCTGCGGACGTTGTGTATAGCGTCATGGCCATCTTTAAAGTCAAAATCGACCCCTATCGCAAAAACCGAGCTCCACAATTTCTTTTTGAGGACCTGGCTCGGAAGACGGCGGCCGACAGAAACATTGGACCGGTTTGGTTGACTCTCGGTGGCATCTATGGCAGCGAGATCTGGCAGCAGCCAGATTCGGGCCTCATACCCAGATTCCCTCATGGGCAGAAGGCCGGCCAGAAGTCGGACAATGAGATGCCGAAGGTGGTGCACAAAGGCCGGGTCCAATGGGCGGGACACTGGATGGACAACTCGCCATGGTACGTTAAGGAGTACAAAATGCAATTTCTGACGCACTCGCAACCACACCTAATCCAAGCCACGATGCTTCGGCTACGTGGCGTCTCTAAGCCCAGAAATTCTGATTTACGCAAGCGCGGCAACAAGACAGTGACGAGAAATGTTGGCAATATCAACATTGGCGGCATAAGGGGAGAATGCACTTACCTAGGAAGGCTGGATAAATACAACAACACTACCCAAGCCATCTATGTCGGTGATATCGGAAAAATGCCTGACTACGGTGAGGAAACGATAGACTTTAGGGGCCAACAGTACCTGCTATTTGTGCGCTACGACTGTAAGCAACATTCCTGGACAATACTTGCAGACGGCGCATTCAAGGCGACATCCCGCAAGTGGAAAACTTCGCCAGGTGACAGGTACATTTTCACGATGGGCCGCGGTCCCCAGGCGTTCTATCGGTGGCCGGTCAAAGATCTTGTCGACCCGAATAATTTAGATTTCAAAAGAAAATCTTTCGGATGCAGCTACGGTCTCCGGTGTCTAGGAGATTTCGGGTTGGCTAGTGAAAAGGGTCAGTCAGGTCTTGAGAAGTCATTCATCAAGTAAAGAATATGCTGACTCGGAATATTCAAAGGGGGCCCGCCCGCCACCAGATAATTCGGTACCAGTGTGGAGAACCGCTACAGTGCACTACAATATCCAGGACATGTACAAGAGGACAAGAATGTTTTCAAACACGCTTGAAAATGGCAAGAACATGACCGTCGTTTCTTACGGGTGCACACGCTCGCCCACTTCTGCCAACAACACAATGTCTACCGTGGAGGAAGGCTGCATCAAGGTGCCGTTCAGTTATGACGGCTGGTCCAAGACGGTTAGCTCGAGGTTTTCCATCCATGGCGTCTGGGGACTTCTTATTCCTCACTCAAAGACAAAGATCGGCACACCTCAGTACGAGTATCGCATTTGGTTTGGCATATCGGGCATGTACGTGCAAATTCGGAATAACCCCTCGACACCGTCCAAGTACTGGACAATGCATGCTGTGCCATATCACCATCACGAATGGAAATGTCCTAAAAAGGCCGTGAAATAGACCGAGAATGCAGATAGTTGTATTTAATCGACACGCTAGAACTATACTTTATGCGGGTCGGAAAGCCTGTCCGTTCGTATTGGCCTTGAAAGCCATAGGAACAGAACGTTGTTTATTATGCAGAGTACTTCATATTGTGAAGCTCTAGAATGGCGCGCACTGTGATCGTTCTGACTAATGCCAGCAACGCGGCCTCTCATTGGTCAGACAGATACAAGTGGGGACTAGCCCCAGTGAAATCTCTGCACCAGTGAAGGCGCGCCATGTACCCTCTCCTAGCTAGTTACAACACGCAGATCATCAGCCACATCGTGAAGACCCCATACAGTGCACCGCTACCCCTGCCATAAGCATCAGTTGTGACACATATCTTACTTCGTAAACACAGAATACTCCGTACTCCAAAGTGGCCCAAGCTTTACGGTCCGTTCCAGGTCAGCTGACCGACCAATGGAATCCAGCTTTTTTACTGTTTCGCAACACGTCGACACAATCGAGGAGCTCTGCATTCGAACGCGACATTTGGCAGACCGGCTGGCCGACTCTGCTTTTTCCTTTCCTCGCTTCTCTCGCGCGTTTGCTTCTCCCGTCTGTCTTGTCGTTTCACCGTCCTTTTCTTGCTCGTTTTCGTCCTCTTCCGCCCCCCCCCCCCCCAAACACCCACCATGGCTTCCAATCCACCTCCAATCGACCCCAAGTCTTCGCTGACGGACGAAAACTTTGCAGCCGAGCTGCGCTCGCTCGCCGCCCAGGCCCGAGCCGACGCCTCCTGGGCCACCTGGGCACGGTCGGCCGTCAAGCAGGCCGGATTCTACGGTCGCGCCGTCTTGTTGCTGGTGCTCGCTGCTGTCTCGGCCAACGCCTCACTGGCGGCTCTCTCGCCCGTCTACGGCGCCATCCCGGCGGCTGCCAACCACACGGCTGTCGTGGCGGCCGGCTGCTTCGTCGGCTGGTCCTCGAACCTGCACTTGCGCCGCCTGCTTCCTCACGTCGCTCGACGTCACAGAAACACGCTTCTCCTCCGCTGGAACGCCCCCGTGCTCGCCGTCGGCCTACCGCTGCTGGCCGCCTACCTGCCGGTGGCCCAGTACTTGCTCGCCGGCGTCTCTACCGTGTTGACGGCCCGCTGGGGCCCCGCCATCACCGAGGCCCTCACGCTTTTCCCCCTCGTCGCCGGCTCGGCCGCCTGTGTGGCCACCGAGCTCGAGGCTGCTACCGGTATCGAGGACGTTCTCCCGCGTCTACCCAGCTGGTTGACCGATGCCTTGCCCGGCCTCGGCTCCTGGGTCGTCTTCAAGGCCGCCGAGCGCTGGACGGCCGATCCGGTCTTCTTCACCACCCATCTCGCTTCCGAGACTGCGGCTGCTCTCGACACTCGCGTCCTTCGCCAGCTCGCCATCATCGTCGCATATGCCGTTGCTGCTCCGTCCCGCCTGCTCTGGTACGCCGTGCCGGCACTGCTGCATGCTGCCGTTCTCAACGTGCACGTCGCCGAACCGACGGCTTGGACACTTCCGTCAGCCAATGTTGCACTGCAGACCGCGGCTGTCCGTCTTCGCGGCGCCGATACTTGGGTCCTGCTCGATCGCCGCGAATCCGTCACCGGCTACCTCGCCGTGCTCGAGAACCTCGACCAGGGCTTCCGTGTCCTTCGCTGCGATCACAGCCTCCTCGGCGGCGAGTGGACTCGCTTCCCGGCCAACCCTGTCGCCGAGCCCATCTACGGCGTCTTTGTCATGCTCGAGGCCGTCCGCCTCGTCGACGTATCCGCTCCCGTGCCTGATGCAGACGCTCGTGCTCTCGTCATTGGCCTCGGCATCGGCACCGCTCCGGCTGCTCTGGTTGCCCACGGCATCGACACCACCGTCGTCGAGATCGACCCTGGTGTCCACGACTTGGCTTCCCGCTACTTCCACATGCCCGCCAACCACACCGCTGTCGTCGAAGACGCTGTGACGTATGCTGATCGTGCGGCTCATGCTGTTCCTGCTGGCCCGCGCTACGACTACATCGTGCACGACGTCTTCACCGGTGGCGCTGAGCCCATCTCGCTCTTCACCCTCGAATTTCTGCAGGATCTGCATGCGCTGCTCAAGCCGACTGGCGTCATAGCTATTGTATGTCTCAGAATCATGTCTCTCCCCTATGTAACTGTCTAACACTCTCAGAACTACGCTGGCGACTTCTCCTTGACCCCCATCAAGGCTGTCGTCCACACCATCCGCGCCGTCTTTCCGTCTTGCCGCGTCTTCCGGGAGCACCCGAGCGAGGCGTCAGAAGACGACAGCACCGACTTTGCCAACGTCGTCATCTTCTGCACCCGCAGCGCCGCCCCCATCTCGTTCCGCCGTCCTACTACGGCCGATCTACTTAACAGCGCGACTCGCCGCCAGTTCTTGGTGCCGACTCACGAAGTTACCGATGCTGACTTCCGCTCGCCCGTCGAGCCGCGTCTCGTCCGCCGCAACGACACCGAGCAGCTGTCCAAGTGGCACTACGAGAGCGCCCTGGGTCATTGGCAGGTCATGCGACGCGTGCTGCCAGCTCACGTGTGGGAGCTTTGGTAGGCGAGACTGGTCACGTGTACGATAGGGACATGGACATAGACATAGTAGGGTACATATAAGCTGTCTGTCTATTGTTGGCCTTGATGTGACTCCACAATGTCTCGTCTACTCCTTCTCCTTGCCCGGCTCCTTCAAAGCTTCGAGGGCGAGCTCGGCAGCATCAGTGTTGAATTCGTCGCGGAAGGCGGTCACGTGATCCGGCACCTGAGCGACGCGGTTGTAGGGACCGGCGACAGGGGCGCCGATGGTCTGGTAGACGGGCAGGACGCCGGTCCAGACGCGATCAAGCACGGCTTCGTCGCCGAGGTCGCAGCGGTCGTCGTGCGGGCCCCCGGTGCGGATCTTGGCGCTGCCGCCGGCGATGCGCACACGCAGAACCGACGTGCTCTGCATCTCGGCCGCATTGGGCGGCACGCGCGATCCATCCCAGCGACCGGTCACGATGCCGTCTGTGATCAGCCGCATGGCGTACAGCTTCTCGGATGCGTCTGTGACGACGGTGGCGTGGCCGAAGAGCACGGCCGACCGGTAGTTATAGCTGTGCGCGTTGGGCGTGAGGGCCAGCACGAGGCCGTCGACCTGGCTGGCAGCGACAGCAATGGGGAGGCCGGGAGAGGACCCAGAGGACTCGGCGCCTCGCGATATGTTCATGAGCCGCGACGACACGTACCCGTGCAGATACAGATCCAGCACGTCGGCCACGTCGGCGCTGGGCCGTTCAAACGAGCCCATCTGTCCGATCATCGGCAGGATGGCCGGGAAGGGTGCGTCTGGCGCCTGGAAAGAGACATGCACCAGCTGCGAGCCGTTGACGATGCCGTGGATTGTCTTGAGCGCATACGTGGCTGGTACGGCGAAACGACTTGTTAGCAGCGTTGTGCGAGGCTGATGACTATCATTAGCCTTACCTCGTGAGCTTTTCCGGTGCACCGTGCTGTACGGCTCCTTGGGATACTCGAGCTCAAAGCGAGGCATGATGGGTCTCGTCTAGCTACTGTGACTGTCGCGCTCGGCTTATAGCGAACGTCGACTCTCGATGGCTTATCGTATCTTATAGGCACACCAAAGGCTGTTGCTAATGTACGGTGACTCATTGGCGCAGTTCTAGACACTACCCTGGAAGGTGTGGCCCTTCTTCTCCGCACCGACACGACGGCTACCGATAGCATTCTCCGTGGCATCGTCGATCGTTTTGTCCTATTTGGAACATGGAGACTAAAAATGCCTGCACTACGCTGTATGCGGAATGTAGATGCGGTGTGGCTGTTGCTGCTTACGGTCCTATCACAAACAGTCTAGATCTGCTTCTGTCGGTGTTGGACAGATGCAATGTCTGCTTGCATGTGTCTAATTTAGTGTTTGATGTGGCGGAACTGAGCGGAATAGATTCGGTTCCGTCGTTCCGAACCTCGTTTTAATTGATCCAAGATAAGATACAATTTGATGGATGTTGACGTCATCTCGACTTGCCCACGAGCAGCTGGCTGGCGCCAAGATATCGGCCAAGCTCGCCATGATCTCCCGGCTGGACGGCCAGGTTGACCATGACGTCCCGCTCGTTAAGCTTGGCATCGACTCGCAGGTCGCCGTCCAGGTGCTCGGCTGTTTCTTCGAGGAGCTCTAGCCAGACCTTTTCGTACTCGAGGTCTTCGGCAGCGGCAAGCCAGACGATACCAACGCCGACGCCGACGCCGACGCTATTGTCTGGACCGGAACTTATTAACACCAAGCAAGGCAACTTTAGTTAGCACCATGCTAACTGTGGTAGCAGCCCGGGAGCGCTGGCATCACTCGTGCAATGTAAAATGCGTGATAGCAGTAGTATAGTGGTTTTATCTTTAACTAGGTTGCAATGAGTTACAAGACACTGTCTTAAGCTGCATGTGGACCGTGTAGGAGCCGTGAAATCTCTTAGTTCGATCTTTACGAATCCTGTGGGCCTGCAATCTGTTGCTGCTGTTATTGTTGCTTATTCTGCACTATCTATTTCTATATGCATAAATTAGATACGGGAGACATTTCCTGACTATACCGGCCTGAGGTGAGCTAGAATAGAACCCTCTGGGGAAAAAACTATCTTAGCCGTGGTAAAACCTGCTCTTTGTACCGTGCCTTGGAACTGTCCGTACCTTCACCTTAGATATATATAATTAGTTCCATGATTAACACTGAGATATAAAGCTTGACCATACCTTTAGTCAGATTCCTCCTTGAATACAGATAGAAGGGTAACGAGCTCCTGGCCGTCGGTGGTTCCCTTAAAGCCAAGCAAAACTCCATTCCCCACCTTCTGGGGGTACTTGTCGCCGCCTGAGCCCCCATGTGCCCATGTGGTCCTGGCTGTCTGAATAGATATTTTGTCTACACGCCCTCCAGCCCAAAGGTCCAGGTTCGTTACAGTCTCATCATCACGGAATTCAAATTCGTATTTCTCGAAACCGGTTCTGTTCTCGTTGCCGCCAACACTTGTCATACCGTCTTTCCACTCTACCTGGATAGCCTTTAGCAGTCCCGTAGGTGTCCAGCTGCTGGGACCAACCCAAACAGTGACTTTCTTAGCGCCATTTTTGCCGTTGGTGAGAGTGAAGTCCGTTGTGGCACGGGTATTACCACCTCTAGGAGGATTGTAGATAACCCCTACTGCACCCTCAGGCAATCCGTTATCGTGCTTCGCGATGATTGGTGTCATGTTTGTAACTATTTGTAATTTTAGAGGGTTAAATGATATGAAGCTAGTCTTGCGATGACTTGAGATCTTTAAGGAGGCTTGATATTCAAAGTAAATATTCCTTTAGATTCTTCTTTTCCTCTTTTCTCTAGAGAAAGCCTCGCTCTTTATGCTCTTTTTTTTCTTGCTGCTTTCTGCATGCCTACGGAGTACGTAAGACCCGTATTCATAGTTAACTCCGCCAAGAAGCAGCGATGCTCCGCTGTGTGTCTTCAGCTTGCTTCTACGCGCAGCGGCACGCCACTTTGTGTCTTCAGCTTACTTTTACATGCAGGCTTTCCTCTATTTAGGTTCCCGGACTGAACTTGTGACACATTTGTCACAATGATCGACACTGCACGAAGGCCAAATCATCATGGCTTTATTTCTGCACTCCTACCGAAGACCCAATTTCAGCGTTTACTTTTCCGAAATGCAGCGAGGCTGCGCGTTGTGTGCTCAGCTTACTTTTACGTGCCGCGGCATGCCTCTTTGTGTGTTCGACTTACTTTTGCATGCAAGCTTTCCTTAATTCAAGTTCCCAGACTGAACTTGTGACACATTTGTCAAGGATCCACACTGGGTGTCCGCCACATCATTCGGGGTCTACTTTGTTCTCGATGCCTGACAAGGGAGTACTACGAGTAAGTGTCAAGCATTGGAATCCGCCACACTGTAGACCTTCTGCCCCACTTGGCCGTACTGGCCTGTTATTGGTCAGAAGTCACAAAAGAGGGGCCTAACACTAGTATTAATACGGGCCCCCAGAAGGGTCGCGATGTATCTATTTCTTCCTTAGTACAGAGTACACAACACTCTTTCGCCCACACTAGACCCTATTCAGTCTCCTGCTCCTTACAGTGCATCACGTTATATGACCGCCACGTATAGCCTCCTTTAACCTTCACACTAAGTGATAGGAGCCGTGCACCCCTAAGAGCACCTATACTATTTGCATAGGTAGCAGATTAGTACACGTCTCGAAATGCTAACGCATTACGGAGTACATGACCTACTTTACGTTTTCGACCAATCAGAAGTGAAAGTCTCTAAGCCTTTTGTCACCACTTACACATACACATGTGCATAGATCGCGCCCTTTATTTGTTTTACTTAATGAAGGGCATCATCGCTCCTTGAAAAAAGTCACCTGCATTCTTGCCCGTCACTCTTGTGTGAAAATTAACATCAGAATGGAAGTACGCACATACGCATATGCCTTCGCCGAGCGGGCTTACTTTGCTTCCCCTAGCGGGATTCTAAGGTAAGAGCACATGGCATACCTCTCTCTTCCCCTTTAGACTAGCCACCTGCTACCTACTCTCCTAACGAAGGGATGTGCCTCACGGCACTTCTTACGCGCACAGATACTTAGGTAGTTGGTAGGCTTGTGTGGTCTGGTTTGCCTAAGCCGAGGCCTTACCCATCCTCGGCTCTTTGTACGTGTAGAATAAATATAAGATTGATATAATAAGATGTAAGAGGAGACGATGTAGAAGCTAGTTCGCGACGGCATTTAAAGGCCGTACAGTCTGGGTTATATCGGTAGCCTGGTCACCGGATGGAAGGCAGATAGCATCAGCTTTTCACGATGCTGCTGTTCGGGTCAGGACTCCGAGAACCGATGTACTGCCACCTTGAGCAACCATACCAGCAGGTAGCTTGCAGTAGCCTGGCTGCCGGACAGCAAACGCATAGCATCGGCATCGTACGATAAATTTCTGGACCTGGAGCCTAGAAACTAGCCAGTTTCTTGCTGAGGCAGTGAGTTTATTCAGAAGGTCCCCAGATGTTGTTGCATAAGACCTCTTGCAGACTGATTACAGCATGCTAATCTTGCGTTCTGCTATAGATCGACTGCTTGCACAGTCCTCTTGCCCCAAGCAACAGGATATATCGGAGGCATCGAACATACGGAGGGAAAAGAAGCATTCGGCTCCGACATATAACTTATTGGGTGCTACAGATGAAAATTAGATACGAAAGTTTCTTAGGCACAGGCCAAGAAATCTACAGACTTCCAGTAGTTTTTGGGAAGAGCAGCTGTACAACTTCCACACAGACAGTGCTGTTTTTGTTTGAAAGGCCAGCGACTTGACGCTTGTATAGAGCAGGATATAGTCCTTCTAGCTATCGTAGACGTAAGCAAGAAGATAGGAGAGACCAGAAGTACTAACAGATGCACGGCGTTGGAAACAGAGCATTTCAGAGTCATAGCAATGACTTTGCAGACACATACACGCGATAGGGCCGCACAAGAGTCCAAACTGGCTATAAAATGAAGAAAATACTATTCATTCCCTGACTGTGTTAATTCAGCTGCCATCTAGCTATAATGCTTGCTGTGAACAACCCGTCGCTTAAATGACGAAGCTACAAACGACTGCGTACACGTGCATTTTTTTCTATTTTTGAGTCGGGCAAGTGGAACATCGGGTTGCTATTGTGTTTGCTATACTGGACGATAAAAAGGACGTGCATACAGCTCGTTATGGTCGGATTATGCAATGTTGAGCGCTGAGCAGCATGGAGATGACGACAAGCTTTCACGGAAAGACGAACAAATAAATAGTTGCACAGACATTACACCCCGCTTTGGTTTCATTCGCTTGCGCTTCATTGTTGCATGAAGCGCTTCCCATTCTCAACATTCGCCAAGCCATAAGCTTTTGACTCGGGAGGAAACGTGCCATTTGCGGCCCACAGATCAATGAGGTTTTGCATTGGCTCGACATCCTCGGGTCTGAGCATGTTCAGGCTCGTAGCTGTCAACATGAAATGTGAGAAGCAGCTGTTAAGGTGCTTTTCGAGTTCGAGGTGGTAGAATGGGTCGACGAAATGGTCCCAGTACAGATGTGAATAGACACGGAACATCTGCAGGAAGATGGCCCGGCTGACGTTGATAAATTCTTTCGGGAACCCGCTCTTCTTGCCAACCCAGTCTTCGCCATCGCTGTTTTGAAATGGGTGAGGCGTGCTCGGAGCGAGGGTCGGGTTGTCCGCAAAAGATGTCGTGGCCGGGTCAGTCGTGAAAATCTTGGGATCGTCGATCTTGCCAGAGATCCACCGCTGCATGAGAGTCATGTATTCACGGGCTGGAAGCTCAATTGGCTCGAGCCGGCTGTTTAGCCAGGTGTACGAATGGTTTCTGCACTGTCAGCGTGGAGTCGAGAGCAGGCAGGGGCTGGGGCAGCGGCTGGAGATGGAGATGGCCTACTTTCCAGCCGACATCTTGGGGCAACTAGTGGAGTTGCAGATGGTGTTGCCATCCTTCTCCTTCTCATAAACTAGGCGAACAAAAATCCAGAGGATCCGGTAGTGCTCAACAACTGGTCGTGTCAGAGAAGGTTACCCCCTGAACCAAGAAAAAGGGGGGAGAAGTGGGGTTGTACCATGGTGAGCGATCCATTCTCCTTGCTCTACCGACTTTGGTCTGGCGCTGAGAGTCATGAAGTTGCCCTTCACGATGTGCTTCGTATACAACGGATTGAGCCATAGCGGTAATGCTATGGAATCCGAGTCCGGACTCTTGTCGCCGGCAGTCGACATGCTTGTCGAGATGGCAGATGAGAGGGGGGGCAAAGACGGAGCTGTGGCGGGGGCTGCTGTAATCTCGAAGGATGGCCGCTTCTGAACAGTGGCCGACGATGGCGATTGAGCATCAGTTGTAGGTGTGCTCGAGTTCGTAGGAGACTTGGAGCCGCCTGTCTTTGATCCTCGAAGACGGGCGTTGCTGTCGTGAAGGGACGGTCAGCATATAAGGAAATTGGGGGGGGATTGGGTAGAGTATGATTTCGGCAGAACTGACATTCCGGAAAATAGATTAGACATGGTGGAATAAGGAGGCTGGAGACAGCCGTTGAATCAGTGTGACGAGGTTCGTTGGCAAAAGGAGGAGGGGCTGTTTTGAAATGGTCTAAAAGGCGGTGAGGTTCGTCATTTTGCGGTGTGGCACGGCAAAACCATATGGCGGTCAGAACCGGCAGAATCGAGTGTCAACTGTCTTGCGGTCATCAATGATACAGGACAACACTACGGAGTACTGCCTGACATTACGTCCAAGGCTGGAATTCTCACAGATTTGAGTTTCCTAGAGCCATGGGTTTTCGTGGAAAACTCGCCATCACTCTGTACGAGCCCTTCTTTTTCACGAGTGGCCATCAACTTCTTGGCTCGTCCATGTTGGAGTCAATAGCCAGTATCTTTCCTTATGACTGCAGCCTGTTGCCCGAAACCAGAGTTTGTTTCCTCGTCTCACGAGTTTTCTTGCCTCTTCTGCTACTGGAGATCTGCAATGCAGTGGTCGGTCTACCCAGACCGGCCATACAACTTGCTTGTGTCAGCTGTGCGCAGGGACGAGCCAAATGCGTCGCTGGTGGAAAATGGCTTGCAAAAGTTGTTTAATTTACGACAGATGCTACAGTGCTTGTCGGTGTTTTGAGTTGGTAGCTCGCACGTGGTCTTGTCAGAGCAGCTAACACGCAAGGCTCCTTTAGGAGGGGCCGATAGAAGACGAAAGCCTGTCCATGATACTCCAAGTATATAAGCCGGTTGCTTCCGATGGCCGGCATTTCTATTCTCTTGCTTGTCAGCTGGATTGAAAAAGACAGGTCGGATGTTGATAGATCTACATACTGAACGTAAGCATGCTAACTCTGTCCCTAACGCCATGCCATGGAATCTCCCGTGGGCGTGTCCAACGACAGCTTGTGGAAGGTGGCGCCCTATTTGAAGCGTATGATCATTGAGCTAGCATCAGAAGAAACGTGTGGAGTACTCCGTTGTTTGTGGTTCTTTCTATAACGCGTGCCAGCCATCATTTGTAAAGACCCATCAAAAGCGGCCCATCCTTCCGCATCCAAGGGATCCACTCTTCTCATCCAGACGAGATGAATACCACCTGGAAGCCTCATTGCATTTGAATAAATGCCACGCTATGTTTTTCCCGGTACATGATGACTAGTGATTCCGTCCGTACTCTAGGTATATACTGCTTTTATCAGCTCCAACGAACTGTTGGGTGTGTCGTTGTGTATTACTTTTTTCCATTTGTGTTTGTGCTTGCAGGGGCTTGTTACGGCTAAAAGGCGGGGAATGCCGCGTACCGGCGCGCGCTAGCATCTTACGCCTGTGAGGCTAAACAGGTCAGTAGCATCAAATGCAATGAAGCAATTACAATGAGTTCTGTACAAAAGAAAGAATCGATTTGTTTCCGTTTTTCGGTTTATATTACGTTGTAATCCCGTCCGGAATAAAAGCCGCTAGCACGCATCTAGCAAGCGTATCAATCTCGGCCCCTCGATGTCTCAACTTTGACGAAATTTTTCAGCTCTTCGAATCACAGTCTCTCCTTGTCCGCTTGAGTAATAATCCGTTCCGTCGGCGGGGAATAAGTAGGGTGGGTGGTTGCACTCCGTACGCCTCTCTAATTTAGCTTTCGTAGATTGCCTTTAACGCAAATCACCGACAGCACGAAATATTCCGACAACATGGCCTTTCAGGGTTTTTTCGAGATGACGGGCGCTGCCATGGCGTCTGCGGCCGAAAATACACGGCAGTTTGCCGTTGGGAGCATGCCAGTGGTAGAAGGAGCCGTGAACTTTGCGGCCGAGAAGTTCAAGGGGTTTGCAGTCGGAAAAGCTCCGATAGTGCAGACAGCTGTGGCTTCTGCAGCCGACGCGACACAGCAGTTCGTCGCTGATACCGCACCCGAGGTGGGGGGCTTCGTCGCTTACGCCGGTGGAAAGGTTCTAGGGCTCACGGCCGAAACGGCGCCCAAGGTCAACGCTGCTGTCGGCGTCGCAGCCGAGAAGTCCTGGGAGTTCTTCAAGGAGAGCGCGCCGAAGGCGATGGCCGAGGGCGTGCAGCTGGCCTCGGGACATCCCGTTGCAAGTGGTGCGGTATGCGGTGTCATCGTGGGCGTCGTGCCGGCAACTGGGATAGTTCTGATACTGAATGCTGTTGGTTTTGGCCCTGGTGGCGTCGTTGCCGGTGGGCCTCCTCTTGCTTTCTTTTCTTTATCTGTTACTCACTGACATCGACACCGAAGGCTCCTTGGCGGCCAGCGCGCATAGCAGCATAGGCAGCGTTGCGGCTGGGTCGTTGTTCGCTATGCTGCAGAGCGCTGGTGCAGGGGGGGCTGCCGCGTCTCTTACCGCGATCTGTGGTGCCGTCGGTGGATACATAGGCGCGCTCTATGGGTGGCATGTGGGACAGGGATAGGCCGGGGAAGGAAAGTGGACGAAGTCAGATTAGTGTGCTAGAGAGTGGTTGAAGCTCTTAGAATATAGGATATGATAATCGACGCTTATGAACTGTAGCGAAGAAGCTACAGTGCTCTCGTCTGTAATCGTGCCTTGCATGGCAACGACAGTGTTTGCATCGAACAGAGGCATAATTAAGTGAAAGGGTGAGGAAGGCAACAACGTAAAGACTTTTACAAAGGGTTATGGTAATGGTACTTGCATTGGACATTTCTACACATCGGGTCTTTCAGTTAGATTTCTTCAATCTAAACTCATTAACAGGTTGTGGTAATATAGGTGATGAGTGTCAACCCCGTTTTATTCAGATTCATACTAAGTAACGGAAAATCATCAAGATTCAAATATCAGTAGCTTGACCAAAGCCAATCCTCAAGTTCAGGTTGTAGATGTGACGACGGTTTGATCAATGAAAGCTTTGCCGTGGGTAGGTGGAACTCGGCGAAAATGGTGGATTTGATTAAATATCAAGGGCCACTGCAGAATAATTGGGCCTAAATAGCTATGAGAATGATATCGTTTTTGTAAGAAACACGATGGCTATAAATACTAGAGACCTTATGGTTTTCTTCGAACGCCTTGAAGGCAGATAAGAAAGGTTGGCATAAATAAGAATAATGCATTATATAAGCAATTTGATTTAAACAATCCATGGCGAGGATGACGATTCCATAAAATACGTATTTAAGCTTATGTATGGAATATTCTTGTACGAGTACGAGTACGGCGCAATGGCCAATGGCCTCTAAACTTGGTAATTGTTCAGCAGGCAGATACTTATATAAAAATACGGAATTAAATAATTAAAGCAATGACAAAAGACGTAGTACAGCTTCGCGACGGCCTCGTCTGAAGCCCAAATGATCAGTTCGACAGCGGCTCACTACAAACCCGAGACGAGCCGATTATGTAATATGTGTACATTCTTTTCGGCCCCATCTTGTTGCAATTGTATCAGTACTTACTATGGTTACTTGTACGAACTTGCTCCTGCCTCTTGGCTTCAATTACGGAACATCGCTCTTTCCTGATCCGATCGTCAGCTGCCGCCTACATCACTCTGACAGACAACCTTTGTTTCCTCTACTTTGTCCTCGTGACATTTGGCCACGCCTCCACTTCCTCTAAAAATAAACATAACGAAATTTTACTCTTTTTGCACCAAGGACAAGGGGATCGTGCGCGAACCAGCAGACCGGCTACTACGCCAAACACCCCTAGTCCAAACCTAGCGCCTCTTACTACACTACAGCTGGGTCCCCTTCGTCTAAATACTGGAGCACATCTCCTATTTGCACAAGGCAATTTACGCAGCACTGTTGTTTAGCTCGCATTTTTCCTACCTGCCATCCGTCGTCTGCAGACTGCTTGATCTCAGATGCCGTCTTAAAACAATGTCACGGGAGCAAGAATTATGCCAAGTCATAGCCGGGCGTCAATGCAGAAGCGACACATTTCAGCTGGCTGTTGTCTTACGCGTACGATGTATATGTGCAGGCGCTGTGGAGAGGCCAAACACCACTGTCAAGATGCCCCAAAAAGGTGGTGAACATATCAACCTTGTCATGTTAAGTTTTAAGCTCGATCATCTGCATACAACGTTTTCACACAGACATACGTCTCCCGCCATCTCGCGCTAACATCTCGCTGTCTTTTCTCCGTCCTTTCCCTCTCGCGTTCTCTCTCACTGTCTTTTCCTGCCAAGATATGCGACGTCTCGGGTTTCAGTTGAAACAGACTTTGGACAGGGGCTGCCGGCCCACAACGCCAACAACTTGAGCCCCAGTCAGCCTCGTGGCCAATCCAATCAGCATCGAGCTGCTTGTCCACCCTCCCCTGTCCTTGGACAAGGCCCTGGCCGTTTCGCACTCGCTTGTGTCCGCCCTGAGACGTCGCTCCACAACAATGTTTTGTCACTCTGACACTGTTCTTCTTGCTCTATCTTTCCTCGGCCAGGCTGTCTTCAGTCCCCACCGTCTTGATGAATCGACACTCTGCGTGGACCAGGATGCTTTGCTCCCGCTGGCGAAGAGATTGGCGGCCCCACAGGAACCAAACCGCTCCATGGAGAGAGAGGCTCTCGCTTTTTTTGCTGCCGTGCATGATCCCCAATCTACCCACCCCTCTCCGCCCCTGTCTTCTCGTCCCTCTCACACTCTTCGTTACATTGGCTTCCTTTCCCCTTCCTCTATCTTGTTCTTTCTTTTCTTCTCCTTTTTTGCCTTTCTTCCTACTACCGTGGTCAAGCGACAAATCTGCCAGCGGCTTTCAGCCCCTGTTCCTGTCTTTTGTGAATTGCATCATGGTGTAGTCATTCTTACGTTCTTTTAATTTACCGCTTTTTTTATCAATTTTTTCAGTCTTGTCCAACATATCCCATATCCCATTGACTGGGTTTTGCTTTCTCATTACGGGCCGGTTCCCATTTTCCCTGCTGGTGGCGTCGCTGCCATGTCGATTCCAGGTTCCTCTGTCCCGGCTCTCATCTCGGCTTTCACTTTGTATGTCTCTCCTGCCCCTCTATGCCCTCACCTCCCCATCTCCACCCATCCGTCTCTAATCGTTCAGTGGTATTGTCGTCAATGCGGCTTCAGCTGCGCTCTTCCTCCACGCCAGCAGCCATGGCAACAGTATCTTTCGGGACGGCCAGAGGCTGGTCCTCGCCGTCTTTTTCTTGAGCGCCGCCCTTTGGGCTCAAACTGACTTCATCTCCATCGCTATCAACACTACGGCCACCGGGTCCTGCCAGGTTGGAGTCATTATCAGCACCTTCTTCGATCAGCTTGGCCGATTTTCCATCGAACAGTACCTCCTTTGGACCATCAACAATGGCGCCAAGGCGGGCGTCCAGCAGATGATCTCCCAGGTCCTCGTCGCCATCCGATTTGTGCTTGGCGCTGTCTTCATTGGACTTTCAAGGCCTTACTTCGACCCCGTGTGTGTCCCGACAACCTCAGTTTTTGCAGTTGGCATCATCGTTGTCGCCCTCGATGCCTTCATTGTTGTCCTGCTGGCTATTCGCGCCATCAATTCGAACTCGGCAACAGAGGTCCGAGCAGGTCAATCCAGCTCAGGCCGCTCCAACGCAGTGTTGCTTGTCATTGCAACATTTGCCGTGTGGACAGCGGTCAGTGAAAGACGCCACCCTTTTGCTCGACGTCTATCGGGCTCTGAACTAACGAGTTGCCTTGGTCTAGATGAGTGCGTTGATGCTTCTGGGCATGCAGACTACCGCCCTTTTGTTGCGTACCTTGCTTCCATCCATCGGCCTCTTCTTCCTCGTCGGTATGTATCCATCTCCTCCCATCTTTGCCGAGCTTGTTTCGTGACATGTAGGCTCTAATACGCGCAGTCATTGTGGCCGCTTGCAATGCCCAATTGACCACAGAACTGATCCGAGCTCCACGATCGCCCGAGTCGCCTGGGGTGCGCGAAGCCAACACAAGCCGGTCCATTACCACCGGAGACTCCAGTGACTACCCCCCCTCGCAATTCGAAGATTTTAAGCGCAACGAGATTTTGTCCGTAGCAGCCTTCGAGCGGCCACGGGAGGTTCCCAGACCAGACGCCCCCCAAAATGCGCATGCGCGGGCTGATATCCGGCGGCCAACTCTCAGCTACCAACAGGCAGCCAGCCTTGCCTCTGGTAGAATTGTGATCTCGAAACCAATACTCCAGGCTAACGGCGAGCAAAACCCTTTGAACAAAATCCCCACGATGAGCCTGGAGGATGCTGCGAGGAGCGAGAGGGAGAGACGTGCTGACGACTTGCGGCGAGAGTCTGTTCTGGTGGCCCATCGTCCAGCACCGCATCCTCCGACTCTGACCCCCGAGGAAGGCATATTGCGCGCCATTAGTCTGAAGAGAAAAACAGTGGCCTCTGTGACATCCGAACCGATGTTCGAAACGCCGACTCCGCCTTCGGGATTGATGCCCGCTGCTGTGACCACCTCGGCCCTCCTTTCTCCCGGCGTCGAAGAGGTTCGACGACGCTCTCCGAGACAGTCACCAACGGCAGTTCAGAATATTCGCCCATCACGCCAGCTGCCTGAGTCTTTCGGGCCTTCCAAGTCCACCTCCAGCTCCGAGTCTGAGAAGACACCTCTTCAGAAACGGCAAACATTCGGCCTGCCGGGCAATCCCCGTGCCAAAACCATGAAGGCTCCAGCCAAGGAAGCGGATGCGCAGGGGCCACAGACGGTGCTGTTCATGAACAAGATCGAGTACGACAATCCGGATACGGTGGAGAGTGTTATCAAAGGCGCTAATTTGAAAATTTACGACTCGCGAGCTTCCATGTCGGTCGTCCACCGGCCTCGGCCAATTCCGCGGAATGTTGATGACGTCCGGAACATTTTCCCATCCAATTCGACACCGCATATGGCTGGTCACTACCGAAGCAAGTCAGCTGGCGCTGTTGTTGTGCAGAAATCTCTTCGGTATACAGATGAAAGTCCGCCACAACTTCCTCCGATGCCTCTGTTACCATTGGGCTTTGGAGCCTACAAAGGCGGGCAAGAGACCAATCGGCCACTTCCCAACAACACGAAGAGCATGACATTCGACGAGAAAATGACGCTCTTGTTCCCGACCCCCCCTAGTGCGGGCGGCTTGCCTCGTCGTCGCTCTTCGCTGCCCGAAATTCCTCAGATACCGTACGATTTCATGTCCATTACTATGTCACCAATGGCCGAGTCCAGCCGGATGTCAGGAACCACAACCAGGACTAGAAGGACGTCCGGCAGAACGGATAATATTCTTGAGGTAGTTGAGCTTCCACCCATGGATGCGCTGCACATCAGAGAGCGGCGCCGGCGCCTGTCTGATGAGGCCGGAGACTCGTGGTTGCCAGGCATAGACACCGGCAACATTGTCTTGGCCATGCAGCGCGCCTTGGAGCTTGGCGAAAACAGCAGCAAACGCAGGACCAATATGACAAATGAGAGACGGGCATCGTCTCCAGTCCTTCCACAAATTCGCGATTCAGCATTCACGACCAGCAGTGACGGGCGTTCCCACGACGACTTCACTACGAACTGGGGTTCGCTGCATTCGTCTGTGGTCGCTGTGCCTATCCAGGCGAACCGACAGGTCGCTCGATCCACGTACGTGCAGGGCGACCGCCGAGACGTCGCTATGAAGATGCCTCACGCACCGTCTGTTCCAGGAGACTCGCCCCCATTGACAGACGAAGAGGAGAACGCGGATGCCGAACTGGTGGAAATTAAGTTGGAGGAGCCGCAAATGCCTCGGTGGCACCACCGGATAGGCGACGACTGCCCGACATTCACAGACCGGAAGGAGAAAATCTGGTCACGAAAGATGGTGCCCCCGACGCCCCTCATGCTCGGCGTTCCATCGACAAGGAGGCCGATAATCGTTAAGGCTGCCGAGCCATCGCCACTGGAGTCGCCGGACCATGTTCTGGCTGAGATTCAGGCACAGCTGAAGAGATTCGAGGGGACGACGATGCCAGTCAACGAGAGCCCCAGCCAGAGGTTTGCGCTCCTGGAAGACCTCGAAAAGGAGATGGACATGCAGGCCGGTCACTGGCGAACTATGCAGCAGGATATGGGGCGCAACTCGATGTCGTCTATGCGCACGTCGAACGCTGCAGAATCTCGACGCCAGTCAATGAACAGCATTGGCGATTTGATGGCGTCGACGCCCGGAAAGGTCATTAGTGCTGATTATCGTGCATCCCGTCGCTCGCGGATACAGAGTGCAATTCTCGCAGTGCCTCCCCCAATCACGGAGGAGAGAACAAGTCCGGCGGCTACCGCCACTGAAGTGTCCGGAGCCAATGCGTGGCAGCGGAGGCTGACTGGGGCACAGGCGGAACTTCCAAGTAGCTCAACTCGTCTGAGTGGATCGCGGCGCAGCAAAAACTTCCTAGACTTGTCTGAGCTGGGAAGCCCTACACCGCCAGACTCGGACGACTCCGATGTCGAGATTGAGCGCTACCAGCCGGCCAGCATAGACGACACAATTGCTGCAGTGGCCGAAGCCGCAAGGAAGATTGCTGCTGCGCGCCAGCTGCTATGGACGCCGATGGTTGCGCGGGCCTCGACAACATTGGTGGCCACTTTGTGGACCCCCCCACTAAGCAGGTCAGATGTGTCTGCAGCTCTGTTTGCCCAGAGTGTGAGTGGATTGGAGCAGGCCCCACACTCATCGTCTCGTCGGCGCGAAATCAGCAAGAACGCCGACGCCGATCCGCTACTGATCGAGACGTGTGCACTCTGGAGCGAGCAGAGCGCAGCCACGGAGACGAAGGAGGCCAGTACGGGCCTGTGGGCTGCTAAGTCATTGACCCCCACACCGGCTGCCGATGCAACGCCAGAGACGGAACAGGATGCAGCACAACTCGAGCTGGAGCTTGATCTCATGTACATCCAGTCGCAAAACCAGTCGAAGCCACAACGGCCACTTACACAACGTCCACCAAGACGGAGCAGGCGGATGACCGTGCTTCCCGACATTGTAGAAAACCCCGAGCCACTTCCCAACAAGCGGGACACGCTTGGGATTTTCCAATTCCCCTGGGGTGAAAAATCAGACATGGCCACGTTCCAGCCTCCGACTCTCATGTCCACGTTCCGGCCTCCAACATTTATGGCCATGCCCGGGACCATGTCCTCGGGCGGACCGGCGATCAGCGCGGCACTCGAAGCCCGTGCCAGAGAGCTGGAGGAGGAAGAATACTCGACGAGCTTTTTCGACGATTATGACGAGGAAGACGAGCTTGACAAGGAGGTGCAGGACCTGGACGATGACTCCGACTACTCCGACAGCGACGATGGCTTCGACGAGAGCACACTGTGGGAGATTGCCAGCCTGCTGAAGACACAGCAGGTTCCGTCAAAGTTCAGCCTGCTCCCACCCCCGCTGCCGCCGATGGAGTCTCACGAGGCGGATGTGAAGGGCGAGGACTCCGAGGATTCCGAGGAGCGCAAAGAAACGGACTTCTTTGAGGGCACGGACGTGGCAGACGTCAGCGGGGATGTCCAGGATTTGTCTCTCTGGAGGCGCAGTGCCGCCGAGCGGGCAGCATCAGCCAAGCAGGAGATGGGCATTTCGCAGCCAGACGAGGCCACATGGAAGTCCTACGACAGCAACAGCCAAGCAGCAACGGCACGGGCCAAGCCCCGGCTCTCGGAACCAGCCAAGATTGAGACCGAGCAGCTTTGGGAGGTCCCGGCCGTGACAACAGTGGCAGTGATGCAGATTCCTTCGTTCTTGTGGACTGCCACTCCCAAGGCCCCCACCACTAACAAACTCTGGGCTCCGCTGCCAAGCAAGGGTCTGAAGACGGCCGGAAAGGCCATGCTTTTCGACCTGGAAGCTTTCAAGACGCGGTCGACGACGATCCGAACCACAGATGAGGAGCCTGCCGCTCTGTATATCCCGAGAGCACCTCGCACGCCGATACACGATGCTCTGGAGACGTTGACGTCGAACCACCTGTGGACCAGCCCGAAGAAGGCCACGACCACGGCCCTGCTGTGGGCTCCCGTAGCGAAGCCTGTAGTGACGGCCGCCAAGAACCTTCTGTTTGACCTGGACGTGGCGACCATACAGAAGCTGCAGTCTACAGTCACTCGCTCGACAGACAAAGAGCCAGCAACGCTCAATGCCCCAAGGTTGCCTCGCACAACCAGACATGCTTCTCTGGAGAAGCTGACGTCCAGCAGCCTGTGGACCACTCCCAACCGACGGGTAGCCATGCTCTGGACTCCGATGCCGAAGGTTGTCGTGAAGGCTGAGCGCCATCTGTTCGATCTGGATGTGGAGAGAGCACTGAAGATGCGGGCTTCCGTCCGCACTACTGACAAGGAGCCTGCTGCCCTGCACATGTCACGCAAGCCGCGGGCAGCTATTCAGACGCCTCTGGACCAGCTTGTGTCTGACTCTTTGTGGACGGTCCCTCGGCACGATCGCATCGCCAAGACGCTGTGGGCCCCGAAGCCGCAGATGACGACCAAGACCAAGGGCCTGCTGTTCGACCGCGAGGCCGCCATGGCTGAGAAGCACCGTGCCCACACGCGCACCACCGACGAAGAGCCGGCGGCGTTGAATATGCCGCGCAAGGCCAGGAAGACAAGCCGCGCACCTCTGGAGAAGCTGGCATCCAGCCGTCTGTGGCAGTCTGCTGTTGTCACGAAGTCGCTCTGGGTTCCCAGGCCGGCAGCCGTTGTGCAGATGAAGGGACACCTCTTTGATCTGGCAGCTGCTGTGGCCGAGAAGAGCCGGGCTCACACCCGGACGATGGACAAGGAGCCGGCTGCTCTGCTGATGGCTCGCAAGGCACGCAAGGCAAGCCATGCTCCCCTGGAGACACTCCAGTCTAGCAGCCTGTGGCAGTTGGCCCCGAAGATCCTTGCTGGCAAGCTTCTCTGGGTGCCCAAGGCAGCTGTCGTGGTCAAGGCTCAGGGACACCTGTTCAGCCTTGCGGCTGCTGTCGCTGAAAAGAGCCGTGCTCACACCCGCACCACGGACGAGGAGCCTGCTGCTCTGCAGATGCCGCGCAAGGCACGCAAGGTGTCTCAAGCTCCCCTGGAGATGCTAGTGTCTTCCAGCCTGTGGCAGGTGGCACCCAAGAACACCAAGGTCCAAACTCTCTGGGTGCCCAAGCCGACGGCCGTGGCCATGACAACGAGCCAGCTGTTCGATCTGGCTGCTGCAATCGCCGAGAAGAGCCGTGCTTACACCCGCACTACCGACGAGGAACCTGCTGCCCTGCGGATGACACGCAAGGCACGCAAGGCATCTCCTGCCCCTCTGGAGGTGCTCGTGTCTTCCAGCCTCTGGCAGCCGGCGCCGAAGAGCCCTGTCGGCAAGCGTCTTTGGGCCCCGAAGCCAACGGTCGTGGTCAAGACGGCGGGCCCACTGTTCGATCTGGAGGCCGTGATGGCCAAGAAGCAACACGCCGACACGCGGACGACGGCGATGGAGTCTGTGGCAGCCCAGGTAGTGCGGATGCCACGGTCTCTGGCACAGCTGCCCGTTCTCCCGCTGACGTCGACGAGCCTCTGGAACGTCGATGCGTCGTCTACGCAGAGCAAGGAGGCCAACTGGATCATGGCCAAAGTCCCGACATCAATTCGCAAAACCGCTCTGGTGACGCCGAGCGAAGACTGGGACGCGGCACTGCAGGAGGCCCTGGCTGCCAGCTACCCGCAGTCCTGGGCAGCCGAGTACGACGACAGTATCATGGCGCGGATCGAGGCCCTGGAGCATGAGCGCGAGTACGCAGCCATGGCTGTGCAGCAGCAGCTGGTGTCGCCGGTGTATCTGGATGCGGTGCAAGCGGAAGAGGAAGAGCCGGAGCAGCTGTCGGAGGCGGATGTACGGTACTATGCCTACATCCAGGCGATGGAGATGGAGGCGATGATGCGGCTGCAGGCGCTGGAGGGCGCTGGAGTGCAGCTGCAGTAAAACCAGAGCTTACTAAGCGATTTCCTTTTGTTTGCGTCTCGTTCTCTTCTACACTCTTATACTTGTATGTATTTTTAGGAGCCAAGACCCAGTTTCTTTTGCACGAGCTTCCAGAGCAAGACCAACTACGCACTTGAATACACAGCAGATACAGATCATTTTTTTAGCTTATGTACAATTGCGCAAACAATGTTGCTTCCTAGCATTCTAAGTCTCGTGTCTACAATTTGTTCAGGATAATGCTCCGTCTTTACATCTCACTGACGAACACAGCGTCCTGGATGCTCGATCGTCGATCGTGGCTCACTCCCGCTTGTGCACACGCGTGCCAAACTTCCAGACCTCGTCGATGTGCAGGCGGGTAGTGGGTGAGCCGCCGGGCGATGGCAGGTCCTCGTTGGTCGACAGGATGATCAGGTCAGCGTCGGCGCCGGGGTCGAGCGTGCCCTTGACGCCCTGTAGGCCGAGCATGGCAGCGGGGGTGGAGGTGACGGTGCGCAGGGCACGCGGCAGGTCGGTGCCGGTCCAGTTGACAAAGTTCTCAAGACACTCGATCAAGGTGGTGGTGCTACCAGCGATGGTGGTGGAGTTTTCGAGCAGGAGGACCTTTCCGGTCTTGTTTAGACGGACCTCGCGGTCGCCGTTGGTCCAGCTGTAGGGTCCGTCGGGACAGCCGACCATATGCATGGCGTCGGTGACGAGCAGAAAGCCCTCTGGATGGGCATTGTACGCAATCTTGACCGTCGTGGGGTGCAAGTGGATGCCGTCCGAGATGACGCCATAATACGGTCGCCTGCTGCTGCTGCTGCCGTTGCCGCTGGTGGGTGCCTCGCCAAGCACGCCAAAGACGCCGGGATTGCGGTGGTGCAGAGGGCGCATGGCGTTGAAGAGATGCGTGATCATGGTGGCGCCATGGTGCATGGCAGCAGCAGCCTCTTCGTAGCTGGCCTCGGTGTGACCGATGGAGCAGACGATGCCGCGGCGACTCAGCTCCGGGAAGACAACGTCGGTCATGTGGCCGAGCTCAGGAGCAGCCGTAATCATGCGCACGGCTGGCAGCCGTCGTCGGTTGTCCTGGTCGCCGGTGGTGTCAGTCGGCACTGCCAGGTTCTCGGCGCCGTACATGGCTTCGACGTCGGCAAACGTCTCGGCCACCCGCAGGACGGCCGTGTTGTGAACGCCATTCTTGGTCGGGCTCAGGAACGGGCCCTCGACATGGGCTCCCAGCGACTCGGCCCCGTCTTCGGCCATCCGGCTCCCAGTGGGAGCCAGGAAGGGGATGACCTTGCGGTACAGCTCGCTCGTCTGGCTCGTGACGGTGGGCACGTAGGACGTGACGCCCGTCTGGAACAGCTTGCGGTTCAGGTCCCGCAGACGGCTGCAGTACTGAGCCCTCGGGCCATTCTCCTCGTCGCCGAAAAGGGTGGAGAAGTTGAAGCCAAAGGCGCCGTTGAGCTGCACGTCAATCAGGCCAGGCGCCACGATGCGGCCGCCGAGATCGATCGTCTGGTCCGGCAGCACGTGGTCGTCATAAAAGGCGGCCTGGCCGCGGACAATCTTGCCCGTGGCCGCACTGATCCAAAGATCCTCCGACACGAGACGATCACCGCGGACGAGACGGCAGTTTGTCAGCTTGGTGATGCCGTGAGCGCCCGCAGGCGAAGCGGAGACGGCAGACGGCATGGTGAAGGTGGGGTCAATTGCTGCTCGCTCAGGTCTTTGCGCGTCTTCGCCGGTGGTGTTGGACTGCCTGTGTCCGGAAGTGTTTGGCTGGACTCTCCATCGAAACGATACGAGAGGGGAGAAGGAATGGCAGCCGGGCCAGAACGAGGAAAGACGTCGGGGATATAGCGCCCTCGTACCTTCCCGCGGACGCAACCATCCAGACGGAGGCAAACAAGGGCAGAGGCCATGGACTCATCGCCTCGTGGGTGGCGGCCGCTATTCGTGGCTTGCTGATAACGGTGGCTAAGCCGAACATCCCCGAGCCGGTGCCGGCGGCTTTTCCGTCTGCAGACGCGATAAGACGAGCGTGGTGGACGTCTGGGCTGGCCAAACGGAGCCACGTTCCGCCTGTCTGGCGCTTGGCCGTGAGCGAGATCGCCGCGATTACGTAATGGACAGCGTACCAATGTAACGTTCATTCCGTACAGAGTAAGACGGCACTAGGCGATGAGCTAAGCGACGCGTGCTCTGCAACGTGTGGGTGCCTGAGCCCTCCGGTGGTCGTAGCTTCCTCGCCGCTCTTCCGTCGAAGCTCAGCACGATCGCGACTTCTGCTGTCCGTTGCATGACCCGACCCCTGCCTTCTCATCAGCCACACCTCAGACAGCAGCCACGCGTCCTCCACTTTTTCCCACCTACGTCAGCCGTCTTCGTGTCCCGGCTCGAGATCGCGTCGGGGCAGTACGATTACGACGAGCTGCCGAATAGGGGGCCGTCTCGCCGCCGACGGACTCTCTTGCTGCTGCTATGACGTGAGCAACGTACGCGGGACCAACGACCAACAAGCGGCCTTCTCTCCGGCCTCCCCCTCCTGCTTCTCTCTGCACCATGGCCGGCAAGCTGGACGGCGATCTGGATCCATTATGGGACGACCTCGACTGGTAAGAAGGACGGCGTGGGTCCAAGCGGAGAGATGCTAACGGCTGGCTACTGCTTACAGGGCCATTGGCCAGATGTTGATTATGGGCTGGGACGGCACCGAGGTGACCCCTCAGATCCGCAATCTGATTGAGGAGCACCATCTTGGGTCGATCCACCTGACGGCCAAGAACCTCCGATGTAAGCGTGAAGGAGCTGGCTGCCACACAGCAATAGAAACGGACTGACCGAACAGCTGCTCACGAGACGGCCAAGCTGGTGCAGGAGCTGCAGACGATAGCCCACCAGGCCGGCCACCCGTGCCCGCTGTTGATCGCCCTGGACCAGGAGCATGGCGGTGTCAACAGCCTGTTTGACGAGGACTACATCTGCCAGTTTCCCAGCGCCATGGGCATTGCGGCAGCCGGCAGCCCCGACCTGTCGTACGCGATCGCCAAGGCCACGGCCACGGAAGTGTCGGCATGTGGTGTCAACCTGATGCTGGGTCCGGTGCTCGATGTGCTGACTAACGCGCGATACCAGCCGCTGGGAGTGCGGGCGACCAGTGACGACCCGCAGGAAGTGTCACAGTACGGGATCGCGGCGATGAACGGCTACAAGGATGCCGGAGTGGCGACGTGTGGCAAGCACTTCCCGTCGTACGGCAACCTGGACTTTCTGGGCTCAAACCTGGACGTGCCGATCATCACGCAGACGCTGGAGGAGCTGAGCCTCAGCGCGATTGTGCCGTTCCGCAACGCGATCGCCACTGGCCGTCTGGATGCCATGTTTGTGGGCGGGTGCGGGATCACGAACCCGTCGATGAACGTGAGCCACGCGTGTCTGTCGGACCAGGTGGTGGACGAGCTGCTGCGTGAGGAGCTGGGATTTCGCGGCGTGGCCATCTCCGAATGCCTCGAGATGGAGGCTCTGAGCCACGAGATCGGAGTCAAGGGCGGCACCGTCATGGCGGTCGAGGCCGGCTGCGACGTGGTGATGCTGTGTCGGGCGTACGACGTGCAGCTGGAGGCGATCGCAGGACTGAAGCTGGGCTATGCCACGGGCATTCTGACACGCGAGCGCATCTTCACGTCGTTGCGACGGGTTCTGCAGCTCAAAAAGGGCTGCACGTCGTGGGCGAAGGCGCTGCATCCTCCCGGCATCGGGCTGCTGGCCAAGATCCATCCATCACATCTGGCACTCTCGCGCACGGCATACGACGACTCGATCACGGTGATGCGCGACCGCGACCGGCTGCTGCCACTGTCCCGGTCAATGCACCCACGGGAAGAGCTGCTGCTGTTGACGCCGCTGGTGAAGCCGCTGCCAGCATCAGCCTCGACCAAGACGCTCGAGACCGGGCTAAGCGTGGGCTCCGGTCCGGGCTCGGGTTCAGGCTCCGGTTTGGCGACACAACGCGACCGCAGCGCGATCATGAGCGGCGAGGGCGTGTTCCGCGGGCTCGGCCGATCGCTGGCGCGCGCACGACACAGCAAGCTGCTGCATACGTCCTACACAGCCAACGGAGTGCGACCGGTGCACGAGAACCTGATCCACCGGGCATCGACAATCATCATCGTGACAGCAGATGCGAACCGCAACCTGTACCAGGCCGGCTTCACCAAGCACGTGGCGATGATGTGCTCGATGCTACGGGCCAACGGGCAGAACAAGTCGCTGTGTGTCGTGGCCGTCAGCTCGCCGTACGACTTTGCCATGGACAAGACGATCGGCACGTATGTGTGCACCTTTGACTTTACCGAGACGGCAATGAACGCGCTGGTGCGCACGCTCTTTGGTGTCTTCACGCCGGGTGGCACGCTGCCGGGAACGCTGCGCAAGAGCAAGAAGGCGCTCAAGTCGCGGCGCAACTGGCTGGTCGAAGCATACAACCGCGACCGCGACGGCCACGGGCTCGACGAGCTGCTGCAGGCTGTTGCGCGTGCCAGTGGACCGGGATTGCAGCAGCACCTGCGCCACGCCACGGCTGCCTCGTTCGAGCTGCACCGGCCGGACGTCGACGAGGCCCATCTGGTCGTGCGCAACAGCAGCACTCAGGCGCTCTATGGCTTCTGCGCGACGTACTCGGTCGGGGGCACCGGCATGCTCGGCGGCCTTTTTGTCGACCCGACAAAACGCAACGTCTCCGTCGGCCGGTCCCTGCATCGGGGCGCCCTGCGGCTGCTGAGCCAAAAGGCCGGCATCACCAAGATGCAGCTCGGTGCCTGCTTCCCCGGCGTCTTTCCCGGCATTCCCGTCTTTGACGACAGCGGCGGCAGCACGTCTGGCAGCACTGGCGGTACACCCAACACGCCCAATACGGCCAATACAACGGGCAGCAGCAGCGCCAGTCTGCGTGCATGGTTTGCCCGCGGCGGCTGGGACGTGTCGTTTCCACGGCGACTGACGAACCTGGCCATCCACGATCTCGCGCGCTGGAGTCCGCCCGAAGGGCTGACGCGGCATCTCGGCAGTGCTGGCATCAGCTTCGACCTGATCCAGGGCCCCGACATGGCCGACGGTGTGCTGGACCACGTGGCCGCGCTGGCCGGACCCGAAGTCGTCGAGCTGTATCGCTTTGTGCTGCTGCAGGCCGGAAAGACGTGTGCAGTTGTGCGGGCAAAGATCAACGGGGGCAACGAAGGCGTGGGAGACGGTGCAGGAAACAGCAGCAGCAACAGCAGCGGCAACAGCGAAACCCTGTTGGGCACGGTGATCGTCTGCGCTCCAGACAGTCAGCTGTCGACGTTTCTGCCAGTGCTGCAGACGTTTCGGTCAGATATGCACGGCAACATGGCGACGGCAGGCGATGACGGAGGAGCTGCCAACATGAACAGCGCAATGGGCGACGAGCACGCGGCGACGGGCGGCATCGTGGCGCCGGTGGTGGTGCCGGGACTGGCGCACTCGACCACGGCACTGCAGGGTCTGGTCATGATGGGCGTGCGGCAGAACAAGTCACATCGGGCACTGCGCAGCGTGCTGACGCGGGTGGCCGATGAGGCGTATGAGGGTCTGCTGGTGATGCAGTTTGAGGTGCTGCAGTCGTTTGAGGAGATTACCAACGCGCCAGACAATGTGAGTGCCTTGTCGAGGGAGATTTGTGCCGTCGGCCACGACTAACACTCGCAGTGGGCGGACGTGAATGCTGTCTGATGCATCACATGATTTCACGATGTTTGGATGCGATCACTGGAAGGATACCTGGTCGGGAGTGTGGAGTTTTTGGTTTTTGGTTTTTGGGTTTCGGTTCTTGGCTGTCTTGGATTTGTCTCGTTTTCCGCAGTGTCGTATGTAAGGCATACCTTGTTTGCTTTACTTTCCAGTACTATCTTCCATTCTTCCTACTGTCCTTTAGACTAGCAATGCAATGCTATACGTACAGAAGGGGAGAGATGGAAATGAAAGCAGCTGTTGAGATAAGATGCCGCGAACGGAAGGCGCAGACGTAGCGACCGCTTCCTCACTAAAAGGGTCAGCCCCACTGTTCTTCCTGTCCGGTGGACCAACCAGGAGGCAGAGCGGACGAGGCGCTATCTCACTGCTCTCTCTCCTCTCTTTCCTCTCTCAACTGTCTCCGGTCTCCTCCTCGGACACATCGACAAGTATCGCAGCGCGTCCGCAGGCCAACAGAGTGCCACCGCCCACGTCCACGGCCGAAGACGTTTTTTCCGTATACGAGCCGGCCGCCCAGAGGGAAAGGCAGCACGAAGGCGCACGACAGAGCTTTCGTCCGGCGTCTTTTCCTTCCGCTCTTCGACCACACGGCTGCTTTGCCACGGAGGATTCCCTTGCGTCAGACACTTGTGCAATCGATCGTGCAGTCGATCGTGCAGTCGATCATCCGATAAACGGCCGCCGTGTCGTTGACGACCCCGTGCCATAGACGACCTCCGTGGCTCTCGCCATGCGACAATGGCCGCTTACAATCCCATGTCGGCGCTCTCGGCGACAGCGGGCACCAGCGCCGACAGCGCCGATGGCCTGGGACTCGGCGTCAACGTGAGCCATGCAGGTGGCGCGGGCAGCCTAAGCCTGGAAGGATTCGATCGCGACATTGGCTTTGATGACGTGCTGCTGTATGTCGATCGGACCTGCCCTTTTCTCTCTTCTCTCTTCTCTCCCTACAAAACACCACTCTGACAAGTCAGCGAAAACGTCGGACTGGCACCGCTGCCCTTTACGCCGACGTACGACTTTGAGACGTTTTCCAACACGTTTGAGGACCCGTTCCATTACTCGGCCGGTCCGGCTGGACGGCCCTACGAGCTCGCCCAGCTCGACACTGACGGCGGTTTTCACGAGTCCATCTCGCCGCAAGATGAGGGCCTCGACAACAAGCTGCTCGGCTTCTCGGATCCGATCGTCAAGGCCGCCGTCCTCGACGACGCCGGCCAGTTCGCCGATCCCGCCATGACGGCTGAGCTGTTTGGCATGTTCTTCCTGGCCGAGGACGTCTACGCGGCGGAGAACACCGGTCGGCCGCTCGAGCTGACCTGCTACCGCCGCAATCTCTGGTGGTGCTCCGGCCAGATCACGCTGCCACGCCAGATCACCCACGCCGTCACCGCCGATCAGGGCCGCCACCTGGCCGTGCTCGAGCTGGCTGTCTCCATCACTGCCATCGAGAGCATCGAGGGCAAGCCGACCGAGATCATCTGCATCCCCTGGAAAAGCACCACCGCCACCGGGACGGCCACCACCGCTACCGCTTCCGCTGTCGCTACCGCCCAACACGAAGACACCAAGGCGGCCGGCTCGCCGCCCAACCTGACCATCGACCTCGCCAACGGCCAGGAGCTCGAGAACGGGCGCGTGTCGGTGCCCATCTCGTGGAAGCGCCTACAGTTCAAGCATGCTACCGCCAACAACGGCCGCCGCAAGGGCCAGCAGCAGCACTACGTCGTGCAGATCAACCTGCTGGCACGGGTCAAGCCCGAAAGTGCTGCTGGAAGCAGCAGCAGCAGCAGCAGCAGCAGCAGCAGTAGTAACGGCAGCAACAAGAGTGGCGCGAAAACTGCCGCTGCCTCTTCTGGCAACGATGGCCAAGATGGCTGGCTGAAGATTGCCGAGATCCAATCTGGCCCGGTCATCGTGCGAGGTCGAAGCCCACGGAACTTTGTCAGCCGTCGCGATGTGCCTTTGACAGGCAGCGCTGGCATCGGTGGGACCGCCGTCGCGGACAAGAAGCAGCAGCAGCAGCAAAGCTTCCAGCGATACAGCGCACTCAGCAGCGTGCAGCCGGGTGACTGGGCTCACGGCTTTGCCCAGCAGAGCCCCCATCCGGCCAAGAAGATGAGCCTGTCGCCCAGTCTGCCGCGACCGCCGGTGCCTTCATGGGACACGCCGTCCCGGATGCCGTCCAAGATGCTGCCACAACAACAGCCGCAGCAGCATCAACAACAACAACAACAACAACAACAACAACAACAACAACACCAGCAACATCAACACCACCAAATCCAGCACAAGCAGCTGCAACATATGCAGCCACACCAGCTGCAACATATGCAGCCACACCAGCTGCAGCAACATCCACCCCTCTACCAACAGTCACAACCACCACCACCGAAGAAGAGAGCAAACAGCACGGCTCTCCCGCTCAGCCTCTCACTGTCGGAAGATGAGCGCAGTCCCAACCGCCTGAGCACCGATCCGCTGCCCAACAGCCCGCCGTTCCCCCATCTGGGTGGCGCCGGCAACATGTCGGCCGGCAGCGCCCTGCCCGGAAAGTCATCAGCGGCCGGTGCCAAGACGGCCGGCAGCAACAACGGCAACAACAGCAGCAGAAGCAGCAGCATGGCCAACAACACCGTTGCGGCATCGGGCGAGAACCCGTTTGAGGACGACGACCTGCTGTACGAGTACTTCCCGCTGAGTCTTGATGATTGGTAAGCATGAGTATCTCTGCGCACAATGACAACAGGACAACAGAACTGACAGACACTAGGATGCCGCCCGTCGACGCCGTCTATCGGCCGCACGTTGTGCACCACACAGTTGTGCCGCCCGAGGTCAAGGCACAGCAGGTGCGCAACAAGACGAAACGGTATTTTGCCGCCGAGTAGGAGCACCAGCGCTGTCTGGGAAGGAAACGTATCCTTCCCACCTGGCTTTGCTCTGCTTTGCTCTGCTTTGCTCTGCTTTGGTAGACGGAACCGCCATGGAATGAATGAACGAGTTTTGGGGTCCTGTTGTTAGGGCGTTTTTGCCTTTTCTTTCTCTTTATTCTTGCTTTCTTTTACTTGGTTACTCTCTACTTCAGCTCTGTCTTCCACTCTTTATGTTTTGCCGCAGCTGGGCGTTTAGAGTGACCAAGACACATTTTACGACTTTGAAATGAGGTTGTGCATATATCCCTGTCAATATCAGTTGGCATTTAGCAGGTTTTACAAAAATATGACACATGATACGACATATGCTTAACTTTAGGCTGAAATCGGTTTCCGTTATTTCTCCAGACATTTTTTCAGCATCTCTTTTTTGCCGCGCCCACAATGCAACGGAAACAGAAACGACACACATCCAAAGAGTCTATCCACAGCGGCAAATGCAATTAAACAGGTATAGGTGAATGTAGAAGACAGTCAAGATTGGGCCATGCTGTCATTTCAAGCCTTTAGGCAAGCTAGAGACACTGCTGCACCCAACAACGAACTCTCCTTGGCCGGCACCATCTCAATCACACCCGCCGGTTCACCAGCTTTGGCATCACCGAGAAGAAGCTCGTTCAAAATACCCTGGCACTGCTCTAGGTATCGCGGGTATCGTTCGAGCACAGATCCGTTGAACGCCACCGCAGTGCGCTCGTGCATGATGGAGAGTTCCGCCTTGGCTGCATCTGCATGCCGTCGTGCCAGCATCCCTTCACTAGAATCTGCTAGTCCGTGTTGAAGCTCGCCTTCCGTTTCGATTTTGAGCAACCACATTGCATATACAGCCGCGGCAACGATTGCGGCCGATCGCTGTGAAACCAGCGAAGCAAGCGCCCGCACAGTAGCAATATCAGCCTTCGTCGGTGCCGAACCGTCAATGCAAGGATGGCGGCTATGGAAGATGGCTGTGGCTTCTTCCAGAGAAGGAGAGCTATCGCTGTTAGGAAATTAGAAAATCGTCGTTGAAATGGTACACGCCACCACCAAATGCAATGTACCTTTCGATAATCGACAAAGTCTCAGTATCAAGTGAATATGGCTTCAGCAAAGACGGCGGAAGGATGCCTCTGAAAAGGCCAGTTGTGGTAGTTGCCTCGATCAGTGCAAACCTGCAAATCTCGCCCAGGTAGTATCCAGATACCATCTGTTCGAGTGGCTGAAAGTCGGGCCTCAAGTGATCAGCCTTGAGCAACATGTCCCAGCGCATAGTCGGCAGAAGGCCGCAGCCAAACATGCTCAACTCCGTGTTGACTATCACATGACTAGCCGAATCGAACCAGGCCTCAGGGCGGCTCCCAAACTTTGGCCGGCCTATCATGGAAACTGGAAGATGCACAGCCATGTTGACACCGGTGCCAAGGATCAGGCTGAAACGGGTAGATGTCCGCACATACGCCTCCGAAAGAAGTGCCGCTGCCGAGTCGTTCACGATGGCAGCCAGCTCCACACAAAGCCCATATGAAGTGCAAGCCGTTTGTATTATATCACCCAAGTCCTGCCCCTCTAGTGAGTCGGCTGCATGGAAGCCTTTGCCCATACCTTGGAGCAGGCCACCGCGGAGGGAAGTTTGCCTAAAACGGTCAGCTGGCAGAACAGGCTGGTGAATGGTCCAGGAACAGAGGCTAGGCAGTCTTGACGCACTCAATAGGGAAGCTCCAGGCAAGGCCCATGGGCAAGGCCTCATCTGCAGCGTTTTTGACGCCTCCAACTTTGCTCACTGTCTCGGCGATATGGAAAGCCACCCAGTCGAAGAACTGCATGCCCTCAAGCCTCTTGACGTCCGGGGTGATTTTAACCGTCTGAATGCAAAGAATGTTCGACTCGGGCTCTTCTAGCTCTTTCCGATTCTGACCATGAAGTTCGATGAGTGCCACCCGGAGCGTTGATCCACCTACATCCAGACATAGGTAGCGGCCAAACTCTTGGCCATTGGGCAGTTGGTGGTTATACGACGGAAGCATGCATGCTGGGCTTGCAAATAATCGTTCACGGTACTGGTCCTTGAGCTGCCGGGAAAAGAGGCCCAAGCGGGCACTTTCAACTGGGCGAAGCAGTAGTTCCTCAGCCTCACTCAAGAAATCCGCTACTGGTCGTGTTGTATTTATCTGTTGTGAGATTGGAATAGTGGTTGCAGCCGATGACGGCGTCGAAGACGGGGATGACGATAGTGGCGTTGAGAGCGGCGTCGATGCAGATGGAGAAAGTGATGCAGATGGCGATTCTACTTCTGTCGGTGCTGTGTCCTCCGGAGCCTGGATCGCCGGCGTCTCTTCTGTCCGTCTGAGCAACAGGACCTTGAGAAAGGACTTGCCCCGGACCAGAGACCGGATGGCCGCAAATAAGGTGCCTCGTAAACTCGTCATGGCAGAAACGAGCGGCTGCGCGAGCAACGAGAACGACGAGAGGTAGCCAAAGGAGAGGGGAAGTAGACGATCAGATCGGTCATGACATTTAAGTGAGTTGAGAAGACAGGGGAGAGAGGCAGGACGAGAGCAAGAGGGAAGCAGGGGAGGGCGGACAACGTGCGCTCTCTCAATACAGAAACTGCAAAGTGCCAGAATCAAAGAAGGGCGAGTAACGGGATCAATGCGGTGTTGAAACAAGTGAAGGTATCAACACGAGGGACCGTTGTTTGTGGTATGTCGCAGAAGGAGAGAAACGGGTGCCTGTAGCAATGGTATTAGTCGATCTGGTCTTGCCGAGTCCAGTTTTAATAGACGTGGCCGCGCTTCGTACTTTTCAGTGGAGGCAATGGTTGTATTGCCGTTCATCACTCGTTGCCTCGTCAGCAGTGATGTGCATCTGTGGTGTGGCTGTGTGGACTCGAGCAAGCAGAGACACGAGCGCAGTGCTGGGGTCGGGTTGAGCGTAGGGCCGCACAGCAGAAAGAGTTGCAAGGGCAGCTGAGAGACAGAGACACGGAGGGGACACGGAAACAGGACTGGGGCGAGAACCGTATTTGCGTGGTGTCGCGTGTGCCGGTGTAAGATACGTCGCACTGTCGTATGTGATAGCGAAAGGAGGGAACCGAAGGACAGTTCAAGAGAGGGGGTGTACTCCGTATACTCGCAGCGTTTAGAAGCTTATTTGATCTCTAAGGCTGGGCATGACCGAGGAGATGTGGGGTGCTGTTGGCAGGCTTGGCTTCGTGACCGTTCGTTCCTTGTTTATGAGTCCTGGTGGATTCTTAGTTCGATTTCGTGCAGGTTTGGTTGAGACGTGGCCGATAACGAGAGAGCCGAAGGATGATGCAAACGGAGTGGACAAATGAGGCAAACGGAAATGAGGAAAGACACAATGAAGATGTGAGCAGAGGCGGCCAGCTGTGTAACTAACAAGAGTAAGTGGGCCGTTGATTAGGAGAATAGCCAGGCTGATTCGCGGAAGGATGAATGTTGCAAATAACGGGACGAGTTCAAGATGCCAATCAGGACGCGGCACGAGCAAGAAGCTTGCACAATAGGAAGGCGCCAGGGAGCACAGCTTGCTGCGCTGGGAGGATCAAAAGCTGGTGGCTGGCTGGATCCTCCGACCAGGCATTTCTACCTGCAAGAGGAAGGCACTACGTAGGAGCAGGAAAGACAATCAAGGGCCAGACAAGCGCGACAGCAGCAGCCATGGCAGCGACGACGCTCACGGCGTGTTCCGCTTGGCTATAAGTAGCAACGATGCCTTGCCAGCTGTTGCGACGTAGGAGACCAGGTAAAGAGGGAGCCGGACTGTCACGCTCCGCGAGTCTGTAACGTTGCCTCTAAAGCTCCAAAGGCCCACACTCACGTGGTGTGGTTGGTGTGGCTGGAGGCGACGCCACGGATGCTGAGTCATCATAACTCGTTACATAGCCCCGCCATATCTGATAGGCCCGCATTCGCAATGAAGCTGATTGACGTCTGCCTTGTCTGCACTTCCTACACGACAAAATGGCAGGTGTGCGCCCACATATCGGAAAGATCGGCAGAGAATGTCCCGTCCGGCCTCTTATTTTACCTCCTTCCCCTCCCTTCTTCACATAATAATCTCGTTCCGTTTTCAGCCCGTAGTGCTTGCTCTCCAAAACGGAGGGACGGTTCAAAAATTACGCACAGTGCTTAATCTACGGCTATGCACTGTCTCCATGTGATGTCCAAACACAACCTGATTGGTGACTGATGGCGTGGCCTCCCGTCTCTGGTTCCTTGCCCTGTTCTGGAATTATGCGCGCAAGCACACGTTCCAATGTCATTATCTAGACAGTCTCGGAACGTTGAGAGGGTTTTTCCTCTTTTTCATGGACGGTCAACCGTCGCTCCGGTGGGCTGTCGGGTTTTCCGGCGAGTTCCACTAGGACGGTCGCATTCAAAGAATGCAGCGGGATATGTAAGTGGCCAGTGGTAGGTCGTCAAGCGAGCATGGCTTGCTCTAGTTCCTTCTTTGACAGGGAACCAAGCATTGATAGGTGATGCCGTCGTCCGATACCTCTAAGCGGCACCAGACCTCGGAAGGCCAGGCGCTATTTGCCACAGGCCACCCGCGACTACGGAGTACTTACATCATGTCCGGCCCTTCCAGGAAGGTGCCTCATTCTAGTTCATTCCTCTGCCGTTTCTTATTTATGCTTCCAAAATCAGGCCTTCAAACTTCCGCCCTCTTATCGAAGAAACCGCCGATATCCTACAATCCTCAAGACTGATCCTTTTCCCTGAAGCTCCTCAGTCGAGTTTGCCACCAACTGAGCCGCAACTGCTGTGTCGATTACTCACATTCTCTGTTCTTTTTCCATATACCTTTTTCCATTCTTCCCCTCTCATAACCCCTCCCATATCTTCCCCCACTCAACATCATCATCATGCGTCTCATCGTTCGTGACGACGAGGATGCTGCGTGCTCCTTCATCGCCGACTACATTACCGACCGCATCAGCACCTTCCGGCCCACGGCCGAGCGGCCGTTTGTGCTAGGATTGCCTACGGGCAGCTCCCCGCTTGGCGTCTACCGTCGCCTCGTAGACGCCTTCCGGGCCGGTCGTGTCTCCTTTGCCAATGTCGTTACCTTCAACATGGACGAGTACGTCGGTCTCCCGCGTGACCACCCGGAGAGCTACCACACGTTTATGTGGACAAACTTCTTCAGCCACGTGGATGTCCGGCCGGAGAACGTGCACCTGCTCGACGGCAATGCCCCCGATCTGGAGTTCGAGTGCCAGCAGTACGAGGAGAGGATCCGTGCCGCCGGCGGCATCGACCTCTTTCTCGCCGGCATCGGTGAGGACGGCCACATCGCCTTCAACGAGCCGGGCAGCTCGCTCGCCAGCCGCACGCGGGTCAAGACGCTGGCCTACGACACCATCCGGGTCAACAGCCGCTTCTTCGGCGGCAACATCGACGCCGTCCCGCGCTGTGCGCTGACCGTCGGCGTGCAGACCGTTCTGGACGCCCGCGAGGTCGTTGCCGTCGTTCTGGGCCCACGCAAGGCCCTGGCGCTGCAGAAGTGCATCGAAGAGGGCGTGAACCATATGTGGACGCTCTCCAGCCTGCAGCTGCACCCTCACCCCATGGTCGTGTGCGACGAGGACGCCACTCTCGAGCTGCGCGTCAAGACAGTCAAGTACTTCAAGAGCATCGAGCAGGTCGCCCGCGGTCAGGGCTTCCACCAGGTCCTGCCCACACGTCTTCGTCACCCAACCGGCACGATCCCTTCTGCTTCCACCTCTGCTCGTACTCCGGCTTCAGCTTCAGTACCTACCCCCTTGGTCATCCCATCGCCAGTCAGGCCGCTTGTCGTTACTGTCGACGTCCCTGTCACACCGGATGCATCGCCCAAGACCTACTCTGTCCCCGGTCTTGATCCTGCCTCCAACGACGAGCTCGACCTCGTACCCGACCGCATGGGCGACCGCATCCCCGTGACCGTGGAAACAGCACCACAGCCGGGCCTCAGCGTGATGCCGGTGTACCGGCAGCGCTTGACGCCGAGTCCCGAGCAGCAGCAGCAACACCAGAATATTGCGTCTGTTGGTGCTTAGATCGATTGATTATTGTGACCCACGCATCAAGCTTTCAGTCACTCCATCTTCAAGGACTGCTTTACTGTACCTGAAAAGAGGCCCCGCACAGACTGACTGATATGCGAGCGGGTCGTCATATTTTGCCTTGATTTTATGGGTTTATTTTTAGCGTTGGGTTTTGGGAAAGAATGGGTGCATCGCCAAATTGAGACAAACACCTTAAGAACAGCTTCTGTACGGAGTAGACAGAAAAAAAAACGATAAAGTAATATTCCTGAATGTGACCTCCAGTATTGTGGGCTTCAGTCACCAATAGAAGGTGGCTCTATGTACAAATCCCACGTGGAGAGCAGGTAAGCGCAGCAACGCCTGAGACCAAGCTGTAACAGGAGTTCTATTCGCCGGATTCGGACGAATGCATGCGAAGGACTTTATTTGGCCACAAAAAAGCTGTCTACAGCACGGCTCGAACACGCTACATTATGGCCACTGACACGACCCTCTTTACAACTGCACCACGGAAGCTGTGCGAGGCCGAACAGGTTGTTGAAGAACATCGACCCTCGATGTGCGCTGGGCCGGAAAGGAAAGCTATTGTCGACACTTAGAAAAGCCATTGCAATTGATGAGGGCAGGGGACAGATCATGCAAATTCTCAAAAAAAGCAAAAGCGAAGCCCCCAGAGGACTTTAACTAATAGGGTGAAGGAGTCAATTATTGAGCTATCTCATAAAGGCTGCTCCCATATTTCGTCCCATTTGCTCCTTTTGTAAACATGGAAGTTTGTCCGGAGTATCTTACATACTATGTATCTGGCTATATGTCAAAATCATAATTCCCTACTTCTGTAGAACAAGCACACTACACAATGTAGCGGTATACTTTTTCCATCAAAGACAGTATTCGGCTGGCCATATAGTTCCTCTCAACAACCTCCTACTCGCCATCCCCAGCCTTATACCGCCACTCAGCGTACCTGTGAAGCAGGTAGTCCTTAGTCCGCAAGCTGTGCCAGATTCCTAGAATACCGCCAAGCGGCCAGATGAACTTAAGCTTCTCGCGCCACGGAATGGACGAGAAATCACAGCCGTCATCATCCTTGGCGCGCACCTTGTCGAAGACGGAGGGCAGGGCCTCGGCGGCACGGTAGCGAGTGCGCAGCACGTCGTACCAAGCGCGGCCACCGTAGAGATTCCAAAAATCATCCTCAGCAAAGTACGTGCTGGCATATAGCCACTTGCGGCCACCAAGGGCTGTCAACTTGTCTTCCAGAGCCCTGTTGCGAGCGCGAAACAAGCTGCGTGCCAGCGGGCCAGGACCCCAGAGGCCGATGTTAAGCATGTGGGTGTCTGCAATATCGGTAGACTTTGGGAGATTGGCATGGGTCCCCGCTCCGTATTCTGCTTCTCGTTCATCTGCAGAGCTCACCATCATGGCCGGGTGAAAGGTCGGACCAGGTCGCCGCCGCAGCGGACATAGCCACAGCGGCCAGATGCCAAAGGTGGCGGCAGTAAAGCCAACCAGGTCGGCAGCTCGGTCAAAGGGCACGGCCATATCCTGCAAGACAAATGCATGGGCACCGCTGCCCGCGTGCATGGCGCGGTACATCATGCGAGTGTGCAGGATATCGTCGAACAGCCAGCGTGTCAGGCGGTTGAAGGGAACCATGAAGAAGTAGAGGAACGACATTCGGCCGACCCAGAAGCCGCCACGGTCATAGCGGAAGAGGTATTCGGCCAAGGGGATGTAGTCGACGGCTGTGGCAGTGTTCTGCGCTTGATCTGTTCCTCTCGAGGCCGTTTTTTTGTATGCATGTAAGTAGAACCACGGGTCCCAGGGATCGCTGAACGTCTGCGGCTGCACGTTGGCCGGCTTGTCGTCTGTGAGCACGCCCCTCATGATAGCACCGTGGGTTGGACTGTACAAGATTCCGTCGACGAAGTCGGGAGGGTCGCTATCGTCCGCCGAAAGGCCCCTCTGCACGGCTTTGCGCACAGTAGCCACGGCCTCTGCCACACTTGATGTTCGTATATATGTGGTGCGCACCCATTTTCGGGCCTGAACGAGCCGAATCTCTAATAGGGTCACGGTGCCAAGGCTTCCCACGGCGCCAGCCGCAGCATGGAACAGATCGTGGTGCATGGTAGATGGCGAGGTCCCATCGACCGCATCCCCGCCATCTGCGGCTACCACGACAGCACCGTCGGCCAGTACCATTTCTACGCGAGAAACGGTCTCGTCAAAGAAGCCATGTCGGAAAGACGAGCTTTCTCCTCCAGTGCCAGCAAATCCGCCACCGGCGGTGATTCCGGGAAATTCCATGACAACCGGCGGCACCAGCGTGCCGCCGCTGGCACGCTGGATGGCGGCCACGAGCCGGTCCATAGGAACATTGGGCTCGACGAGGGCACAGCGACGGGTGGTATCAATTCTCAGGATGCGGTCGAGACCGGAGATGTTGAGCACGGCTAGTGGAGGCCCCTGGGTGGCATCGCGAGGCCGTGTGGTGTTGGTGGAGCCGTGGAAGACTCGGTAAGGCAGACCTCGATCGAAGAGCTCCTTGGCACTAGCGGAAACATATGCGACCATCTCGTGATGCAGTAGAATGGCGGCGTTTGTCTCGTCGTCGTCGTCATCGTAAGCCCATGTCGATGTGCTTGACCGTGTTGCGGGTAGATCGATGGAGTTCCTGACGAGTCTGATGGTACGCTGGTCCAGCTCACAGTCTGCTGATGCGAGGTCGAAAGAGCTGCTCATGATGTCTTTAGATAGGTGACTGGTGTGGTAGACTGTTTTAAAAAACGGTTGATTCTGCTATCTGCCTCCGACTTGCACTTTTATCGTCGTATTGGTCGGGTTGACTTTGAACTTTAAATACGCAGCGCCTCTCTCATGCGAATGGTCGCTTTCAAAGCCTCAATAAGTGGCGTGTGCAGTTGGGCAGCTTTGGGTGAGTCTAGACTGCGTGGAAGCATCTTGGCATGGGGAAAAGGGAGGCAGACAATGGTAACGCTAATTTCAGGATATTTGCATCTGGCTACAGATGTGCCTTTTAAGGAAAGAGCGACCGTCAGATGACTGTCCAGACATGAGTACAAAAGGCAACAGCGAAATCGGATATGAAGTTGCGTGTGAGTCTTGCTGACTAACTGAGGAACATCATAGTGGGAAATCAAACGAAGCCAAAGTTGACTTACGACCAAGCCATTCAAAGGCCATGGCTTCCAAACTCACAAACTACAAACCCAAAAGACACAAAACTGTTGCAAGCCATCTCTGCCCGGTAAGAGGCATGAGGTGAATCTGGTGCTCAGGGTAGTGAATGGGATGGTATAACTACCTCTAGACAAATTCGTTGACGAACGCAGTTGAACATACTCTGAAATGATACACCAGTCTGATGTTTTGTCCTTGAATGGCAGCCTGTCGTAAACTCTTGGGATACCCCGGATTGTCCAAGCAGCAATTCATACATGCGGCCCGAGTTTAGGCATCCCCCTTATCTTGCCTCTGGTACACGATGGACTGCTACGCCGATTTTTGAAAGTAAAAAGAGAACTGGTTATCTGAAGGGATGCTATGCGCCGGAGAGCCTGCATAAATTGAATTACATAATCAAGTGGAAGGCTGTGGAAAAGCCTGATAATGATGAAAGTGAAGATGCGTGTGAAAAAAAAGCAAGTCGCCCATATCGTAAAATTACACAGATTTTCCGTTCTGTTTTCCATTATCCACTCGTAAGCAACTCATGCAGTGGCTGTACCCCGACAGTCTACGAGCTGCTGCTGGCCGAGTGCACGCTGCTGGCGGTACCGGCGGCCGTGCCATTGGTGGTGCCGTTGGTGGTGGCAGCAGAATTGCCGTTCGTGCCGGTTGTCGACTTCTTCATCATGGCACGCTGCCACTCGGGGATGGAGGCCCTGCCGGCAGCGCCACTGAGCGGGGATTTCGACTGCGGTGGCGTCGTTGTGGGGGATGTCGGGACGGGAAGACCACTGCTGGCCGGCGTGGTAAGGTCAGAGGCCATGTAGTTGCCCATGAAGCCGGATGCGGGTGCGGGAACGGAAACAGGTGTAGGCGTGGACATGGCGGCATCAGTGTCGGGCTTGGCTCCGGCCGTGTACGTGCTGGTGACGGTGCTGAAGCCGGGACCGGCGCCGATGATGGCGGCCGATGGTGCCGGCGTCGGGGTCGGCGCGGCTGTGGCCAGGCGCTGGCCGACAAGCGTCTTGAGGCCCTTGAGCTCGGTGTTGACGTCGCGCAGCCGATTGTCGGTGACGTCGCGCTGAGCCTCGAGCGCTTTAGGCAGCGCGTCCTTGAGGTTGCGGACATCGTCGCGCAGCCGCTCGGCGTCATCCTCGCGCCGCTTGCCGGCTGCCTTGAGGTCGCTCAGCGCCGTCTCCAGCATCGTAAGGCCTTCATCGATGCGGCTTGTGCGCTCCTGCTCGGCCGCTTTGAGCGCCTCCGTGTCCTTGGCCAGCTGGTCTACCAGCGCAAACGCCCGCTCAAACTGCGCGTTCACCTCCTGCTTGTCCTGCTCGAGCCGGTCTGGCGTTGGGGGTGCCACCAGCGGGTAGACGTATCTCTGTGATTCGCGCGCGTCAGCCGTGTCCCAGCAACGGACCCTTGTCTTCCTGACCGCCAATCCAAACACCCACCTTGGTCAAGGAGTACAGGCCGTAGCCTACACCGCTCACGACGGTGGCCATGATAAACCAGTCGCGCCAGTCGCGGCGCGGAGCCTCGTGCGGTGGCGGCTGCCATCCATAGGGCGGATATGGTTGTTGTCCGTACGGGCTGCCGTAGTATGGCGGCGGTGCCACGGGGGAGTGTTGAGGAGCCACGGACTGTTGTTGCGGTGCAACCGCATACGAAGGCGCGGCGCCGTCGAGACCGGCGCGTGAGAGAGCTGCGCCAATCTCTTCGGGTGTCAAGTTCTTCGCTTTGAGGAAGGCCACGCGGCTGTCGGGCGGAGACGAAGCCACGTTCGGGTCTTGGAGGACTGTTCACATGCGGTCAGTTTGTTGCCAATTGTTGCAGGGAGCTGTTGCTGTTGTTGTCGGACGTCAACGTACATTTTGCCTATTGAAACGGTTAGCAACCGCGACGCAGTGGTTATGCCCCTAGAACCCTGGCAGGCGTCTCTTGGATGGAAACTTACCGCCGAAGCGACGAGATCCTCGCGGATCGCCATCGTTGCCAAATAGTACGCGCTCCTTATTCTGCTGTTGGCATCGACCAAAGCTTCACAAAATGGATGGCAGGCGCGCGTGGCTGTTTCAGGACGATAAAAAGACGCACAGCTGAGCCGATCACTCCTGGTAGATGGCTTGCTTGGAAGAGTGTCTGGTACAGAGGCGATAAGTGATGAATTCAGGTGGTCGTAATGGACCGAGGCCAACCCCAGGAATTGTACGCCGTATTTAGGATCACAGTCGCCTAGTCACGTGTCGTACGCAGCGTCCCTCGGCAAATGCTGATCGATGCTGTGTAATAACATGCACGTGACAGGAGCACGCGCTAGACCCTGTTTGTAGCCACCCCTCAGCTGATTATGCCCCACCATGCGCCATGTTTACATTCTCGTCCGGGCAACCATTTTTCTTTTTTGGACTTTGGGAGGGGGCTGTCTGTCGCAACTCTGCCACGTCTCTTCGCGATTGCGGTGACCTCTTTGTTTGTGCTTTCAGCCTCAGATCTGCGCCTCAATATCCCTACCACATACCGCTCTCTGCAACGCTGGAATATCGTCACGCCGACATAGCATAGAGCAGAATACGTAAGAATGGCCCAGGATACTGGCCACTGGAGCGTGAGGCGCACTCGAGAGGTGCGACTACGCAGGGTTCCTTCCGCCCCTCTCGTGCCTTTTGCTGACCAGATCGTCGTGCACGCAGACCCTCGGTGGCCTCACCCTGAACTCGGCCATCCCCCAGCCGCCGTCCGCAATGAAGCGGTCAAACTCTTCCGTCGGCCAGGGCGGCGCTCCCTTCTCGGCCAACCATGCGCGATCAGTCTCGGGATCACGGCACTCTCTTGCGCCCACGAGGCCGAGCCAGCCGCTGTTCCAGCGCTCTTCGACCGGCGCCAATCTAGTCGACCTGGGCCTCACATCGGCCAAGCGCTCGTCCATCCGCCCGTTCACACCAGGTGTGCCCGGACGGGCATCGATTGCAAACGACCGGCGAAGCAGCGTCTACCAGGGCGGACGGCAGTCGATTATGGGCGGCGGGATGGGTGGCGGGATGGGTGGCGGGATGGGCGGCATCACAGCGATGGGCGGCAGCCACCAGAGCTTCTTCTCCCAAGCACCAGCACCAGCAGGAGCAGTGCGCGATCCACGACCTCTCCGGGACCGCTCCTACTTGGCGCGGATTGGCCAGGAGCTGATAGAGTACATGACGCAGCACAACTTTGAGCTCGAGATGAGCCATACACTCTCACAGAACGTGCTCAAGTCGCCCACACAAAAGGACTTTGTCTACATGTTTCAGTGGCTATATCGACGCATCGATCCCAATTACAAATTCCATAAAAGCATTGATCAGGAGGTGCCCGTCCTGATGAAACAGCTCCGCTACCCGTACGAGAAGGGCATCACCAAGAGCCAGATTGCCGCCGTTGGCGGCCAGAACTGGGGAACGTTCCTCGGGATGCTGCACTGGATGATGCAGCTGGCCGTGATGCTGGAGCGATACTCGGTCAATCGCTACGACGATGCGTGCGCAGAGGTCGGTGTTGATGTGGTGGCCGATCACATCACCTTCGACTTCTTGGCACATGCATACCAGGACTGGCTGGTCATGGATGTCGACGAGGACGCAGCAGACGACGCGGACCAGCTGGCCAAGATGATGGCGCCACACATCGAATCGATGACCAGGGCGTTGGACCAGGCCTACGCGAAGAATGAGGAGGAGCTGGCCATTCTGGAAGCAGAGAATGCCAAGCTGCTCAAGGACATCGAAGAGCTGGAAAAGTCGACGCCCGATTTGGCCGTGCTAGACGACCACTTCAAGATCATGGAGGAGGACAAAGTGAAGTTTGAAGAGTACAACGAGCTCGCACTGCAGCGCTGCGAAAAGTACGAGAAGCGCATCCCGCTGCTGCAAGAAGAGCTGGACAAGCTAAACGAGGAGGTCAAGGAGGCCGAGAACGAGCAGCGCAGCCTGCGTCAGGCCGTGGATGACCAGGGCATCAGCATGGCGGATATCGACCGCATGACATCGGAGCGTGAACGGCTGCAGAAGGGCATCGAGGCGGCGGGACAGCGGCTGGAAGAGGCGAAGAAGCGGGTGTCGGACCGCGAGATGGATGCCAGCCAGCGACTGGACGAGCTGGAACGCATGGTGGACAAATACAACACGCTGGCCTACCAGATTGGCCTGATCCCAGCCACGGCAGCCAACGCCAAGGGCAAAGACTACGAGCTGCACGTCAAGGTGAACGACGGGCCCAGCTTCACGGCATCGCAAATGGGGCCGGGCTCCGGGCCCGGGTCGCTGTCGGCGGCGCTGGGTGACGCTGGTGGCAGCAGCATGGAGAGCGAGCGGCTGCTGGCCGACCCGGTGACGGGTTACCAGCCGGCACACATCCTCAACCTGGACCTGCGAGGCACGGTTAAGAACAGCTTCCAGGCCCTGCGCAAGGACATTGCCGAGCGGCGCAACACGGCGATCGAGACAATGATGAAGGACCACGATCTGCTCGACAACATCAAGGAAGCCATGGAGGACAAGCGCAACGAGGTGGAGGCGCTGGAGCACCGCGTGCGCGCAGCTGAGCAGGAGCACGAGAAGACCAAGGAGGTCACGACGGCACAGCGGCTGGCCTCGGACGCACAGATCGAGAAGATGGAAAAGGAGCTGGCCAAGATGCGCGCGAACCTGACCGAGTCGGTGCAGCTGATGGAGCAGCGCGAGATGAACACGAACATTGAGTGAGTGATTGGACAGATTGCGGATGCACGGATGCATGGGAGCCGGACTAACAAGGAGCCAGATACGAGCAGCTCACCCTACGAGCCAGTGCTCTGCGCGAGGAGCTGCACACCGAGATCATGCGGATGCTCAATGATGTGATCAAATTCAAGATGCACATGCAGAAGAGCCTGGAAGAATACGAGGAGTTTGTGACCGAGGAGCTGGTCAAGGAGCTGGGCCCCGAAGACGGAAAGGACGAGATGACGGGACTGGATATGTGAGGCTGATGAGGGGAAGTGTGTTTCGACCAGGGGTTTTTTGCATTTGCACAGCCATCATTCCGCTGTTTTTGTGTTTGTGTTTTTCCAATATCCCATTTTCCGTTTCCGGTTCTTCTTTGTCCTGCTACGACGGTCATGATATAAAGGGGGGCGGGCGTTTATTCTTTCTGCTTTCTTTCTCTTTCCTTCCTCTGTTTGTTTTCATGTATGCTCCAGATACCGGATGGGAACGGCAGGCCGCACACAGCTCCAATGTTGAGTTTGGTTTATGTTTGAAAGGGCTTGACTGCTTTAGGGCAGGAGTTTCTTAGTGGACATGGAGTTAGTACGGCAGCACTCTTCTTGCTCTTTGGCTGTAACGAGTCCCTTACATGGGGAGCACAGGTGGAGGAAAACGATATGCCGACGTATGGATAAACTTTGAGAGAACTGCAGCGGTGTGTTCAGCTGCCTATTTTCGGACTAGCGCAACCGTCTCCAACTGCGGCTGACACAAGACGAGAGTCCATTGCAATTGGGCGAATGAAGGCTTCCCATATTAAAGCCCCGCTTCCTTTTGGAGTGCGGCCTCTGGTCCAACGACAAACGAAACGTCCGATGTAGAACCAAGGCAGATTGACTGCGTGACCTCTAGGTCAGTCTTGCATCCCCGACGTATGAGGACGCCTGAGCTATGCATAGACTGTACTGACATGAGATAGAAGAAGAAGAGTCAAATGCGACGAGTATAGACCATGTCGTCAAAAAAGGTGTCGACACCGGAAGTACAGTTTGTAACGGTCAATGCATATAACGTTTAAGCGGGGCTCATTATGTCGGGGTGCTGATTTGCAAACACTGGGCCTAGTGCAATGAAGAAGTCAGGCAGATGCCCCATGTCAGCCCATACGGCAGGCAGTCTCGTCTTGGAGATTACTCCCGGATCATCTTGACACGACCGGAAATGCGGAAGCACAGAGCTGCGCTTACGACTATGGGCTCCAGCATACTGTATGGGTTCGGGAGGTCTCGCATCCGACTTGTCATCCCCGGGCTCCAAAATTAAATCAGCATCACCCTGCTGCCGGATCCTAACTCGTAGAGCAAGTACGGAAAAACACTGCTGCCATGGCTCAACCCTAGCAGTCTTCTCACGAGGGCACCGGACATGCGCACAGAGATTACAAGGATCGCTACACTAATACTTAATTTCTTCGGCAAGTGTCACATGTCAACTCAACACGCTCTTCCGCGGAAATCTGAGAAGGCATCCCCAATGTACTCATTAAAGTCACGGTGCATCCATCTTGGACTTGTTTCGGTGCTGTTTCTGCAGCTGCTCTTCTATCAGATACCGAGATATGTGCTCTTTAGAGCAATCGATGCCTCGCCAGATATCTAAGCCGAGCCGCGGACAGAAAGACCCAATTGCAGGGCGTGGCAGGGCATAGAAGAACGACCAGGGGGGTTTAAATTAAAAACTGGGACTTTAAGTCGAAGAGCACACCTAAACACTCTCACGAGGTGACGCAATCTCTCGAGGTTGAATTCGTACACTTGATACCCATCTTTAATGAAATACGTAATAGCTATTGCAGCTTGACGTTAAACGTCCTACAACGCGTCTTCTTAGGCTGCATTGGGAGCGCCTACATAGTACGGATAGACTCGGGCTGTAGAAAACTGGTCCAAAATTACAAGAGTGTCAACGAAGATTACATGGCTACTACATTTCCCGTACAGTCACGATACAGGCTCGTGTTTCAATCAGAAAATCGTTGCTTCAGAGTGTATACGGAGTACGGAGTATTTGACGCCCCAATTCAGCCGTTTGCCAGCCCTTTTGCGGTGGGTTCCTGTGCAGATCTGCAGCCAAGCACATACATAACATATTCTTTGTACTATAAAAGAAGAAGGAATCTGGTAACTTATTCCCCTGCCCGTCCTTCTTCCCTCGGCCCGTCGTGCTTCAGGGCGAGAGGCCCTGTCTGCCAAGGAACCGGGGTATCATCATCCATAATCTGAATACGGAGTACGTTGGGACGAGACTTTATTTTCCATCAAAGCAGACGAGTCAAATGCTCATCAGGCCAAAAATAGTTGCCGATCTGCCTACGATTGCGAAGAACGACGGCATAACGTCCGACGCATTGATTTCCTGCTCTGAACCCAAAATGCCCGTCGCAGCTCTGCGCATCCCATAGCCGGCAACTCGCGTCTAAAAATGAAAATCAAAGGACAAACTACCTAAATGAGGCAGTTCTAGTGCGTGCGGCTCCATTTATGAAGGCTAGCGTATGGGCACGTTCATGCGCAGGGATATACGACCGCGGTGACAATGTGGCGGAGTAGCAATGAGCTCCCCACACGATACGACGTACGAGTGTGGTGTGGCTTCCCCATACGAAAATTCGTATTTCGTCTTCCACATCTGGTTCGCCTGTCAAAAAGGGGAAAAGAGAAGCATTTGACTGTGGCTGACACCCCCACGAGTAGGCCTCATCGACATGGATGCCACTGGACTAATTTCCGCATGCCGTTGCACTTATGCAGCATGTGAAAGGAGACGTATACGGAGAATACTCCGTGTATATAATGCTTCACATGGCCGCATTGATAATCATAGGTTATTGCTAAGAATCATCGCATCTTCTATTTCAAAGCCAGTCGACGTTCGCATACAAATATGCGGTCATTTTCCATCATCGCGCTCTGCGCCAGCCTCGTTGGCGCAAATCCCGTGCTTATGCGCAGTGACAAAACTGTCGGTATGTATCTTGATAAGATCCGTCGAGAGAGTGCAGTACACTAATTATGGTTATTCAGTGGACAATGATACGTTCAAGAAAATGGTGTACTATCTTGGGTTCCCGAGATTCACCCATTATCTCGCAACGAATACCACCTGCGCTCCTGGCAATGGCGGTGAATTGATCGAGTACATCAACGTCACTTCGACAGATACCCAGGCAGCGCTTTGGAAGAGCACCAGCACCAAGGAAATCGTCCTAGGTATCCCAGGTACTTCGGGCGACCGGGATGTCTTTACCGATCTGGAAATTGCATTGGTCTCGTACAAGTCGCCCAACGTCGACTGTACTGATGACTGCAAAGTGCACGACGGCTTCCAGAAAGCGTGGAACTCGATTGAACCAGCCGTTTCGGCTAGTCTCGCAAAGGCCCTGAAAGCCAACCCAGGATACACCACCATCGTCAGCGGGCATTCGCTAGGTGCCGCAATCGCCGCTCTTGCGTTTGCCTCTCTGGTAAACGGCCCGTACAACGTCACCACAGCGTACACATATGGCCAGCCGAGAACCGGTAACCAGGCATTTGCCAACTACCTCGACTCTATCTCCGGAGCTTCAGACACCGAACCCGGCATTCTTTACCGCGTCACGCACAGCAATGGTAAGCAATGGTGACTTACTGGACTGCAGAGCCTGATCTGGACTAATGTCTTTGTGCTTGCAGATGGCATACCATTGGTCCCCCCAACTATTTTTGGCTACAGTCACTCTCGCACTGAGTATTGGGAGTCTACCCAGAATTCCACAGAATCGGACACATACCGTTGCAGCGGACAAGAGTCGCCGAACTGCATCAACTCGGTCTTCGGTCTTGGCACTAATAAGGCGCACACCAGCTATACGGGATACAATGCAACTTGTAGTTGAGCACGGGGCGAGCAAGAACCCGGACAAAACAGGACAAGTTATGCAGAGAGAGGATACGGCCCCAGTCGCGGAACTACAAAGACTGAGCTTCACAATGTGGAGTGGGCACAGCTAATCCCTTTCAAGCACGGAGTATTTGAAGTAACTATAGTATATATATTTAGACAAGGCAACGGCAATAGACACAGACGGCGTTATTTGGACTCAAGACCTGCGATTAACAGTGTTAGAAAGTAACCATGGCTTGTCCTTGTTCACGGTACGAACCGAAGACCTGGCTGTCTTGAGACATGTAGACTATGTCATGATGTCGGCAATTAGACTGGCTTTACTGTATCTGGGGCTGCGAGACTTCATGTACACACATCAGTTGCATTATCTCAGGCTAGAAAGGTTTTCGCATACAGATTGCAGGACATACGTAATTTGAGTATCACTGATTGATTAGGACTTACTCAATGTTTCAAGCAAATGACTCCGATCGTTAATACTGCAACATTTAAAGCGACCATAGTAGGATCAGGGCCGGAGATACGTTTCGGCCCTCCCTCGAAAGGAACTGGGCCTAGGAGAGTGAAATGTTTAGTCTTGTTGAAATGGAAGTCCGAAGGTCGCCAACGAGCTCATTGGCTATTATCACTTAACAATCGACGGCCAAGAAGTATGTTCTCGGATCCGATTTCCAATCCGTCACTATCATCCGATTGGTCGCCAGACTGGCATATGTCCGTCGTATCGTGTGCGCGTATAAGGAAGTACAATCCCGGAGCTGCCAGCATTGACCTCCCAAAGTACAGCACAAGTTCAGAAAAACCCGACAAATGGAAATCATCATCGTCGGCGCCGGGATTACCGGCCTCAGTGCTGGGATTGCTCTGCGTACAGCAGGACACACAGTGACGGTTCGTCCAGAATGTCTCAGTGCTGCCGATACTAACATCAAGGTCTAGATCGACGTATGCCACGTTCTGACATGTGCACTAGATCCTCGAGCAGTCCTCCCTGCTCCAAGAGACCGGAGCCGCCATTTCGATAGCACCGAATGCAACACCTGTCCTCCGCAGCTGGGGTTTCGACCTTGCCAAGTCGCGTATGGTCGGCATCAAGACAGGAAGCATCCTCAATGGCAGCAATATGCAAATGGTAGTACCCAAGTACTATGAGAATATTGAAAACAATTACGGCTTTCCCATCTACTCAGTACACCGCGTCGATCTGCATGACCAACTGAAATCACTGGCAGTAGGAGAGGCCGGGCCAGGTCAACCGTGCAAGTTACATGTTCGTGCCGCTGTGGTTGATTACGTAAGCTGCGCCTCTAACGAGTCCACACTCTCTCCGGCCCTTGCTGAGAAGGTACATAAGGATGCTGTTCATGCAAAAGTCACTACTGCCGATGGTACAGTCTGGCGGGCAGACATGCTTGTTGCGGCGAATGGCGTGCACTCGACGGCCCGAGAACATGTCTCCATCTCGGACGAGATTCCTGCTAGTGACACGGGCTGGGCTACTATGCGATGGCTGGCTCCGACGGGGTCATTGCTGTCAGACCCAGATACTGCATATTTGGTCGAAGAATTTACGCAGAGGTACTTCGTGGGTGCTCGAGGCGGGGGGTTGGTATGGTATCCGTGTAGGAAGTGCGTCCGAAACCTCTGCTTTTGATCCAGTGATTATTTGCTAAGTTGTGACCTTTCCGTTTACAGCAACGAAGTACAGAACCTCTTCTATCTCTCACAGTCGTTTGAAAGTGAGAGTATCACAGAAGGTATGCACACTCGACTCATGTGACGACTAATACTTTGCCAACATGAACGTGTTGTAGACTTCCAAGCAGGTATAGAGCCGAGCATGGTGATGGACTATGCAAAGAAGGAGTTTAGTGTGGCTCTACAAACTGTTCTTGTGTGAGTTTCGAGTCACAGGAAACCTGGCTACTGAAGCGTTTGACTAACACCCCAGTCAGGAAAGCCAGGGACGTCAAATTCTGGAAACTGGTTGCCAGACGCCCAATGCCTTCGCGGCAAAAAAAATCGCTTCTTCTGGTTGGAGATGCTGCTCATCCCATGCTTCCTTGTATGCCTTGCTTCCAAAATGCATGCGTTAGATCGAGTCGGTATTGCTTCTGACATTGATTAACAGTCCAAGCCCAAGGCGGTGGTAAAGCCATCGAGGATACTGCAGTAGGATAAAGTAACTCTAGCGGTGCGTCTCGAGCTCTTTGAGAAAGCCAACGCCGCACACCCTCTGCCACAAAGCGTCCGTGACGCTGCTATGAAGTACCTTCCCAAAGGCACAAGCTTGCAGAATCAAGACGAGACTATCAGTGTCATATTCTCCTATGACGTGATCGCAAAATCAGAGGCAGTCCTTGCTGCAAGTGTCTTGGAATAGGACGGCACGTCCAGTAGGGTGAAGTTTTTCTGAGATCTCTGGACTAGTCAAACGCTGAGGACATCGCCGAGAAAATAAGGCATCAGCTCGGGATAATTCTGCTATTATATACGTCTTAGCTTAAGGTACTTCAGAACACGGAGCGCGTGACTCTAAGTAGTCCGACAATGCAAGGATGTACAGACCAGGGCGTATTCGCACACATATTTTGGCTTCCATAAAGTGAAGTAAGCAGGCCAATTATAGTCTACAGATGAACAAGGTTTTTAAGTCTCATATCCTGACTGGTCGCACCGCTATAAGAGTTCTGACCGATTTTAAGCAAAAGCTTCTTCCTGCTATATCAGTTGAAAGAATTATCTTGATTTTCGGTGTTGACTAGATTTGTACGCTCATATCTATGTGCCCCTATTTGATAAGGCTCAAATATTGGCTTAGGAAGAACTTGAATGCCGCTCTTCCGGAAGTTTTTCCACTCTCATGTTGTACTCTCTTCAATCTGCAGTTAATATCTCGTTGCCTATCCACCTAATATGCTAATACGGAACACTGTCACCAATTGTCCAAGTGTTTTGTATTCTATTAGGGTCAAGAGAGTCAGAAGAGTGCCAAGACAAAGACTTACAACCAAGACGAGTCTGTAACTTTGTAACAAGGCAGCTTCAGGACATAGCACATGACACTATCCAAGAGTGTGAGACACGCCGGGCACCAGAAAATTAAGTCCAATGCCAACGAGCGATTCCCACAGCTGCGTACCACACATTTCCTCCAGCAGCATGCACACCGGCCACAGCTGTGGAACGAGCTCTGAGATTGCGATTCGAAAGTATCCGGGATACTCCAAAGATAACGGAGGATCGCCCTGGGGTGGCTGCTGGCCGACCTCGAACGAGGACGTCCTATCAACAGCCCAGACCCAGGGCTCCTGGCCTGTTACAGGTGATAAGAGAGAGTCTATCGCGTTCCTGTCCACAGCAAGAAACATGCTCGAGTCTAGGCCAGGCTGCACTAGTCCTTCTTCCTGGATAGCGACGTAGTACCTGTAGAGGTTAGTTTCCTTGATATTTCTGCAGTGTACAGTTCTGACCAGACTTTGTTGATACGTACCAAGCTGTACCACAGAATCCTGCCATGTCTAATTCCTCGTCTTCTACAAAGTTGACAAGCAGATTGTCCATGATCCTCTCGCCGCCTTCCGCCTTGGCCAGACTCAGGTCTAGGTGCTCCGTAAAAGAGTCCTTCCATCGCACCCAGTCTTCCTCGTTGCCGTAGTCGAGCCGCATAACTACGAAGCCAAAGTCATTTAAGCCGACCTCCTCCACGATCCGCACCACCAGGTCTCCGCCCTGGTTCTTGTACACACTTTCGATTAGAGACTCCTGCTCCTGTGGAGTTAAGACGAGAGCCTCGTCGGCTGTCGCAGCCGCAATGCTCTCTTCAGTGCTTTCAGGGGGCATGTTCGACATATTTGGAAGGTTACTGAAGGCATAAATGTAGGCTGGCCAGAATTCTTAGAAATCACGGATTAGAAATGCAGATAACTGTCAAGCATTGGAATCCGCCACACTGTGGCCCTTCCGCCCCACTTGGCCGTACGGGCCTGTGATTGGTTAGAAGGCACAAAAAGCGGGGGCCTGGCACTAGTATTAATACGGATCCCCAGAAGGGTCGCGATGTATCTATTTCTTCCTTAGTACTCTGTACACAAACACTCTTTCGCCCACACTAGACCCTATTCAGCCTCCTGCTCCTCACAGTGCATCACGTTATATGACCGCTACGTATAGCCTCCTTTAACCTTCACAATAACCCATAGTTGCGACATTTCCGAATGGAAAAGTGGGGAATTTCGGCAAAACAGTAAGACACTGTAACAATAACTACAAAAGTACTCCGTTCTAGTGCGAGAAGGATGCTGCAGCTCCGGATGCAACGCGCGATGCTAGTACAGACAACCCAGAGAATACGCGGGACTCTATCAAGCTTATCTAGGTCATTCGAGTCGCAAGAATTAAGACTGTAATTCCTAGATATGCCCCGGGGACAGATCTGTTCCGAACAAGTGCTACCTTCCAGATTAATATGATGCCGTAATAGCCGGTCAGTCCAAATATGATACCAAGCTTCAGTCTATACGAAAGCAAAAACCTAAGCAGAGGCTGGCATAAAATGGCGGATAGACTTACAGAGCGCATAGAACGACCGAGTAGGAAGTTATCTGCCTCTCCTGTTATATATACGACAAGGCTTTACGTGGTAGGATTACAACATGTTGGCACATGTCAAAGTAAGAGGTACCATCTTCTTCGCTCCACAACGTAGGTAGGTGCTGGGGATACTTGGAAAGTTACTCCTCAATTCGTTCTTCTGGCTAACATGTTTACTCTCCCCGGCTCTTCTTCTTTGTGTCTTTCTTCTTCTTCTTGCCCTTGGTCGGTGGAGGCGTGGGCTCCTCACTGTTGCTCTCGCTCTCGCTCTCGCTCTCGCTCTCGCTCTCGCTTTCACTCTCCACGCTGTCATCAGCTTTGTCGTCGACCCCACTGTCCTCATCTTCACTGCTGTCGGAGCTCATATCTGGCGAGTTTGAAGGTGGGCGCCTGTTGCTAGATTTTGACGTGTACTTCGATCTGGATTTAGCCTTGGACTTTGGTTTGGGCTTGTCCGGCTTGTTTGTCTTCCTTGCCGTTTCTGTCCGCAAGTCTTCCGATGCAGGAAAACCGTCAAAGCGAGTCTGGTGAGTCCTGACCCAATGCTCGTCTGTACCGCGCACCCTGGTGAGGTAGTCGTCGAAATGGCGGCTAGCCTTGGCGACAGTTCTGAAATGGGACTTGTTGAGCTGGGGTCCGTCGGGATGCCGAATTCCGCCAGGTGACTCTTGGAGGTGGTCCCACTCAGCCAATGCTACGGCTGTCTGGAATGCGTTCCTGATCTGCCGGCCGTTCCACCGGGTGCCTTCATCGCTGGTGTCCCAATGTTTTTGGGCAAACTTCTCGATCTCCTTGCGGCTGAAACGCACCTTCAAGGCCGGATCGGAGCTCGAATTATTCTTTTCGAGCTTGTCGAGATTCATTTTCCAGATCTTCAGGCTCTGGTCTTCGGTCAGGGGAGGATAGTACAGCGCGCAGTGGACACGCGACTTGATAGCCTCGTCGAACGAGCCGACCCGGTTGGTCGTCAGGATCAGGATGCCTGGGTAATATTCCATGACGCGGAGGAAGACTGCAGGAGTTAGGCTGAAGGAAGCTGTAGACAATAGGAAAAGAAAAACAAAAGCATATAAAACCTAAACTTACCAGACACAAGACTAGTCTGCCGGATATCACCTTTTTCCCGTGCAGCAAGAAAGACGTCAGCCTCGTCAAGAAGCAGGACGCATCCCCACTTCCGGGCGAGCTCAAAGAATGACTCGAGATTCTTCTCCACCTCGCCGGCCGTCGTCGCCCCGAGGTCGCCGCAGGTGATGGGCAGAAGTGGACAGCCGACCGTTTGTGCAACGCACTCGGCCGTCGATGTCTTTCCAACGCCCGGAGCCCCGTGCAACAGAATGACGACGCCCTTGCCTTTGCCCTTGACCACATCGAAGTCGTGTCCGGAAGGGTCCGAGCCGGACCTGCCATGGGCAGCTGCCTGTCGGGCAGCATGCGTACTGACCAGGGCACGAACAATGTTCTTGTGGCCACGTGGCAGGATGAGCTTCTGGAAACCGTCGTTCTCGCCTTGACGTATCTTCACGACATCCCCAATGAGATTCACGTCCAGAGGCACTACAAGGTCAGAAAAAGGAGAGCACCATTGGAATGGAAGCATGGAATGCGTGAAACCTACACCACTTGCGATTAAGCAATACGTATCCATACACTCTGCCTGGCAGAAGCAGAAGACAATCATCGTCGAGAGTCCCAGGCAAGCGCTTCTCGGCGAGATGAGCTATGCGGTTTCTGAACTCGATCCAGCGCCGATCCCCAAAGTTGTTCTCCTCATATGATTGCCGTTCTATGGGAACTGGGAACCGCACCATTATATCTACCTCGTCGTCAGAAATCTGCTGGCGCCTACGTGCCTCGTCCTCTGGATACGTGGGAAATTCTTCGAACTGGGGCGTATCAATTTTTGGCTCGCTGTTCTGGTAGGCCAGCTGAAAGTCGACGATGACGTCGCTGTCGATCTGTTAAGGATAAGTCTTAGTCCAGTCGACGCAGAGGAGGTACAACGAAGCCTACCTCTTCGAAGGAATCGAACTTCTCGCCCTGTTTGAGACTAAGTCCCTTGTATGTCTTGTGGCTAGTTTTGTGCAACGAATGCATCTTTCTACCGCGTTCCAGGAGACAGCTCGGAAGGCCCCGGGAGGCATAAAACAGCGGGAAAACGCAAAGGCTGACAACAGCTTGGGCACCAATGTACGGCCGAATTTTGAAGTCCGTGTGCACAGGACCGAACTCCTTGCCATCATAATCTAGATGGAAGCACATGACAACCAGGTCTGCGATTTTCCGTCGGATGCGAGTTTTGGGACCAGACAGTGGGCTGGTAGTGCTGCCTCCATACACCCGAGTAACGCGATAGGCCTGGGGATAGGGGTTTAGCCGCACTATCGTATCGCCAGGACCAAAGAGGTAGTAAAGATGAGAGAAGGGCAACTCAGGCACAGGTACAGCGTCGCGGCTGGGGGCTGTCCTATCGTGCTGAACTCGTTTCGCCGTCTCAGAAAAACCGCGTAAGTTCGTGTCAAAAAGGACCATCAAGGCCCGAAAGCCGTCCAGCGTAATCCTAGCACGACTTATGGAATCGATCCTTGATTCCTCATCCAGGTTATCGACGGCGACGCTGAAACCGGCAAGCTCATAGAATTCTGTTCGGAGCACTGCCAGGTGGCCGGTAAAGCGGCTTCGTATCTCTGCGAACTCGGTCTCCTTTTCGGCATAAGCTTTGCGGATCTTCTCCTCAGCCAAAAGCAAGACCTCAAAGGGTGCACTGTGGTCACTTTCCACATCGCAATCACAAATGCGAGACAGCTCTATACATAGGAGTCTGTTAACAAGGCGCAAACAAGTGGGCGTCTGCTTTCTCGCGTTCGTTCTGGCTGCCTCTAGGCTGCTACCACGACCCGGGCATAGGGTATCTGACCCCTGGTCTACGCTTGACATGTCAGAACTGCTGACATGGGAAGCAGGAATGTCAAAAGAGTCCAGGGCAACGAGGAGGTGAGTTCTCGTGGCATGCGGTGCCGATTTTTCAAATTCGTCGTTCTGCACATAGGTGATGCCCTCGTCGGTCCTGAGAAAATGCTTCTCCACGGTTTTGCGTTCCCTCTTTATACTCTTCATTTCTTGCCGTCTTCGCTTTATTTGTCGGGTTTTTCCGTCTAGCTTTACGTCTATGGTTACCACGCTATCGCTAGAGTGGGAGGAGCTCGTTCTCTCCGTTGAGGCGTCTGACTCGCTCTGGTCGGCATTGCGGTCGTGAGTCTCTACATAGGCTGACGTGTTTGACAGGTGTGGCAATGAATTAGTAGAGATCACAGGCGTGTCCTGTGAGATATCGGAACTTTCATCCGGAAATACGCCTGATGGTAGTCCAGGTGGCAGTCCAGATGGCACTTCGGGCCTTCGGGGAAGAGAGTCAGACTGCACATCCTTCATCTTGCTCCTTGAAACTTTAGATGAATGTTCGGGGACAGGGGCAATAAAAAAACACTATTGGAAGACTGCAGAGAGTCCTGATTCAGTGGTGGCATGTCTTTTCTGACTCGATGTGTCATAGGAAGTCCGATGACAAGTTACAGACGATCGCATAAGCCCAAACTGAGAGGGGAAGCATATTTCATAGGTGGGGTTTTGCTGATATGTTAGGCTCGACACTCTGTTGACCCCTCTCAGTTATCATGCCCCTCTATCTTGCGTCTTGCCAGACGAATATTAATCCGTACTCTGTAGAGAGCTACTGCAGGCAGCTAGTCCTAATCGACGTGGCGATGCGACGCTGACGCTGCAGGATGTGAGGCTGATCCTCAAGCTGGTGGACGAACGAATCTGAACAATTATAGCCACAAATTGGTAGTAGAAATGAGTTTGCGGCCCTTTTCTTTCTTTCATGTCCGTTTCCCGGCTTGGGCATTATCCGAATAATGGCTTCTACTCCGCTGTATGTGGATTCCGGTGGCGACGTTGCCGAGCTGATGGGCGAAGGTGCGCGTCTGAAGAAGGCCGCCCGCACGCTCAGCCTAACATTTGCAACCTCCCCCGACAGTCCACTCGATGGTTCGCTGCACCCATCGCTACAGGCCGTCAAGGTCGCTGTATCTGCCCCCCTCAGAACACTAACACGCCGTTTGACACAACCGCTGGCTCCGAAGGACGAACAGCAAACGATTACCGATAAGCAAGTCTCCACCGAGGAGCGTCTCTTCAAAGAGGCCATGAAAGAGTACGAGAGCACGGCCAAGCCAAAGTACCGCACCGGCATCGACCCAGAAGCCACGCACACTTTCAAGGAGCTTGAATCAGTGCTGGCCGATGCGCTGAAGACGTCCCAGCCGACCGGCGGGGCTTGGGGTCGCATAGAGAAGGCGTTTCAGAAGCTGGGCGAGAGCAAAGAAAATCTGGACAGCTGGCTGGGACTGCTGCCGAGCGAGTCTGAATACTTTTCAATCGTGTGTGGTGGGCTGAAGATGGTCGTTTCGGTAAGCCGCCCATTTGTATACTGCGGCGAATTGCATCTTCCATCTGGATCTTCGGTGCTGACAATGAAGGCGGCTGCTCGCATGAGCCATGTCAAGGACGCCGTCATGGAGGCGTTGCTGCAGATTCCCTTCCTTCTCAACAGCGCACAGCGCGTGCTCGCGATCTACGACAAGAAACCGACTCTTATAGCCCTGAGCAAATCCTTTTACGTCTCTATCCTGACGGCAATCGGCCACATCCTCCATTATCTACGACAGAAATCTGCCAAGAAGGTACTGAAAGCCATCGTAACACCGACTTCGTTCGAAAAGGGGCTTCTCGCAAAGGTCCAGGCCATAACCACGGCACGAGACGCCTTCAACGCCGAGGCAGATATCTGCCAGAAGGAGACGCTGGACGAGCTGGCCAAGGCCACGGCTGCCGGAAACGCACGGATTCTCGATACACTCCACGCTGTCATAGTGGCTGCCAATAAGGAATACAGCCGCGTGTTGCAGGTGCTGCAACATAGCTACAACGCCATTGAGCAGAACCTGTTTCAGATCAAGGACCACCTTGTCGACGTTAGGGAGACGCAGAACCGACAGGCTATCGCCTTAGACGAGCAGACCGAAGCAATGAAACATTTGATGGAGTTTATGACAGGAAATGCACAAGTGCTACGAACTGTCGAGGCCCTAAGTGAGCGTTCCTGTGTTTGCGTATTAAAATAGCGCAACGCTCCGGAAGCTGACGAAAACATATACAGATGCCCCATTGAATGATCTAGCTGGGGCCGACATTCGCACATTTCGGCTGGCTCTACTGGCACCCAAGGCGGACAAAGAGGGTAGGTGCTTTTAGTATGAAATTGGCACAAACAACAAGACGTTGACTGACATTTGGACCAGAACGCGTTGCTGCATGCAAGACACTTCTCCGAAGACTCGACTACGACCTCGCTGCTACCAGTGCCGACCTTCTGGATATGTATAAGATAGGCCCAACGATTGTGGCTTCTACTCCGTGCACCACTAGTCTGTCACGCACGTTCTGCGTGATCACCAGTGTAAGACCCGTACGGTAACCCTTGTGGGATATTCGTCCGGACCAGTTGCACGTATCGTAGTAAGCTCTAAGGCCTTCAGAAGATCTAGTGATGGTATTTCGTTCGGTGGTTGACTGATTGAAGACCAGACTGTGCGCAGTATGCGCGCAGATCAGGGCTTCGTCTTATCTAGTAATTTCGGCGGCCGAGGTCAAGTCAGGTGACCTCGGGGAAATCCACACGATGAACCGCGATGATCAGGAGCGGAGTGTTCACGTGACTCGGTCAGAGCAGTTGGCTGCGTGGGTGTCTGCGCCACACTCAACGGCACTGCTGGTGAACGGAGGCAGCCAAGCAGCAATGCGCTGCTCGGCAATGTCGTTTGTGTGCGCAAGAATGGCAGCAGCACTGCTGCACATGCGCTCGCAGGCCAAACCCGATGTCGTGCCGCTGTACTACTTCTGCGGCCAGCACATTGCCAGCGGCAGCCGAGGCGGTTACCAGGATATGGTCAGCGGCGTGGCAAATAGCCTGCTAGCACAGCTAGTGACAATCTGTGGCGAAACGGATGAGGAGGCCGGCGTGGACGTCCGGCCGGCCATCGCCCTGGGAAAGGTCAAGCACGATGATGTGAAGTCGGTGCTGCGTCGTTTTCGTGCTGTAGTTCTGCAGCTTCCTGCAGATACGATCGTTTTCTGCATCGTCGACGGCCTCTCTCTCTATCTGGGCGCGCAGAGGACTGAGGCTGCGGCCGAGCAACTGCTGCATGGGCTGCTTCGCCTGTCACGTGACAGCAAGTCGCGCAAGTCAAAACCGACCTGCACCTTCAAGTTGCTGGTGACAGCCCCATACCGGTTTAACCCTCATGTGGCGAGCGAGATCGCAGAAGAGGAGGAGACGTTGAACGTTCCCTTGCGGCTTCCTCTGTCCGGGGGCTTCAACGAGATGAAGTGGCATCTGAGCATAGGACAGTTGCTGGACGAGACATCTGAGTCTGAATAGAGGGAGGTGTCGGTTGTGGACCATAGATCGATAAAGTTCGGTGTATCTAAACCTTATATATAGAGATGAACCAAAACCTTTGGGCTGATTTCATCCCGCTTTGTGCGGTGTCAATCGTCAGCTTCAGCTTATTATATGTTTAAGGGCGGCACGAAAGCAACTCGTGTCTTCGATTGGGTGTACTCCGAGGGGGGTATAGGAAGGTTGCTTATCTCGTGATCTTTGTGGCATCAAACCATGGCGCATTTGTGGTTGGTTCTGATTACATTGTTGATAGAGGATCTGTTATAGCTGTAAATGTGCGTCTAGATATGGCACAACTCGAAAGTTAGTATTCCTTAGAAGAGTCGACACATGGGATATTATTTTGCGATTTGCGATGATAGGCCCCCCGCTGCATCAGCGATAGATCGCTTCTTCCACGAGGGACGGGTGTCTGATTTTCACCTCTCGGGCATGTTGCTTGATCTTGTTTTGAAGATGATGTGGTACTATAGCCTTTCTCGTGGGCTCACTTGATAGAAGCTTTGTGAGAAATAGACCTATGTTATGGCGTAGCTCCTTAAAAATTGGATAATGACCGACGTGAGCCATAGTAGAATGGTACCCCACAAATCACAAAACCTGCAAAAGCTTCCAGCTGATGTAAAGACATTTCAAAAGCATGAAAGTCGGTAACTCACCGCACTTCATTGCTGACGTCTCTTTCGGACGGAATAAAGTATTGTATTTGTACGAGATCTCTACTTATCGCTCGGTGTATTTCTCACACTGTCTATGCATAGTCGGGAAGTGAGAACTGAAGCCAATCGAGCTTAGTAGCAAAAGTCACGACTAGATTATAACAACGGTGTCTTGCGAGCACGACGGCATGTTCATTCTCACTGTTGTCAAAAGAAATTCGGCAATTCTAAAGCATCTTGTGTTATTGTTCTGATCTTCAAATCCAGACAACAAGTTTCGGCAACCCAACTGTTCATAGACTGACTATCTTCTTGTATTATCATCAATCCAAACCCGTAAGATCAACCACTTCAATATCTGTCTCTGCCTTTCTCTTCAGGCCTCGTGCCGGCACAGATGGCCTAAGCACAGGTGGCCCAGGCACCACTACCGCCTGAGGACTGACCTTCCATTCAGACCACAGAATGTCTTCCATATGAAAGATGCGTAGATACTCCGCTCCGAGGAGGGTACGCAATTTTTCATTGGGAAACGAGTGCAGCAGCTTCTCTGCCTCGGTTTTTCGTGCTAGCCAGTCTTTCCGTGCAGCTTCGTGTTTCGTGGACGTCTTTCTTACCACCAGCGTCTGCGGGTTGCCAAGCCGCTCGGTGACGTGCTGGCAGTCGATACGGGCCCCATCGAGCACGTTGTGTAGGTGCTGCCGTCGGCGTTTGCCGATAGCGAAGCGGCCGACGCACAGCTCAGAGTTACCAAGAAAGGCGTTTAATCTGGCGCAGTCGCCACATTGACACGGGACTGTCGGTCGCTGAAGCGTACGGCCTTCATCCGTGACTTCTTTGCAGACGTGGTACTTGAGATACGCATCGAGAAGCGCCACAAATACCTCTTGATACTGTGGCGTTGAAAGTGGGACCGAGCTCTTCTCCAACACAGGGACGAGCTGCTGAAGGAACGGGATCCACAGAGAAACAAATTCTTCCGGTCTGATCTGTTCCGCCGCTCTGCTGATTCTCTGCGCCAGCCTCATTGCCAGGTCGCTGATTGGCAACAGGGAAAGTAGGTCCTTGTAGAGCTCGGCGAGCCACTTGCTCCCTATCGCGGGTGCCTTCACCTTGGGGGTTGGGCTCTGGCAAGGTCAGGTATGCATCATAGTAGTGCCGAGCCACCTTGGCAGGACGGGAAGACACTGCGCCTGCCTCCGCGTTCAAGCTCAGTATATCTAGGGATGTGATCAGAGATGTAACCAGAAGCTCGTACATGTCCAACCACAGCTTCTTTTCGTCGCTCTCTCGTCTACTCTCCTCGGCAATCTTGCTTAAGATTTCGAGAAAAACTGGCACGTGCGTTGTTCGCTTCGCCAGAAGAGGCACAACTCTGCACGCACTGTTTAGCTGTCGCTCTGCCGTCTATGTGGGATGCAGATGCCCAGGACTCACCGCGTTCGTATGTGTTCGACATTGTAGCAACGAGTGAAGACTGTGATTAGCAATCTGCCGTCTAGGTTTTCAAGAGTCTTTGACCCCAATGTATTTAGGACTCCATCCAGCGCTTTGAGTGCCCAATCCTGTTTGCTATCGGTCCCTGGTTGGGTATTCGGCTTCAATATAGTGATGGAGGTGATTGCCAGAAAAGCCTGTCCTATACGTGGTAAAGACAGCACTGCGTGGAGTAGCCTGTGAAATTAAAAGTTAGAGACGCCTGCTTCTGATAGGGACGGTGACTTACGGCTCTTTGACGTCCGCAAATGGCAAGCCGTTTGCCAGCTCTCCTGTGATCCACTCGTAAAAGGTGTCGGTGAATCCGTTTTTGGTATTTTGGACCGCCTTGTCGAAGAACACCCAATCCCTCATCTGCACTGCAGCCTGAAGAAGAAGAGTCGCCGCTGGCCCGTCCACATCCTTCCGATACCGTGATACAGTCACTGGAGGCTGCCAGGCCCGGTTGCATAGCTTCTTTAGTAAGATGAGGTGAGCCTCATCTCTGAAGGGGTCTTCACATTTGACAGAGTAGTACGAGATAAGAGAACATAGGTTTTTGAAACCTGAACCGTAGAACACCTCACTTTCTTTGCCGAGAGCTGAGAGCATGAAGTAATGATTGGATCTTTGCCGCACTAATACAACGCCCTAGTACAAGCAACATGTTAGTTTGGTAACCGTTGAGGTCGAAAGACAAGCATTACGTACCGAGACTAGGTAGGCATGAGTGGCGCTTGGACCTCCCTGTGTTAAGGATGGAGTGTCAGCTAAATTTCTTCAACGGTGAGGCTTTGTCCTGCTGGGAATTACAACTCACTTCATTTCCGGAAAATCCCTCTGTAAAGTCGATCTCTTTCACACGACCATTGGCGAAAGCACCCCGGACTAGTAAATCCTTCTCATACAAGACGAAACCCTCGGCCAAATGAGTGCCGTTTAGATCGACGAGCTTCTTGAATGAGTGCGTAGTACTGATAATATCGATCAGACCATGCAAGTCACCACCGCCTCCATCCGTCTCGTCGTCCTCATCATCTTCATTGCACCTGTTGCGCACAAGCTTGCTGTAGTGGCCATAATAATCGCCGCCGTCACAGCTTCCCGTGTCTTGCTTTTCCAGGATTGCCAAAAATATATCCACCGGAAGCTTGGATGAGATGTCTCGCAGGGCCTGGACGACGGCCATATCTCTGCCTTTGAGGGCTTGGAGAGAGATGCGAGCCTCGGTGTAGTTGTGATCAAGGGTATAGACAGGACTTCCACTCCCGCCTTCGATCCATTGCTCGACTGCACTGAAAAGATGTGACTGCTGCTCGTGGCCCAGCCGACTAGCAAAGGGCGGATCTGCAGCTGGATCAACGAGAGTCATGTTGTAGGTGAGAGCCCACCGATAGCCCATTGTGACCGGGAGAACTTCGTGCTGCACGTCCGAATACCAGCCCATGAATCCCTGCGCCACATGAGAGGACGCAAAGACCTTCTTCTCGCCGCGGTGCCTCAAAACAACTTCGCCTCCCTGGTGAATAGAGGGAAGTACGATGACGAGCGTGCCAAACATGCCGGGGATCTTGGGAGAACTAGCAATCCATTTTCCATGTCAGCAATCTACGTCCAAGCTTATTGCGACTGCTTAGGCAGACTCACTCTGTATGTGCCTTGAACATGGCACCTTTTTCGTATAGCAACATCTTGTATAACTCCGCGCGAATAGGCGAGACCACCCCCAGGCTCTTCTTCACGCTCGCCAGCACAGTTTCGAGGAGGCGCTCCCACGCAGGGCCCTGCAGCTCAAACTGGCCCGCGTCCAGCTCCCAGGTGCTGCGGACAGACGTGTCCACAACCGTCTCCTCTCCTTTGCCGTAGGGTGCCTGGCGAGCCTTCTCGATAATCTGTCTGGCCTGTGGCTCTTGTAGCGGCATGGTAATGGTGCCGACATCTGGAACGGCGAGTCCTAGGTTCAGTGACGACAGCGAGTTGAATGCGGCGAAACTGCCCGCCGGTTTGATGGCATCAAGGGTGCGGCGGAGGAAAGGGTGGGGGCTGTTGGAAGTGTCGTGCCGTTCCTCATACGACGAGGTATGCGAAACAGGCGAAGATGTGATTTCTGATTCCCCAGATCCGTCAGAGATATATATGTGAGTTCGGCCAAAGCCTCTGGCCCGCCTGCACCAGCCATGGCCATTAGTACAGATAGTAAGAGTGTCAAGACAAAGCTTCGCGGAGAAAAGGCGGGGGAGATCCCTGAAGGCGTGATCCTTCGAGAGGGAGGAATGTGAGATAATATGGGGAAGAAATGCTCCGTTTGGAACCTCTGCACATGAAAGCGCGTCTGGACGCGTCACAGCAGACCCTGTTAAACTCGCTGATCTGGTAGTGTAGAACTGTGGACCCGCTCATGTCCCTGGAAGGTGTCCGATTAAAGCTACTAAGCAGCCTTAAGCCACTGTAAGCTACTCCGTATTACGGAATAATATGTATTGATGGCTTCTAGTATATAAGGCGTAGAACGAAGTAAATGCACAATGAAACGATTACTAATGTAGTAATCCAAACCGTTTGTATTATCACGTTCCAACGGCGTCTAGTTTTCTGAGCCATGAACTAGCATCCGAATATGTGCCAACGTCCAACTGCAGTCATTTTGGCCGTTTTGTTGGTCGCAAACACCCGTTGCTACTAGTCGCTCCTAGTATACCTCACAGTCATAGAACTCATCTTCCTCTTCATCATCTACTTGGTCATGATCATTGACCTGGCCTATGTTTCCCTTCGCTTCAAAACCACGCGCAGCGATGCAGCCTTCCAGATGCAAGATCACCCTCTTCAGTCTATCCCCAGCAATTCTTTGGTACTTTTCATCTTCCACAAGCATATGAGTAACAGCCTGTTTCTCGAGACGGTCCAGTTCTGCTCGCTGATCCACTATCCACAGCCGAGTCTCTTCTTCTTGCTGCTGAAGAAGCAGCTTGTGTTGTCGAAGATCGGCAATCACCAACTCGACATTTGATTTGAGCTGTGACATGGCTTTGGAGTACGACTCGTCACCCAGAGTCTTAGAATAAAGCTCTGCCGCCTCTAAGAATCGCTCGATCCCATCTGAGTCTGTTCGCAAGCGGTGAACCGCTGTATGCCGAATGTGCATGACGGATTGAAACACTTGTCCAGTCAGGGCTCTGACAACGACCGCATTGAGGACTTTGGATCTTTTGAGAATGATAGGCCACTTATTGAGCTCAATCGACTCGGGGCAGTTCCAATTTCTCTTCGCCAGAACATCCGGCATCATCCGTTCTCCAAATCCAAAAGATACCCGCTCCAGATGCATTTGTAGCCGCTCCATAAGCAAATGCTCAGCATCAAATGGAAAGCGTATCGGAAACAGCGACGGGATCGAAGAATTGGCACGTAAGGAATGTGTATTAGCGTCTAAGATTTCGTTAGAATTCGCACCTCTGTGTTGTGGATATAACTGACCATTCTCTCCTTCCTCTTCTTTTTCGTCTTCGGCATGTGCTTCGTCGCCTTGGTCTTCTTCATCTTTTACTTCTTCTCCAACCTCCACCTCTTCCTCCCCTTGATCCGTGCTGCAATTACTCCTGACTACCTCTTCAATGGTAGTCTCCTCACCCTGGGAAGGTTTGATCTCAAAAATAGTAGCTTGTTGACTCTGGGCAGGCAATTTTGTAAGTAGTTTGATGCCCGCTGTGCTCGATCTCCCTTCAAATTCGTACATTTTATCCTTGAGCAGGTTTTGAACAGTTATGCATATAGTTTCGATACCGTATTGATCGACCAACTTTCGAAGGTCGCTATCTTTGTCGCAGCTTTGTGTTGTAATGACTTTGCGAATCGCCTTCAGCTTCTTCTTTCCATTTTTTGTGAACGTATCTTTCGTTGCTAAGTATACTCGATCGTCATCCGGCTTAGAACATGAACTTGCGCTCATTTCGGTAGCGACACTTGATTTAGAGACGCGGAGTTCACCTACGAAGAACTAAGTTTGGGCGCAATATCAAGAAGACTGATTACGTCGTATGCGCAGTCTAACACGTAATGGTGGGGCCGCTGAGCCTGTGAGAATGTGTTGCGCGGTGGTGCACGGACCACCTTCAGTGCAGAGTATCCAGCCCAGACTTCCTTTAATAGCTGTCTTCTGACTACAACGATCTTCGCCTCGTCAGAATGTGGAGGTGAAGATGGGAGTGCAGAGTATGCGGGGTAGCAATAATAATTGCAACCCGAAGTCGTGATATCGCCACCTACTCTAAAAAATATCACTTTTTGTCCCCCCCTAGTCGATTTACGGCGCCCTTTAACGCCCTTAGATATTTGCTACGCCGTCCACTTTATGTAAGGAAGCACCCTTGCCCTATAGTAGATAGCTTTCTTCGTAGCTTAGCTCTCGTACTTCTTTCTGCCCTCCTGCTTTCACAACTCTAGGATTTCAGAAGAATCCTGCATGTAAAGCACGATGTACACCTGAACTGGCAGAGAAGATGAGCAGGGCGTAAGTTTCGTGTGCCATACTTGCCAATAACTAGAGGTCAACACGCCAGAAACGAGCTAATGTGCTTCACAGGCCCTAAAGTTTATGAACTGTCAGAAGGAATGTATTCTCGTAGGATATTATCTCAGGTTGCTCGCACATGCAGTGAAGAGAAGAGGATGCTTCGATGATTCTGTAATATTCAACTTCGTTTTGAGGTTGCTGGGCTGAAAGCGCATCTTGAAACTGTTTGCATGTATAATATCAGTTCTATAGCATATGATTACAGTCCTACGAACATTGAAGCTTGCACATTTACGAGTTGAAGGAAAAGTGACAAATTTCACAGACAATGAAAGGACGACATATACCGAACACATTTTATTATATGGCTATCTGCGACAACAGCGTTGAAGTATCTGTCCTGCGTACTGGAAATCAATACACGATTGTAAACACTTTGCCGCCATGTCTGACATCTGAGAAATGTCAATCTGTAGATCTGAACAAACAGTACAGTCAAGAGTAGTACACCTTTTGTCAGTGGTACACCCATCCTGTCAGCTGTACAGCAATACATGACCATGTTGCTTCCAAAAAACAAATGCTCCTTTTCCACTTGAGTGGTGGCAATGACACTGCACACTTTGCCTTTCACCTGTTCCCCTTTTTCACACGCACTCTCCGGGGACTTCCAAACAGACAGGGCAGCATCTGAGAATACGATCAAGACATCGCAGTCGTTAGGGCTCTAGCACGGCCAACAGGTCGAGACAGTGTCCGCCAAGGCTTGCTCAAGAGCCTTTGTCGCTCACTCACTCTTCAGCGTCTTCCGATCCTGCCTGGCTGTCTTCGCTGTCTTCGCTGTCGCTATCTTCATCCTCATCTTCATCCTCGCTCTCCTCATCTGCGTACTCACAAAGCATCCCGTGTTTGTACAGCTGGTCATGAATTTTGCTACCCTGTTCGTCAATGACCGTCTTCATGGGCGGTGCTGCCAATTGCATGAGGCCGAGCGGCTCCTCTCCGGGCCACGTCTGCTTCTGCGATGCCGCAATGAAAATGTAGCCAACGACAGAGGGAAGTCGGCTAACGTCGCTAATATAAGTGTTCTTGAACAGCTGGCGCATTTTGCCCTCCAGAGCACCATGGATGGCCTCAAACATGGTCCAGCAGGAGACGTGCATGGAAAAGTAGTCAAAGGACATCTCGAGCGCCTCGGCCTGCAAAGCCGTGACCAACTTGGACATAAGTTCAGCGGGCGCAATCCTCTTCGGCCCAGCTTCGTCACCGTCCTCGTCTTCAGTGGTCGTTGCACCCGCCCCCGAAGAAAAGTCTCTCTCCACGATGAGCTCGTCATCCTCATCGATCTGTGTCCACTGGCTCTCGCTGAGGACCAGCATGATATCCTTCGTCGTCATGCTGCCATCCATGCTGCGCCCGAGCAGCTGGTTGAAGCGCATAGACACGGGCGCCTGCTTTTTGAACACCCGAGGAACTTTAGAAGAGATGACGCCTCGGCTCCTCTTCTTTCGGCTGGGTGGCACCCAGTCGTCCGTCTTGTATCCCAAGCACTGACAGAAATTCATGAAATCCTCTTCAAAGGTCTCGGGGAAGCCATCCACAAAGAGTTTATCCATGACTTGGATCCGCATGAGGACCTCCATGTCAGCCCAGCTGTTCGCCTCAAGATCACCGTTTCGCTTCATGGCGTGGTAAAGCTGTCCCATGTGCTCTGTTCCACCCCAGGCCTGTGTGAGGGCGATTCCTTCTTCGTGAAAGGCACTGACGACATGGTGGATCCATAGGCCACAGTACAGAGGGTGATGATGGAAGAAGAAATTGGGGGTGTAGCTGTACCCATGACGTTGTTTGAGGGCCCCGACAGGATCAGCAGCCCAGAAGTCGCAGAAATCAATGATGCGCTTAAGAGAGGCATCATTGGAACCCCTCCAAGTCTTAGCACGAATACTTTTCTCGCGATGGTATTTCATCGCGGCACGCATCGACTCCGAGACGTCTTGGGCCTTGGCCTGCATGTCCTCGATGGGGTGCAAGTATTGGCCGTCTGGGCCCTGCAAAGTGTGAAGTGTATCGAGATACACTTGGGCAGCAAAGATGACCCAGAACGGGATAGTGTCGTACTTGAGAATATGGCGCACGCCGCGGATGAGGGCGTCTTCGCACGGGCTTTTGAACGTCATGGCCACCGTGATGTCGCCGAGCATCTCCATGAGAGCGGCCTTGTCTTGCTTATATTTCTGGGCATTGGACAGCTCGTCTCTGTCCTTGGTCAGATCGAAATGGCCAAAGTCCCCGTTGTAGACTCGAAACTGTTCGGTCTGGTTGGAGCAGCTAAATGCAGAGAGGCATTTCCAGACGATGACCATGAAGTAGTCTGCAAAATCGTATGTGTCTGTGTTGATGTCATCATCGCGCTGCTGTCTTCTCTCGGTATTTTCGCCCATCCCCACGCAGGCGGTCATGTAATAGCTTTCAAGAAAGTAGCCAAAGCCACCGTGCCTGTTGACCAGCTCCGACATGTCCTCCTCCATCTGACGAAGCAGATGGATGGCCGTGTTAGTCGCCATAGCGACCGGAGCGAGGTGGAGATCACCATCCTGGTACCCGTTCCAGAGTTTGAAGATGCACGATCGGAGGGTATGAGCGTCTTGAAACAAGGCGCAGAAGGCAAGGTATGCCTCATCGATTGAGTTCTCAAACTCTGGCTCATGATCCGGATTACGATTTCTGTCTTCTGATATGTCCGGGAACCCTTCGGGCGTGTTGTAGGCTTGCAGAGCCGTGAAAATACCGGGCAACCCCTGTGTGTTCCCCCCCTGTGCCCCAGATGAGCCTGAAAAATTGCCCAGAGGCTGGAGTACATCGCGGACTCGCTGAAGTACATTGACAAAGTGAGAGTGCTTCAAGTCTGACTCTTCATCCGTCTCAATATTTTCTTTTTTTAGAATCATGGCGAATGACTTTCGCACACGGATGACGCGATTGATGGTCGAAGCCATCGTCAGGGGCATTTCCACCGGCTTCGGCTTCGTGACGGCAGCGATGAACTGTGCAAGAGGAACAAAGTCGATTGTTCGGAGCACATATTTGTAGGTATGCTTGTGCCCTGTTGCTTTCTTGACACCGTCGCCAGTGTGCTTCCCAGATCTCGCCAACTCTTCCTTCATAAGCTTGCGGGCCTTGCCCTTGAGCCTAGACGGCTTCGCCACAGCGGTTCCCGCTAGCGAAGCGTCGTAGCCATTTTCTTTGGCCGTGTTGACAAGCCAAGAGGTGACGATGGCAGTGTCATGCTTGTAATGCTGGTACGAGGACAAGAGGAACCCCGGAAGCATCTTGGGCGGTTTTGGTGTGCTGACACCGCGGCTTTGATGAGTATTGATGAGTATTGCTGAACGTAGATCTCACTTGACTCTTGAGGATTTTGTGTTTTGTTTTGATTTGATTTTTGATTTTTTCTGTGTCACACGATGTTTTTGAATAGAAATAGTGAGCGGCGCTTCGTGGGACTACACGTGACTAATACCTCTGGTCGTTAGGGCAAGGAAAGAGAAACAGACGAAGCTGGGAGTGACGAGGGCGTCGACCGGGGAGAAAGTTGGCCCGAAGTCCTCCGCCTTTCGCTTTGGCAGATGTTTGATTTATACTATGGACCATGTACCAACGGGTCTTTGTTTCTTCTTACTGGCTCGTGTGCACATCGCGCTTCAAAGAGCAGCTCGTATACATGGCCCAGTGATGATGGAGATGTGAGCTGCTTGCTTCTATTGCTGAAGAGCGAGAAAGCTTGGCTTGAGGACTGTTAGTCGCCGTGTACGTCTACAGCCGACAACAGCGCTGTATACAAATCCACGTTAACTAACAATGTCGGGAAACGGCCGTTATCATAGTTTATACTACCGTTATGTTATCGTCCACGAGCTATACCTCACCACTCCGTCCCGTTTGGTTTCAAAGGAAGATGCAACAACCGCAAGCCTTCTGACGTCGGCTTCGGCAGCCGACCTCCACGAATGTTGACCTGAAGCGACTGGTGAAGGAGCCTTGGGGCTGCCATTGTCTCGTCCTTTGCCCGACGCAAGGTCACATACACCTCCTCAGTGACACCACCAGAGAGATGCTTGTTTTGCGCTTTGTGCTCGTCCACGGTCAAGCATGCCACGGCGTCTCGACGGTCCTCGGGTGGGTAGTCGTGTCCTGTCCAGATCTTTACATGTCCAGGCAGAGCGAGAAGCTTGCGTCCCGAGTGGAAAAGCTGACTAGGATTTCCTCCGGGAAAGTCACATCGAGCAGTGCCAATATCTGCGTGAAATAACAAATCGCCACAGAAAACGTTGTCTGTTGGCCAGAGCAATGTCAGATTAGACACAGTATAATGCGACGAGTTATTCAATACATATTTAAACGAAATACCTACCTCCAATCATATATCCAACATGATCCGGCGTGTGGCCAGGCAGATGGACAGCTTTCGCTTGCAGGTTTCCAATAGCAAACGTCTCGTCGTCCTCAAAGAGCGTATCAAAGACAGCCCCGTACTCCTCTGCAGGAACGCCATAGCGCTTGCCAAACAGAGTCTGCACTTGGGTGATGCGTTTGCCTATACCAATTCGTGGCTTGTGTCCTTGCTTCTCTGCCAGACGGCTCTGGAGATAGGATGCAGCGGTCAGATGGTCGGCGTGGGCATGCGTTTCCAGGATATGACAGATCTGGTAGCTTTTCTCCCGGACGAAAGCCAGCAGAGCGTCGGCTGCTTCAGTAGTGACGGCCTGGCTGACTGGGTCATAGTCCAAGACCGGGTCCATGATGACGGCTTGCAATGTAGCCGGATCAGCCACTACGTACTGCCACGTTCCTGTGACTGGCTCAAAGACGTTGTGTATGCTCGGCTCCTTGGTCACACCAGCCGCAGAAGCGAAGGAAGCGGAGTTCAGTAGCGTTGATGGGCTGCTCAAGGTGCGATATGTAAGCTGGAGAGGAGCCAGCCTTGTCATTAGTGTAGATTGTCTCGCCGCTGAAGATGTGCGAAAGTGCGCCCGTGTTGCAGTCACCAGCGACAGCCCCAGACGTCTGGCTGCGAACGGCTGCTGACGGCAGACTTGGCGTTGCAGCATGCTCATTGTGAAGATGGTCGCTTTCCGGCGAGGAAGACAGTTCTTCTTGCGCGAAATGTGGCCTCCATATACTCTACTACTTCTACTTGGCACTCGCAGGATGTCGGCGATTGCTGGCCAGAAACGTCGGCGACCAGTGACCGACAAGCCGCTGTAGGCTATCGGTCGCCAGTGGCGAGCCGGTGGACCGGCTTCGATAGGCTGGAATACAGAGCTTGTGATCGCACTCCGACATCTTATCTGTTGCGGGTATTTGCCCTCTACACAGTGATATGCCTATAGTTATGCACCGTCCTGCAAACGGTTCTTACACACAGACACACAGCCGTTGAAAGACTATTCTCTTCCGCCCGACGTCCAACATCCTCCTCCTGCTATCCGTCGGCTCTCGGGCTCGTCAGGGGTACCAACAGTGGGCTGATCGCCGGCCCTCCACAACTTTGGGCAGGAAGCTAAACTAGTTTTTTGTGCCTCTCATCTGACCCACATTCGAAAAATTTCAGGATCCTTCATCTGTCTGCAAGCGATTGCGGCCATTCTTCTCTCGTGCTCTCCTTCCTGCACGTTTCTCCCTCTGCTCCTCAACCGCATCACCATGCTTGCCAGTCGGGCATCACAAGTAACGCGCCGGGCGGCTGTCTGGTCTCTCGGCCGGACCTTTGCCACCGCAGCAACGCCAAGTCCTATCGCAAGCACCAGCACCACTACTCCGCCGGTGCGGCCGGCCTCTGCGAGTCACAAGGTCCTCGTCATTGGCGGCGGCTCGGCCGGTCTGACCGTGAGCCACCAGCTTCTGCGTTCCGGACGGTTCGCACAGGACGACATCGCCATCGTCGATCCGGCCTCGTGGCACCACTACCAGCCCGGCTGGACGCTCGTTGGTGGCGGGCTCAAGAACAAGGAGGACTTGCGAGCGCCCATGAGCTCGCTCGTCGACGGCAAGCTCAAGCTCTACGGCGCCGGCGTGACGTCGTTCAGTCCGACCGACAATGCCGTGACGCTCAGCAGCGGTGCCACGATCGGCTACGAGCAGCTCGTCGTTGCTCCCGGCATCACGATCAACTACGACCAGATCAAGGGCCTGCCCGAGGCCCTCGCCGACCCCAGCTCGCTCGTCTCGACCATTTACGGCTACGAGACCTGCGACAAGGTCTTTCGCACGCTCGACCAGCTGCGCAGCGGCAATGCCATATTCACCCAGCCGTCCGGCATTGTCAAGTGCGCCGGCGCACCGCAAAAGGTCCTCTGGATGGCTGTCGACAAGTGGACGCGCGACGAGCTCTACACGCCTGCCGATCTCGCCGCCTCGTCCATCAAGATCAGCTTCGCCACCGCCCTGCCCGCCATGTTCGGCGTGCCCAAGTACAGCCAGAAGCTCGAGGAGCTGCGCGTCCAGCGCGGTGTCGAGGGCCTCTTCCAGCACGATCTCACCGCCATCGATGGCGACAAGGCCACTTTCACCCTTGCTAACGGCGAGAAGGTCACTCGCCAGTTCGACCTCCTGCATGTCGTCCCCAAGATGGGCCCCCATGCCTTCGTCGCCAAGAGCGTCCTCGCCAACCCCGGCGGCCTGGTCGATGTCGACGACGCCACCCTGCGCCACAAGAAGTTTGCCAACGTCTGGTCCCTTGGTGATGCCTCTAGTCTGCCAACTGCTAAGACTGCTGCTGCCATCACGTCGCAGTCGCCTATCCTGGTTGCCAACATGCTGCAGGCCATGGACGGCAAGGACCCCCAGGCTGTCTATGACGGCTACACCTCCTGCCCTCTCATCACCCAGTACGGAAAGGTCATGCTGGCCGAGTTCAAGTATGGTGGCGAACCCAAGGAGACCTTTGGCGACTTCTTTGGCATCGACCAGAGCATCCCCCGCCGCTCCTTCTACTACCTCAAGAAGGACTTCTTTCCCTGGGTCTATTACAGCTCCATGGTCAAGGGCACCTGGGCCGGCCCCAAGGGCTTTATCAGCTAGGAGTGTGTGCAGCCATCTGGTGCTAGGATGGACGATAGATCTCGCTCTTTTAGGAATGCCAATAGCGATCTTCAAGAGCCCATGAGTCCCTGGACACGTGACACTTGTAGCTCCGGATTTACGATGCCCCGCACCGTTGGCCCCTTACGGTGTTGTGCCGTCCGCTTCTAGCTTAGCGCGTTTCGTCTCCTTTTTATCGTGTTCGTCAAATGCCTCTTTCCGTTTGTCCTGTCCGCCTGCAGACAGTGTCTTTGCAAGGTCAGCGTCTGCCGGCTGCGGCGGTACTACTGCACGGTCAAAGTCAATCGCCATGACGCGCTGCAGCTCCTCATTCCACACCATGTTGTTGTTGTTCTCGTCCCCGTGCACCACTCCATAGGGCTCCAGCTCCTCCAGCGTGCGCATCATCTCCTCGTGGTAGAGCGACGGGTTGTGCGTTTTCCGGCCGTGGTGCCACAGCGACTCACCGGCAAACGACATCAGCATCATGTGCGAGATGTGCGCGCCGCATTGAGTCCAGTACTCGTCTTCCAGCTCGATCACGCCAAACACCACTGGCACCAGCTGGCCCTGGCACGCTTCCAGAAAGCTGTATGCCAAGGCCTCCTGCTCCAACTGCTTGCAGTGTACCCGCTGCACACCCTTGCCCACGAAACAGTAGCCATATTCGCTTAGCGCTAGCTTGAACAGCGCCCCAATCGCGCCGTACATGCCGTACCGCTCAAGGTTCTGGCAATCGTGGTCCATGTCGTCAGCCAGCTGCTGCGTGAGTTTCGTTCGTAGCTCGTCTGCCGTAATCGGGTGCTGCTCATCCTCTGCGTCGCTTCGCCTGTGTAGATGAACATTAGGACAGCGCGGGTCCTTTTTGCCGCCTGTCTTAAGGCCCAATAGGCACGCCTGTGTGCAGAACGCCAGAGTCGGCGATACAGGGACATTGCCTGCATATGAACAGTCCGGCTCCACCTGCGTTGTAGCTGTGCCGACCGTGCCATTGCTCGACGCACATGATGATCGTGTCGTGTCGCTTGCGAGGGACATTGGGCTTGGGTTCCGCTCGTCATCGCGGCCTTGTCGGTGTGTGCTGCTTCGTTTTTGAGGGTCTCTAGAGGCTTCCGCCGTCCTTGAAGCCAGGGTGGCTGTCGTTGTACCAAGCGACACATCGGTCAAAGTGTTGGTAGGCATGTCCTTCATGTCCTTCATGTCTGCATATGGCTGGGGCCATTTGGGCTGCTCCTTGTGTATGCTCTTCTTCCACCGCTGTGTCATGTACTCGCCCTTCATCGACATAAGCACGAACGAGAGCACAAGCGCAACAGCGGAGCGTTTGACGTCCTCGCGTTCGGCTGATTGTACGGCCCGGATCGGCTCCTCTAGGTGGTAGTAAAGCGTCGTCGGCTGCTTCAGGTCGATGTGGAGGAAAATCAATGCATTGCCGGTGGTTGCGTAGCTGTATTGCAGGCCGTAGTCGATCATGTAGTGGAAGACTTGCGTGAATACCTTGGCAATGTCTCGCTTGGCCGTGGCTACGTTGTCGGCTTTGTTTTGGCCAGCAACCGTTCGGATGGCGCCCTCCATCAGGGAAGCCGCCGTCTCGGGAACGAGACAATCGCGGAGCAGAGAATCGCTAATCTTGTGTGCTGCTTTGTACTCGATCACAAAGAGCGGCCGGGCGTCGATGGTGTCGTCTGCGCAGTGCCGGAAACACCACTGGTCCGGATGCACCTTGGTTCGCTCTGGTGATCGCCGCTTCATCGGTGGGCCCGATGTCTCTCGTTCTTCCGCTTCTGCCGCCGCCCTTGCTGCGGCTGCATCCATATCCCGCTTAGCAGTACCGAGTGCGCCAATATACGCCGGCCGGTCGTCCTTGATCAGCAGGGGTTTGCGGAGAGGCCGGTGCTGAGTCCGGCCTCGGCTTTGCTCCCGCTGTGAGGAGCTGCCTTCGTCTGCTTCCACTTCGGCTTCAGGCTCGCTGTGTTCCTCGTCTGATTCGGCGGCGATGACGCCAAACGGGTAGTTGTTGAAAGAGATGGCGCGGGGAGGGTCGGTCATTGGAAATATCGACGTGTCGCCGCTGACAAGCTCGAGAAATCGGGGGAGGACGTCGAGCACGCAGCCTTCGACAGCTAAGCACTCAAAGTTTTTCAAGTCCTCCTCGCTGGCCAGCTTCTTGTCGCTCAGCTTGTCGGCAAGATACCCTAGGCCAGCAGGCGAAGGAAACAGTTCCTGCGAACGGAATGCTCGCTCAAAGACCGCAAAGCTCTCGTCGTGCAGGGCATCAAACTCGGTCCACGGCTGAAGGCTGCGAGGGTATTGTTTTCCGTCCACGCTCGTCAGTCCGCCGGTCGTCGAGAGGAGCTTGTTTCTCTCCACGTCGAGCTTCATGAAGACGTTGCTGTGGCATATGTCGAGAAATTCGAAGAACGCTGTTTTTGCAAGCTGCTTCTGAGCAGCTTTCACCCAAACATTGGCTTCTTCAGTTCGGGCATCTGCCAAGGCTGCTCGAGCATCTGCCTCAGCCACTTGGGCTTTCGCAGCTTCTGCCTCGGCTTTCGCAGCTTCTGCCTCGGCTTCCGCTGCTTTCACCTGAGCGTCTGCCTCGGCTGCTCGGGCTTCTGCTGCTTTGAAGAGGCTCTCTGCCTTTTTGAACAGCTCTTGGTAGTTGATATGAACAGCCATGGCGATGGAGGACGATGATGTTGATAATGAAGAGAGTACGGAGTAAGCGTACGGAGTATTGAGACTTGGAATATTCAGGTGAGCGCTAGTGAACCAGCCGGTGGATACGATAAGCACCGCAATTCGGTCACGTGATCAACGTCCATGTCCATAGAAACGCTGTAACTACGGAGTACGGAGTACAGTTTACGGGATTAAAGGGGCACCATTCAAGAAAGGTACATAGTTTTTTTGATAGAGTATGCTATCCGGATGATGCTTTCTTAAAAAGAGTTTTTTTCGGCCTCAAAAATGGTGTGCGAGAGAGTACACAAAGGAAGGGGTCCTGAGGCCCCTGCCCCCCTCTCTAAGAGTCTCATCACTAATACTTTAGCGTAATGTTCCCTTTACCCGTTAATAGTTGTGGTCGTTTTCCCTCTATAGCAGATAGGATAAAGCGTACCTAAGGCACACAATTTACAGCAGAATAAAAGCAAGCACCCTCGTCTACAATGCACTTATCCCAAGTCTTTTTTGCATGTAAAACAAAAGCTAGTAAACACACCCTAATTCGGCAGGTATAATCATAGGAGATATGCTAAAGCGTGAACATCTTTGTCTACAGGTATCTTACATCCGAGATTTTCTTTACATGTTAACAAAAGCTAGTAAACGTACCCTAGTTTAGCAGGTCTGCCGTTGCACGCTGAAATGCGTTAAGACATCAGTACTCCGTAAAGAGTCTTAACAATTTACTCGGAACAGTTGGTAGCTGCTGATTACAATATTATTAGCCTAATAGGATAAGTTGCTGTTGGGGATAAACACTGTTGGGTGATTTAAATTGTATACCTCCTAGTACTCCGTATAGTAGCCGTAATTGCACCTTCTTATCCTAGTTAAGATCGTCTCGTGAGAGTCACCGGTGAGTGCTAGTTCGTAGTCATGGCTGCTTAACGTGGTAGACTCCTAATCCATTTATTATCGTCCTTGTATCTATTTTGGCCATTAGCTATCTTGATTCGCTAGGTGGATATCGAGAGCTCTACGGCCATAATCAAGTGAAAGAGGCGGTTAAAATGGTATAGTTCTCGTGGCCATATAGTTCGTTCTTGTCTAGCAAAGGTGGGGTGAAGGTAGGTGTCTGTAAGGAGAAAGTGTGGACTGAGACAAAGGGTGCTAACAGCGGAGCCGAGGACTAAACCTAGCCATGGTCTGGCACAGTTACTACGTTGAAAGTACGCCGGTGCTCAGATGTAGCTAAAGAATAAGTATAAAAGACTTTGTTAAAGCCAGCATAAACTATCTGTGGTCCGCCCTAAGTCGCGGTATTATTCAAAAGCTTATCTTGGCCGTCGCTGCTAAGGACTTTTACCTTCACTAAATTCAACCACTTCTACTACTTGCAGCCTTCGATTATTAAGGAGAAAGTCTATATAAGGTGTCGCCGAGATCACCCCTTTCTAACCACCTATCTCTCTATATTATACAACCCAATTTCACACCACGATAGCTTCCTAGACTCGGATATATTAGAGGACAGAGCGTAAGAAAGATGTGTTTCTTCCTCTGACTTTAGATCGCTTTAATCTAATAAAATATATCTTATAAATAGCCGCTCAACGAATCAAACAGGGCAAAAGAAGAAGATTCATTATAATACACATTGTATATAATATTGATGTTGCCTTTATCGTCTGTCCTCTTCCCGACCATTTGGTTGGTAGCTGCCGTTACAGCCATGACTCTCTCACCGCGCGATGCTATCCAAATTGACGAATTGGATCGCTATGACACGTTTATGGCCACGCTCGGTGACACGCAGTTCCTAGACATGTACCTCACCGAGGCCAACGTCGTGCAGATTGACGTGTACGAGATTTCGGCGACCGAGAGCCCGGCGCACTCTGCCACCTTCGTTCCAAGCGAATACGCCAGTCAGTACTTCGACCAACAAGCCCAGCGAGCTGCGGAGATTCTCGAGACACCGACTGATGCGGACCTCGGCAAGCGCATAAATACTTGTGAACGCAAACAACCTGAGGCGACGGCGGCTCCAGATATACCACTGGGTGAGGATGTGTCGCGGTGCAATCAGTTCTGTGGGACCATTGCTCACTGCCGGGGTAACAACAGATGCCCGCATTGCTATGCGGTCCGGCAAGGGTGTTTGTGGCAGAAATGGTGTCGCTAAGCATCGCTCGCATAGTCTCTTATCTCGGCTGTTGAGATAAATTTGTGTCCTCCAAGAGTTACGTGCTGGAAGATCTCGTGATGTTCTTCGGGATCATAATAGTAGCATCTCGAAGAAGAATTATTGCCACCCATTACGAAAAACCTCACTTTTCCCACCCTTCACGGCGCCCTCCAATACCATTCAGATTCCTGTTATGCCGTCTGCTACGTGTATATAAGGAGGCCACTATGCCCCTTAGTGGGTATTGTTTTTTTCGATCCTTAGTTCAGTTCAATACATCCTCATGACAGAGATAGGCAGCCGCCTTCTGCTCCCGACGCTTTTGTGGCCCCACTGGGATTAAAAAATCGGCCTACATCGCGATCACGCATGATTTGGTATCCCTCTTTTGACGATGGAGCTGCGCAGACGCCTGTCATGTCCTTTGAGAGGCGTGTGGTCAAGATAGCCGACTCACTGGTCACTGCTCTCGGCTCGCACGTCGACTCTCGTCTGCCGCTCAACGGCAACAATTTCGAATTAAACGCATCAGCAACAGATCCCTACGGCTACCCTGTACCGAGCCTATAAATGCCTCAAAGACACCGGCATAGTGTTCCGCAGCCGCCATGCCTGTTGACCGTCGGCCATTGGCCTCTTCGCAGCCACGGCTGCTAGCTGTAGAAAGAGCATTGCCAAACTGGTCTCTTCAGCTCCAAAGATAGAGGCACTCGTCTTCCGTACAGGCATGTTGGTTCAGGTCAAGACCGCAGCTACCGTGGCAGCCAATGCGGCCAAATCTATCACAAAGAGGCATCATTCGGTAGCGTCGTAGCGGATACCGACCCGGTCGCAGTATTGTCCACGCACGAGGCATAATTCTACATTGTGACTGATTTGCCGGGGCGTGTTTGAAAGGGTTGTGCACGCAATGCACACCTGTACACTGAGAGGGACTCACAGGATCTGGTGCAAAGAATCAGCAGCGCGGAAAACTCTTAGCCTGCTCGTCTATGTGTCATCTCCAGCCAGACCTTGGCAGCGACGTCTGCTGCAGACCTGTTGATGGCTGTTGGAGACGTCCCGACACAGACGCTATGGTGGCCCTAGACCGCGGACACTGCCATCTAGGCTCTTGCATTGTATAACGAGGCAGTCGTCTTTCCTTTTGCAGTCGTCCGGGTTCCACGCTGTGAGAATGGCTGCTTCCTCAAGCACGTGGTCGGCTTTGACGCGTGGTTCTTTGGGTTGTGGCTGTGCGAGGCCGAGCAAACGGACCCGGCGCATCAGCTGGCCCTCCTGACGGCCTACGAGGCCATGGAGATGGGGTCTATGGTGACGGATGTGTGGCCGTGTGCTGGCGTTGAGAATAATGACGTCGCCGGTACGCGAGAGGAAGTGCGCCCGGTTGTTGGGATTAGTCAGCACATTCATTTGGCTGGCCAGCGATATGTCGCAGTCGCTGCGACGCCGTCACCACCTCGGCACCCACAATGTCATCATTAGCCGCGTGCTGGCCGCTGTCAAATTCTATCGCAACGACGTCAGCTACGTCGAGATGTACGGCACCGGAAAAGAAGCCGACAACGCCTGAGAGATGGATGGCGTGCTCGGCATCGTTGCCCCTGCCTCGGCCCCGGCTCCATCTTCCGGTCCGTCTTCTCGTATAGCCTTAGGAAGCAGCCCGATCTCCCGGCTAGACACAAGGGTAACAGCGGCTCCGCTGAGTCGGCTTTGGACGCTGTCTTACATTGGTGCGCCACAACCTGATTCCGCCTCACATCAGCATCACAATTCGCATCAACAGTAAGTTTCCCTCGGACCTGCACCAGCGAGATGTCCTCGGGAGGCACCTACCCTGCTGGTTCTATACATGAACTTCAATGACAATACCTCTTTTGCACCGACGTCGAGCCTCACAAACGTCCACAGCGGCCACCTCGATGCCGACTTAGAGCTCCCCTCCCATTCCTCCAGCCAGTTCGGTGCTTCTGCAAGAAAGCCCAATCGGACAATACAAAACTCTGTGGCTCTTACCGAACAGCTTAGGCGTGACCGTATCGTACTTGACGCTGCAGGACCTCGACCTGCCTGTTACCGTCTACGGCCTGAGCAGCCCGTTTACCATGAGTGTCCGCGTGCCGCGGGATCTCTGCATGATCCAGCGGTTCTTTGCCGAGCTCCAAGATCGAAGCTTGGCCGAGCTTCGTCATCGTCAGCACCACGGGACGTGCTACCTGCGTGGATGGTTTACCGACGGGATCTGCGCCCAAGGCATTTTCCAGGATCCCGTGGCAGCCGGTGTGGAGGCTGAGAGGGTCGTGCTGAACGACAGTCCCAGCCCGGTCAGCTTAGCCAAGTTGTTCATGCACCTGTTGCCGACTTCTCTCGGCTCGGCGTCTTCGGCTCTGATGCTGCCTCAACCGGCCTAAGTCGTTATCTGCTGACTTTGTTGCTGCCGCAGCTCCAGGAAGTGGATGTAGTGCCCTACTGATTTATACCTTCTTCTCTATAGAACAGCAACGTCGACGAGCCACAATAAATGGTATATAGCCTACAACAAGATTTGTGTCTATTCTGATCCTTAGTTTCCACGACGTTGTATCTCCATTTGCAGTAGCTCGGCAATAGCCTTGTGCCCCTGCTCAGCAGCCCTATGAACCAGCGTATTATCGTAGACATCTGTCGAATTGACATTGACGCCGTTCGTAGCGACTAGTAGCTTGACCACTGCCTCGTGTCCATTCTCAGCAGCCCAAGACAACGGCGTCCGACCGAATTCGTCCCTCGAATCAGCATTGACGCCGTTCGTAGCTAACAGTAGCCTAACCACCGCCTCGTGTCCCTTCTCAGCAGCACAAGACAACGGTGTCTGGCCGTATACGGAATCTTTCGAGTCAACGTTGACGTTTTTCGTAGCTAGTAGTAGCCGAACCACAGCCTCGTGCCCATTTTCAGCAGCCCGAGAGAGCGGTGTCTGACCGTGAACAGCTTTCGAATTGACATCGACATTGTTCGCAGCTACTAGTAGCTCAACCACGGCCTCGTGCCCATTCTCAGCAGCCAAAGACAACGGTGTCCGGCCGTTTTCGTCCCTTGAATCAGCAATGACCTTTTTTGTAGCTAACAGTAGCCGGACTACCGCCTTGTGCCCTTGCTTAGCAGCCCAACACAACGGTGTCTGGCCGTAGTAAAGGTCTGTCGAGTTAACATCGACAGTGTTCGTAGCTAGTAGTAGCGCAACCACATCGTCATGCCCACTCCCAGCAGCTCGAGACAACGGCGTCTTGCCGAGAGTATCTTTCGAATCAACTTTGACGTTTTTCGTAGCAAGTAGTAGTTGAACTACCGCCTTGTGCCCTTTCTCTGCAGCAAAAGATAACGGTGTCATGCCGTCTTCGTCCCGATCGTCAATGTGATCGTGGCTGGACTTGATGATGTCTGACAAAAGCTCTTGAATCCCAAATCTTGCTGCAATGTGGACTAAACTGGATCCCTTTGATATATGATTCAGCCTATAGTTTTCCGGCATGAGCCTCAGAATCTGTTCGATATGCGCCAAAAAAGCAACGAAGGAATTTGACGGCCAGTCAAACAGTCCCAGAATATCTTTCATGGGGACGCCATACTTGGCGCTTTGCAGTGTGTGCGTTAACCATGAGGTCAGTGCGTATTTAAGGAAAGGGTATCTGGAAAACATCGTATAAGGGCTCAGCCGGGTATTTTGCAGCTCTTCCCTTTTCAAATAGCGAATGCAGGCTCTAGACAGTTGGTAGTATGCCCGTCCAATCGCGAGAGTAGACGATGGCAAGCTGTTGCGGGGAGGAAAGCGGCTGTCTAAATCGGTCAACTTCTTGTTGAAAAAGTCCTTGACCGACTGGTGAATGAACTGGACATGACCTTCAGGCGTCGCAGTGACCTCAAGAAGCCCACAACTCAGAGTTTGTACTTGTCGGCTCATTTGTTCATTGTCCATCGTATAGGCGTTTGAAGAGGATGGGCGATCGGGTCTGATCTCCATGGCCCAGCGTAGCTCATTTAGCGACAAAGGCCGAGTAGCAAATAAAACCCATTGAAACATCCTCAGAGAGGCAGCGTTCATTTGCTGAATGAGATCGGCGTATAGTGAATAGAGGTCTTGCGGAATGGCTGCTATAGCAGCCTGGATTTTCGCTGGAGAGGTACCTTTCTTTGTGAGCTTCCGAACTTTCCTTACCACCAGATCCACCCACAAGAACACCCCAGAAGCTTGGCGGATGACAAGTTCTGAAATGGCCGGATCCACATGCGATAGTTGGGTCATCACAAAAGTCGAAATGTCGGCCTTGTTGTTGTCTTCGGGATGTATTTCCAGACCGTTCTTCCAGTCCTGGACTGGATAAGGACGACAGGCGAAGCAGATGCGAAAGCGGTGATGGTCTGAGGCGCGGGCCGAGAGTTTGGTGATCAGGGATAGAAACCTCTCGATGACGACTGTTGCACTATCCTCGCCACACTCATCCAAGGCATCGGTAAACAACCAAACGGAACGTTTCTCGAGAATCTCTGGGATTGCTGACTCGAAGAAGGGCCAGAGCTCATTCTCATTCCAATGCCACTTATTCTCCTTGAATTGGCTGCTCTTCTGTTTAGACATGTCGACGAGTCCTTGCAATACCGTTGGTAATTGTTCAAGAACCTGGTGAAGAAGATATCTAATGAGTCCCAGCGATGTTCTCTGCAGGTCATGGCCGCGACCGTGGAAGAAGAAGGACAAGACAAGATCGGTAGGCCGAGCGCTTGGAGCAGCTGCCTGATTGCGCAGGGCGTGTTTGAGAAGCGTCGACTTCCCCGAGCCGGGCTTTCCCTTGATCCAGAGCACGGCCTGGCCAGAAATGGCCCAGTCCCGGTAATTTGGGTGTTCCAAAAGCCACTGACATGTTCCCTCGGTAGCGAGCTTCACATTGTTGGCGCGATCCTGCATGTGTGGAAATGCTAATGACTGTAGGCACTTTATCTCCGGGTCTGATAGTATTATGTGTAATGGGTCTGCAAATATTAACGCCAGCTCCATTTGCTAGGAGCTTCTTTACACATACTCGCTTTCTGAATAAGAGCTTTAAGCCGTCCCAGCGCCAAGAGAGAACGCGCATCATGCTGCGCAAACTTGACCAACTCCGAATGAGCGCAAGCCAAAGCACAAGTATCGCTCATATTATTCCCGTTTGGTTTACAATGCGTGGCCGACGCAATAGACACCAATACTGCATGCGGCCCGTTCATACTCCACTTCCCATTCTCATCCTACCTGCCGTCAGTAAGACCCTTGCAGCGACTGGCTTGTAATATTGACTTACCATTTGGGCCGTTGGAGATTCGTTGGTTTCATAGAAAGAAATGATGACCGGGTCATACATTTGAAGAAATTTTTGGAAATCCTGGTATTGTCGCCGTAGAAAATCTGCGTCGCTGCCGATCGATTCGAGCAGCTGCCGATTCGGCCGATCTCCTACCATGGCCTTGAGAGATCCTATGTTCATACCGTCATTTGGGACACCAAAGAAAGCAATCCCACGCACAGCACGAAGAAGTCGCATGTGCTCCGGCTCCTTGGATTCTTGCAATGCTATAAGGGCCTTTGAACTGTTAGAATCTTGCAACATTCGTTCTGGGTGCTGCAGTCTATATTCACCTGCTTGACGACCAGGCCCCCGAGGCTATGGGCTACGAAGATGATCGGGCGGGAGTCGCTACCTGCCGAATTAGGACCTTGTGTGGCATCAAAAACAGAATGCATAAACGCAATCCCGATGTCGGACAGCCCCTGAAAGTTCCGGCTATCACTCAGGCTAGCTTCGTAGCCGTACGTCATCACGCGTGTGTTTGACTTGCCCGTGCCGGCCATGTAGGCCGGCAGCGCATCTCGCAGCCACATGTGATCTCCGCCACGCTCCTTGAACGAGCCGAATGCATGCGCTCCCAGACCGGGGACAGCAATCAGGCTAGGCGTAGTTAGTAGTGAAGTTGCTTTCAAATCAGAACAGCACTTACTCGTATTTGTGGTCTTCGGGGGCGGGTTTGTGGAGCGTCGTGATACCGATGAAGCCATCATCGACTGTGAGGGAGGTGCCTCTATTGCGACGTGATCCTTCAATTTTAATCCTGCTTTCTCCGGTCGGGAACGTCGATGGAAAGGAGACTGTGGCCGTCTGCCATTGTCCGTCGTACTCGACGGCCAAAGACTCAACAGTAGGAAGTTCTTCTCCGTACGTTGCAGTAAGACGAGCCTCTAGATTGTCCTCTGTCCAGTCCTTGGGAACGCCGCGCACTCGGAATGTCCTTATGCTGTCCGATCGGATGGGTTCCTCAAAGGGAGGAGACTTTAGCCTCACCATCTGTTTGTCTAAATCAGAAGACATGGAATCAATGATCCCCGATCCCTGCACCGTCATCTTTTTGGACACCATTGTTTATTCAGGTAGACGTTGTTGATATTGTTTGAAAGCCGAGAATGGTAAGAAGATTAGTAGACCCAGGACATCCCATGATCCTATTTATATGACTTTCCCAAGAACGTCACATCCTGGGCACATACAAACGCCTAACGGACAATCATTGATCGGGTAGCAGTGCAGACAATGCCGTATTGTGTTTGCCGATTAGACTGCAAATGGCGCTATAAGGCAGCTGGTCGCGACGTACTCGTACAGCTGCCATTGCATTAGTGCGAGTTGAGACTTGCGTGTGGTGGATGCGTGGCAAAAGTCCATACGCTGCCATACTCCTAAGTGACCGTCATGCACTAGAAAAATTGATGATATGAATTGAGCAGGTTGCTACAGAGGCGCTGGGTGATAAGCAGGGTGATAAACATGTAGATGATGGCAAAGGAAACCCTACCAGGTTCCATTGCAGAAGTTGAAGGCAAATCAAGGCAACGCACTGTTGATACCACACTGTTGATCCGTCCGTTCTGGCACACATAACCGGGGTTTTTGTAGAGGTCCGCGGCGGCCTCCTTGAAAGCATTACGGCAGCTGTGCCTTGCTCGTTTCTACACTGCCTCCCCACATCCCGTCCCATAGATTGAATATGTCGAATGACAGGAGAAATTGTGGCTTCGGACAAAGCAAACGTGATTTATTGGACGTTTGAAAGCTCGTAAGCGGCAATAAGATTGGTAAACCACATAATTCATTTCCACTAGCAACATCGGTCACTTGCTTCCGCTCCCAGTCTCTCCATAATAAAGAGATAAAATCTATCAACTCCGGCTATTCTTACAATCTCCGTCCCCAATACAGAAAGCGAATTATTTCATCCCGCTTGCAGAGCTGGCCGTCCAGCAGATCAGCCATATTCTCCGAGAGGCAATGGCTTGAAATTGGGTTGACGTATACGATTTAGGGCGAAATTGCAGTCACCTGTGCCCACCTTGGGTGTGGTGGGATTGAGTAGTGTGTGTGCTGATAACTAGACAGCAGTCTTCAATTTACGTTTGCTGTTGGTCAGTTGGCGTTGAGGGACAACGGCAATCACCTTAAGCCCCCCGCACTGCGGCTCATCGGTTAGTAATCAATGAATGCGCGTTGATTGGCCCAACGGAAGAAACGCGGGGCCAAGCCAAATAAACATATGAAAACCTTCAACTTGTTTCACCAGCTCTTGCTATATATCGCAGCTCGGGGATTCAAATTATTTGTCTTGTATATTATCTATTAAAGTCGCTGTCCCTGGCCGAGTCCTCGTACTTCATGGGGGGCAGCATGGCGACTCAGGCGACGGTCTAGAAGTAGATGTTTTGGAGCCGCATTTGACACGTCGTAACCAATGTCCAGAGTTTCAGATTTGCGGACACTCTCTGTTGAGCCTCCTGCCGCGCCGCTTCGTCGTTCTTGTGCGAGCCAGGACTGAGGCCCAAGCTGCTGCGCTGGTAGTTGAGCCTGCAGTAGTGCCTGTTGTGGAGTTTGTTGCTATCACTTCGTAGACAGCCCGCTATTGGGGACAAGACTTGGGTTCTTCAGTCTGCTCCGCCCGCGTACGCCCAACTAGCCAAAGCCGGTTCGAGTTTCATGCGATGGCATCACTTTCTGACGACGCGACCGGGTGATTTGCCCCTAACCCCTGTGATTGGGTCGTGTTATCTATGTTGTTGCCGCCCGTTGCGACCTGTCGTGCCAGCAGGCACGAATCGCTGTACGACGTACGATTTTGGCCGCGAGCGTTCGTTGATTTGACAGCAAGTACGGAGTAATGCTTATGAATACAGGTTTTTCCGCCGATGATCGGCAATCTGGCGGCAACCTGGCCGACTTTGAGGCTCTTCTAGGTGGCCTCGACCAACAGCTTGGTGGCGTGGCCCTCGTGATGGCTGTTGGCAACTATCTCGGTATATTTCTCCAGTCGGACAAGAAGATGCGCCCGTTAGCGCCCACGACTAAGCAGCCTATGGGTGCTGCGGCAGGCGCTATACTCTGACACCCGACGAAATTCTGTCAGATTATCCATAATGAGGGCGGGACCCCACAGTTACTCTTTCTCGCCTTATGTGCAGTATGTATACCATCCGACAGATTTGGGCCTGTCAAATATACCCAGAGACCGCACCTGCTGTCCGGAGACGGTGGATGCATCTCTGATGACAGCCTTACTGTCTTCCTGATTGGCGTGGCGGACCTGCGCGTTACAGCGGGGCTTTCTGCTACCCGATCGAAGCGTGTGGATGTGCTGGCCCTTCTTGGGTGGTCGGTCGATCCTGTGGCGCTGTACGGAGTATGGAGTATATTACGGAGCTTTATGGGGAGGGGGAATACACCTGTCGTAAATCCGCTATATCCGTCAAGAGTTTCCGCCGGCAGATTGTTGACAGCATTCGGGACAATGTGTGCTTGAGAAAGGAAGATACAGAGTAAGGAATACAGCCACTTTTCTTAGCCCTTAACTAACGTAAGATATACGAATATGGAAATCGAAGCTTTCGAGCAAGGTCGTATTTTTCCCAAGGAAGTACGCCACTTCACGATTGCATCGACCCTGCCTACGTGCTGAAGCTGCCGTTTCCTTAAGATCTCTCCTCTAATCACTGAATCTGACGACGGGGGACGTTGCAGTCTCTGACTGGATTATGGATACTCGAGTATAGACGCTACACGATCCCATTACTAACTTTCAAAATAGCCGTTCTAGCCTTGTAGCCAAGCCGGTCTGAGCCGCCGTAAGCCGAGAGCAAGCTATTACGGTCCAATATGATCCTTCAGACTTCTGAAGCGGTCCAGCGTACCAGTATTTTATACGGGGAATACTGACGGTGTCTATTGTATCGACCGTCGTCCCCTTTTGGGATGGTCAAAGTAGTGCAGTGCCAACGCCGTCGTCACATCCTGCTGCACAACAAGCATGAGAACGGTCACCAACGGTATGCTGCTGCCATCGGACTGGAACATTTCCCGCACTGTCAGTTTCGGGGTGTCGGCGTCGCCAAGCTTCAACTGCGCGTGCAACAGTCCAAGCTACCTCCTTCGTGTTCTGGCTGCTCCCGGCGGAGACTGCTTCATAGTAATCAACTGCGTCCTTGGCCTCGCTCGTTGCGTACGTGTAGTCGCCGTCTCATAGCCGCATCGTGGTCTTTCCATCATAGGTAGGCACCCGGTCGACTTCGTTGCTCTCTGCGGCCTTCAGAGCGGTCTGTGCATGCACAAGGGCCTTTGTCGTCCAGTTAAGTCGTTACAGGCCGCAGCCATGCTCCTGTAGCACAACCATTTCTAGCCAGCGCGAGAGTTAGTCCTGTCGAGTTCGATGGTACGCTTATACACCTGCAAGGTTACTGCGAGCAATACTATGGCGCACATCGAGTATATCGGGTAGGAGAGCGACTGGCACTATTGCTAAGCGACAGAGGTCTTTAAGTGAGTATAGCTTTATTATAGCAAAATTTGAGAAATCAGTCCGGCATTGCTGATAAGCACGCGTTGGGTAGGATCCCACTTTAGGCCTTGAGCTTCTCACGCGGGCATCATTGAATGCTGGGCGGTCGAGCGGCCGAGGACCGAAGCCTGCCACTACCGCGACTGAAGCCCCGGCCTAGCGATGATCTTGGTAGTTCGGCCTATCTGAAGCTATCGTGGCTATATCCAGCTCAAATAGCAGCCGCGTGAAGACGGCCTTGCTTATGGTTGTTTTATGACAGTAGTTATCTTACAGCGTCTGTGTGATAGAGGCCAGTGCGTTGCTCAATGCCGTATCAATACGTGGAACATTGATGCCATGTACTTGAGTACCATCTTCACTAAAGTCTTGTCGTTCTTGTCGTTCTTGTCGCCGTCTGATTTGTGTACGCCCGCTGCAAAGGAGTGATGCACCACGTAAGACCTTATTCGGCTTTAAAATCTAGCTCGCTGTGATAGCTTCGGTACCAGCATAGTTTCCGTTAGTCCTGTTCTCTTATCAGTCTGTGAACCTCTGCCTAAATAAAAGATGACGAGAAAATTCGACGACACCTGCACCCAGCTGCCTTTTTTCCTTTAAGATTATCAGCCGCCTGGTCCCGTGTGGCTTTTTCTGACCACTCTATCTGTAATATAACCAAATGTCGGGGCGCAGGGGTGAACTGGGGGAAGATCGGAAGATTTCGTGTTGTTGAACTTTGTAGAGCCAAATCTGCTCTGTACTCTGCAGTGATATTGGAATGACCGGCCTTGCCGATTTTCGGCTCCCCGACTATGCTTACATTATTTTATCGCTGTCCAGTCAGGGAGCTTGTAAAGACAGAATACACAAAATGGCACCAGAAGACCCGAGAATTGAGGGACTCTTCCGATTGGACCCACCATCCGTTTGCACGTAGCATTGTCGCATATGGGTCTTCAGGCACAGACGTGTGTGGCTACTTCCTACTATGTAGTACTCCGTAGCAGTTTTATGTCTGAATTGGTAATGATTTGGACCGCATCTAGATTTCCGGAGAGCTCCAACTTTGTTGCGCGGTGGTGCACGGACCACCATTTATACAAGGCAGCCTGTTTTCAGGAATACAACAATCTTGGCTCAGCACGTTTTCCATCTTTTTACGGAGTATTTTTTACATTGTGCGGCCGCTGAAGCTCAGCCTTGTGTTGGTCCGTGCGAAACTACTATTCCTAATACGGAGTACTCCGTAAATGTTTGCACATAAGAAGCTTAGCTTACTCCGAATGTTCGTTCTATCTTACATAGTACAGAGTCTTGTTACCAACACAGAATTACTAAGTTCTTGGACGATATGCGGAGTGGTAAAATGTAAACGAAATTCCCCTTTTAGCAGTCCTATAAAATAGCATCCTTCCACTTTACAGCGCGGCATTGACTTCTAGACCACGTGCGATTACAGGACAGGTTACACTTCCGAGAATGGCCTCACCGTACTCTGTACGTAATCAATGATTTCTAACGTAAATATAAACCGATAAAAAGGGGGCAGCAAGCATGATCCTTACTGGATAGGGCTTAGTATCCCGCGCGGGATCACGAGCCAGCGTCCGCTACGGCCTAGTACGGAGTAAGATGCAGAGTGCGGAGTACGAGTACTCCTTTCTTTAGGGGCGAATTTCGGTGCCAATTAAGTCTCCGAAATATTCCGTCTAGGATCCACTACCCCCTACTTTGTGGTCTGCGCCGCAGACAGTAAATCACTCCGTACGGAATAGTAAGATATGTATGACAGATACGAGCAGACATGATAGTTGCCTTCTGCAAATGTGCAACTGGCCCGGGAACGCCTACCCGAAGAGAAACTTACGGCGTACAGGCTATACTTCGGAGGGCGCAGAGGCACCGCTACCTGCATGTAAAGAATAGTGTCAAGCATTGGAATCCGCCACACTGTGGCCCTTCCGCCCCACTTGGCCGTACGGGCCTGTGATTGGTTAGAAGGCACAAAAGCGGGGCCTGGCACTAGTATTAATACGGATCCCCAGAAGGGTCGCGATGTATCTATTTCTTCCTTAGTACACAACACTCTCTCGCCTACACTAGACCCTATTCAGCCTCCTGCTCCTCACAGTGCATCACGTTATATGACCGCTACGTATAGCCTCCTTTAACCTTGACAAATAGGAACTAAACGTAATTTTCGGCGACGTCTGCTGTAAACATCTAGAGCTTGCTCTAGATTACTGAAAGTGCAGGCGGCTGCTAAGTGCAATGTGCTTCTGGTACGGAGTAGAAATATTACATTGTACGGTGTGATTTGTGCTTATTTGCGCCTTGGTCATAACACGTCACATTTCAGCTTGCCTCGTGGATCAAATCAAGTAGAATACTCCGTATGTAGTGCCGAAATATCACACGTACCCCTCTTTCATTACAATCGTCCAGCCACCTTTTGCACACTTATCCGTCACCGTTTTTCCCTCTCTTTTAATTTGAATATACTCCGTATCATCGTTTACTTGATTCGCGGCGCTCACATCTAAGTTAGGCGAACAGATGGCAGAAGCCAAAAAGACGTTAGGGCAACCTTCATCTGCCACTAGCCCTGTGGTCCCCACTCCTGCACCGGAAGGTTCTGTATTGCCAACCTCGGAAGACGTCGAGGTTTACCCCGGCCACTATTGGACTGCCCAGCCGTGGGACGATGTGAGACTTGCTCTGATTGCCCCAACTTCGACGCTGTCCTCGCAAGAACGTGGGCATCTATGGTCGCGTGTGTACGGTTGCCTAATATGTTGCATAGGACAATGACTCGGCGCAAGGCGATGATGCGGCTACCTCTACCTCTTCCATCACATCATCTATCCTGAGATACCGGACAGTCAACGGCCGGACATATCACAGCGATAGCATCGCAACCAACAAGTACTGGTAAGCTTTGAGAACAGCAGTGCCGACATCGATATGCACTAACTTGAATCAAGGGGTGCAAATGACGCGAATCAGCAAAATGCACTGGACATCTAGTACGCCTAAAGCTATCCTACTTCTGTGGCCTTTTTTATTAATATCTAGCCACCATGCGTTCTTGCTGATGTTGGACGGAAAACTCCATCTCGCTCCCTTGCCAGACAACATAGAGGTGAGTTGTCCACTGTATCTTGTTCTTGCATATATATGGCTAACGTACAATCAAGCGCGTACTGGACATTGGAACTGGAACGGGAGTATGGGCTATGTAAGGAAGCCCATCAACAATCTCCAAGTGTAAACGTACGTCAATAACGGCTGACACGGTGGCTTAGTGACTTTGCCGACTTACACCCTGACGCCACGGTAACCGGTACCGATTTATCTCCTATTCAGCCCTCATGGGTCCCGCCGAACGTTAGCTTGTATGAGCAGTGCCTTGATTCTGGCTTTTATTGCGGCGCATGGCTGATAAATGCATAGCGAGATCGAAGATTTTACCCAGCCGTGGACATTTGCGCGAGAGTCAATCGACTTTATCTACGGACGTTGGTTGATAGGCTCCGTAACGGACTGGACGGCCTTATTTAAGAATGCCTTCGAAGCATTGAAGCCAGGTGGCTGGTTCGAAACCTTTGACTTCAATGGCTTCTTTGAGTCTGATGATGGTTCCTTGACCGACAAGGCTGCTGCCAGCCAGTGGGGTTACATCTTTCGAGAGGGTGCAAAGAAGCTTGGCTCAACGGCCTCTTTCACGATAATTAGCGATAATGTGCAGCAGAAAGGCCTCAAAGAGGCGGGCTTCATTAACATTCAAGAGCACCCAATGAAGGTTTGCAATTCTTTTTCCGTTGCTCTGATTTACTTGACTGACAACTTGCTAGGTCCCTTGCTCCGAATGGCCAGAAGACCCAAAGCTGAAAGAAGTTGGCTTGTTTATTCGAGCTGCCTGGGAAAACGATCCTGAGGGTTTCATGGGCTTCATGGCGAGTACGATTGGTTGGTCACCAGAAGAAATTACTGTCTATTGCGCTCACATGCGTCGCGAGCTACGCAGCCTGAAGATCCGTCTTTACTACAAATGTAATGTTGTCTGGGCCCAGAAACCATACTCCTGAGATCTAGCTAGATGGCTCTGGGCAGTTGTTTGCATAGTTTGCATGTGCGTATGTCAGTTGTTGAATCTCGTTTACTCTTTATATTAGATAATGGTCTGTCCAGTGTGGAAATAGTTTCATAACAATTCAAGTCTGTCTGCACGAGAAGGAATCAATAAGGGATCCCATCAAAGAACGTGCTGGAAGCACATATGCATGTAGGAGCCACATGCCTTTATGCAGATGTCGTATAAATATTCGGCCAACGCGTTAGTTGGAAATTCAACGGTTTTTCTACCCCGCCCCCTCATTACCGCCCCTCTCCTAACTTGCTAAAAACAAACGCTAGTCACCCACCATTCACAACGCTTACGAGCCAAGATGAACGAGCCGTCACTTGCAGAAGTAGTGAGAGATCTTCACAAAGATCTCCGCCGGAAATATGCGCTGCACGGGACCGCTATTGAGAAGGTGTGGCATTCTTTTGACAGCGCCACGCGAGCTAAATGCCTCAAAGCCGGTTTAGTCGACGGAGGTGTGCTCGCACACCCACTGGATAGGTCTTTGGGAGATGTGTACAAGTTCGTACCTGAGATAAACCTCAGGGACATTGCAGAATCGGGCTCGGACTTCCTGCTAGACCATCTGCGGCACCGAGCAAACAAGTCGCTCATTGAACAACTTCAAGCAGGAGTCCGCGGCGGTCAGGGTGATTTGGACTTCATCGAACTGATGATGCGCACGAAAAATTTGCGGCATGCGACTCGTTTCCGCAATTGCATCACATTTTTCATGGACGACGAAAAGTACGGCGAGTCGTTTGAAATCGCACGCGAAAAGGGGGAGGTTTTGAACAAAATTACGCCTGCTCTTAAGGCACGCGTCGCGGTTCCTCAGGCGACTGGCGAGCTGATCCTGATCAGACAACAGTGCCTCTTAAAGTCGTTTAACATCCTTGTGGAAGATATACTGGATGAGGGTGCTTGGGCCCATGGCCAGAAGAATCGGTCGAAGAAGATGGCCAAATCCGTGACTCAGGCACTATCCAAGCTCACTATCCTCGAGGCGCCTGCATATATCAGCTTTTCGGATCTTCTAGCCTACGCACACGACCAGATGACTGATTTCGAAGACTACCTCGGCCTTCTCTCTGTGGAGCCAGTCGTCCTAAAGCATGCGGTCAACTTGCAATTCGTTAGTCAGCCCGAGCTCATCGCCGACGAGAAGGGCCGCACAATGCCTTTTCACACCGACAAGTATATCAGCGGCTCCGTGTTTGACGTGGTCCACAACGCTGTCCAAGGCACTGCCATCTGGACGTACATTGCCCATCTTCTCACATTGCTCAGCATAGGTGGACAAGACAAGGTGTTGCGGACAATCGTTCTCCAGGAGCTCTCGAATGCCTGCTATCTAGAATACGGGCGCGTCCAGACCACTCTCAAGCGCCAAGTTCAGAGATGCTCCGGTGTCAAGTGGTTTAAGAGGATTTCCGGCGCGTATGACAAGGCCGGTAATGCACGCATTGTCGTGAAAGGGAACACGGCCAGCCTGACACGAGACAACCCACAGCTTCAGTACCTTATCAGCCTCTGTCTCCCCGACACCAGTGTGTCCAAAGCAGCCGACTGGATGAAGAAGCTGAGTAATTTGCACAAGGTTCATCCCCTGGAGCGAGAGAAGCTGGAAGAGAGCGAAGTCGACTCCCTTGGCGATCTGGCCGTCATCATCGAATTTTCTCAGGATCTCTCCAATGTCATCCCAATGCCGTCCTTCTCTCGCAACAAGGGGCAGACGTTTGTCTCTCGGATGCAGGAGCTGCAGACTAAACTGAATTTGCTCAAGAACCAAGTTGACCTGAGCGAATTCGCTGCTCTCGTCGATAACCTTTTGGTGCCCGGTATGGCCGAAGGAGCCCTGCAGTTACTTGACAAGTTTGTGATTGAGAAGGCCGGTATGAATATAGGCATTCTGTATCAAGTCCTTGTCGAGGACTGCCTATCAGGACTACAGCAACAATTTGAGATGACCAAGATCAAGCTGACGCAGGGTGGCAAGGCCACTCCGCCAACCCCCCCTCTTGCAGATCCAGACGCCCAGAAGTTCCTCTCGGAGCAGCAGGAACAAAATCAGACGACGCCAACAGATCAGTCTTCCTTTGAATTCGCGCCGCGCAAGGACGTGGCCACCACTGTGGTGCCGGCATCCCCCCCGCAGACCTTCCAAGTAAGCGCCTCGACAGCACAGGTTTTTGCTACGTTTTTTGCCAAGTCGGTCTCGCAGGGGTCTGTAACCTGGTCGGCGTTTGAAGCTGCCATGGGAGATATGGGATTTTCGGTCTTGCTCAAGTTGGGCTCAGTCTACACATTTTATCCTCCGGATACCATGCTGGCAAAGAAGCCGCTCACCGTTCATCAGCCGCTTCGGTTCAAGATCGAAGGCCACATGATTCTTATCTTTGCACGGCGGCTGCGAACAATTTACGGGTGGGATGAGAGTACGTTTGTGGTCGCCTAAACCTCTGTTTTGTCTGAGAGGAGCAGGTTGCAAGAGCGAGTTGCACTACCAAGGTTGCAGTTGTCCGAGAGTGAACAGACTTTGTATTCTGGCCAGGAGTCTTCGTAACACCTATAGAACGAGGAAGCTCAGTGCACAAGGTGCAGGGACTCGTCAACGGAGCATTAGGTACATTTGGGCTCCCTCAGTTCTGTTTGAGATATCGGCACACTGCTATAGCGCAGTGAGGTCAGGGCAAGGCCCAATTAATTCTACACGAGCATCTAGGCTCTATCTAAATCAATGATTTTAGACAACACCGCGGCCACGATGTCAACGAAGTGAACTTTATGCGGGGACTTTCTACCAAACTGTACTGTATCTGTAGGGTTTGTAGCCTATGCATCAGCCGCAAATGAGGAGACGCGTCCTCTGGCTCTACAAGCAAAACACGATTTCAGCATAGAAGGAAGCACCTTATTGACGGTCATCATGGCTTTCAATTCGCCATATGAACAAGGAAGCCCATTTCTTTTGTTATAAACTAAAGAATTCGAATAACGCCAGCACTACCACATGACTCCCTGACATGAAAGAAGCTGCACCCTCATCCTAGTGGTTTTGTTTTCGCTTGTATTTCTCTATGCCGCCTCTTCCCAAGACCTCCGAATGACCCGGGCAAACATGTCGATGTTCACGTCCTCGCGGATCTCTGACTTCTTCGCCTCGTTCTCGGGGTTTTTGGGGATGATAGCTGAGGTACCTTCGACCTTCCAGCCGCAGGTGCCGGTGACGAATTTGCGGACAGCATCCTCGTTCAGGCCAAGCCACTGCTCCAGTAGGCTTAGCTGGATCTCGCGGAAGGCGTGGCTGATGAGCTGGGCGATGCGCACGCGGACAATCTCCTCAAAGCCATCAATGTCGGTGGTCAGGTCAGCGTACAGGTCGTCGGAGTCGAGCGTGGCCCAGAAGCGGGCGTACTGGGCGCCCTCGAGCAGGTTGTTGAGCGCGCGCAGCTTGGACACGGCCTCGGCCAATTCAGAGGCGCCAGAGGTGGACGAAGCAGCAGCAGCAGTGGTGGAGGCGGCGGTCGGGCCTAGCAGGTGCAGGCCCAAGCTGAACTGCGGCGAGGGAAACTGGGTCATGGCCTTGACGAGGATGTTGGTGATGACCTCATCCTTGATCCGGTCCGGGTTGAGCTGGTACCTGGGGGGCGTAGAGGAGATTTAGCATTCTAGCTCCTCCATCATTCTTCTCACTTTGGACACAAAAAACAAAACACAAGCCATAGATCAGAGAGTTCAACAGTTGACTTCATGAGAGGTCAGGTAATAGGAAACGTTTTTTAAGTCATCATTAAAATAGTGGCAGAGGAAACCAGAATCAGATAGCCTAATAACGGGAGGAGAACACGTACAGCTTCAGGAGAGTCCGGTTCGCATTGCAGTCGCAGAACCGCTCCTCGCATTGTTGTGCCAGGTATGCCTCCAGGTGAACGACGGCCTCGGGGTTGTACCGCTCCAGCCCATTGATGATGGCGGAGATGGCCTCCGGGCGCTCTGACGGGTCTTCGCCGCTCATGTTGGGCAGCGCAAGGAGGATGTGCGTCGCGGTGTGGGTGGGCTTCGTGGGAGGGAGATGCGTCGTTCCGGCTCGGATCTTTGAGTTTTTTTCAATGTGGCGGGGCACATTTTTGGCGATATCCTTTTTTTGTGAATTGCCAGGGCTTGAAACGGTTTAGCGCGGGAATGTCTAGCCCAGTGAGGCACGTGATGGCAGCTCATCGAAGCTGCGCCACATAGCGCCACACTTGTTCCGGTGTTGACGTTGCTCTCTAATGACCTGAAAATGACGGCCATCAGCGCTTGTTGTGACGCTACCCCAGCTCAACATGACCGGGTTCACACGGCGTTTCGCAGAAGATGCCGAGCCCAGCTAAAAAGCGGAAGCTGAATGAGAACGCAAGAAGCTCCCAGCCTCGGGGCCTTGAATATTTCTTCTCAAAGCAGAAGCAAAATGGCGGGTCAAGCGGCTCAGTGACACCACAGGTGGTCGAAGATGGCGATGTCACGGCCACTACGTCACAAGGATCCACTCTAATCTCAGATGAAGAGTTCGCCAGGAAGCTTCAGGCTCAGTGGGATGAAGAGGATCAGCGACAGCAGCAGCAGCAGCAGCAGCAAGTTCTACCTGTCTTGTCGATTGCATCCCTGGAAGATGGAGAGCTAGGAGAGCTAGGAGAACCGGTGAAACCGCCAAATATGGACTCTTCTGTTAAGTCCAGCCATTTTGCACCACTGAAGGATAATGGCAATGCAACAACAGTTACACAGCTGCCGAAGAACGGCACGCTCTCTCTGCAATCTGTGAGCACGGTCGAGGACGAGATGACAGCCAGCCTTCCCCTCGACCAAAGTCCGCTGGTATTTGAGCCGGCAAAATACACAGCAAAGCTGCAACAGAGTTGGGCAGCTGAGGGTGGTGGCGCACCATATGCCCTGCTGACGCGATGTTTCGTGCTGGTCAGTGGAACGCAGAGCCGGATCAAGATTGTGGATACACTGGTCAACTGCCTGCGGCTGCTGATTGAGGGAGACCCGGGGAGCCTTTTGCCAGCTGTGTGGTTAGCCACCAATTCGATCAGCCCCCCGTATGTGTCTCGAGAGCTGGGGCTGGGCGGGTCGGCAATCTCCAAAGCGCTCAAACAGGTCTGTGGCCTGGACGGACGTAGCCTAAGGACCCTGTTTCACAAGCACGGCGATCCTGGTGATGTGGCATACGAGGCCAAAAAGAAGCAGGCGTTTACATTACGGCGGCCTCGGCCGTTGACGATCCAGGGCGTGTACCAGGCGCTCTGCAAAGTGACCGACAGCCAAGGCCCGGGCAGCGTGGAGGCGAAACAACGGATCGTCGACCGACTGTTGCAGGATGCACGGGGTGGTGACGAGAGCCGCTTCATTGTGCGGACTCTGTGCCAGCATTTGCGCATCGGAGCGGTCAAGACAACGATGCTGATTGCGCTGTCGCGAGCCTTTCTGCTGTCACGGCCACCCGGAGCGGAGTTTTCGACACGCAGTGTTGCAGAATTGACAAGGCTGAAAAAGGAGGAGCTGGCTGAAGTGCACGGACGGTCAGAGGAGATCGTAAAGGCGTGCTTTGCGCGACGGCCGAATTACGACGACCTGGTGGAGGCGATGTTGGAGATGGGGATATCAGAGGCACTGTTGCAGCGTTGTGGATTGGAGCTGCACGTGCCGCTTCGGCCGATGTTGGGAGCGATCACGCGGCACCTGGGCGAGATGCTGGCTCGACTGCAGGGGCGACCATTTGCGTGCGAGTTCAAGTACGACGGACAGCGGGCACAGGTGCACTGCGACACGGCTGGACGAGTGTCGATCTTTTCACGACACCTGGAGCGGATGACGGACAAGTATCCGGATCTGGTTTCGCTGGTGCCGCAGATCCGTGGCGCAGGCGTCGGCAGCTTCATCCTGGAGGGAGAGGTGGTGGCAGTGGACCGACAGACAGGAGCGCTGCGCAGCTTCCAGACGCTGGCAAATAGGGCGCGCAAAGACGTGGCTGTCGGCAGCATCACGGTGGATGTGTGTCTGTTTGCGTTTGACCTGATGCTGCTCAACGGACAGCCGCTGCTAGATCGGCCCTTCCGTGAGCGGCGCGAGCTGCTGCGCTCGCTCTTTGTTGAGATGCCACACCACTTCCGCTGCGTCGAGAGCATGGATGCGACCTCGGAGGACGGCGATGCGATCTCGGCCTTTTTCAAGCGTGCCACCGATATCAAGTGTGAGGGCATTATGGTCAAGATTCTGGACAACCTACCGGCCAGCGAGGGGAGTGCAGAAGTTGCCAGAGTAGTGGTTCCAGTTGTTGCAAAAGCCAAAAAGAAAAAGGGTAAAGGAATTGTCAGGAAAACCAACGGAGCTGACGCGAACGACGACGAGACCGATGTGGAGACAAAGACGGGTGGCAGACGCAAGGCACTGCTGGCAACGTACGAGCCGGACCGGCGACTGGACTCCTGGCTGAAGGTGAAGAAGGACTACGGGTCGACACACGAGACGCTGGACCTGATTCCGGTGGCAGCGTGGCACGGAATGGGACGCAAGGCCAAGTGGTGGTCACCCATTCTGATGGCGGTGCGCAATGAGGAAACGGGGTCACTAGAGGCAGTGACGAAGTGTATGTCTGGCTTTACGGACGCGTTCTACAAAGCGAACCGGGCTTTCTACAGCGTGGAAGAAGCAGACGAGAGCGACAGCGACAGCGACGACAATGACGACGAGGAAGATGGGAATGGTGAGAAGGCCGAGAAGAAGGCCAAAAGCAACACGCGCACACAGAAGCCGAGCTTTGTAGACTACAGCGGTCCAGCACCGGATATCTGGTTCGAGCCGCAGGAGGTATGGGAGATGGCATTTGCAGACATCACGCTCAGCCCAACATACACGGCGGCAATTGGGCTGGTCAGCGACGAGCGAGGGCTCAGCCTTCGGTTCCCGCGGTTCCTGCGACAACGTGACGACAAGGGCATCGACGAGGCGAGCACGAGCGATTTTCTGGCGACGCTGTACCGGAAACAGGAGAAGCCAAGCGAGGAGGATCCGAAAGAGGAAGAGGACTGATGTGCAGCGTATGGATGTGCATTGATTCTATCGCAGATGAGCTCAGCCTTCTTTCTGCGCATCCTTCCAGGCCCGATAGACGATGCGAGCGCCATACTTGGCCCCGCGCTTGAGCAGGACCATCGAGCGCCAGGCGTCGACGTTGGCGGCATTGACATAGCGGCTGGGCTCGACGCAAAAGCCGCAGCGCTGACCGCGAGCTGGCAGACCGCCGAGAGGGGGCAAGTCGACATAGCCGGCAGTGTAGAGCTGGAAGGCCGGCTCGGTGCTCCAGACCTCCAGGTGGACGCCGGACTGAGGGTGGTGGGCGGTGAGGAAACGGACCAGCGGCGAGCTGCGCGTATCGATAGGCACCGATGAGGGCTCCTCGTTGACCACGAGGCAGTCGTCAATGTCAGGAGCCGTGGCGCCGAAGACGAAAGAGGTGTGTGCTGGCGGCACTGTTGCGAAAGGAACGGGTCCTCCGGTGGGGATGCCGGTGCTGTCGACAGGCAGGTAGCTGTTGGTGGCGAGCTCGACAACGGTGCCCTCAATGGATGTGGTGCCAGAGAGGTTGAAATAGCTGTACAGGTGCCAGAGATGGCGAATCAGAAGGGGATCAAATGAATAGAAGCCGAATCAACTGCAATAGCAGCAGAACAGCAGAACAGCAGATCAGAACAAAAACACACTCACGAGTGATTGGTCATGTTAATGACGGTCTCGTCTGCATTGCCGACCAGCTCGGCCTCATAGTCGATGACCAGTACGGTGATCCGTTTGTCGTCTTCAGCTTGACGTCCGGCCGTGTATGTGACGGAGGCAAGGACGTTGCCGGGGTAGCCCTCGTCGCCGTCGGGGCTGTCGAGGGTGAACCGCACCGACTCGCCGCCCTCGGTCAGCGGGGCCAAGCCAGGGAAGAGTGTGTGCACGCCCACGGGCGAAGGTCCGGTCCAGGTCTTCTTGCCCCAGCCAGCAGGGCCGCCGTGCAGAGCGTTGGGCCCGTCGTTGGCGGTCAGCGGACAGTCGGCGCTGCCGTTGATGTTGTGTAGCTGGGCGCCGCTGATCCGGTTGGCCACGCGGCCGATCGTCTCGCCAAAGTAGGGCGCGTTGTGGGAGGCATACAGTTCGGAAGTGGGGAAGCCCTGGACGATGTTGGTGCCGTCGACGTCGAAGCGCTGGATGATGGCGCCGAGCGGCAGGAAGCTGAAGGGAGCGTCGTCAGCCATGGCAGGCAGGACAGGGAGCAGGAGGGTTGGGATGTCGGGACGGGTGCAGGCGGCGAGCCGGTCAAGACTTGGTGATGATGCTTTTTGTACTCGCCTGATGTCCGGGTAAATTGCCCTTCAGCGGGGTTATGCGAGTCATTACAGTGGGGCAGCTGCCCATTACCAGTCAGCCGGTTATTCATCCTCACGAAACTTCCATGCGACAGAAGGAGTTGAAACGGTTGGTGTTGGCCTGATCTGTGGATGCTTGTAGAAATGCTTCGTTGTGTCATGGCTCCAGAAAGCAAGCAGCTCACGGCAGCCTCGGAAATCACCAACGGTCCGACAGCTGCGGGCAGTTTTACCAAATTGCACAGCACAGGCCAGCGTCTTTTACGGAGTGCACTGTGGCTTAGAGGAAGCAGTCGTTGAACAGGTCAGCTAGGTCGCTGCTTGGTCGTCTGCCTGTGTCGAAGTGCCCCTAAGACGATCGCTGTTTTAACCGCCTCTGTGCCATTGGCCAGCCGTAGTGGCAGCGATGCCGCACCCTAACCCCGCGAAAGTGCAGCGCCGCGCCTGCTGTGCTATGCTTGTACAGGCGGCAGAGCAGCCCTAGGGCCAGGCTAAGGGTCTTGGGCAGTGCCGGCAGTCAGTCCAGACCGCTTTCGTACGAGGGGAAGCGGCCAGTAATTCCCCTTTTAGCAGGCGTCCACCCCACTACAGCGCAGGACTGCGCTAAACTGCCGGGTTCGGCAGGGCACTTGCACACAAGTGCACACAAGTGCCTTCGGCACACATGAAGCCGCAGGCAATGACGACATGGGTGTCGGCGTGCGAGCTATAGCATATGTGAAGCGTTCGGTCGGCGAAAGGGCTGTGACACTACAGCGAGGAGGCTGAAACGGCGAGATCCTCCAGACCGCCTGCGATCCACGACGTCTCCGGAGCGGCCGTCTTCCACTGGATGCTAGCGTCAGCAATTCGTCACATCGGCTCTCTTTTTGGCCTCTCCTTTATTTCCTTTCCCTTGAGAGGAGCCGTTTGCAGGGTTCCTGTCGTCAGCATCGCGCCAGTAGCTCCTTCTGGAAGCCACGCTGGTTCCACTTTCCTGCTTCTTCAGCGTTGGGTCGGACGCTCCTTCTGGGTCGGCTGCGGGCTCCTGCCCGATCCCCTTTCTTTGCTCACGACGTTTCCCGTCCGGGACATTGGCCCTGCCAAAAGAGAGACGGACGCACAATTTGCTTCTGCCCAGACGCTCACCACTTCACATCGTGGCTTTCACCAGTCCAATCCGCACATCCGCTTCCCACTGCACCCGCATATCCTGACGTGCACACGCGAGCAGAACATGGCTCTCGACGCGGTCGCACCGCTGCAGGGCTTGGCCCCGGACGCTCCGGAACCCCTTTCCGATCGTCCGGCCACCGGTCAGAGTCTCTGGCGTCTTTTGCGCATGGCTTCGGCAGCCACGCTGACCGGTTCCATCTCCGTCGCCGAGACCGACAAGGAGACAGGCTCGAACTCGGGCGCCGAGCCGTACGTCGACAGCGTCGCGAAGCCGCTCAGGCCGAGAGCAACATCGACGCCGCTGCTGACACTGACACCACCACCGCCCGAGGTCGAGGTCAACTCGGACGACGTGCTCGGCCAGCGTCGTGCCGACATGGCTGCCGTGGCCGAGCGCATCTGGGCACTTTATGACGCCGGCGTGCCGCTGTACACGCGCGAGGCGCTGCTGGATATGGCCCGCCAGCTCAGCTCCAGCAGCAGCGTCCGTGACGGCTCGCGCAACGCGTCCATTTCCGTCCGTGGAATCGACGGCGTTCGCGTGCGGCTGTCGACGCAGTCGGGCGCCATCTCCGAGTCGAACATCCATCCGGATATCGTGTTGGTGAAGTGAGCTCGGCCCTGTTGCTTCCCCGGTTCGAACCGCGCATCCCACACCCGCACGTCCGTCTTGCTCACCCCTGACACAGCATCCGTCCCGAGATCCAGTACTGGAACATCGAGAAGCTCACCGGCAGTGGCCGCTGGCACGTCCGCCACTTTCACCCCGAACACGCCTTTCTGTCACTGCGCATCAGCCACAGCCGCGAGGCCCGCTACCGCAACCCGGCTAACGGGTCCGTCAGCATCCAAGGCAGCCGCACGGTCTGTGATCTGGCCAGCAGTCTTGCCCACGCTGCAGCATCGGAAACGACACCAACACCAGACGCAGGAGAGCCAGCTGACCCGGTCCCTGTCCCTCTTTGTCCACCCCGCCCTTCGATTTCGTCATCGCCCCTCGCTGTGGACGAGACCCGCGCCATCTTCCGCCAACACAGAGCTGAGTGGGACGCCAGCGAGGCCTGCAAGACGCTGCGGGCCACATTGGCCGAGGCCTTGACTGCTGCACCCGCCACCGCGCTCGCCGTCCGCAAGATCGTCGCCTTTGCCTGCGGGTCCATCGCCGACGCCAGCCCTCGCGAGATCGGCCGCCATGCGGTGCAGCACGCCATGCTGCTGACGGTGCGCGACTTCTTGCAAGACTTTCAGCAGTCCTGCACAGTGAACGGGACAGAGACCAGAGCAGAATCAAAATTGGAGGCAAGGACAAGAACAAAAACGAAAACTCCCCTCTTGTGTCTCGTCCAGGATCCCGCCTACGACGACGCCGACATTGCCACGCTGACCGAGCACGGAATCACCGTGATCGAGGACCCGCATGGATTCCTAGCCGTCGATGAGTCTGCCATCGTCATCGCTGTCGCCCCCAGCGTGCCCGTGCGCCAGATTGTCGCTGACTTGGCCCGGCCGGCCGCCATGATCTGGACCCGCTTGCCGATTGCCTCCATTTCGTCTTCTTCACCGTTCATGTCCATACCACCAACCCCCCATGGCATCGACGACCGCGGTGGCTGGTCAGACCCCCCGTCATCTCGCGTCATCGCCATGGTGCGCGATGCCTACACCGAATGGCCGTTTCCCTACGACGTCAAAAACTTCGGCATAGGCGAGGGCATGGCCGTGTACGTACGCACAGAAACGATATCAAGTAACGGCACGCTGACAGCGGCTGACGACACCCATCTGGCCGTTGATAACGGCGCCGGCAGCCTGCTGCAACAGCTGCGACGAAAGCTGTCGTATCAATGGAAAGCATAATCCAGTTCAGTTCAGCGATGGAAGCATAAGCATAAGCATAAGCATATCATGAGTTTAGAAGGAGGGCAGGAGTTTGCAAATATTCGCGTTCTTTACAATTAATAGTTTGTTTGATTGCAGGCGCTCAGAAGTTTGGATAGAAGAGTCTTATCTGAAAACAAAGTCGTGTCTATCGCTATTTTTGGGGTTTTGCCAGCTTATTGGTCGCTTTAGTTGTGATAAGAATAGCTGGACAGACGCTGCGGCCTTTTGTGGCCTCACAAAAACGCAGTTCAGAAAAGGAAAATATCACAATGTCCACCGTCTGCTAAAGCCTCGGAGGGGAAGGTAAAACAGCTCGTTTGCCTGGGAGCTCTCCCCGTCTTCACACGCTTGCTCGCTGATTTCCGAACCCGCTACTTGCAATCTGAATTGTTCGGCACTGCCGTCGGCTTCTCCATCGGGTTCTCCGTTCATCGGATGGTCTTCGTCGCCAGTCCTTTGACGGCTTTCTCCACTCGTGTCTGACTCTCCGGTTTCCTGTCTTTCTTCCTCTCCGTTTTCCCCAGTTCCGTCGTGTCCATAGTCATGGCGCCAGCTCTCACGCATCCTTGTGACTTTGTTGTATAGGCTTTCACGGTGCCCGACACGACCTTTATTGCGCGCTCTGTGCTCTTTCTCACGCTCTCCGTGAGTCAATTTCTGCCCTCGACGGCTGTGACGGGACCGGCCACCGTCCTAAGGCAACCGGTCACCGGCATATGCCGCTCCTCCGCCCACAGCCACGAGAAAGTATGCAGGGTCGCCAGCATTAGCCTTGCCCGATTGGTCGGCACCGCCGTCCGGCTGCACGTCATCGTAGGCAAAAGCGTAGCCCTTGCCGTCCAGATTGGCCGCGTGTACGATGCGGCAATAGTGGTTGGTAGGGTCTACCTTGTAGAACGTGCTCGGTTCAGACGGTTGGTCGGCCACCTCCAACAACGTGCTACGCTGCAGGGCAGCGGCTAGGCGCGGAATGATTGCATTGCGCGTAGCCGACGACCCAGTGGTAAACGGCCCAGTGTTGCAGCCAAGGATGTCGGCTGTTGTAGGCTTGACAAAGCCTTCGTTACCAAAATAAAAGAGGGCGTCGCCGCGCACGGCACCGCGGACGATACCAGGAGCTGCCTGTGTATTTATGCTCGCCGTCGATCTGCCGCTGGAATATTTGGCCCACACCTGTTCGACGTACGGCTCAAAGTAGCCGGTAAACGAGGCGCCGACAGCGTCGCCATGCGTGGGGCTCAGCGCACGCAGTGGTGTCCCTCCGCTGGCGTCAGCGGGGTCTGTGACAATGAGCTTATCCCAGGGGCGGCCGTCGCGGCTGGCCTGTGCACGCAGGCCATCGCACACCGTGTTGAGACCATTAGTTGGCATGCCCGAGACATGTTGCACCGCCTGCATGTCGCCGGCTCGTTGCAGCGTCAGCGCAATGGGCAGGCGTGACACAAAATCAACGTATGAGATGTTGGCAAAAAGCTGGTCGGAATTGAGCGTAAACTCGGCAAAGGCAAAGTCGACAGCCGCATTGGGATCGGTTGGATTCAGCACCGACGGCTCGACCAGAGCCGGACCGGTAGGACCGCCAGGGTTGAGCAAGAAAATCAGCCGTCGAGGCCCGCGGCTGAACCAAATGCGCCCACCCGCAATCTGTGGGATCGTCACCCGCACAGTGTTACCAGGCGCGCCGAGTGGGATGGCACAGTCTTCGGTCAACGGCTGGAGAATCGCGCTGGAGTCGGTCGGATTTTGCGGAAAGTATAGGTCGCAGCCATTGGCCTTGAGCAGCACGCGAGCTCCATTTGCCTGGATTGCGAGGCCGGTAATGTAGGCAAATACCTCGTTTGAATCCGTGTGGTTCTGAAGGTGAATGACGAGAGAGTCTGGCATGATGGGGTTTGAGGATGATCGATAATAGATGAGGTTGAATAGCCAAGAAAGGACGAAAGTAAGATTTTAGGAGGATGATGAGAGATGAAGAACGATGAAGAGGAGAAATTGAAAAAGAGACAGCCATAGATCAAAATGAGTGGAAATTGAGCCTTTGTTAAGACATGAAAGTCAGCGGAAAGAGCAAGCGCGAACTGACGACTTCCCACCGATAGCTTTTCAGCTGCAGACGCTGCGAATCTACGTCATTAGCGCTCAATTTAGCTAAAAGCTGCACCCAGCAAGCAGGGCAGGCACAGCTGGAAGACCCACCGACGGCCGTCCCAGATCGGATCGACGCCTCCGAATCCACTTTATCGCTATGCACACAATGTTGAACGTGTTTTAGTAATTTCTGCTGGTGATACATAGCTCTCTTCCCAGTTTTGTCCTCGACGTTAATGGCCGCAACCTTACATACTCTTTTTGACCTCGTCTGCCTTTCCCTTGGCGTCCGCCGCCATCTCATTTGCCTTTCCTTTGGCCTCGCCCTTGATTTGCGCAGCCTTGCCGGAGGCCTTGCCCTGCATCTCGGATGCCGCGCCCTTAAGCTCCGAGGTCTTGCTGGAAGCCTGGCTCTGGATGCTCTCCGCGGCATCACGTATCTTTCCTGCAACGTTGGCTGCTATTGTCAGTAAAGAATATCAAGTGCGGAAAGGAGACCGAGCTTACATCCTGCATCAATGCCGTCCACCAGCTTGTCAGACACGGTCCGGTCAATTGTTTTGAGTGTGTCCTTGGCTGTCTCGGTGGCCGTCTTGGCACGCAAAGGCGTCGTCGAGAAGGTGCTCCGCTGGTGCTGCAGCGAAATGGCGCACGCGATTGGTGTTGTAGTAAAGGACGTAGCATTGCTGCGGGGCAGAGCCACTGTCAGCCGGCGGGCAGAGACACCGGTGAGAAACGACATGATTTATATGTTGTAAGTGTGTTGGTCGGTCCTGACAGATTCTTTCGTAAAGATGAATGAAACCTGCAGTTCTGATTTACATATGTGGTCGAGTCTTTATACCTAAGCGAGCTCGCTCTGGTCATGATGTCATATGTTCGAAATGACGTATATGGCATCGCCGTAAGAATAGGAATGTGAGTGGGTCGTGTGTACGACTATGAGTGTATTGCAAATGTAGGGTGGCAAGCTCCAGCAATATCCGTTTACCTAAAGCGGTATGCTTGGCCAACAAGTCGAGATCCAGATGTCATGATTACGTAACGCGCCCAAGCCACTCTCGCGACCTTACAGACGAGGCTCGGGTCGAGCTTGTGCCACAATTTGTGCCACAACTGCAATCAGCTCTATTGGCTAAGTTAAACTATCCTCCCCGCGTTTAACCCGTAAAGTTTGGAGTAGATAACTGACTTATCAGGTGTGACAAGTCTGGCTTTGTGCACACAGATCTCTTACATAAAATGGCTGCACTGACACTGCCAAGAAGCAAGTCGGAACAAAGTGGCGCCTGTATGCAGAATCAACCTAATCGAGTATACTCCGTGTTATAAGCATTGATTACTCTGAACCCGTTCTTAAGAACGTGAGCATGCCACTATTCGCTGATGTAAATGGAAAATTGATCATCTCGGCCCGTCTATGGCGACAGTTGACTAAATCGTCGATCTTCTCTGTTCCCAGAGACTCTAGACGTGATCCGCTGACGGAAAAATACGTCCGTCATGCAAGCCCCTCTTCCTCCACACTTGTCCCGCTTTCCTCCCCTTGTTACAAACAGTGGAGTATGAAGGCTATATCCAGTTTGATGCAACCTGGAACGGGTCCTTCGGCTTAATGGCATTCCCGTCCGTACTTCTGTGAGGTACGGGATTTTCTGCCCCCAGGTGCCACGTTGATCAATCGGACGACAAAACTGACGATAATATCTTAACCAACGATCTTCAAACGATCTTCAAAATGCCGTGTATATGATCGCATGTCCATGCTGTTACTTCACACCCGGCTCCTAGGACCCAACTCACTTGTCACGATAGCTTCCTTTTACCTACACCAGAATTAACGACCCATTCCTCATAAGAAGCACATGCTAATATAGTGAAGGAGTCGTATGCCGAGTTGCACCTGACATCGGGGCCCCAGAAAATGATTCGGCCAGCTCATCATCCCACAATCCCCCGCTTTGGCCCCGCATCGAGTTGCAGCCGCAGCCTAAGTGCACGCTCGGCTAAATACTGAGGATGCAGGCTCAACGGAAGACGAAGAAAGATGTCCGAGGTTTTCTGCACGGTGTTCAGAGCCTCCAAGCGGATCCATGGTACTCGCTGACATGGCGGCGGTTGCAGCCGAGAAGTATAAAGCTGGCTATGGCCAACCGAGTTTCCGTCTCTCGTTTGCAGAAACCCATCAGTCTTCTCCCCGGAAACCACTTTCCTAATCTTGAAAATCCAGACAGCCATCTCATCGGAGTCATCGTGGGCATTATGACCTCGTTACTGCGCGGCCTTATTTTGGCCTCTGCTGTCATCCAGTCCGCCCAGGCAGTCACCTTGTCTGTTTCGACCAGTGGTGGCAATGCATCCAGTCCGCTGCTCTGGGGATACATGTTTGAGGTGAGAACGACAAGTTGTTTCTGCTGCCTTCTTCTGCTAATCTAACCTCGACAAGGACATCAATAATTCCGGTACGTTTGAAGTATCACGGTCTGTCGTTTTTGGTTGTTAACAAGTAACAGGTGACGGAGGCATTCACGGACAGGTGCTGAAGAATAACGGGTTTCAGCCTGGATACGACACAACACTCACTGCGTACGCAGCTGTGGGCGGCAGTACTCTGTCAATTGACACTGCCAACCCGCTCTCTACGGCGATTACTAGCACGCTGAAGGTTACCAACCCGTCCTCTCATTCGGGTACTGTTGGTTTCTCAAACTCGGGCTACAACGGTGTTCCCGTGGATAGAGTTCGTTTTTGATTCCTTGCTCTCGGCAGTCACACCTCCGTACGGTGACACCATTCTTACTGTAAAATAGGGCACATACAAGACGCTTGTCTGGATCAAGGGAACGTACTCCGGCCAGGTCACAGTGTCTTTGGTATCCAATTCTACCGGAACTGTCTTCGGATCGGTGGCATTTTCGGTCAAGTCCACATCTTCAGAGTACACCTACTATGACGTGGACCTTCCAGTCACCCAATCTTCTGTTGCCCTAGACAATGTCTGGAGGCTGACTTACGATGCATCTGCTGCTACCGATGGCCACTTGAACTTCGCCTTGCCCCAGCTCTTTCCTGAGACATACAAGGGCCGGGCCAATGGCCTCCGGAATGATGTGGCCACGTTCCTAGACGCTATTGGCGGCTCGTTTCTCCGGTGGCCTGGCGGCAATAATCTCGAGGGAAACACAATTGCGACAAGATGGATCTGGAATGAAACCATTGGACCGGTGCAGAACCGGCCTGGTCACCTCGGCACGTGGAGTTACATCAATACGGATGCCCTTGGTCTGATGGAATACCTGTACTGGGCGGAGGATATGGGCATAGCGAACGTTCTGGCTGTTTGGGCCGGTCACGCCTTAGATGGGACGGTGGTCACGGGAAGTCAACTCGCCCCATACGTTGACGACATTCTGGACGAGCTCGAGTTCGTTCTGGGCGACTCTTCGACTCCATTTGGAGCACTCCGAGCGTCGTACGGCCGGGAAGAGCCGTTCAAGGTGGACATGATTGAGGTCGGCAACGAAGACAACCTTTCCAAAGGATGCAGCAGCTATGCATCAAGGTTCACACAGATCTATAACGCCATACATGCAGCCTACCCTGATATCACCGTTATTGCCTCAACGACGGACCAAAACTGCCTGCCCACCACCCTGCCCTCCGGTGTCTGGACGGATATTCACTACTATCTCGAGCCAAACCAGTTTGTGGCAAGGTTCAACGAGTTTGACAACTGGTCGCGAACCTGGCCCATCTTTGTCGGGGAGTATGCCAGCACGACCGGCAATGATGGCTCCACAACGTACTGGAGCAACCTGGTCGGCTCTTGCTCAGAGGCAGTGTACATGATTGGCCTGGAGCGCAACTCGGATATTGTCAAGATGGCCAGCTTTGCACCACTGCTTGAGCACTTTGACCTCGCCGAGTGGAGCCCTGATCTGTTTGGGTTGGACTCGTCTTCTGGCTCGCTTACCGGATCCACATCTTATTACGTCCAGCAGCTCTTTGCATCTAACCGAGGTACGACGATTAAGCCAGTGACATCCGACTCCGCCTTTGGGCCGGTGTACTGGGTCGCGTCATCCACAAATACGGGAACGTACTATGTCAAGCTCGCCAACTATGGCACCACCACACAGTCGGTCACAGTCAAGGTCCCAGGCGCTTCTTTCGGGTCGGCCAGCCTGCTGTTGCTGAGCGGTAACCCAACCGCCAGCAACTATCCCCATGACGTGACAATAACCCCGACAAAATCAACCCTTTCTGGAAGTGCAAGCGGTGGCTATACTTTTAGCCTTCCGGAATATGCCGTTGCAGTCGTAGTTCTTGAATAATTGACCAAGGAGGAAGTGTCAGGCGGGTTTCCTAACGCAAAAAACAAAGGAAGACGAGACCTTAGTTTCCAGTACCAGTTTTGGTCATCGATCCTGGAGATTCAACCGCAGCGGTCGTCTGTTTGCTATTGTGATGTGCTGTAATTTATGAAAAACTGGAGTGAGCTTTCAGGCTTGTTCTGTACTTGAACAGGGATCGCAGTTTTATAAAAATTGATAAGTTTGTTTGTCGTATGTATTTCTACCTCTGAATGACCAAGTTGTTACTTTCTAGCGTTGCTCCGCACTTCTCCATCCCGATTGTCACCTCGTCCGGCTTCTGGTCCTTCTTGTCGGCAATGCTAAATTCGGTCTCGAACTCGGTGCATACGTGGATCCGCTTCTCAAAATAGACAGAAAGAAAGAGAGCCCCGCAAGGATGATGGAGTGGTGCCACACGTACTTGCGGAGTAAGGTTCTCGGCATAGGTGTCAATGGCCTATTGGCGGAGGAGGTCTGGGAAGCAGCGGACAAATTTCGCACTGGCAGAAGTCTAGGCATGGCCATGCATGAATTGAGAGGCATCGGCTAGATTGGATAGAAGCCGGAAGCAAGCCCGCGGTCCTGGATGTGTCAAAGAGAATCAGAACAGAGCTTAGTATGCATTCAAAGGCAGGAAAGACGGGAGAGAAGAGTTAGCACAAGAGAAAAACAAGCCATTAAAGTGAGCAAACCGTTATGCACTGCATTTACCCATCACATCCTAGTATTGAAGACGTGAGCGGAGCAGTAATCGCCTGAAGAAGTCCGGCTGTGAGTCTTTCCCTATGTCCCACATTTTCGACGCCCGTGTGATTCGGGACCGACCCTGACGTCATCATCAATTTACAGGGAGCATTCTGTACACCTAAGCTTGGACTAAGCCATAAAGCTGTTACTAGTGTGAGGTACAGAACAACGGTTTAAACATGGTTGATATGGCAAAGGTTTTTGGCATTTAGCATTCGGTACGTACTTAATGGGCCATATGTCTCCGGAGAATGTAACAGAGAATGGAATACTAGTAGAGAGACCTTCGGCGACTGTTTACAGTGTCTCAGAATGTGTCAGCAGTATTCCCTCTCATAAGCATTTACAAATGAGTGTAAGTGATCCGTTATATGCTCCTTTGATATTATTACCACTTTGATTAATCGTCCTATAGATAGACTTACATAAAAAAACAATTTACCTAGAGGTAATCAACTTCATCACATTCCTATTCTACAATCATTCTTCCCCCCTGCACCCACTAACCCCCCAGATGCACCTCGGAGCCGGTCTTTACGCCCCACAAGAAGAGAGGCTGGCCCTGATGAACTTGGACAGGTGAGTACTTTCCCGGCTCTTTCCCCGTCCTGGCACAAGTTTAACCAGACAAAGCTCGGACAGATAGATGATTCTTGACCGAAACTGCTCATATCGGGCCGTTTTTTTCAGAGCTTACAATGTACTAGCTCAGAAGGTGACAATAACAGCACGGCTTATCGATTTTCCCGTACTTCGTACATAAGCATGTGAGTATTGTTGTATTAGGTATTTCTGAGCTATAGAATCTTCCACTACATTGGGCCTTGCACCGCACAGTACATGCATTACTACGGAGTACGGAATACACGGCACAAGACTCCGCCATTTTGGCCTAATTTATTCGACAATTTGAAGATGGGATTTAGCTAGGTACTTCGTAAACAGCGAGATTAGCGACAGACGCGCATCTCAGGCAAATATCGTAGGTGAAATGGCCACCACGCCTAGGAGAGTCACCACCGGGTTCACAAGATACATGTGTCCACTAAAAAAAGAATAGTTCCCAATCTTCGTCAGGGTAGCCATCTCGCATTTTGTATGACAAGCGAATAGCAATGGCCGGCAGGACAGTCACGAAGAGAAGGGCGACGAAGAAAATCACGAATACGATTTTCTTCCACAGGTGCAAACGGGCGAGTGAGAAAGACAGAGGACAAATCTGGCAGGAGGAGTAAGTCGGGACTGACAAGCACGAGAAGCGATGGGGCGTCGGACTGTACGAGAAAAAGCGCAAAACAAGAGAGCCCTGGCCATAATTCAGCCAGTCGGACAAATGGAGTTCACGCCTCGACACGGCGGTACTACCGTAAAAAGGCACCAGACGAAGCAGCAGCATAAACTGTTCCGTGTCCGAGACCAAGTTGAAAGTGGCGTAAAAAAGGGAAATGTCCCTAACGCCTTGGCCGGTCACGAAGCGTGAAAACTGAGGGACAAAGGACAGCCCGGTCAACGCAAGGAGGGTGCTATACGGAGTATAACGGGGGAGAAGTTAGTTTCGAGGATTTTAATGTCATTCCTTTTCATCTTTCCTTGCTCGCAATCCACATGCTCAGCGAGTTTGGCACAAGTCAGCCATGATTGTTGTTTGAGCGGGTGCAGCTTGAAGTTTGAGAAAGAGATTAGAACTGTACGAGCTGTAGCGCGTGCAGGAGACGGGGGTGGCAGCCGGCCATATGCTAAAGAAAGAAAGAAGGCTAGGCCCCACAAAAAGCCCAACCATATTTACTTTCGTGTTTTAGGCGTGTTATCAGATCTTGGAGACCTGTCGCGAGTCCGAACAGCATCTTTCGCAACTCATACTTATTACGCCCTTCGTATTGATACTGTATTCGGAAAGCACCTCAATCAATTTAGGAGAGCCTATCAATCTACAGACAGGTTTATATACAACGGCTCTTGATCAACGCTTAGTCATCACACTTGTACCTTATCAACGGCTATAGCTTCCCTATGCGGCCCAACGACACCTCGCTGGTGAGCTTGCGAATGGCTCGAGAAATGTCGTTGGCACTTCCCATGGCATCCTTGACGGTCTCCGAGTCGGCAAACAGCTCAAAGTCCTGCTCGCAGTACGTGTCGGCTGGCGGTAGCTGGCCGTCCTGGAAGTAGGCCCGGACGGTCTGGGCGGTACAAGTGGACGGAGCAGCCATGCTGGCGTGGCCCCACGACTTTTGCACGAGCACGACAGAGCCGGGAAAGACGGCAGAGTTGCGGTAGGCGCTGCTCAGCGGCGTGACATTGTCGCCGGTGTTTCCGATGAAGAGGATGGGGAAGCTCGTATTGGGCAGAGAGCCGGGCCATGGCGCTGCATAGCGATAGTGCGGGCGAATCTGGCGGCCGATACAGCCACGGCGAAAGTGCGAGTAGGCGGTGCCGGCATAGCGGCTGATGTTTTGCAGTTCGGCGGCGTAGTCAGCAAACGAGTCGGGCGTGTCGGCCACGTCGTCGCCGTCGGCACACGTGATGGCCGAAAAGACGTCGCCCCAGTTTCTGTCAGCGTCCTCGAGGCCGCCAGGCTCGGTGTCGTCGGCGTTGGGCGAGCAGATCTTGGGCTGCAGCAGATCGTCGTCGCCGGCCATGGCGTAAAACGGCCGGCCATCGCCCTGTTCAAGTGCGGTCATGGCTTTGGCCAGCGCGGGAAAGTCATAAAACGGCTTGTAGAGCACGGTGCGTACGAGCACCTGCAGCTTGGCGTAAGTCACGAGCTCGGGCAAAATCGGCAGCTGACGGGCAGTGTCAAAGGCGTGGGCCGGGATCAGGACCGGCTTCATCTTGAGCTGGGCCAACAGGGTGAAAAAACGGTCCCGGATGGCAGCTGGCGACGAATCTGACGAGGCCGGAAGAGCAAAGGCGCAGCGATCGGGCCCGGCCTTGTGGCAGAAGTGGAAGAAGGCCTCCATGATGGAGTCGGTGTCCTCGAAAAAGTTGCGCTGGTCGAGCCGATACCAGCTGGCATAGTCGACGTTGCCGTCGCTGACGAGACGCTCGACTCGGTCGGGAAACATGGCCGCAAAGGTGCCACCGAGGATAGTTCCGTAGCTGATGCCCCAGTATCGCAGCTTCGTCTGGCCGGCCGCCTCGGCAATCGCCAGCATATCGCGCGCGTGTGACGCCGTGCTGATGTGCTCCAGCAGCCCCGGTGCGGTCGCGTTCATGTGGGCTTCGCACTGGCGCGAGAAGGCATCCGCTGCCGCATACGACTCGTACACGAGGCCCGGATGCGCATCCAGCACATCGATCGACGTCCGCTCCCAGTCGTGGCGTGTGTGCGAGGAACCCCAGCAGTCGACACGTGGGACTGAGGCATACACTGAGAGCCAGAATCAGCAGACGGTCCAACAGCTATTGGCTATGATATGTTGGTACTCACCTCCACGAGGATCGAAGCTGATCATGTCCTTCGGCTGTCAGAGATAAGATGGGGTGCGGTGATCACATAAGACTTACCTGGTTGTCGCCAACAATAGTCTGCATCTCTTTACCGTGATCGACCAGGAAGTCGACTCCAGAACCGCCAGGTCCCTACATTGAGTCAGTCACGAATCGTAGTGAGTCCGTAAGCCGTACACACCCCTGGGTTGACAAAAACTGGCCCGCGATAGTCTTGCCGTGTCTTTGCCGGTAGCCGGATCACGGCCAGATACACCCGCTGTCTGTCTGACGGCTCGACCCAGTCCATCGGCAGGTCCAGGCGCGCGCACTCAAACTCGCCGCCATAGCAGGCGTGCCACATCAGGTCGCGACTCGGCTGAATGTCGGTCCAGCCAAACTCTGTCGGTGTCGTGGTCCGCAGACGACCGACTGAGCTCACCAGTGCCCAGAGTCCGGCTGCTGCGAGGATCCATGTTGATGCTGACTTTGCAGACCGCCCAAACGATAGCCTTGCCGGCTGGAAGCCCAGCTTTTCCAGCTCGATTTCGCCCATAACACAGGCTTTCTGTTCTTATAAAACGTCAGTTGATGTCTGAGATTTTTCGCTCCAAAGTCCTCTTCGTATTGCCCTCTTTATACTCTGCTCCTTTTTACCACATGATAAGCCCTTGGTCCCGGAAACAGCCGCTGATAGCCAGACCAGTAGTTTGCATTGGGGGCCGCTTATGCCATCTGATAAGCCACACACGCACCTGTGTACACGCCTTGCGTATTCATCTCCTCAAACGGCTCGTGCTTCTCCAGGGAACGCAATAGTAGTGACCACGGTGCATACTTATGGCTGTGGTGCTGTTCGAATTGCAATACCCAGTGGCTGGGAATGTGTCCTGACCTGCCGGTTAACCAATCTATCCTACTTAAAAGGACGCATGAGATGACGCTAACCATGCACTAAGCTCTTGCGGCGTGTCAAGCCAGAAAGTTGAAAAATTAAATTGAGCCAATACAACGACAATCTAAGTGAAGTGGATGGATAACTTGGTTAAATACTTTCTCCGGGACTATCAATGCTCAGTTATCATATAGCTACAAACGAACTGAGTGGACCCCGGGTTTGTCAAAGTCGTGATATATCAGACTGTGTGGCTTCAGTCTACCTGTACGTGGTACGAGGTTAGGTACCTCGAGCCCCTCAACGTGTGATCTAGACGATACTCCCCACCAAATAATGTGCTCGTACTTCTGACAGCTGAGGCCAAATCGTCCAGCGCTTGTCTCCAATTTCGTATTTAGCCCATATCGAGATGCGACGATGTGCGCTGAAATGTCTACGCAGTCTAAACGAATGGTGTCGTATCTCATTTTCCGGTCCCATGAAGATAGCAAGCAGCGAATACGGAGTATGGGCAATTGCAAAGTCCATACGTGTAGGACCGTGCCGAAGAAGGCGGGGACGTGCCGTAACTCTCTGAAAGCTCTACTCTATTAATTCTTATTAAACATCAAGACCAATCAAGGTGCAGACGTCTTTACGTGACTTGTGATCTTGATTTGAGCAAAGTCGATACCAATGCCTGGAGAGTTAAAAACTTGCTCCTCAGCTACAGATTCATGCATGCCTTTGACAGCTGTGTTCTGCGTGGACTGGACTCCGGGTTTCGACTCTAATGGCCCCGTTTCTAGGCAAAGAGGACAAGAAATTGGCTCCATCTTCAGCCCTGACTAGCAAGCTGTTGACTGTAGATTCGCCCAAGAAGCTGTAGAACTTAGGCATGAATTACATTTTAGCTTTTCCGCTCGGCTGCAGATACTTCTTCCAAACAAGCGTCTTGATAGGTCTAGTCGCCTTTGATCGCTAATGGACCAGTCACTATTTCTGCGTGCGTTACCTTATGACATTGTTTTTAATGGTTGTCGTGCAGACATTACGAAAAATGAGGAACAACTGTGTTCAAGTAGGAAGTTCCGCGGTTTTGATGGAGACTTGGGGATAGAATGAGGCGATCGGGCCCTGGGAGACGTCTCTTCGTTTCCGTATCGCTGACCTTCCAGAGACAATGTACCAGAAGGCATGATTCAACGGACTTCAACAGCATCAGGCAAACTCCGTCTGTATGAACTATACTTCTACCACTCCAGTCTGCTCCTCTTGATAAGCTTTCTTCAAGCCCCGGAAGCTACCGCTGCAGACCAATAGCCGGTGAAGCGATCCACATTTGATGCAATCCGATAAGTCTCTCAAAAAACGCTGCACGCCGCGGATCGCCGATGACTTACTGCGTTGATACTCCACGGGTCACGTCATGGCATCTGGCTCAATCTTTGATGGTCATCTCCGCGTACAGAACTCGTGGCTAGTCTGTCCTACTTCGTGTTGTCGGGCCAAACATCCCTGTCCCATCGCGATAGAACGCCGATCGGCCAGTCACACACAATGGCAGGCTACTCCTACCCAATGGGCGCATTGTGGTATAACATCTCTCCTTCCTTATCTGGGTAGCGTCCTTCTTGTCACATATTTCCGAGGACCTTTATCACGGCGATGATCGTCTGCGTCCCGATTCGTCCTTTTGCCAAAGTGACCATCTTCCGGCCTCCAGATAGCGAACCTGACAGCGGGGCAGATAACGGCTCGGAGAGGGTTCCACGAGGCAGGTCTACAGACCTCAGCGTTCATCTTCCGTACGGTTTAAGAGGCCCCCATTTGTCTTCTCTGTGTCTGGTCGCTTTTCTCCAGGAAGAGACCCTTTACCAGCCGACATCCACCAGAATGGATTTCACAGACGCACTAAAGGAAATGATCCGACGGGTGCCCGCGAACGAGCGGGCCGACGTGTTCGCTGCAACGGAGACGCCGATCGGCGCAGCTGCTGCTGCCGCTGAGAATGATGGCGGCGAGAAGGGCCTGGCTAAGGCGACAACTGCGGCTGTGGCCGAGGCCGAAGCAGGCGTGTCTAATATCGCGGCGACACAGTCAGTCTGGGGAAAGAAAGGCTTCTATCTGGTGTGTATAGGGTATGTTTCCGGAAAGAGCATGTATGTATGCGATGGTGTTCCGGAAGGCTGACCTGACTCCAGACTGGCCATGATTATGACCTTGTTGTAAGTTTTTGCTTCGTTGGATCTCAGCAATGATCTCTTCGGCACTCTGCTGACAACTACAGCGAGCTTGATAACTCGACTGTCTCTACCTATAGCAATTACTCGACCTCAGACTTCAACAACCTCTCGGCCCTGGGTACCCTCAACACAGCCACAGTCATCATTTTCGCCGTGGCCAAGCCACCCATCGCCAAGATCTCCAACGTCATCGGTCGTGGCCAGACTTTGGCTATGACCGTGTGCTTCTATCTTCTCGCCTATATCCTCATGGCATCAGCCAAGTCGATTGGGCCGTACGCCGGCGGCATGGTGTTTTACAACATTGGCCAGTCGGGTATGAATGTAATGACGGTGGGTTCTCTCCCAATTAGGCACGCAGCTGAGAAACAGCCACTCACTCACTATACCAGCACATCATCGTTGCTGATATCACCAGTCCACGCTGGCGGTCCTTTGGCCTTGCCATCTGCTACTTCCCCTTCCTCATCACGCCTTGGGTATCGGCCCTGATTGTAAACAGTGTCGTGTCTGACGGAGGCATCGGTTGGCGCTGGGGAATTGGCATGTTTGCGTTTCGTGCGTATCTTCTTCACGACCATTGCATATGACCGTCCCGTTTGTTCTTCTTGTCTGTCTCGATCATCTAACTCATTCAGTCATGCCCTTTGGCGCCAGCTTCATCATCGGCACTCTCCTGTGGTATCAGCGAAAAGCGCGCAAGCTCGGCATCCTACATACGCAAACGATTACATTATACGGCTTCTGCTCTGAGATCGACCTCGGCGGCATGTTGCTCTTCATTGCTGGCTTTGCCTGCTTCCTCCTACCGCTGACCATTGCGGCCCAGGAAAAGAACGGCTGGAGGACCGGCTGGATCATTGCGCTCATCATCATTGGTGCCTTTCTGCTGATCTGTCTGCCCTATTACGAGACGTACTACTCGCGTCACCCCATCATCCCCATGTTCTACCTTAAGAACGCCACCATCATTTTGTCCTGTTTGCTGGTCATGACCGACAGTATCGGCTTCAGTGCCACCCACACATACCTCTATGACTGGGGTGCTGTGGCCCATAATTTCCGTCCTACTGTCGATACCTATTATGTCTACACTAACGGCGTCATCCAAAGCCTCGTCGGCATCTTTGCTGGACTTTACATGTACTGGGCCCGTCGCTACAAGTGGCTCATCATGTCTGGCACTGTTCTTCGCCTCATCGGCTACGGTGTCATGATTCGCCTGCGAGGTGCCCACAACTCCCTGGCCGAGCTCTTCATTGTCCAAGTCATTCAAGGTGCCGGCAGCGGCATCATCCAGACCGCCCCCTTGGTTGCGCCCCAGCTGGTCATCCCCCACAGCCAAGTCGCACAAATGATCGCCGTCGTGTGGACCTTTTCCTATCTCGGCAGCAGTTTGGGCTCCACCATCGCCGGCGCTATCTACACTAACACGATGCGGGAGCGTCTGATCGCGCGCCTGGGCAGCGATGCCTCGTCTGCTCTGGTTGATTCCCTGTACAACTCCATCACTGGGACGCTACCAACATGGGGGTCGGCCGATCGGATTGCAATCAACCTTGCTGTGAGCTTCCCGGTCTTGCTTTTCTTCTTTCCTTCTTTTCTGTTTCTCAGCTGACAGCAGTCACAAACAGTACTCCGACGTCATCCGATACATTACATACTCGGCCCTCGGGATGTCCATCCCGGCAATCATCTTTACCTGGTTCCTACCGAATCTTGAAATTCCAGAGTAGGTCTGCACTTCCATTGTGAGTTCTAGACATGTCACTAACTTGTCAGGGACACCAGTGTTCTCATGGGTGGAGTAGACGGGCAGCATGCCGAGGACTCACCATCAGAGGAACGCAGAACTTTGAGGAAATAATAGAGGCCAGACCCGTTGTTTATATACCCGGACGTGCTTACGAGCAGATGAATGGAATGGATAGTAGTGCTCCATACGGTGTGTCGAGACAGAAACTAGAAATGACCACATAATGAAGCTAGCTAATACGCCACTTATTGTCCGTGCTTGCCACTACACATAAACGACACGGACTGCGAAAATATCCGAGCCTACCGAGCCTAACGTTCAACACAGCAATGGACGAGTCTCTGGTAAACCATCGTCCATGTTTAACCGTAGCCATAGGCTCAGTATATGGAATTGGTCCAGTCTCCCAATAACTAAGAGCAGACGTCCATTTCGAAACGCTTTCTGCGGTCTGTAAATAGTCTTACGCACATGCACGGAATACTACAGGACCAAATGCGTCTTATGGAATAAGAGACAGTCGACGAAAATAAACAAAAAGTACTCCGTAGTAATGATATCAATTCGTTGATAGTTCCATTGGAAGAGGATACAAGAGTCGCATTAACCCAAAAGAGTATCACGTGCTTTTACGCTTTATATCACGTGTGAACTATTATTAATCAAGGGGCATCCTTACGTGATCGCTAACCTCCACCAGGACCGTTGTTTTAACGGAAACTCATGCAATACAACAGCGAATGCCAAGGCTGCCGGCGATGGCCCCCGAGAGTCGACTAAACGGCGCTGACGGACGGTCTACTAGCACCCCTGTTTCTGTGTCTGCGTCCGATCTTCGCCGAGTTCTCCGCGATCGACAAAAAGCGCGAAATCGCATCTCGTGTCTTCCGTGTCGAGAACGCAAAGTGCGGTGTAATCGCGAGCACCCGTGCCTGACATGCATCAAACGCGACCATGCGGACCTGTGCATCTACACCGACGCGCCATTTCCGGCACGCTTGAGCAGTGTACAGCCTGTTCCTGCAGTCTCAACCACGCCGCCAGCTTCGCTAGCTTCAACTGCCTTTCGCCACGCAGAACCTCCCAACCGACAGTCGCCCTCGTTGGACCACCAACAGAGGCCCTTGGATGGTGCTTACGCACAACCAACGCAGGACTCCCCGTCTTCGTCCTCGGGGATGCCACTTTTGGGTGGCGGCTCGCTGCTGGCCATTGCGCGAGAGCACGACTCGGAGACGAATGGCGTCGATGACGATGCTGGTCGAGGGGACGTATTGGAGAATGCCGTCATGCCGTTGCTGGGAGTTCCCGGAATGGACAACAACAGCCGCCCGGGGACCTCGTTGCAAGGCGACGACCTGTACGCCGACTTGCCCCGAGACCGAGAACTGCTGGACCTGTTTTCCATCTACCGGACTAGAGTGCATCCTTTCCAGCTTATCCTCGCCGACATCGAAGCGGTCGAGAGCGAGCTGTGCGCGATCATCAACCGGCGAGCCAGAAGCAGAGGCCTGTCTGGCGCGGATGCGCAGAACGCTGCGACAGTACCGGTCCGGCGCCAGTTTTTGTGCCTCGTGCACGCTATTCTGGCGACGAGTGGGCAGTTCTCGGACCTTTCCGCCAGCGACCGGAGCAACATCTCACGACGACACGGTATGTGCGGGCTTCTGTCTTTGATTCCCTGTTGCTGACACGCAAGTGGCTACGGACAGTACGGTGTGCCTTTCAGATGCTCATGGCCGAAAACTACTTGCTCCAGCCGTTTCACGAGGGCGTAAGTGCCTTAGTCATCCTGGCTCACGTCCTACAGAACGATGGCAATCCCCAGGCGGCTTGGATCTTGAGCGGTAGTACGATCCGCATGGCCATTTCCCTGGGCATCCATGCAGCAAGTAGCTGCCCAAAACTAGGGCCACCGCCGGTGCCAGCTGAGACGGCACGGAGCATCCGGTAAGAAAGGGCAAGGCCAAGTATTTCATTACGAGATGATCTTGCTCACAAGTGTTATTCTTAGGTTGGCCATTGTATGGCAGGATGCGCTTCTCTCGTTGGCCTTCAACCGGCCACCGGCATCGCATGATATGGACTCGGTGCAGGATCTCCCAGTCCTCGACCAGCGAATGGATGATGGCCCCATGGGACTGAGCTATGGACATGCTATGAACTGGCTGTGCCACCTTACGCTCAAGCACTGGCAGTACGCGGTAAGCCGGCCAGGAGACCGAGCTATGGACCGGTACACGAACCTCTTCAGCGACATGGACGCCTTGGAAGGCGCTCTTCAGGACCATCTTCGCAGCCGAGACGCCTGCCATTCGATCCAGGCCATCCAGGAGCTTTACAGCTTCGAGGTGAACATGAACTTTACCATCTCGACCTTTTGCCGCCCGATTCTATCAAAAGACGGGCTTCAGGGCCTCACCAAGGCCGAGGCAGAACTGGTCCTAGCTCGTTTGCAAGATTCACTGAAGCGCAGTGTCAAGGCCTTTATTCGGACAAGGTCTGTGACGGGATATGCCAGCCGATCGTGGGCCTTTGTGCACAACGGCCTGACGTCGGCGCTGCTGCTGAGCTTTGTGAAGGAGACGCGAAATGAGGATGAGTCGAGACAGATCCAGGACGAACTCATCAAGAGTCTGGCAGAGGGCGACGGGATCCTGGCGTCGGAATCTGGCGCGTCATCCGGGGGCGACTGTGCAAGACAGATGACGATTGCACACAGAAAGTCGCTCAAGGCCTTGAAGGCGCTGCGGAAAATATCCGAAGAGGAGCGCCAGCGGACAGTCCGACCAGGCCTGCGAGGCCAGCCGGACACGGAGACCGGGGAAGACCCGATGGATTGTCCTGAGAATCTTGCTTTTGCCGGAAATGCAATGGGCATGTATCAAGACCCTGGGTCAGTAGAGTATGCCTGCCCCCCTGAGACAGCAGAGAGAATGTGCCAGGCTGACAAGCTGGGTTAGAACAATTGAGTTTGACGAGCTTCTGCGCTCATTCGACTTTGGCTCTGCATTGCCCATAGAGGCGTTTGACTACATCACTTTTGATCCAATGGCACCCAGCGTGAGTTGTGGGAGAAATGTTTTTGAATTGTCCCCGTTGAATCATATGACTAATGCTTATGCTAGTTCTAAATGGGACGGTCGTCTGTCCATGACTTAAAAGCCCCAGGCCTTCCAGTTGCCCAGCACCTTTGCCTGCACGCTCTCGGGGATGGACTCCTTGAAACTAGCAGCCTCCCAATTCTTTCCGGTGGTATATTCCTTCGGCAACAGGCAGTCGGAGACGACCTTGCCGCCACGGTTCGCGGGGCCGTTGCCGTGGCTCATGTAGGGGATCAGCGGGAAGCCAGGCACGTCCTCGAACAAATACTCGTCCATGCCAGGGCGACAACGCGTGCAGAAGGCCCAGATGACATCCTTGAAGTTGAAGATGTCAATGTCGTCACCGACGACGGCAATGCGGTGGATCGTGCTGCCGACCTTGGTGTTGAAGATCAAGTCACCGATTTTGCGGCAGAACTCCTTGGGGGTCGTCTTGAGCTCCCGCAGCTTAGCCGTGTCGACTTTGACGGCACACCACGTGACCTGTGACTCGAAGGGGGTGTAGGCGTCTGTGATGGGCAGGCCAGCTGCCTTGAGCATAACGTTGATTTCGACGGCCACCAATGGACCAATCATTGTGTGCTGGTCGTATTAGTAAAGATAGGCATATAGTATGTGTTATTAGCATTTACTTACCGTCTCATCTGTCAAACGGCCGCAGTTGCTCACGGGCAGAATGGCATCCTTGCGGTGGGTAATCATATTTACCGTGTACAGCGGCTGTGGGTGAGCATCGCCGGGGAACACATATCTGTCTAGGTTAGCAGGAAGCAATAACTTAAGGGGGAAGAAACAGAATAAGAAGAAAGGAAAAATGAAATAGAAAAGAGAAAAGGGGCTTACCCGTGCATCTCGCCAAAAGGACCCTCTGGTGCGGTCTCGGTGGAGGACATGAAACCCTCAAAGACGATCTCGGAGTTGGCCGGGACCAGCAGGTCGTTGGTGTCGCACTTGGTAACCTCCAGGGCGGTGCCGACGAGCGAGCCAATGTACTCGGCCTCAGACAGACCGTCAGGTAGCGGCATGCTGGCAGCCATGATAGCAGCAGGAGGCACGCCGAAGACAAGGGCCCACGGCATGTCCTTGCCGATCTTCTTCCACTCCTGCTGGACCTTCCAGATGTGCTGGGGCGGGATGACCAGGCCGACCAGGTGATTGCGGTCGTGCACCATAGCACGGGCGATAGACCAGTTGGTCCACTTGCCGTCCGGCGTCTGGACAATGTGCATGCCGTACGTCTGCACGTACTTGCCGCCGTCAGACTTGTGCAGCTGGGGCGAGGGCAGGGTGGTGAGGTCGAACTGGTCGGGCGTCAGCTTGACCTCCTTGCAGGAGCCGGTAGGCACGGTCTTGGGCGGAATCGGTGGGGTGCTCTTGGCAGCGCCCATCTTGTCGAGGATCTCCTTCATCGACGCAGTCGGCGGCAGGTTGATGTGGCGAGCCAGCCGGCCGAACCGCTGGGCAGGGTCTGCACGTAGCGAGTTGGGCGCGCCCAGGATGCGCCATAGCCCGTTGCCGTCCATGCCCTTGAGCTTGTTGAACAGGGGGGCCTTGGCATCGGTCTCGCAGGCGAGACGAATGATGGCGCCCACCTCGAGATCGGCATCGCATTCGTCGTTGATCTCGACAATATCGCCGTCGGCACGAAGCTCGTCGACGAAAGCCCGGAAGCTCATGTGCGGAAGGTCTTGCGAGGACGCCATGATTGGTGAATGAATAAGAATGAAAGTACTGCAAACTGTTGGGCTGCTTGGCTGTGAGGAAACGAGCGTCCGGAAAGAAGCAACAGTGCCAAGCGGTGAATATATAGATACTCCCAATGAGTGGGGGACACATTTTCCCGACGGCCCTGAGCTTCGCGGACGACGGGGATAGTCAAGTGGGTGGTGACGTCGATCAGGTCATGTCCACCGAGAAAGCCGAGGTCTCCGACATCGTGGGTCCGCCGATTGGCCTCAGTCATGACGCAGTAGTCTCGGCCCACTCGGAGCATCTCGGACTGTCACTCCGGATGCAATGCTGGCCTGCCGTCCGTCCCAGTTCGAGGGGGCCGTCGTCGTATATATTATATATCTCTGTTCGGCTCCACCCAATCCTGCCGTTCGTTCAATGTCCATCAAGAACGGCCCTTTGCATTTCCGCGCAAACAGCATCAGACTCTTGTTTTCAGCGAACAGCACTCGGCAGCATCGAATAGCACTAGCATCTTCTTTCAACCCGACAGCATGAGCGGCACAAATGGCACCGCCGGCGTGCATGGTACGAATGCAAATGGCACAAATGGCACTAGCGGAAGCCACATCAATGGCGACCGGCGACGGAAGCGCATCATTGTCGCCATCACCGGCGCAACGGGCGCCGTTCTGGGCATCCGTGCCCTGCAACAGCTCCGTCGCCTCAACGTCGAGACGCATCTCATCATCTCCAAATGGGCCGCCGAGACGATCAAATTTGAGACCGACTACACGGCTGCAGGCGTGCGCGCCCTGGCCGACTTCACCTACAATCCGCACGACCTCGCGGCGCCCATTGCCAGCGGCTCATTCAAGGTCGACGGCATGCTCATCGTGCCCTGTTCGGTCAAGACGCTGGCCGCCATCAACGCCGGCATTTGCGACGAGCTTATCACCCGCGCCGCCGACGTCTGTCTGAAAGAACGCCGACGCGTCGTTTTGTCCGTGCGCGAGACCCCCTTCAACGAGATCCATCTGCGCAACATGAGCGAGGTTACAAGGGCGGGCGCCATCATCGCGCCGCCCATGGTTGCCTTTTACACAAAACCCGCATCCATAGACGACCTTCTCGACCAGATGGTCGGCCGCCTACTCGATCTCTTTGATCTCGATGCCGGCAACTTTCAGCGGTGGGACGGCTTCCAGAAGGGTGATCATTAGTGCAGTAGCAGCGTGAAAATCACGCATTCATACATTGTAAAGGTGCATTTGTTTAGCGAACCGGACTAGACCATGTGAATTGTCAGAAAATAGAACAGAGATACCAGTCAGTGCAGTGGTTCGACCCTCCCTCGTGCACTAGCCCTTGTCCTGAATGCTTACTGAGAATCTGGCTTTTTGGTTCTCGTCCGTAGGCCAACCGGCGAATAAGAGTTGAGTGTAAAAACTGGGGAAGGTCGATCTTAAAATATGGTCCCACCGGCTTGCTATGTATACAAAAAAAAAACAGCTATCTGAGGCTAAAGTGCAAACCCGAGCCGAAATACCTGCCTGGTCTGTGCACAGCCGCAGCAAAATCGGCAAAAACCTATTCTGGCTGGCAAAAACATTGGCTCCGCTGGGGCTCGAACCCAGGACCTTCTGCGATCTCATATCGCTTGTGAAGCAGACGTCGTAACCAACTAGACCACGGAACCTTACTTGTATGACTAAGTGCCAGCTTGCTCTGCTGATAATTCAGCATCCGATGGAGGAACGTCCATCGGGCTGCTGTCAATTAGCATCCGATTCAAAGATGGCGTTCACACACGGACACAAAAGCTCTATTGATACGTGTCAGGATATCCGTAACTTGCAAAGCTAATGCTGCCTGGATGGTGGCACTGAAAAGGCTTCTACATTCCTGACAGAGATAAAAGCGTCCACTATTTTTGTTACGAGGCCACTACAGAACTTTGACTTGTGAATATTGCAAAGAAATCAGCGGGATGTGAAAATATAATTAACGACCTTCTTCTCACCCTGAAATGTTGGGATCTCTAAATGTTATAGTTCTTGTTTTACAACTTTGCTATCCAAAAGCGCATAGATTCAAATCTCAGAAACAAAAGGTCTGAATCGTACTTATATACGCCTTTCAGCCGTAGTTACCCACAGCGTATTTTACTTTCTTCATCCCAATACACATGTTCTGGTTCTCTAATTTATAGTTAGGCTGGGCTAGAGCTGGACGGACTGCTGAAGACGTTAAAAAAGCAGCGGAGAAAGAAGCCCGAATTAGCAACTGATCGGGATGCGAGGTACTAATAACAATGGTCAGACAACCGTTTGCAGAAGCATCTCGGTTAACATGCGACATGAGAACATGAACACCACATCTTTCTCAAGGCTCTCCCCTTCCTGCAATCTGCTTGATGGCCAAACGCACGTTGCTTTGCTTTGATCAGATGCTGGGACGGCTGGCCTCGGAGAGACCGCTCGTGTTTTTGATTCTTGGCTAGCCGTGAGCTCTTCGTCGCTCGTTGACCGTTACCGGACTGGGTCATGGCAGCACATCGCAGTGTACGCCTACGTTGGCCTTGTGTCCTCGGCGGGCTACTCTCGGTTGTTCGAAATTTTTATTTGGGAAAATGGCGCATTCATGCCAGGAGTTAAGATGCGGTGGTGCATTTTCCGTTTGCAGCCACATGTGCAGCTTTTCTTGCGTAATTAGCAATAGCTCTGGCCGACTGGCAAGGTTAGCGAGCAACAGATTGCGTATTGTTTCGGTTCGGTAGCATTGACGCTAGCTGAACTAAAAATGTGACCGGGTACCAAGCTGCTGTCCCTTATTGCTGTGTACTGCGTGCCAGATTCTCTTTTGCACTACTGTCCCTGGAATACCGGCCGCCGCTTCTCGGCAAAGGCCCGCAGCGCCTCGTTGCGGTCGTGCGTGGCCACGACCTTGTCGTACATTGCGTTCTCGACGGCCTCAGTCGGGTATTGCACCGCCTGCAGAGCTGCCCGTACAGCCACAGGACCGCCTGAGCAGATCTCTTCGGCCAGTCGCACGGCCTCGCTGAGCGCCGCCCGGCGGGCCGTCTCAAGCACCTTCTGTTGGCTCTCCTTCTCGTCCTTCTCGCTGTTTTCACCCTCGCCCTCAGCCTCCTCAGAGACCTCGACCAACCGGTCTGCGATGCCCAAGAAGTATGCCTCAGGTGCCGACACCCGCCGTCCAGTCAGGATGAGGTCGCGGGCCCGGCCAACACCGATCAGCATAGGCAGACGGTACGTGCCGCCAGCACCGGGTATTATGCCTAGGCGCGTCTCGGGTAGGCCGACAAAGGCATTGCTCGAAAACACGCGCATGTGTGTGGACAGCGCCAGCTCGAAGCCACCGCCCAGGGCCACGGAAGAGACCGCTGCGATTGTCGGAATGGGCAGCACCGAGAGTGCAGAGAGCGTGCCGCGCAGGTCGGCAAGGAAGGCATTCGTTCTGGAGATATGACATAGAGTGTGAGCAGACGAGTCGCACGCAATTGCACCGTTCGTCGAACAGAAACACGTCTCCGCTGAAACTCACTCCTCCTGTGTAAACGTCCGTCGCTCTTTCAAGTCAGCGCCAGCGCAAAAGCAACTGTCGACGGCGCTGGCCAGGATCAATGCCCGTGTAGGCCCCAGGCCATCCTGTCCGGCGGTCCTGGCCGCGGGCAGCTCGTTGCCCTCGCCGTCATACTGATCCGCAACGGCCTCGATCTGGCCGCGCAGGGCCGCCAGAAGCGCGAGCGAGATGGCGTTGCGCGCGTCCGGCCGGTTCAGCTCAAGCACTCGGATGTGGCCCGAGTTGGGCGCAGGCAGGTCGGACACGACGACGAGCGGCTCGGCTGACGAGGAGTAGCTTCGGTGGGGGAGGGAAAAAGTCGAGGCTCGCCAGAAACAGCCGGACCTGCGGCTGGCGGCACGCACCAAAGACGTAGCGGCCAGAGTTTGTCGTGCAGACGGCATGACGTGTGTGGGGGGTATCTGGGCGAGTGATCCTGCGGCGGATCGGCGAGCCGTTGTCTCTCGATGAAGACGGCTTTTGCTTGGAGATAATTGGGAAAAGAACAGCCATCGTGATTTGACAGCCCGCTAATTTAGTGGTGAATAATGGTGGGGCAGCAGTGTGTACTTGATTACGTCATCCATGAACGTCCCTGTGCAAGTCGGTTACCACGCAATTGGAGGTACTCCTGCAACCCTTCCGTACGGAGTAGAAAAGAAAGGATCCGGAATGACTGCAAACAGCAAAAGCACGAATCAGACTTTTGGTTACCCATATCTTTCCCCTCAGCTTCAGTATCGCCAGATAATGTGACTCCGGAGATACGCCAAACAATACAGAATATGACGTCATCGTCTCAAATGCCGACAATTCCAGCTTCGTCAACTCCGTACTTTCGTCTGTGCAAATTCTTTCATTTTATCATACACTCTGGTTGAAATGGACGCAGGGACCGCAACATCGCTTCCGCCCGAGGCCGTGGCGCTAGCAGCACGCATGTATGACGGCGCACGGACTGGTGACCTCGCGCTCTTTACGCAATCTCTGCCGGCTGGTCTGCCGGCCAATCTAACAAATGAGAAGGGGGATACACTGGTACGCGGGCCGTTATTGTGGTTTCGGCACAAAGATAGGAAACGTACTAACCGCCCAGCTTATGCTTGCCGCATACCACGGACACGTCGATCTGGTGCGCTTGTTACTTCAGCATGGTGCCGACCCAAACCGGCTTAACGATAAAGGCCAGAGCCCACTGGCAGGCGCTGTTTTTAAGGGTGAAGATGCGGTTGTCACAGTAAGTTTAAGTTTTTTTTTTCTCTTGGGTCGGATCCCGAGGCTGACTGCAATCGTACAGGCGCTTCTAGAGGGCGGTGCTGACCCGGATCATGGCACGCCTACAGCCCTCGAGGGCATCGTTCTTTTTCGGCAGGAGGAAAAGTGGAAGGCTCTGTTTGAGGCAGCTCCTGGACGAGGAAAAGCTAGATAAGAACATGCGATACATACATGCAACACCGTTGAAGTATTACTCTACAGTCATTGCGCTGCTGACGTATCCCATCTGCTACTTGTCGCCTGTACACCTTGCGTCCATAATCCACTATAATAGAAAGGTTTTGTTGGGGAACTGCCGCCAGGGATTGCTGAAGAAATGGGTCTTGGTTGTGGCACCATCCTCCGGGTAAAACACCTGAAAGAGCACGTAATCATTCTCTGTTTCGTTACCTTGGAAGATGCGGTGGTAAACTCTGTCTCGGATAATTTCTTTTGAAGCTGATTCAACCGGAGCATTCGAGCGTGAGCTTCACCTCGAGGTGAAACGTGGTGCAGCTGGACTGCGTGGTATCCACACCTATGTTGCCCGCTTTCCTTGAGCATGTCTCTCATCTGATCGAAGTTGCCGTGCACGCCAGGTCAGGATCTTTCTCGCCTATTTCTAGTAGTCTCAACCATTCTAGCGGTAGTAAACCTGGGCTTTTTGTTTTTTGGCTGCAGTCAACTATGCTTGACCTCGTATTTGCAGTACTTGACGAGGCATCTGATTTTTGGTATAGACCCCCTGCGTTGAAGGCACGACGGATTCGATGAGAGACTAGGAATATACGACGTAGGTCGTCCTGAAAAGCCGATTCGAGACCTGCTGTCTGGAACATACCCTCAGCTGTCTCGGCTAACCAGTTTTGAGACGTCCGATTCGATGTAAGTCGTATCTGAAGACTATCAATAAAGATTTTACGTAGTATCCAACAGCTCCAAGCTGCCACCGTCCCTTGCGGTCCGGCTATCTTTCACGAGCACGCCATTGGCTGCCTGGTTGCATGATCCATTCTCCTGATAAGCGCTGCATGTTGTCTAGGATTAATAGGCTCCGGTCCAGACAAGCCGTAGGGCCCACTGCAGCGTGAAGGACCCGCAAACAGTTGAAAGCTCTGCCGGCTGGGCGGACCGGTGGAGACGCTTGTTGGGAAACGGGGCCAGGGGTGTGCAGGCTGGTTGCTGGCTGCAGTCGTTCAGACGGTATCGCTGTGAGCCTGCATGCACAGTTGTCGCCGAGTCACAGGGCGAGCGCAACTCTGCATCCTTGCGAATGCAGTTCCAAACGACTGCCGTATTGGCAGATTTCCCAGCCGGTGGTTAGCTGCCTGGCCGAGGGGAGCTGGCTGCCCAAACGACAGGCCGGGCGTGCGCCCGATCGACTGATTTGTCAATTTTGCGTGCTTGCGTCGCATCGCCTCGGGTCTGCATCGGTGATGGATATCGTGCGTGGCTGCCTGCGACGCGACGACGATAGCCACACCGTCTTTATTCCCGCCCGGTCTGGTTATCTTTTGCTCGTCGATCCATGTGCGGCCACCGATCTCGGGCATGCACGCGGCGGTGTGCTGCTGTTCCCTTCTGCATCGTGAGTTTTCTGCCGTCTTTGTCGATGTATCCAAAAGGGGCAACTCCGCTGCAAAGCGGCAGGAGACAAGCGCAGCGTTGTGCCTGAGACGGTATTTAAAGTGGGTCCGAGCAGCCATCACGCAAATGGCAGATCTCTGCTGGCGAATCAGCCCAACGACCGGTTACCAATCAACGCGCCCTTTTCGACCACGACGGCATTTTCTATTTGGGATCCCTTTTCTTTTTTTCCCGGTGGGTATGTTCCATCTCGTGGTTAAGCTAGCACATGCTCCTTGCATGCCCTCGCCGTAGACGGACAAGAACGAGGGATCGAGCGGCCACGGCCCACAAAACGGAGTCAGAAATCTGCAGCCAGAGCGGCGAAAGCAAAAATTTTCTCTGTCGTGTTAGCCAGACGGACTAGTACAATCCAGCACGGCCGCCAACAGTTGAGCGGGTGCGTATGTCGTAGTCTTATAAAATCAATAGGAAAAGGGAGCCCGAGCCCAACATTCTCCCAGAGTTGCGGCCGCAAAGAACAATTTCCGTAGTCATCATCAATTTTCCGGCCAGAAATCACCTTGTCCAGTCGACCAGCTTGGCCACTCGTTGCCACGATGTCTGCTGCCATGGAGCCTCTCCAGCGAAAGACGACAGTGACGGTCGTGCCGGAAACACAGGCCAGCCAGGACATCCCTCCCGAGGACGGCAAGGATGGGCGCAGTGACTTGGCCAAGACGTTGTCCAAGACAGCCATGGCAGAAGCCATTGTGCGCATCCGCACAACGCCCTTTGACCCCGAGAAGGATGTGCCGTCGTCGGTGGCTAGCCCGGCCTCGACGCTCTTCCTGCCGGCAGAAGAAGGGCCCGAGCCGGCTGCAGAGACTGGCCCAACAGCCACTTCCATGCCTGCTTTGAGCGTTCAACGCCAGCTCGCCATCACCGGCTGCATCATCATGAGCAGCTTTGTTCAGGTGCGCAGCTTTACGCTTCTCGCCAAGCAGATGTCAGACTGACCGATTCCAGTACATGTCCAACTTCCTCACACTGGGTGCCGGCTACTGGTTTGCCGATAAGCTAGTGGGCGATGCCAGTCCGGCCGGCTCCATCTGGATGGTCTCTGCTTACTCGTGAGTCTTTTGACCGGCTATAGCTGGAGAGCTTCGTACTGACGCCCCCTTCAGCCTCACCCAAAGCAGCGTCGTCCTTATCGGCGGCCGTCTTGGCACCATCTACGGCCACCAGCGTCTCTTGCTCGCCGGTCTCGCCCTCATGACCATCATGTCCCTCGCCAACGGCTTCTGTACCCACTACATTGCCTTTGTCATTGTGCGCGCCTTCACCGGTCTTGGCGGTGGCCTGCTGATGCCCAACGCCGTTGCCCTCATCGCCGTCACTGTGCCGCCTGGCCGCAACCGCAACATCTCCATGGGCTTTTTCGGTGCTGCTGCTCCGGTGGGCGGTTGGATCGGCGGCCTGGTTGCTGGCCTGTTCATCCGCTACAGCACTTGGCCCTGGCTGTTCTACTTCATGGCCATCGTGACCTTTGCTGTCTTCTCCGCCCTCGTCCTGCTGCTTCCCAAAAACGAGGAGATCTTTGATGAGGGCGGGAAGATCGACTATATCGGTGCTGTTCTCGGCCTCGGCGGCCTTGCTGTTTTCAATATTGTCTGGACGTATGTTTATCTTATCTTTCTTTCTTTTTTTTTTTTTTTTTTTTTTTCCTCGCTCTGCTCGTGTTCTAACCGTCCCAGACAAGCCCCGTCTGTCGGATGGCAGCAGGCCAGCGAGATCGTCCTGCTAATCCTCTCCGTCGCCCTCTTCGCCGGCTTCATCCTGTGGGAACACCGCTTTGCCTCCGATCCCATCATGCCTCTCTCCATCTTCCGCGCGCCCACCTTCTCGGCCCTCATCTGTGTCAACCTGCTGACATACATGTCTTTCGGCATCTCGCTGTGGTACCTTATCGCTTGGCAGCAGCTTATCCGCGGCCTCTCTGTCCTCGACTTTGTCGTCCACTGGCTGCCGTTTTGTCTTTCAGCCCTCGCTGCCGTCGGCATTGCCGCCTTTCTCATCCCTCGCCTGGCTGCCCAGTACATCATGGCCATCGGAATCGTTGCCGTCATGGCGTCGAACCTGCTGCTGGCCACCATGCCTGTCCGCCAGTCGTACTGGGCCCAGACCTTTGTTGGCACTCTTTTGAGTGGCGTCTGCCCCGACTTTGTCTACGTTGCCGCCCAAATAATTGCGAGCAACAGCGTCAGCCGCCACCAACAGGGACTCGCTGGTAGCCTCATCGGCACTCTCAACCTCTACGGCAACAGCCTTGGCCTCGGCCCTGCTGGCACTATCCAGTCTCAGGTGGCTAAGCACTCGGGCGATCTCGCCAGCTACCGTGCCGCTCTCTACTTTGGTGTCGGCCTGGCCGCCATTGCGCTCGTTGTGGATCTCGCCTATGTCCGCATGCCTCGTGACCGTCGCGAGGGCTGGTCTGACTCCGATAAGGAGGTCCTGCGGGACGCTGCTGCTGCTGCTGCTGCCTCGGCGCCAGCTTCAGATACCCGCGTCTGAGAGCTGGGAAAGTAACACTTCTCTTCGCAATTGGAACAACGACACGTTCAGGTCCGTGTATGGGACCTGAAAATTTATAGAACGTTGGATCTGGGACACGTTTTACGCAATACGACACGATCATAGATGAACTGGGATATAGACACGGACAGCTAGGATTTAGGGTTTCGATTTTTTTATTTCTTTTATTTCCGCTATTCTTTCGATGGAAGCTGGCTGCACATAAATTAAATAGACTTGGGCTTATTGGGTTAGGAGGAGTGGGATTTGTGGCTGTTGTTGCCTCATACTTACCATAGACTTAGATTACGAACTGGACGAATAGATTTGCCTGCATGCTTTAGTTTCAGTTCGATTTTGCCTGTCCTGGATCTGCACTCTTGGTTCTACCACGCTGGCTAGCTGCGAGGATCCAGAGTGAATTGACATTTAATCAACGTGGCCTAGATTTTGACTACGCCGTGACTAACGCATTGAGATACGACTGCATAACACCAGGCGATAGATACGAAACTAGAGTTGGAGGCTTGGATATTTGGGTTCTCTTTCTTTCTCCTGTCCTTCTTGTATCTGTTTTCCGAACAGTCCTGGTCCATTTGACGGTGTTCACCTTAATTACCACTACAGCTGGCTTAAGTAATTTGCGACAAGGATACGTCAAAAGATCAGTGAACCGGTGTATGAGAACGTTAATAAAAGAGCTCTACCAGATTACATGAATGAACTCTTTGTCATTATTCAGCACTGAAGGTTCTCGGGTCTTGAAACAAAAGTCATTTGGTCATCACTACTCATCTAAGTTTGAGTCATGACAAAGTGTGTCACGTGAACAACACCGAAGAATAGCTCCTCTTACACGACAACTATCATCCTTTATGTCTCTTGTTTCTCATTCTCCAATACACATAACTTGAACATCACTATGCGAGCGTCCATTCGAAATGTTCCCCCCTACTGAAAGCAAAAGAGAATGCAGGCGTAAGAAGGACGCTGAGCGCTGGCCTTTCTGTTCCGATGCCTTCATGATTGGGCCCCCTAGCTGTACACTGAACGATCTGCGCAGACCGCGACTGCGGAAGTGCCCATTCGACATCGGCAGTACCACCTGGATCAAGCCTCTTGGAGGTGGTCTTGACGGCTATTGCTGGAAAGTAATGTTTGGGAATGAGGGGCCATATGTGATCAAGCTTGTAGGCACTCGTACGCCCGATTGCACCACCGGGTCCTTTCCTTTCCTGTCTTTCTTTCAAGCAAGTCTCTAACCAAGTACAGTTCTGGGACAGGGAGCAAAGATCTAGAGCTAGCTTTGCCTCGAAGCTTGAATGCCGCAACGCCGCGCTTCTCCAGATGATGCAAACTGCGGTCGAGGATGGAAAGGCGGTGGGCATGCCCGTTTTGCTGAACCACAGAGCCAGAGCCTGGGTCGAAGCCATTCAGAACATTGAATCCTTCTCGGTTGAAGAACGCCAAGACTCCGAGGCCCGCATCAAGAGGGCAGCAGAACTGGACATTAAACTACGCCCTTTTCTGTCCGTTCCACGCCTACGCAAATGCTACGGCTGGTTGTCTATCTCTGGCGAGATCCTTGCTGGATTACCTCAGCAACTTCGCCCACCGGACGCTGAGATCAAGTGCAGAAGCACAAGATGGCCGAACTGGGCCGAAGGCCCCGATACAGATTACATGGCCATCGTATACGAGTACGTGGAGGAGGCCCCCAATAGCCCAGCCGCAGTCCAGGAAGTGGTGGATTTTCTCCATCTCGCCGGCTTTACCAACACGTTGTCTCCCTGGACACGCAACTGGCAAGGCAGTGTGCTCCTGGATATATTGGCCATCGCTTCTCCGTACGAATGGGCTTGGCGTACCGATAATTATATAAGGCTCATCAAAGCGGAATGGATGCTGAGGACTTGATACCAGAGGCGTGCCTGCTACCTATCGCTTGCGCTGTTTTATGGACGTGAAACCGACTGCAGGGTTGTCCACCTCATAATAGATCATTGTGTAAAGTAACTATTTATGCTGACGAATGGGTAGCCGCCGAGTAGGGAAGCATCGGGTGGACCTTTCCCATGTAAATATCTGTACTTTATCATGGCCTAGATTCGATACAGGGAAGTTTGGGGATAGAGCGATAAGTATGTGCACTAGAAACCCTATAAATTGACTGCCAAATGTCTGCCTGATGGTTGGTTTAAGTGCGCGTGCGTTTGTTCTGCCTTTTTTTTTTTTGTGAGCTGCGTCCATTATATCCGTGGGTCTAGGCAGCTTGCGCCACAATGCAAGATTTACGACGTAAGAGATATCTCCATCACCCTGCGCAAGTCTCCACATACAATGCACTGGTACTTGCTTGAACCGCCACAATATGCACGAGCGGGTGCAGAACGGTCAGTTATTGGTGCCTAAGAGTGCTAGGCAGACTGCATGGCAGAATTGCCTTTGGGCCGCAAAGTCCTTAAGCAGGCTCGCTCTGGTGTTTTCTTTCCCTCGTCTCTTTTCTGACCCTATTCTTTGCGTGCGCTTCTAAACGACGGAGCTGGACCATGGCCGAAGTCCTAGGCGTGGTCTCTGCCGGCATCGGCATCGCCGCTTTTGCTCTGCAAGTTGCCGGTAGCATTGAAACGCTGCACGAGATGTTCGGTCCCCAGCCTCACGAGATTAAGCAGGATCTAGATTTTATAACGGATCTTCTCCGTATCCTCCACGTGGAGCTGCAACAGCTAAGCATGTTCGATGGCCAACCCCCGGTCAATGTCATCGTTTCTTCCGCATATAAACAATACTGCCACACCAAACTGCTCCTTGACAAGCTCCTGATCAAGCTTCCGCAGGGAGCCTCCCCCAGTCAGCGGAGCTGGAAACGGTTCAAGCCGGTTCGCTGGAGTGAGGTCAGGCAGCAGATTAAAGAAGTCAAGGATCGGATCTATGAAGTCATCTCTCTGTTGCAACTGTAAGGTCTAACCAAGCTGGAGTCCATAAAGACTTGTCTGACTATCATCAGGTTTCACATCAAGGAAGTTCGAGCCAATGTTGAACGTCCGATACCCCTCGATCCCCAAGCTACTGATGGCTGTGAGACCATCGCAGAAGAAAGCTGCCCCTCTCCTTGTATTATCAGCACGGAAGCAGAGTCTGCAAGCACCAACGATCAACCTCGGCTAGAGAGTCCCGCAGTACCCCCTACCAGGAGAGAAAGTCACCGAACTTGCACTTGGCGGCATTGTATTTGTTCCTACCACCAAACTAGGAAGATCTCTGGTCGGTTCTGGACTCTCGAGTATACACCTCTTTCGATTCTTCTTAGCGAGTACCTTCGCCGCCGATGCGACTTCACTCGTATCCGCCTTGGATGGAGACTGGCCCTCTCCAAATATGGTATTCCGATGGCAATGATCGCCGGATTAGAGATTGTCTCTAGTCGCAGCGGGTTCTCAATTCGACCTTCCCTCAGAACGGAAAGGGTTGTGCCTTATACGTCTCCTGCATTCAAGATGATCGATCGTCTTCACTATCATGGGGTTTCAGTATGGGAAGTCATCGATAGGCTTAAATCACTCAACCGGTCAGACCCGACTTTCAAATATCACCGAGACCCTTCAGGCAAAAGCTATATTCATGTAAGCGATGCGCAAATATTGCATGGTTTCTTATTCCTGACTGTTCCAGAAAATCCTGCATTCTGGATGGGGATTATTTGACGCTTGGCAGGTTAGCCTGCTTGAGCTTTTCACTTATGAATTTGGTTTTACTTTGGAGGAAGAAACTGAAGAGTAAGTTCCACTTGTTGGCTCCTTACAATAATGTATTAATAGGCGAGGGCAGACTTCTTCCTGGGTGTGTACGTAATATCTTCAACAGTACCCTTTGGCAAGAGCTTCTTGACGTCATCCTGGACTGCGGATATGACCTGATAGCCATCGACTCGCCCCGTTTCGAGACGTGGCCAGGTTGGTACAGCTGGTTAAATAAACACCCCGACCCTTTTTTTCTCGGTTTTCTCGCCAAGTTAGTGGACAAGAATCAATGTAAGTATAGGAACTACATCGAGATAGGCGAGTACTAAAATGTGCTAGACTTTTCTGGATCAACACCGTTGCATAGCGCCATTCTAAGAGGATCAGTCGATTCTGTAAAGTTTTGGTTGAACCGATCCCGCCCACTTGAAGAGAACACCAATTTCCTCGGTCAGACGCCGCTGCATCTTGCAGTCCGAAGCCTATCACTGTGTCAGCTCATCCTAGAAGAGGGACATGACATGGACGTATCTGACAAATGGGGAATGACTCCCTTGATGTATGCCGCATCGTTAGGCCAAAGTGATGTGGCAACGCTTCTGATTTCGAGAGGCGCAAACATCCATGCATCATACTATGGGAAACTCTGTGGCAACTTTCTGCAATTGGCATTTTACTTTGAACACACCGAGCTGGCTCTTAAAACGCTCGATGCTATCAAATACAAATACGGGGTAGACGTATTCCATCGTTTGATTCGCACTGCCATTACAAAGTCGACCCATCTTCTTAATATGCCAAAGGCTGTTTTCTCCCCAGAAATTGCAAAACTCGTCGACGATGTCAACTTTCTTTTAGAAGATTCCTACAGGCGTGTCAAGAACAACACCTTGATGCATTATGTCAAGTCTGTTGACGAGGCCCGTACCCTCATTCAATGCGGATTCTACTCTTTCAACCAGGAGAACAGCGAAGGTGACTGTGCTATACGGTACTTGAGCAGAACCTGTGATGCCGATGTGGTCAAGTTTTGTCTTGATAACGGTGCAGATGTCAAAAACTGCAGAAAATGCCGCCAGAGTCTAATGATAGATCTATTCTCAAGCCTAAAACTCTTCAGTTCCCAAGACTCCAGCGATAAATTCGAATTGGTTCGGACCTGCATCCGAAGTGGAGTCGACCTCTTCGCTGCGGATGATTGCAAATGCCCTTGTTCGCCGGGAGGTTGTCATATTGCGTCGGCATTCAGGCTTAGCAACAGTGAAAACTATGTTACGATGGACCCTATTTGGGCTTTTGAATGGCTGACGTTGGTGGAAGAGTATAGTGGGATGCAGGCTGCTAAGACCATGCTCCTGTCCTTTCTCCGAAGGGCAAAATGTGATGAGGAAGACGTTAGCATTTCACATATCTGTTGTCACAGGGGCCGGGGAATACCAGATTGGGTGAAAGAACCATCAATCTCAGATGAGGATGCCGGAGAATTACTCGACGAAGAAAGCGAGTTTGTTCAACTTATCGAAGGAGATATGCAGCAACTCGCCACGGACACCCTTGCTGTTCTTAAAACAAGGTTTGTGCAAATCGTGATAGGCCTATATCCCAAACCGGCAAAACGGGAAGATACCTTCGTGAAAGACGTAAGTACATAAGTTTCATATGTTTGCACCCATCTCAAATTTGGGTTTTTCTAACAGAAGAACCCGCCAACAAAGGATGACGATGAGTTTGAGCTTTATTATGATGACCCTCCGGACGAGTCTATCGCGTATTCAATGGGAGGATATTTGTCGTGGCTCCGATATGAGTATCAAAGGATGGCTACGTCACCTGACAGGGATGAGTGGTTTGACAGACGAGGGACTTGGCTTGGAGAACTCATGTATGCAGCGAATGTCACGGAAGATGATTTGCCGAGATAAGGGTCTGATGTACGGCCAATTCTATAGCTGTGTCCTTGCCTAGAGGTTATCTAAGGCTAAGTAAAAGTGACAACTGTTTCGTTGTATTTCCGATGTACTCAGCGGCCGAACAGTCAAAGTTTCAGCGAAGTAGCGTTGAATGACGCTAAGTCAGGTCTAAGTAGTAATATTGCAGGGAAGAGGACTTGGATCAGTCCCTTCAGTTCTCGGATTGTCTTTTAGAGCAGTCAATAGAACGCAAGAGGAACTGATCGTAGCTTGTGTGGAACACTATTATTGGACGAAGCTCGACAGAATATACTTTACAAGGGCTCTTGAAGAATGTTAGCTAATAGTGCTAAGCGCTAATCCGACGCCGATGAGATCCATATCCGGCTACATTCTCGTCGCCCTCCTCGAGGCAGCCGAGATTCCTGAAGATTTACGGACCTTCCTCGGAGATGTTCCAAGACGAGGACAGCAATGGCGAAGCTGACCGCTTTGTCGTGCTGTACACGATCAATATCGGCCTCGCTGGACATTCGACCAGACTCATTTAGGCCCTGGATATGGCACCCGTACAGCGGAACACAAGTCGACGGCACTGTTTCTGCATTTACCAGGCTAGTCTCTGCCATTGAGAGCCACATGGCAGAGGCTCATTGCTGCTGGAAAGCGCCAGTCTTCTGCTTCACGATGCCAAATCAGATTTCGCCGCCGTGCCATCCAACTGCTTCATACGGAGCTTCTTAGCCCGCATATGTCCTCCTCGGTTTAGTAACATCGCGCCCGGCCTTCTTATGCCGCACGATGCGGCGCACTTTGCTAGCCAGAGCCGCCAGAGCCGCCGGACAATTTGCGTTGTCGGTTCTTTGTCTTTGCAGAAAAGGGAGCTTACAGCACGCAGCACGCAGAATCTAGGCTAATAGAAGCGATGTAGACACACGACGGACACTGTTAAAATAAGGCTAGGTTCCCTAAATTTACGTGCATTATGATTCCTTGCGGGATAAGGACACGAACAGTAGCAACCCAAAAGGCGTGATATCGCAACCTACCACGAAAAGCCTTACCTGCTCCGCCCTTTCCCAGTCTCTTTTTTTTTTTGGTCCCTGTGGCATCTTTGTAAAACATAAACCCTATCTGTACTGCAAAGATCTATATCGTCTGAAACAAATAGTACTATGTTGTAGCAGTTTTCCTTTTTATTGATTTTAAAAGGTAATCGTAACAAGTAAAAAGGAAAGGTATAATCAATTTTAAAAAATTGAATACCTCAAGGCAATATGCACACTTTAGTCGAGGGTAACAGCGTTCGCGCGTTGATTAGTGCTTCTAGCAGTAATCTTCTCGCAGAGCGCCAGAAAGTACCGGTGCAACGCGAACTATATAATGGCCTTGTTACGTGTCTCGGCAATGTTATAATCTTTCTATCAATATCCGCCATGTCCCGATCCCGGGGATTAGCGATAGGAAGCACTTGTGAAAATGTTCAGTCGATGCTGGAAGCTAGTGCTGCGGCAGAAGACGCTATAGGCACCAATTTGCTCTGCCTTATTTCCTCCTTGGCGTTGTAGACATGGTATGCGTGCAGGCGCGTTTAGCATCGCAGCGCCGCCGGCATTGCCGATTTCAATTGGCCGCAGGCAGACAAGCAAGACAACTTCATTCTTGGCGGAGCGTTGGCTGTAACCGTTGCGGATGAGGCAGTGTTTGACATCGAAACTGGTCGTAAATAACCCTGCCTACTAACACACAGGTTGCAGCGAAGCGGAAAAGTTCCGGAAGAGGTGCCAAGTTTCCCTGATAGATTTGCCCAATTTGAAAGCGTGGACCACTGCTGCGGCTTCTGTGGTGTCTCTATTCTGGTAAACTTTTGATCTGGCATGGGTTCGAACTGTGTAGCTTGGTGTGTTGGGTCTGCATAGTGTAGCAACTTGACTTTTGTGTAGAGAAGTCGCTGCCGGTCGTATAACTTATAGTTTGCTATACCCCCTGCACCAAGGTGTAAAGTAGGGATCTATACCTTCCATCGTGGTAGGCAGGTGCAAAGATCCCTAGGCCAGTACGCTGTGTCTTGTTCCTGCTTTTTTCTCCCACCTTATGCTTCCTCTCTCGCTTCGACCGGCTTGCTTACAAAAAGCAGTCTCTTGCAATGCAAGTCTGATTCTTGCATTAAGCAAAGTCTGCTCAAATGTTCATCAGTAGAATTCGCGAGAGGATGGGACCAACGTTAGTGCAACCACTTGGGTGCAATCCACGGCCATCGAGGTCGGCCTCCGCCTTTCCGATAGCCATTTCAATCTGACGTCCTATCCCACTCATTTGAAGTATAGTAGAGATCACAAAATGGGTGTGAAGGTAATCTTTATCAGGCATTGGTATAGTGTCGTCAATTCTAATGAGCCGGAACAGTGGAGAACCGCTCTTTGAACTGACGGACAGCACATCATCAAAAAATAGTGCTGTGTTGTAGCAGTTTTCCTATACATTAATTAGTTTGGAAATAATCGTGATGAGTAAGAAACAAAAAAGATACAAAAAACATTTATAACTTACCTCGTCTGAAGGGGAAAAAGCAAGCTTGCACTTGCCAAAGATCTTATGCACACTCGAGTCGAGGGTGACGGCGTTCGCGCGTTGATTTATGTTTCTAGCTGTAATCTTCTCACGGAGCGCCGGGAAGTACCGGTGCAACGCGAACCATATGATGGCCTTGTCACGCGTCTCGGTAGCGTCATTCTCGTTGAAGGAGCCCAAAGCGAAAGGGATGATGTGAGCGCATTCGGTAGAGGTCCTCATAGCACCGCGAGGAGGCAGGACGATCTGGTCGTCGTGAACATCCATCTCCCAAGAGCCACTATAAACGCAGCGGTAGCCGTCTCTGCGCAGACAGTCCCTGCGCAGACGGGTCTGCTCTGCCCTGGTGGCTGTTTCAATAGTTGCCATGGCCAGATCGACTGCGGCAGTTGCCTCGGGACTTGGGGGTGTTGGCAAAGGTGCCGGAGCTTGTCCGCCAGCAACCAAGACTGTAATGCGTTGGGAGGGTGGTTTGTTAGGACACCACAATGGCAGATAGACTACAAATAGGTGAAGTGCAAAAACCAAAAGAGGAGAAGATTACTCACACGGCTTCAGGATTGCATCGACGAGGTGACGTGCAAGTCTTACTAGTTGGGCATCGTCTTGGCAGAATCTAATGTCTGCTTCCAAGGCTCTTCTCCCCCTTTCACCGAGGTGCTTTACAAAAGTCTCCAAGATTTTCGCGGAATTGTAGTTGACGTCGTAGAGCCGGTCCACTCTCACGCTTGCTTCTGTAGCCAAGAGCTCATCTTCAGCCGGTGCCGGTGACAGTGATGGCGAGACAGATGGATGATTTGATAGTGGCAACATGTGCCGAAGCGGGTCATTCCACCATGGTCCCGATATTTCTGTTCGTTGTGTAAAGTTGCGCTAGTTGAAGATCGTTGATGGGACAAAACGTTAACTGAAAGGTAGGAACGAGAATTTTGGACCCCAAACAAAGCAGCAGTGCACAATTTGCATAAAGAGCCTTACGTCGTACAAAGAAAGCCCTTACATAATGTGAGGGAGGGCTTGCTCCTGGCGGGGTAATTGCGCTCTCAACCCCTCACGTGAAATCGCATACTGCAACATAGCTTCGTGCAACCAGAGCACGAGTTCAAGAATCCAGTTACTGTCAGGCTCTTCTTCTGCACCCTGCGCAGCCTCCCGGGTGGCGCAGGCCTTCTCCAAAACAACGAAACAGCAGCTACGCTGCAGCAAACGGCATATCCTCGCAGCTACGTCGGAGCGCAGTAGTTAAACAGCAGGCACCTCTATACTAGCAATGCTAACCTCAATATACCAGAGGTGCTGGCAACGTCTTTCTCTGCGGCCAAGGTTTGGACGGCTGTTAGGGGCATTAGATTTCACAAGCGACGAATGCATATTACTGACATCTTTCTTGTGTTGCAAAGGTAATCCCTGATACTTTATAACAAAAGTATTACTTCATCTGCTTCACAGAATTTCAGGCTCACAGCCCGCAAACTCCCGTATGTCCTCCAAAATCCACTGGATAGGAGTGACAAATGTCACATCTGGCGACGGGTCCTCTCCAGGCATTGCATCCCCTAGTGGTTCGATTGGCTCATCGAGGCCCAAGATCGCACTCGCTGTCAGCTGTGCGAAACCCTCCGGGAGCGACTCTTGACTCGGCACATCAGACACGTCGGGCAGACCAGCCCCGGTCTCCAAGTGGTATTTCTTCATGTAGCGCACCACGTTCTTAACCCTCTCACCCCCATCCAATATGCCCATTACACGGCCAGTCCAGTCAAAGACGCTTGAGCCCGAATCACCCGGCTGAGAAAAGTGACCACCCACAAAATCCAACACCAACAGATGATACGAGACAAGAGATTGTCCTTTGCCGAATGGAGTGCGCCGGACTGCCTCGATCTCGTTAGTGATGCCAAATCGGAGGCCCGTAGTTTGGCCGCGTTTGGCCACCAGATGCGATGTGCGATCGTCGCATGCAAAGGGCGGCTGGGGTGGAATATCGCGGCCGTGAAGTTGGAGAAAACCGTTGGCATCGAGATTCAGAGTGACAGAACCATCTTGACTGTCCGGGTCTGCCAAAGCTTCTGCATGGATCATCATATCCGCAGCGCCGCCAACATTGCTGGTTCCCATGGATGAGGGCCTTGCCTGGGTGCCCGTAGGCAGACAAGCAACACAACTGCATTGGCGGAGTTCTCATCATAACCAATACGGATAGGGTAGAAGCAATCCCAACCCACCCCGGGATTGCTCAGGGCTCTGACGATGCCTGTGCGCAGCTCTGGGCACCATTTGTGGACGAGGTGGTGGTCACCCACCGTCGAGATCCTTTTCGACCTACTGTTTATGTCTGTATGGGTCTCCCAGGGAGTGGTGGAGGTCTTGGCGATGAGACGTGGTGAGCCCGCAAGGCCATCAAAGTAATAAGTCTCTTCATCCTCAGATGGCTTGGAAAAGCCCATAAGCAGGTCTACAGAACTGACTGCCATCTTCTAATTGGCAAAAGGCGTGTGTTTTCAGCGCTGTTGTCAAGCCCCAACTTCGCTTGTCGGTTTTTTCTTTTTGGAAGTTTGAGCAGAGCCTCTAGACTTTTGATAGGGGTTGCAATCATTGTTCAGAATCAGAATTGAAATCCCGGTTGCGGTAGGTCTGAGAGGCTGGTGCGTATGCTCTGAGTAATAGCAGCTACCAAAGGTAGTAAGTACTAGACTTGATTGTCTCATAGCTCACTGTTATAACATCACGATTAGCTAAGCTTCCTAGTAAAAATAATTCTCCATCTTAAAGGAAAAGAAAAACGTACAGCAGCGGGTATTCGCTGGTCGTCACCGACCCAACTACTAATCCGCCGATTACTGGTTTAACTAGGGGAGAGCGGACGGGATCCCGTGCTTTCCAGTATCTATGGCCGTACGTGATGGATTAAGGAGCAGAGGGGGCTATAATGTGTTTTCTCGAACGAATAAAAAAATCGCTTGGCGGAAGCTTGTTCGCTCGACATGCTGACTCAGCAGCAACATACCACAGTAATCCGCATCGTTGGAAAATAACGATATCCACCTTTTTGAGTAATTACCACCACGACCGATTACACCTCGCCTACCACGTCCACAATTTGCTAGCGCTGTGCATTGCATTGTTTCCGTGTTGTCTCCCCTTTTTAATTGCCAGTGGTTCTATTTTCTTTCACCGTCTTTTTGAAATGGTCTAGCTCCAGTCTGCTTCCAACGCCCGCCTTTGGCCGAGGCGTATCTTACGATCTTTCTGGTCCTTGTCCGTCTCTCTCTCGACTCTGTCCTCTCCGACGTCTACGAACCAGCAGGCCTCCCCCTGACAAAGATAACGAGCGATGGCTGACGAGACGATTGCGGATGCGACCCTGGCCCATCGGCAGGCCATGGCCGAGCTGATCACGCTGGACGCAAACCTGACGCCGGCCGATCGGCTCGTGCTGGAGGGCATGATCCGAGATGTGCGGGCAGGTCGAGACTACGAGGACGACAACACGGCCAGCTGCCAGATCAATGGCAACGGCACGATCAAACAGACGGGCACGGACGCGGCCGCCGACGCCGACGTGCTCTCGACGCTGGACGGGCTCAACGACGAGACCGACAGCCGGTTCGAGCCAACCGTGTTCACATCAGCCGACTGGCGTGATGTGCTGCAGGCAGCGGCGACGGCGCGCAAGGACGCTGCTGGCACTGCGGAGATGCATGTGCGGGCACGGCTGCGAGCTTGGGCCCAGGTGGCTCTGCTCGAGCGGTTCGTCCGGCTGGCACAGGATCACATCGTCCGCCACCGGACAGACGTCGTTTTTGCTACGCACCTGCTCTGCTACCTCGGGCTCGTGGTGCCCAGTGCGGCCACGCTGCTCTTCTGGCACTTCTCGTGGTTGCACGGGCTGCTGCACACGGCACTCGTGCTCGCCACCTGCATCGGCTCCTACACCATCATGATGCACCAGCACATCCACCAGGGCGGCGTCCTGCGTCGGGATCGCGTCTGGACTCGGGCTGTCGACCGGCTCTTTCCCTACCTGCTCGATCCGCTCATGGGCCACACCTGGAACTCGTACTTTTACCACCACGTCAAGCACCACCATGTCGAGGGCAACGGCCCCGACGATCTCTCGTCGACCCTCCGCTTTCGCCGCGACAGCCTCCTCGACTTTTCCTGCTATCTTGGCCGCTTCCTCGTTCTCGCCTGGTTCGACCTCCCGCTCTACTTCTATCGCACCCACCGCTACCACAATGCCGTGCGCGCCGGCTTCTGGGAGCTCTCCAGCTACGTTCTTCTCGTCGGCTCCTACCTTCTCGGCTCTCGCGCCGTTCTCGTCACTGCACCTGGTGCTGCTTTTTGCGTCTTCCTCCTGCCCTTTGCCATCATGCGCATGGGCCTCATGCTCGGCAATTGGGGCCAGCATGCCTTTGTCGACCCCGATTCCCCCGACTCCGACTTCCGCTCCAGCATCACCCTTGTTGACGTCGCCAGCAACCGGGTCTGCTTTAACGACGGCTACCACACCTCTCATCACCTCAACCCCCGTCGCCACTGGCGCGATCATCCTCGTGCCTTTGTTCGTCAGAAGCGTGTCTATGCGGCCGAGCGCGCCCTCGTCTTCTTCGGCATCGACTACCTCGAGATCACCTTGCGCCTCATCCTCTGGCAGGACTACAAGCACCTCGCCCTTTGCCTCGCCCCTCTCGGCCCCGAGCAGTGCCGTCTCTCGCTCGACGAGCGGGCTGACATGCTTCGTCGCCACACCACCGCCTTCTCCGAGGCCGACATTGCTCGCTTCTTCCCCAAGACGCGCTCTGCCGCTGCCTGGCGACGGAAACAGGGCCTTCCCGCAGAGTAGCCCTAGCATATAACGCAAAACGACATGTGTGGTGGATTTTAACAATTTATCATTTAGTATATTGCCTTGAAACTGGTACACTGCTATGGTACACGCCGCCTGGCCTCCCTCCTCCCGTTTACCGGACGCAGTAGCCGCCGTCAATGACAATGTCTGTGCCGGTGGTGTACGTGCTAGCATCGCTGATCAGGTAGACGTAAGCGCCCTTGAGCTCTTTGGCCAGGCCCGGCCGGCCCATCGGGATCATGCTGTTCCACAGCTGCTGTGTCTTCTGGTCGACAAAGTCCGACAGACCTGTGTCGATGTAGCCGGGTGAGATGCTGTTGACACGCGCAAAGTCACGCCACTCGTTGGCCAGCGACCTGGCCAGGTGGATACACCCGGCCTTGGCCACGTTGTACGACGTCTGCTCCTGCGGGAAGTTGACAATGTGTCCCGACATCGACGCCGTGATCACAAACGAGCCCGTGCCGCGCTCCTTGAAGTGCGCTCCTACGGCCTTGGCGCAGTATGCCGTGCCGTTGAGGTCCGTTTGGATCACCTTGTCCCAGTCTGCCGCCGAGCCGTCCACGACGCCTTTGTCAGCCGTGGCACCGGCACTGTCCAGTTAGCTCTTCATTCCATTCGTTCCTCATCCATCCCATATTACTCACTTTGCAATAAAACCGTCGATCTTGCCAAAGTCAGATAGCACATCCGACACCAGCTTCTCCACCTCGGCGTAGTCGCCCACGTTGCACTTGTATGCCTTGACCTTGACGCCGTAGTCTTTCGTCAGTGCCGCCACGTTCTTCTCTGCCCCTTCCTTGCGCGACGAGTATGTGATGGCCACGTCCGCGCCCATCTCGGCACAACCACGTGCGGACTCAATGCCCATTCCACGCGGGCCCGAAGCCCCCGTGATCACCACGACCTTGCCCTTTAGGCTGAACTGGTCCCGGAGGCTGGTTGCTGCTGTCGCTTTTATCGGCATCGTGGCGGTTGATAACGGATAACAAACAGGTAGTCTTTGAGAATAATGAGATTGAGAGACGCAGAAAAGATGGAAGAGAAGCTGACATTTCCGACCTTTATCTACCTCCACCTGGTCTTTCCCCTAGCTACTTCCCAGATCTTCCAGCTCTGACGTTGGATAGCCGAGCTGTCCGTGAGTAAGAACTTGATTCCTGACGTCATTGCGATCTTCAAACTGCATTAGCAGCCACTAAAACATCAACCGCTGTCTTGGCTTCGTCCCAGCTTCCTAGTGCCATGCTTGTGCCTGGAGACGGACCAATCGCCAGGGCTTCTTGTTGCACTGTCCAGGGGAAATACTCGCTGCAGTTGTTGAATCACGTACTGCACACGTCCGCATTCCGCGTTCAGCCGGAAGCATCGACGCGGAGAACCCCGCTCACGTGCCAATCTGCACCTGTGCACAGTCCCGAGACTGTCTACGCACGGCCTTGAACACTGTACATTGTTTGCATTCTCGCACGGGCCATCTGCCAGAACATATTTAGTCCGTCACCGCCCGTCTCCTTTTCTAATTTTCTTTTCTCCTTTTCTTTTTCATACTTACCTTGTTCGATGAGTCGGGTGATCATGAAGACCTGGCCATAGGGTGGGAAGCCTGCATTGCACATCGCGGAGCTACCCGTCTTGGTTTGTCCTTCGGGGCCGACCCGGGCGCAATTTTTGCTTTCCACATCTTGTTTTTCATTGCGAGCGTCGCCTTGTGCAGCGTCGTGAAGGGGAACTGTACATTCTGGGGGCTCATTCGTAGTGAAATTTGTGTGCATGCTTTTCATATGGAAGAGACCAAACACAGCGACGGCTAAGGTTATCTGTATTCCATTTTATACAGAGTACAGTAGTAAAGCAAGAGTATGCGCGAGTTTGATTAGTAATCAAAATAGTGACATAGACAATTGTCTTGTCCAGGCGAAGCTATGTACACATCATGCTAACCATGACTTGACAACACCCTCGAGGCCCTCCTTCATCCACGGATCGTCAATGCTGATGTCCTCGTCGAAACCGTGTTCTCCAGGCTGAATGGAGAGATGGAAGTCAAGCGTCGGGTCGAGCCTGTTCGCCGTTGCCTTGAGCGCCTCGACTTCGGCCACCGGCACCATTGTGTCGTCGCGGCCGTGCAGGATGAACACGCCGCCACGCGGAAAGACCGCGCCGTCCTCGACCCGTTGCGAGGGCAGCTGCTGGCGGCCCTCGACGTCGAACATCTGGCCGATGATGCCGTTGTGCACGGCCGAAAAGATGATGTCGTTGCGCTCAAACTTGGCATCGTTCGAGATGATTGCCGGCAGCTCGCCGCAGGCCACCTTGACCACGTGATCGTCAAAGATGTCGCGCGGGACATACGACCGGCCCAGGCGCGGCAGCTTATTGGCCTCGGTGTACCAGGCAACCCGGGTGTCGACGACGGGATACGCCGCCGTGACGGCGCGGATCTCGCCAGGATGATCCAGAGCTGTCATCAGGCTCAGGTAGCCGCCAGCACTCTCACCGGTCGTGATGATGCGGTCCGTGTCGAGCTGGACGCGGCCCTGCGTCTGCTCGTCGAGAATCTTGCTTGGCTCGGCTGAGTGCAGCCAGGTCCAAAAATCGCGCACATCCGTCAGAATGTCCGTCACGGGCGACTCGGGATACAGCCGGTAGTTGACGCTGACAATCACAGCCGAATGCCGCTCTGCCAGCTGCAGAATCCAAGGTCCAAAAAATGGCGGAAACATACTTCCGGCGCCGATGAGATAACCACCATGGTACCGTACAATAATCGGCCGCGGCTTGCTGCTCTTGTCACCAGCAACAAGCAGCTGCTTCGGGATGAGAAAGTCCGCTCCTATGGCATGGCCAGCCACAACTTTGTACGTGGTGTTGATGACGGTGAAGTTATCGAAACGAGAAAACTCGTCGGCTGTTGGGTGCGAAGACATGGTGGGGTTGAAGCTTTTTCCTTCTTTCGTCTCAAGGAGCAGTGACAACGTCTGGGACCTGATGTGTAAAAAAACAGCGAGGGTTTTATGATGCTTTTCTTCTCCCACACACACTGCTCGGCGAGAATTGCACTCAGTGGCTTCTATTTGACAAGAATACGATGTGTACTCATTGTCTGTCTTGAAGATAAGTACTCCGTACAGCCGGTTCCAAAAATGGATTTAAATCCGTCGGTGTGGGGCTGATGATTCGGCTGTAGATTTCCATTTGAAACAAAAGCCGTACTCCGTACAGCCGCTCCATTGATCTGCAAGCCACAGAATTATGGAGTACTCCTGTGGCTGATCACGAAAAACACATCTTCATTTCTACATCCACCAAAACTCTCTCCGACGAAATACTATAATTCGTTTGCATGCAGGTCCAGTGGTTTCTCTGCGCGGTCTGACTTCATTCGCGATGTGCACATATTAAGCTGGCTGTCTCCATAAAGTCGCATTTGATGCGATGTCCTATACTATTTCCATAAAATTGGGTCACAATAAGCTTATACAGAGTACCAGTAAGCTCTAAATGTTCACATAATCCCGATGAAAACCCTATAGCGATGTGCCGAATTCTTATTTAGCCAGATTTTGTTTGTTTCCGTTTGGTTTTAACTCTTTGCCTATCTTGCTTCTTATCTGTAACCCAGCCTTGTAGATTATATATGGACATACATACTAATCCGCGATCATGCTTTCTAGCCTCCTAAGCTGCTGTAGTCTTATAGTAATCGTTATACTTGACAAGCAGTTTGGTCGCAACAACTACTGTAAAGTCCAGATTGATCGCTGCCAAACCATTCGTCTAACTTTTTATTACCTATGTAGTATTTTTGATGAAGCACCATGACTACCTCGTCGTAAATGCACATGAATATAAAAATTAGGGCTGTCAGCCAAGTTTGTCGATAATTCGTTATGCATACAGCTTCTCTACTTGAAAAAGCTTAATAAGTCTGCAGCTTCGGTACGTAACGTACTTCAGCAGATGTCCTCGTATCATGTCTTTGCATTGCACGTCGGCATCGGCCTTCAGCAATATATTGTCAATATATGACATTCGGCGGTAGCAAACCTCCAAGTTGATATCGGCTCCATAGCGGTACAGTCGTGCATCAAGTATTACCTGGTTCATGCCAACGTCTCCACGATACCATAAAACATTACTCAAGACACAGCACAAATTATGTTCATTCATATTTTGTGAAATACTACTACAGATCTCTTCATCCTATTCGACTTTTGCTTGGCCAAGTTTGCATTACACCAATGCGCGCTATTAATGTCAATCTTCATCTGATTGATGTTCATCTTCATCACACGCCCCGGATCGCTGCACAACTTTGCCTTTTCGAGATTGCGTGTGTGTTTCTTCCGCGATCATCTAGCTCTGAATATGAAAGTAGATGACGAAGCTGTTTGCTGACTATACTGGCCCGAAGTGAGCCAAGGTGCTCCTAGAGGGGGCCTCTGGGAAAACTATTTGGCCGCGGTTGTTTTGCGATTGTCATTGCCCGACAAATTTCCGGCTCGCCCGCGTATGACATCAGAGGCATGTATGGCAACATCGTGAACCTGATGGAAGTGGATGTGGCACGGCCATGTTTACGAGGTCAAGATGCGCCAAATACCAGAGATCCTAGCTATTCGCCGCTTCTGGTGACAATCGTGTAGCCGAGCCCTTGAAGGGCGAGTTTCAAAAGACAGCCGACGGCTCCGACACACGCATCTCCACGGAGCCTACGGAGCATTCATTGTAAAATTCCCGCATAGATAAAGTGCAAAATGTGTAGAAAAAGAGGCTATTTGGTGGAGGAACGACCACCAGACGCAACCGAATAAGGTGATGTTGTATTTGATACGAGCAAATGACAGTCTTCCCCATCTGGCTCAGAAATGCCTCTACTCAGGCTGTCCTCTTGGTAGAGAGCTCAACAAGGTGTCTGCGAAGCGCTGTTGTTGTTTGGAAATGTGGAAAAACTGCATTTACGAGGTCAACCATGTTTGGGGAGCCACGGAACAAACATGATTCAAGGCATTAACGCTTTGATACTCTGTGCTAGGCGAAAATGCCACGAGTTAGGCTAGCGCATAGTGTGGCGGGGTGTCGAAATACTACCTAGTCTGCGGAGTGCCTACTCCGGGAAGGGAAACGCGGAAGCCTAATTCTGGATCCCCAATTGGTGCTAAGGTTTATCCCAAATTAGCAATAAGATTTGCGTGGGAGCCGGAAGAGGGGACCTAGAGAAGATCATTTGGAGAAATATGGTTTAACCCAAATTTGGTTTGCACCAATAGCGAGCATTCCGATCGCATGTGGTCCAGCACTGCGGATCCCGGTAATACGAGCTTTATGATACGATGGCGTCCGTGCAGACGGGCAGACAGGTTGTTGGGCAATAGGCAAATCCCGTGACAGCATCCGATCGCATAGCTATGGTTGACATCACCCGGTGTCTGGTCTGCCGATCGTATCATGCCGCTAGTCCCATGGGTTCCTGGTGAACTCGCATGAGAGACTTTCATGTCGCTAGCTCGTAACGGCAAGCGAAGGCACAGTCGGGACAATTGTTGGGACGAGGGAGAAACAGGCAGAAGGACAGAAACATGGACGGGATGCCGGGATTGAGGACGAGAAAAAGGTATATAAGACAGCAGAAGAAGCCGGCTTTGAATGTTTTGAAAGCTCTTCATCCGCTTCACATCGGTTATCTCGCACTTCTTCGTCTTTCAATCTCAAACTCAGCCTCCAAAGCCCCCAAGCCCAAAGCAATCTTTTCAGACCAATCCAAGTCAAAATGTCTGGCATTTCTCGTCTTCTTGAGGCCACCACGGTCCTGCTCGCTGCTGGCGCCGCCGTTGCCAACCCCATCGAAGCTCGTGGCACCATCAACCACGATGCGGTCGTTGGCTTCTCCCAGACCGTTCCTGGTGGCGTCACCGGCAGCGTCTACCTGGCGTACCAGCCGCTTCTCAAGGTCGTCAATGGCTGCGTGCCCTTCCCGGCTGTCGATGCCTCGGGCAACACTGGGTAAGTCTGGACGAGGAGGAGATGCAAAGAAATCAACCTGCTAACACTGTTTCCTTCTCTTAGTGGTGGTCTTCAGGACACGGGTGCCAGTGAAGGCCACTGCTCCAAGAGCACCGGTCAGATCTACGTGCGCAAGGGCGAGCTGAACGGCAAGACTGCGCTCATGTACTCCTGGTACTTCCCCAAGGACGAGCCGTCTGACGGCATTGGCCACCGTCACGACTGGGAGGGCACCATTGTCTGGCTCAAGAGCGGCACGAGCACGGCGGCCAACAACATCGCGGCCGTCTGCCCGTCTGCCCACGGCGGATGGAAGTGCGCCACGAGCGGCTACAACCTGCAGGGCTCCAAGCCGCTCATCAAGTACGAGAGTGCCTGGCCCCTGGACCACTCTTGCGGCCTGACCAACGTGGTCGGTGGCAGCCAGCCTCTGATTGCCTGGGAGAGCCTGCCCAACGTGGCCCGTGTCGCTCTCACGAACACGGACTTCGGCAAGGCCAACGTTCCCTTCAAGGATGCCAACTTCAACAGCAACCTCGCCAAGGCCACCTTCTAAGCGCTTTCGCCACATCCGAAATCCAGAGGCAGCATTACAATGGAGAGTGGAGAAATGGATAGCGGGAGAGAGGGGGCGAGAGAGAAATGGGAAGAGAGTTGACTTGGATTTTCTGTATGCTATTATCTGTCCGCCAAACGACTGCCTCCCGTCGTTCTCATAGATTTTCCGTACATAAATTCTACTACAAATCCGGGTACTTTGATTGACAAGCTACGGTGAAGGGCGCATCCATATCCTAGGACTACGGGGTGGTTCGTCTACGTCAGATTCTAGAGATTGGGGAACATCTAGATTATATCCAGCCCATCCTGACTATAAAGGCCAGAGACAGGCGGAGTGCAGCTATCTGGGAAAAGAGGTAGGGAGCAGGGGAAAAGATACACGAGAATCGGATGGCAGAAGAGAGGAGAGGCGGTGAAGGAAAAAATATATATGAGAAGGAGGGAGAGAAAGGACGAGAGCAGCGTGGGGAATTGGTCGCCCAGCTTATTTGCTGACATCTGCCGTATCCAAGCGGGTGACTGGTATTGGAAGATCCGCTGGCTACGGTTAAGCCAGTGGAGGATGGGGCGGGCCGTCAGCCCATTTCCAGGGTCGTGGACCAGCTCGGCCGTGTCATAGGGCTAAACTTTATGAGCGGGGATCGCTAGATGGCTGTCTCCTCTAGGTGCTATCGCCGGCAAGCCGGCAAGTCTACTTCCGTCTCGCTAGGGGTGTATGTTTATGTAATATAACAAGTTATTGAAAAGACACTATTCTAGAACGCACAACTATCCAATATAGCAACCGACACCTCTACCAGATTCAGGACACCTTGCTATTTCCAGTCTCACTCTAATCCAACTTCGCGCGGAAAGGGCAGCCGTGCAAGCCCAGCTTCTGCTTCAGGTATGGCGCATAATTGCGATCAAGCGTCCTGATCTCCTCCTTTCGCTGCTTCTTGTTGGCATCGGACATGGTCTCCAAATGTCGGATGATAGACTCCTTGGGATCCGGAAGGATAGTCTCGGAGACCCACATCAGCGCACGCACGAACAAGAAGACGAATCCTGATACAATCGGGTTGTTCGGCTGAATGCCCATAACACGCATTGTCGTTGGGAGCGAGAGCGAAGTACAGAAAGCCACACCGAGCCAGCGCAGACCGGGAGGGAAGTAGCGGAAGGCGAACTGGTTGTATATTGCAAGTCCGACGAGGCGGGCATTCTCATTGTGCTCCCGGGGTGTGTTCTCGAAGTCCTCGGCGTACTTTATGCAGCCTTCGAAGTCGTCGGGAAAGCCATGCGCATAACCTTGGCCCTCAACGAAGAAGAGGGGCACCATATCGCGCCAGAAGTGGTGAGCTGCAATCTTCTCCTTTTCGGAGAAGCCAGAAAGCCCAAGCCGCAGACGGAGTCGGTGCATGAGAATTGCACTGAAAGCGGCGACGTACGCGTAGTCCTCCATGTGTGAGAAGTTGCCGGGGTACTTTTCGTGAAAGCTGGCGTGGAGCTTGTTGATTCGGTCGACCGACTGGCGACAGCGAGGGTCACTCGGGCCGTAGTACCACCAGGTCATGTTGTAGTTCTCCGTGTCCTCAACCCGGCTGGTCGCGTTGTTTGTGACTTTGCCGCCGTCCTTCCGCCAGACCACCTCGCCCCCATGTGGAGTGACGATGAAGTTGGGAAAAGTCAACGTGTATGTCAAGTTGTTCATGAAGTCAGACGAGCGGTAGCACGACATCAAGCGCCACATGAGCTCGTAATCCTTCTCAGGATCAAGAGACTCAATCGCCGCCGAGATCCAGTGGCGCTTGCTTTGGTCAAATCGGTGGTCAGTTGTGTCAGCCATGATTCTTGTCGCTGGATAGAGGGTGTAGGGTCTTCTGGGTTGAAATTTTAGCTAGAATGAAAGTAGTTGGGAACGTCTGGCAGGTGTAGACCGGTCGCAACTTATATGGTGGGCAATGATCGCCAAGCCCTTGTACCGTTGAGCTAAGTTAATTTATCGATACATACGACGGTTACCCGCTGTATGGAGTTCGAGTACATTCCAAAGTATCATCCCCGGCCTGCACACCTCTTACGACATACGAACTTTCAGGTCGCTTCCGGAGAATGTCCTTAAATCCGCGTACTCAGCAAGTAAAGCCCAAGAGAACATGGACACATCAAGATTCATTGAAGCGGCCATTACTTGTTGTGATTACGTTACACTGCAAAGAGCCCCGGTTGCCCTCATCTGAAACCCGAGCTATGGGTGAACCGTTCCATACAGGATGCTACATGCTACCTAGGAAACGGTTTTAAGCGATGATTTCCCGTATTCGTAGCCGGGGTCCACTGCCGGCTACGGCTTGGGCAAATTCTACGGATTCCGGAGTACGAGCACAACCCGAGATCGTAGCATTTGGATCTGCGAGACTACGTCAGAAAGTGCTTAACACTGCACGATACGCGGTCTACTCCAATTACCGATGTCTTACTACTCCGTGGTTGTTGTTTTTTTCTAGAATATTTAGTTTGCGTCGTAGAACGTTGTGACATAGTCTTCGGGTCCGTACGGAGTACGGAGTACTAAAGTAGTTTTGTCACTAACAATCGACGGCGCTATGATAATCGGGGCTTAAGGGGCGTTGATCGGCGGCCCGCTTGCAGTCGGACATGCCGCTTAGTAAGCGACTTCAGAGCTTTTCTAATGCAGCACTACGGAGTAAGATACCACATGATATCGAATGATATTTTCGCCAAGACGTTTACAGACGCGATAATTAACTTGGTTGTTGACGGCTCCCTTTCTCCGGCATGGGAAAAGGAGAGCAATAGAAGCACGTATCAGCGAATCAGGTGAACGAAACAAATAACAGCTGTCGAGCGACAGTGTCCACTACGTTGCATCGCATCATGCTTTTCAAGGAAATGTTCTGGGACTTGCGAATAACGGTACTGCTACGGGCTTTCGGGTACGAGCTGCAAAGGAACGCGGCAACGTCAGCCTTCCCGTAAATCAGGGGGACGGCGGGCCCTTTGCGTATATCCGCCTCTTGTACTCCGTATTTCCGTCCAGATAAGCTTTCGGTTCCGGCTATACGGAATTCAAGGCAACTGTCTCGTGTTTCTGGGTTTCCGAATTACGGTGCCCGACGCGCCGACTGCAGCTTGTATACTCCGTATTACTCCATACATGACCAAGACTCACCTCTGAGTATACCGTATCCATGCTTGATTCGATTTCTCTAGTAATGATCTTGTGTCCTCAGTACTTCAAACCTGGGCAAACTAGAAGGCTGGCCCCTTTACGTGCATCGCCATTGACGCTACAAATTACATTATTTCTAACCCTTCCCGGAGCTGTGCATCGTCATTCTCCCCAAGATTGAGCAAACCTAGGGTCCAGCTACGTATGACGGTAGAGAAGGAGGAAAGCTGTTCATACATCTGGACTGAGGAATAAATTGGACACTAGCCATAAATCAGTTCGCGATAAGACAGGTGCAGATATGTTTTCTCTTCCCAAACATCTTTGTAGACATGCCTTTTTCAGGATTTGTACTGGATGCACAGCCAAATGATACGTGGCTCCAACGAAACTGTCAATTGGATGAGTCCAAAATGTGTGGAGTGTGAAGACGTGTGCATGCACTGTGTGGCTCAAGCCGCTATTTGGTAGGGAATTTCGTGCACGTCTACATACTAAAAACACAACAATAGGCACACTGTTTCTAGACACCGACAATTCGACAGAAACTGATAGCACGAAGTAATTAGCGCCGTTGATTGCCTGCGGAAGACTATGTTTTGATAATGGTCGTACCGAGTAAGCTGACACTGATCGAGGATGAGCCCAGATTGTGTCCAAGGTACGGAGTAGTTCTCGTTCAGATACCCCGTATTACTCGTAGGAGGATAGCTAATACATAGTAATCGCACTGTACGGAGTAGACGTAGTACTTAGGATACGAGCACGGACCTTGAAGCAAATCCACGGTGACGAAATGTACTCCGTGTACTCCGTGTACTCCGTATGGATGCTGGAAAAGCAGAGGCCTTTTCAATTTAATAAACCCACAAGCAGTCGAATTGTTAAAAGAAGAGAAAGTGCTCTTTCCTTGCGCATTACTACTCTTACAATATACCTGTTCGAAAATAGTATCATCAAAGACCCTATGTTTCTGTTTATAGAAGTACTGCGATCCGATACATAAAAATACAAGGGCACAGCCCCCCTGGATGGCCTCAATTTTCCTGCCATTAGGCACTGCCACGCGCAACATCAGATTGTTTCAATTCCTCACACAATTAGAAACGATGTATTTGATCCCCGTTAGACTTTTTTCAGAAACTCGGCCGCACGGTCAAAACTCCTTTTCGAATTCCCACGCAAACCCCTTCCCCGAACGGACCTAGCGTTCAGGACTTTGCGACAACAAAAACTACGTAGCCGACGCTAATGCCTGTTAACGGAACTGCCAGTCAGAAGATGACACCTTTTGGCAGACTTGCTGGATGGCTCTCCGTAGTCTCTTGGGGATACTTTCGTCTCACAGAGGAAGGTGAAAGATAGCGAGACAGGCATGGCTACATGGTGCTACCTACAGACTCACTAGCCGTCTTGTGGTCGCTGGCAAGCGTGTCGCAATCGAACGTCAAAGCACCGCCTATACGACCAAGCGATTTTTGGTGTCTCCTGTAGTGCTCGAGTAGAGTGAGCACGGCGGAATTCCGACTGAATCAGAATGGTCGCCGAGAACGTTGAAAAGAACCCAATTCAAGGCTACCACTGACTACAACCCATCTGTACTTGACGAGACTAGCTAGTATAGCTGTAACATTATGCCGCTCTCATATGTGTCTGAAACCGATCTTGCTATGTTTAGGACACCCAACACGTACGGATCGCATCGAGTAGGATACTTAGCCTCAACTTCCCTCGCACGTGCATCTAGACTCACCTGATTAATGTCGCATCTAATACTAATGTAGGCAAGTGTCCTAATCAACACGGGGTGTCGAAAAAAGCCGCCATGCCTACTCCATAAATCAGGCTTTATTAGCGCCTAAGTGGACAGACGCCGCTTGTCACATCGCCAATCCGTCTCTGTTTGGTATTCTCATTTGTATACTTATATCCTGGTTGTTATTCTTCTTCTCCACCGTTCCCTGGATCTGATCGTAGCCCATCTTTGTACAACGGGGTCCCCTCGTAGCTGTCATAATTACTTCCTTTACTCTTATGTTTCTGGCCTTGTAGAGTCCAATTACTATCTTCTTGCCATATACCTATGCTTGGGAACAGTTTAGCTTCAGTTGTTGTAAAGTCTACACGACCAGCGTCTCGAAACCGCCTGCTATGGATGAGTATCGTGCAGATCATGTGGGCCCCCGCGAGACCGAACTTGGTCATCGACGTCGTCGATTTTCAATGACCATCCTCTTTATCGGTACTCGTCCAACAAACAAGGACATATTTTGTGGATCCGGTTCACTGCCAAAATCTGGTAAACAAACAAACAGGCCCTCGCTACCAGGATTGCTGCCTCCCCTACGGAGCGAATAACACCGCCTTGCCGGCAGTTCGTAAGGCGATATTGCATAAGCGGGGCTAGAAACCCCGCCTTTCTTTCATCCTATTGCCCGCCGCGTCTTCTTTTATCTTTTTCAATCTTTTTACTCCGTACTTTTTCTACTTTCGCTACTTCTTGTTGCTGCTCGTTTTCCTGCTGCAACTGGCCTACTCCATACTACTAGGGTATTACAATGTGCTTTTCCCCTGGTGAGCCGAGATGGGGTTGGCCTACCTTTGCGTTCGGATATGGCACATTTGTTCGTAATAGATATGCAGGCTTGTCGAAAATCCACACAAGGAAGTATCTTATTAATTTATTTATACGTTTTAACGTCGCCATTCAAGGGCTTATGCCCCAAGAACTAACACGCCTACCGAGGGGCATGCGACGGAGGAGGCAGGGGACACATTATGCACAAGGAAGTGTCCAGTCTTAGAAAAGTGCCATTTCTTCCACATTTGATTTAGCCAACGTCATGCCAAAAGTGCACAACGAAACCACTGCAGCCGCCACATTCATCCCACTCATATGAATGGCTGCGCCCTGGGACACCGCACCAGACTGCGGCATCTCCTCCAGTGCTAGCTGCAGTATCTCCCGCGGCCAAAGCGTTACGTAGTTGTCAGACCAATACACTGGTGTGACATCGGCATCGGCGGCATCCACGAGACGCAGGTGCACAAAGACGGCAGGCACATCCGATTGATTTTCAAGCGTGATGTTGTGGCAGCCGTCGTCTGTCGCCTTTTGTAACTCCACAATCACGTTCGCTGGTGCAAGCGTGTCCAGTCCGCTGAAACTCGTGTACGTGATTGTGGGAGTGCAGAACCAAGTGGACGCGTCCCAGTCGAGGGCGTCATCGCCAGGTCCGAGCCAATAAACACTGCGGCTGAGATTTTTGCTGGTGTCTTCGTCTGTCAGCGTGAGCTTTAATAAAACGACCTCTGTCAATTCTGCTACCCCCAGGATGTTGTCTAGGGCGACCTGACTGGTGTTGGGTATCGAGTTAAGGGCACCGTGGCGAGTGGTCTTAGTGGCGAGGATCTGGCCAGAGCCATCAAGGAGCTCAGAATGAACAGAACGGAGACCTCCGCGATCGATGGATCGATTAACAATTACGGCCGAGTGGCGGACGTAGTCATAGACAACATGCTCTAGGCGACTAGCAGCGGCCTTGACACCAAAATAGGCGCCTCCTGGAAGCAGGTAGTAGTCGAACAGGGCCCAGTGCAAGGCCGGCCAGGCCGCGTTAAGCATCCAGTAAACCATACCGGTTGCCGGGCGGCTGTCGTCTTTATCAGGTGTCCAATAAGCCTCGAAAGCCTCAAACTCGGATCGTGTGGCCTCGTAGTCAGCCATCTGTGCAAGCATCACATAATTCTCGAGGGATGTCAGCGGGCCGTAGCGTTTCCACAGCGCTGTGTTGTAGATGCTGCGGTTATGGAAAGACGAGCTGGCTGTCGACATGTGGTAGAGACCCTTGTCCGGGGCTCTCCACAAGTCGTCCAAGTCGGCCTCCGACAGGAATCGGCAAAGACTCGACACCTCCGGTGTGCCTGCCCCGGAGCTCAGCTCACTGCCAAAGCCAAAGGCCGCTCCGTGGCGGATATGGTCGTCTGGTGGAACCACGTCGTACCAGTAACGTGGTGGAACCCAGTCGTATGGCCCCGTCATCTTCATTCCCGCGGGCCCTAAGGCCAGCGGAAAGCCAATTCTGGCACCGGAAGACACAACGGGCGCCTGCCAGCCGGCATCGGCCAGTCTTGCCATGTACAGCGCCGTTGCCCGGTCGTCCGGCCAGTAGTCACTGCCTATCATGAAGCACAACATGCTGGGATGTGCCTGCATCATCGCTGCCTCGTGTCGCATGCTGGCGTTGGCCGTGGCGTAGTCTGCATCTGTCCACGCAATCACCGGCTGCTCCAAGTTGTTGTTGTGTGACCATGTCTCCCATTTGTCGCAGCACTCCCACCCAGCAAGAACCATTATACCCAGTCGGTCTGCCACTGCGTACAGCTCTGGCTGCTCCAGTTTTCCCTCCAGTCGTAGTGTGTTGAGGCCCATATCGAGAGCGTAGAGCGCCTCGTTTGTGAAGCGAGCCTCGTCCCACCGCAGAAACAGGTCTGGGTTGAGACCAGCTCCCAACACCTGAAAGGGCCGCCGGTTGATTTCGAACAAGATGTCGCCTGAACTGCCAACTTCCGCCGTGACCTGCCGAAACCCAAAGGTCATAGACACAGTGTCAGATAAATGGCCTCCGGCGAATACCCTCAGGTGTGCCTGGTACAGCGGCTGATTGCCCCATTGCCGTGGCCACCACACTGCTGGAGCACTGATCTCTGTCTCCAATGTCAATTGTATCGCATGTCCTGCCATCAGCTTGATGGGGGACGTGCTAGGGGCTGGCAACACCAGCTTCACCACCTGCTCTTCCGTGCCATTGTCCCGTTTCACAATTGCAGCCATGTCCAGATGCACTGGCGACGTGTTCTCGAGATTTCGCACGGTGACCTGGATCGTCACAGTACCGCTGACCGGCTCGTCCACTTCTTGCGACGACCCCGAAAATGCAGTCATCACGCTTGTCGACTCGATAGCAACCGACCCGGTTTGCCGCATTGTCACATTGCGCCAGACGCCCGTCCCGTTGTCCGGTGGGTATGGGTTCCAGTCGACGAAGCCAAGGCCAAAGTCACGGTCGTAATCTGTTGGATATGCCCGGACCACGATAGCGTTGTCTTCACCCACCGCGTCCGTTACTTCATATACGTAGCCACCGTATGCGCCGACCTGCTCGAAACGATCGGCAATCTGCTGTCCATTGATGAAGATGTCGGCACTGGACGTGACGCCATTTGTCTCCAGCAGATAGTGTGTGTTGGGTGTCGCGTTCGCATTTAAGAAAAACTCGCTTCGGTAGAACCACGGCACCTGAAACTGGCGCTGGTCAATTGCTGCCATGTGGTCTGAGAAGAACAGATGGGTGTCGTCATAGATGCCTGCCTCCAAGAGACAGCCCATGATCGTGCAGCGGGATACAGGAATATGGTACCACGACGACATGCCCTCGCTGCCCTGCATCGTACCCGGTTTCGAAAGTGTTGCCGGGTCTATGGTGATCTTCGCGGTCGACTGAATGTCCCACGTCGGAATCGCAGCCACATCGCCAGGAGTGGACACAAGTGCCGAACGGGCTGTGGAGGTGGCCATGGATGCAGCAGGCATAGCCAGATTCATCCAATTTAGCACTGCCAGACCAGTAGCAGTCTGCCTTTTTGGTAGGATCATGGTCTGGACAAAACTACAGGTATCGTGGGTGACGGTCTTTTGCGTTGGCTACCTTCGAAGGTCTGAATAGTGGGTAAAATCTCGACAAAGTCAAAATGGAAACTCCAAGCAGCTGCATGCTCCATGCATCCTCGTCGATGAAAGCGCATTGGGTGGAATGTTTTCGCGCCCAAAATTCCATCGTCGGCCTACTGTACTCTTTCCTTGGAGTTTGTACGCGCATCATTCTTTTGGGTCCTTCTTTCCTGTAGGAGGTGTTTCGTGTTACCTCACTGGTTGCGCCTTTCCTTACAGGAGACCAGCTGTCTTGGGAAACGGCATGCTACCTAATCGGGAAGACAAACCAGATTGCTTGGTTTTTCCTTTCATTCGCAAATACAGACCGCCAACAATGGTTACGGTGCAACTCTGCGCAACCGTGAGGGACATATGGTGCCGGTAAGAAGATGGCTGTTTTATTCAATTAGTTATAGCGCTACCTTTATGTATTACGAATTTTCTCGGAATGAAAATGCCTGTCTGGTTGAAATGCTTGGCAACGAGGGAGAGCACCGTTTAAAGACTGCACTTTTTGTCCCTTTCAATCCGGAAACGATATATTGAGAAAAAGCCAGTAAGAAAGACAGAAAAGGGGAAAATAACGCTGTTTTGGCGGGCGAATAAAATTGCTCATATACCCCGTATCTGATTGCTGCAATACGGCGTATAAGAACACTCGACGCATAGGAGCACTTTTGTGTATCGGCATACAAGAATGGCAATATCTGCCTCTGAAGTTATAACTAACTGAAACGAAATGAATTGGTAAGCTGAGTCTACTCTGCATGCTTTCTGGCAGTGTCAAACTCGGCAACTAAAAGGATATTTAATGAAAAAGGATTAAGAAGAAGAAGTTTAAGAATAGTAGTTGTAGTCGTAAAATGGCAAAAAAGAAGTTGAATGATTGACAGAAATGAAAGGAAGCGCAATCAACAGTCTCTCTTATTCCCCAGGGGTATCAACCGAAACCGTAAACATGTGCTTTTCTCTGGCCATTTCTCACAAGGCGACGAGTGTGTCCAGTTTCCAAAACAATATTGATGCATTCCACGCGTATTGGATCCTTTGCCGTTCTCCCTTTCGTTTGGCTCTCCAGCCATGCAAACCCGTCCCCTCCTCTTGAATCATGGATGCTTGCCCCATTGCTCGTTGATGTTGGTGCTGCCGTCTGCCGTCTGCCATTCTCCCGCCGCCGTGTCCGTCTATTATCAATTAATCGACAAATGAAATGGGACTGTATCTTTTTTTGTTCTTTCTTTCTTTCCTTCGTTCTGTCGTCCCATCATGCTATCCGAGTCGACAGACGCAAGATCGATAGACTGGTGTCTGTTGCCTTGCGTCTTGTGTCCGCCACTCAAACTTGACCGTGAGTGTGTCGATCCACCTCGGAATAGTTCATATCCAGGCCCAGGCCACCCCCATTGACATGTTGGAGATCCAGCCCGCGGAGGCCGTGTGACCGTGCCGTCGCCATTGTCGACGAGGGGATATGTGCTTGGGGATCGCCTAACGCATGGGAATAGCTGTAGGGGCTCAAGCCCTGCGAGAAGGGCGTCATGCTTCCACCCGCCGCCGCCGTATAGTTTGCTGTCGTGGCATCGGGCGGACTCGTGCTCGTACCGCTCGGCGTGGAGTTGTGTGGATTGGGAGTCGAATGGGATCGCGGGCTCGCGTCGGTCGACACACTGCTCGTGTAAAGCGTGCCTGGATGGGAACGATAGTCGCCCGATGGGCTGCCCGTCAGGGCGTGCATCGATGTTGCCGTTGCACTCGCTGGCTGGTACGCCATCGATGAAGATGCCGGCTGCATTGTTCCGTATTGGAAAGCGTGCGACGACTGTCGACTTGGTGCCGACTGGAACGACATTGACGCGGCCGAGCCAGGCCCGGATTGATGAGCCCCAGCCAGCTGCGATTGCATTCGTCCGAGCTGATGAGGTCCGGTCGCTGTTCCGTATCCCATAGTCGCGGCTGTGGTCTGCATCACCGACATGCCGTATGATGCCGAGCTGACTGGAAGCGTCATATGAGGCGACGGATTGTAGCTACCGCGAGACGCACCGTACGCAGACATGTCTGGGCCTGATCCGTTGCTGCCACCAACAGTCCCGTACGGATGAGACGCTGTCACTTCGTCGCCTATCATCCGGCGTCTCTTCGGAAGCCCGATGTCTGTACTGTAGTTTCCATAGACAGTGCCTGCGTGGGTGTCGAAGCCCACTTGCGCCGCTGATATTCCTGCCATGGTCCCATAAGACGAGCTGTCATGGGTGCTATCTGTCCGCCCTGCCAGCACCCTGCGGTCATGATGCTGCTGGCTTTGGGTCTTCCGTGCAAACTCGGCTGCCTTTGCGTTCCGCTTCCTCGTTGTTATGCTGCGTGAGTCCTTTCGCAGACGGAGCCGGACGCCCTGGTCGCTGAACGATCGGGTCAGAAAGGTCGATTCTGCTAGGCCCGGAAATGATTTTGTCGGGTAGACTTGGAAGACGTCTGAGACGGTCGAAGTAATGTGGAAGCACTCCGTCTTCTGCATCTGATACAACGTAAACAGCAGGCGGAACTTGCCCTCCACTTTGCAGCTCAGGTCGCCAAAGACAAAGAACCCGCCGTCTTGGTTGTCCGTGTCCTTTAGTCGATGCAAAGAAGAAACCACGGTACCGATGAGATAACTTGGAAGTGGATCTTTGCTTGACGTCTCGTCGCCCTTGAGAAGCGAACAAGACATGAAGTAATACGGGCCTAGTCAGAGATGTCGCATTAGAACTGCGTATCACCTTCGCATACTTTACCCCTGTCATTGTCGGCGTGGTAGGAAATTGCTTACTCTGAAGGAAGTGCTGCATCGGGTCTTTCTTGTGGCTAACCCTCAGTTGTAGGATTGGCGGCGGGTCGATGGGCTTTCGGTCTGCTTTGATGAGTTAATACCTTGCCCGTCATTCTACTCCAACCCGACCGTGAGACTTTGGTTGCTCCATTCTTTGTCACCAAACGTACCTTTATCCTTACCCAGTGCCACCCTGGCATGCTGGGGTTGCTGCCGGATTTCCAACATATAGTCTGGAACGCTTTAATGAGGGTACGATGATCAGCTCCTGTATGCAGGCATTATGAGGGAAATTGGCCTTTTGCATGCTCACCTATCTTCAATCTTGATTGGAGCCACTGGAAGGTGCGGAATAGTGTGATCCCCAAAAGTCGAGTAAGGATGGAAGTTCTCGCTCATGGGTAACAACGGCCAATTGTTTTTCTGCAATCGTACAGAGCCCTAAAGTATCGTGACACTTGCTTCTTCTTCTCGGATAGGAGGCCTAACAAAGTAAATCTTGCAGAGGTATGTTGTTGTGGTTGGTTGCTGTCCGATAGCTCTGTTTGTTGATAATGCTGATAGAAAACTTGGCTAGAGAATTCCGGGCAAGTTTTCCTATGTCCGCGTAATAGCAGTAACCAATGGTCTGGCAGGGGCGATAGTGGTCGCTCGGTTTTCTTGAAACCAGTGTGGCAAACATCAATCCACGCCCAAGTTGATCCGATACCAGTCGGAAAATGAATATGAGATCAGGTTTCGATGTGAAAAGAAGCAACTCTTGTCCTGAATAGCTATGCTTGATAGCTTGTATGAATCCCGTATCTTTCTTGTGCTTGGGGGCAGTTTGAGTCTTTGGTAGGACAGGGGGGAAAGTAATCAGGATAGCTTGTTTCTGTGCCAGTATTATGTGATCTTTGGTGAGGAAGGATAGCGGAGGCTCGAAGAAGTCGGTAGAGAATAAAATAAGATAGAACCGCACAAGAAGGAAAATGAAAGGGACTTTTTGAGGCAAATTAAGCCGAGAAAAGTAAGTCGAAGAACAGTGAGAGCACACAGTAAAGTAGACGGACGCCTGAGTGGTCCACGGCACGGTGGGTAGGAATGGTACCGTTGCTGCTACCTCCTCGATGTTGCACCAGAGGGAAGATAGGCGGGGCGTGTGCAAAGGTGAGTGGTTGAGTTGCGCAGACAGCACCACTGCAACCTTGGTGCCTTAGGTGGTCTCCAAACTTCACACCAAAAGAGCCAGTCTAGACCAGTTGGCTGTTCCCAGCAACGTGTAGAGTAATATGAGCACTAAACACGATCTTGAAAGCCAGCGCCACCCGATTTTTAGAGCTGCCGAACACTGTCGCCTAGTGTCATAAAATAGTGGGAGATGGTAAAGCCGGCTTGCATATGATTTGGATCCGAGTTTTGAAAGCAAGGTGACTTTGTTTAAATGAAAATGCAAAGCAGTGTCTGAAGTGGAAAGAAGGCGGGTTTTGTTTTCTGATTCTGAATGGTACCCAGACGAGGAACGCAAGTGTCGAGACGGTAATATATCCGTAATATACGTGTGACCGAGATGGTCGAAGGGAGGGGGGTGAACAGCAATGTGCTTATAAAAGGAGGATTAGGTAGTATGTGGGGGTGTGGATAAAAGATGGGAGGGGGGGAGGGGGGGTGTTCCAAGCACAGAGGCTTGGGGACGTAATGAGAATGTGCGTCGTAGAGAGACTGGCGAGAAGCAACCTGTTATTCGGTCATGCAACAAACAAGCAAGCGACCGTTAAAGAAACGAGTGATGTCGTACTTGTGCGAGAAGGGATGACGGGAGTCCAAACTGTGGCCGGAAGTCTGACGAAATCAGCGCGGGGAGGGAAAGGCGAGCTGCGTTCTTGGTTACGATCTGGAGATAGAGGGGACAGGCCAAGATAAGTAAGTGTATGTGTGTGAGCAGTGCGTCTGTTCATGCAAGCCGGAGCGTGTGGTAGAGGTGGATGTAGCCGTCCGGACCAGATAAAGAGAAGAAGGGTCTCGCCAAGTATTTCTGGGGCACAGACAAACAGGGACGAGGTTGAGGAGTGATGAAAACTCGGGTGAGCGTTTTTTTTTTGGCTCTTGCTTCTTGTTGCAGGTACGGGAAGTAAATCCAGATGGCCTGCCTCTGTAACGGAAGCAGTCTGTGGGGAACCAAGTGAGGGCACTTAAAGAATGGTCCGACCGTTTATTCCGTAGGGTAACAGCAGATCGAAGCTGGTGCCGAAAATCAAAGTCTGGTTGGGGTGGAGTGGCCTGCTACTTTACTAGTCCAGCATTGCAGTACAGAGTAGGTGGTGGTGGATGGGATGAAGGTAGGCGGAGACAGGCTCGAGACAAAGCTAGCCGAATCAAAACAGTGATGGCAATGGTAGTAAATGCGAGTCAGAAAGGTCTAAACCCGCAAGGATCAAGACGAGGTAGGACGCAGGCAAACAGCCGAAACGTGAAATCAAAAGTCGGGCGGATACGGTAAGACCGAGTGCCGGGTTCTTCAAGAACGTTGTGTAGCAGCCGTGGCAGTTCGTCCTCTCCAAGACTTGCTGTGGTCGTGTGTTCTTTGGTCGATCGATCGGTGTGGCTTATGATTCGTGTTCGGATGGCTTCGCCCACTTTCCGCACCATAAAAGACCGGCCCAGCTGCTCTCCGGTCTTCACGGTGAGAGCAAAGACACACTGCTGACCGCTGATTGCCGCAATGCTCCCCTCTCTGATAAGGCTGGAACGCAACGGATAGCAGGGTGTTACTGCAATGGCACAACAGAGCGGTACACAACCCAGTAGTACCCTTGGCTAGCTTTTGGGTGGACAACTTAAGAGCGTAGGATTGTGTGGTCGTCGATGTGACCAACATGGATATTCATGCGTTTCCTGTCTGCCTTTGAATGATCTGCAGTGGGAGATGTTGGTTGAGCTTCCTAGACAAGAGCACGGTTTGACAGCAGATCGTGCAGGGCAGTATATGTATAAAGATCCTGGCCTCTTCTTATTTGCTGAGACTGAGGGAGAGCAATGTCGGTCAACACGATGAGCGGTGCAGAGCAATCATGTGTGTGAGTTAATGATGAGACTTGACGTGCAAAGCATAGGCAAGGCCAAAAATAGAAAGAAACCGATGTAATTAGAAGACACTATCTGTTTGGAGCTCCATACCAGGATAAAAGGCGAGATGTTGGCTAAAAGAAGAGAAAAGGCAGTGTAAAAATTGGTGGGAGGGGTGGAAGCTTGGGGATTCATGCAATGCATTGAGGCAGTGTCTACTCCGCATCACAGCCAAAAAGGACAAGCAGCGGAATCCGTACTTGTACGTCAAGTGTGGCGCGAAGACACGGACGAGCATGGAAGCATGATGGGAGAGGGGGTGGAGTGAGAAGGGGGTGTGCGAAGAAGAGCCTCGACCCAAGCCAGTAAACCCTGTCCGTCCAGTTCAAAGGCCGAGTGACAGAGGGTGGACGTCTGTCCATTTCGAAAATCATAATAATGTCATTCGTTAGCATTTGTCGGCGTTTGCTGGCCTACAGATTGTACACTTTCATTTGTTCGTGGCTGGCAGCTCTACGGGTTCTCGAAGCAATCTGTGACAACTCGGCTTCCGAATGCCATCCTTCTTTTTGCGACAGCACGGTGTCACCTGAGCTTTGGGCCCTGCAAGAGTCGATGACGCTGTTATTCTTGCTACCTCTGACAAATATTTGTCCCTGCTTCGTCCATGGCTCCATTCTGCCAGGCCTAGAACGAGCATGAGCTTTCTGCGAAGGAGCAAGGTAACGTAGCGAGTGCTCCGTACCTGCCAAACAAATAAAACGGCGAAGCATCAGACCGAGGTTGTTGGTAGTCCGGAGTACAAGGCAGACATGGGTAGTGTGACATGGCCGGGGGCCCTTGGACAAGATTTCAGAATAGCTTCCACAGCCAGGGTGAAAGGAATGGTGGCCTTCCAAGGACGGGGTGCTCGCTGAGGTACCCAGATAAACTACCCCGTAATGGGGTTTGGCGCCGATTTCTGCCCTGTTCATGTATTGCCAGGCCGAAACTCGTACTCTTTCCAAATCCTGCCTTCCTTTCTCGGCCGTGGCCCGGCGTCTGGCAGTCGGGCTTTTGCTTCGCCTTTTGCTACCAGGCTCCAGTCCTCTGGGTGGAGATGAAAGAAATGGTCAAAAAGTCATAAAGGCCTTCCATTGCTCCAAAACATTTCCCATTGTCCTGGCTGTATTAACTTTCAGGTGAGGGTCCCCGGGCTCGGCCACTCCGTGTTCAAACGGCCCCTACAGAAGGCGTGTCAATCTGCTCGTAATACATAGGCCTGCAGGGACTAGGAGTCACGTTTTGCATCAATGCGCAATTGGTAAAAAGGCCTCGAAGAGTGAGTTGAGGATCAGCCACGCTGTCAATTTTGGCAGCGCACCCTTGCCTTACTCCATAGCTGGCCAAGAATACTCCCATACACAGAGAATCCTGGCAGGGAACGGCTTGAGAACCCGAGACCTTTGCCCATTCGTATCGGTACATCGGAAACGGTGGTGGGTATCCTGTTTGTGCAAATACGGGGCCTAATCTTGCGTTCGTAGCAGGTAGCACCATTAGTGGAAGATCGGCTTGACTGCCGTTCCGAAGGTGCCTGTATGTAGCAGTCACTTAGTCCGTTCGGTAGTTTCAATATTAGTGAACGCTTAAGGCAGCGAAGTAAGCGTTTTCACGGGCCCTGACAGGACCAATGTTCTCCCATGCAGCCGCATGCGGAACTACTCCGTATGCTTGTGCCGGGCCAAACTGGTATACTCGTACCGACTGGTTCCGCCAAACAGATCTGTACAACACCAGTATTACAGCATTAAGTGATAGTGTGATTCAGTGACACGGAGCGAGAATTGGGTGCAATGAGTAGCAGCTGGTGCTAAAGATGGTCGCGGACAGGTTGGTCCAAAAAAAGGATAAAGCGCTCGGACACGGCCGTGCGTCGACAGCAGAATGAAGGAGCCTTTTTTGCAGTCGTCATTGGGCAGCAAGCCCACATTAGGTTCACCTACCAGGCGGCCTAGGAAGGTGTATTGAGAGGAAGCAGAAGGAGGATGGAGGCTCATTTCGGACAGATAGGCAGGCCAGATATCGAGAGAAGAGCGCTGCCAATTACGGAGTACGGCGGGCGAGACTTGATTCGAAAGGGACGCAGAATTGATGCATCGATACGACCTAGCAATTAAATCGACAGCCGTCATGCGTGACGCTTTCCTGCTGCATCTAGCACCTGGTATGGGGTTTTAATGGACACAGGGCCTAAAATGATTTTATTAGCATTGCAACTCTTCGACAGTGGTATTGGCCAAGACGAACAGAATCCCCCATTTGCCTTAGCTTTGAACTGGCGTCTGCGCACGTACACAACCAGCCATTCGAGA